CATCCATTGCAGCAACAGGCCACCATCATACGAAGTATGGCGCCAATATATGACGCCATTGATGAACCGAAGCGACGCATAATGTCTGCACCATTGGACAGCTTGCTTTTCACGGACAAGAGCTTCGGGTCCAGTAGCAACAAAGTCAACTAGAAGCCAAAGACAAATCTCCAAAGGCCGAAGCCCGGGAAAGGAGCACAACCACACAGCAGGCAGGCAAGGTAGAGGAGCATCCGAAACAAGATACTGCCGGTTTGCAGTGGGGAACGCTGTGAAGATCATTCGGATGCGCGGGCTAAGCGAGTTCGTTCGGCTGCTGGTGTGGTTGTCGAAGTGTTCCATGTACTGCACGGGTACAGCTGCGTACTATTGACACACAGTAAGGTAAGGTAGGTAGCATTGCCATTTGCCTCCAGGTTGCCTTTGCCCTGTTTTTGAAAGCCCAAAAAGCGTGGACAACCAGAGATATTACATCAATATGGAGTATGCTGGCAGCACATGGCAAGCAATTGCAGAACGCATTGGCAGCCTCAAGTGCCACCAAGCAACAGTTCCCGTATACATCAGATATGTGTGGACGGCATCGAAATGGAGGAAGGATCATCAGACCGAGTCGAGTCGAAGGCGTGGTCAAGGGTGTATGCACTGTAGGTATGGCCCAATAGTCCGAGCTGAGAGAGACTTGGATGAAAATAGCGGCATCAACAGCTCCAGACCCCTATGCTAATCTGTGAGCCCGTTCCTCTTACTAACATCAACGTCAGCAACGTCTCCGTGCTATCAACAGCACTAATAGAGCACTAATAATTGGAGTGCTCGTCTGAAAGTAGGAGGCCGATAATAATAACAGCTGAACGTCAGATTGCTAGACCTCCATCATCAACTTACCTTGATTGAGTCGAAAGTGTGACTGAAAGCGTCGTCAGTCTCAGACCCCATCGTGTTATTCCTCCTCATGCTTCATAGCCACATTCAACAAGAGCTCGGTGTAGCACAAGCCTCAGATGAGAACATGGCACAAGCCGTTGATACAAGCGGCTCACAGCACATGCATACCAAAGTGGTTAACGTTGAGCCACTGTGGCACAATACGAGCAGGTACATACACCACCATACTGTACGGCAAGGGAGCCGCAGCGGACGAACATCGGATCCATCTCATCAGCCTCTTGGAGTCGCGGCGTGCTAGCGGCCTGGTTCCTGGCGTCAGGATCGCTGGCTACCTGTATCGGCAAGCAGGCGCTCGCACCGTGCGTTGCTGCAGATGCCCTAATGCTCCAAGGGGCCAAGCGTGTGATGCGAGCATGCAATCAGAGGGCGGCATCGTCAGTCGTCAGAACTTCTGTCCAGTCCTCAGCGGCTGCTAAGTGGTTAGGCCCTGCGGCTAGTCAGCTTTTGGGCACAGACGAGCATAAGGGTTTCGAGACCAACATTGGACCTTTGCCATCAGCAGCCCAGCAGCGGTCTCCACGCCACGGCGAAGCTGGGGAGTTTTGCCGCTCTCCTTGTCCTTGACCTTGACCTTGGCCTTGGCCTTGGCCCAGGGACCGCGGATGGCCTCGCCTCGACTCCAGCAAGGAGACGGCAGCTCGTCGCAGGTGGAACCTGGCCCAACAAGAGATCCACGGATAGCTCCGCCCTCTGATGCGTGCACTGCAGCGGCCAAGGCATTGGCTGCGACGCTCTGGACTGGATACGGCAGGGTTTCGAGCAAAGCTGATGGTGCTTGGCGGGCACGGCAGCATGCGGTGCAGGTCCTGCCACTGTAGATGCGACTTGTGGCCGAAGCAGCCATTGGCCGCGTCCAGAGCACAGAGCAGCCCCTGGCGCTGGTGTATCTCGTACAGTGCCGCCAGCAGTTCGCGTACGGGAGGGTGGGCGAGCGAGAAGAACGGAGCCCAGAGGGCAGGATGGCACGCCAAACGGGATAATTGCCTCGTCGGAGTGATCCCGGCATTGTCGAGCGTGCAGTGTCTGGACCAGGATCTTCCATGCTCCTTGGCCAGCCAGCCGCCTGCTCATTGCTCAGCCAGCGACGACAGCCACGGCGACGGACGGACGGACTGCTGGGGACGAGTCGAGACGCGAGCCGCAAAGGGAGCCGCAAAGGGAGCCGCAAAAATAGGAGCCGAAGCCGCTGACCGGAGGCGGATCTTTGTAATGAGAGCGGTTGAGCCTCCAGGTCGGATTGAGTTGGTGGCTTCGAGACATGGAATCGGCGCCATGCTTAGCCTCGTGCTCATGCCTGTCCTGTGCCATTCCAACGCACATGGCCGGCTATCGTGCTGGGCTAGCAGCAGCTTAGCATGCAGCAAGCGTCAGACAGGACAGGCAGAGCATTCATGCAGGGTGGAGATGGCTGAACTCTGGTCATGATGCCAACCAGACCGACCTGATATTGACTGCTGCAAACTCGTGCATGTACCTTGATTGTTGCAATCGCTTGGGGATGGGAGACAAGAGACAAGAGGAAGAAAAGGCGCGACCAAGCTTTTCCGGGGCCCGGAATCGGATAAGGTTCCTAGCAGCGCAGGTAGCGCTCGGGTACCTGCTCAGATAAGGTAGGTACCTCATGCGCTGAGCAGCGGTTCTTTGCGTGGACAAGAACGCATTAAGCCCTGCATCGACCTGCACAGCAGCACCGAGTACGTCAGGTCAGATACATGCAGGGTACTTGGGTCTGCGTACCTTAGTAGGCACAGTGCCCAACCACACTCAAGCAGCCAACCAACGACATCAGCCCAATTCAACGAGGTGCATTTTCCACCACGGCATCCGACGCACGCTGCTGCGACACGCATGATGCACGGCAATCAAGGGTGTCAGTGCGAGAGAACAAGACAGTTAATACTGAGCAGAAGGCATAATAGTGCGGCCCGACGAGTACCTACCTACTTACCTACTTGAGTCGGGATAAGGTACCTACCTACCTGGTCGTGAACAAGATCAATAAGTAGGTACCTAGGCGCATCAAGAAGAAAACTTTGAGAGTATTACGGTACGAGGCAAACAGAGGTCAGGCAGTAAGCCGTCCAAGCTGCAATACGTGCCCAATCATCTGGCCAGAGGCTGATGAGACACAGCCTTCCGCGCCATCCGCAGGTATCCGTGGCTTTCCATCGTCCGTCGCCGTCGCAGCAAGAGGCAAAAGAAAGAGGCATTATTTGGCGTCAAACACGCACCTGAACTTGCCTTGATTCAGAGGCCCAATGAACGGGCCTTATGCGCTGCGCCTTGCCTCGCAACTGTGACGCTCACGCTCGCAGTTCCAGCCGCTCCCGTCGTTCGTTCGAGGAAGAAGCAGGCGGCCACACCCTGCCGCAGGTTACAGTGCAGCACAGTGCGCGGCTGCCCGTACCGACTCCGTACATGCAGCGTCGCACCCAGCACTGCAGTTCCCACGTCTCGGCCCAGTTGTACCTCGTCCGGCCCCGGGCAGTGCGCAGGTACTTTACGCTTGGCCGCCGTCATCCCCCAGCGCCAGCTCGGGCCCCAGGCAGGATGAGCAGCTGATACCTGCACCTACCTGTACCTACGTACTTGCGACATGCCTCATACATGATCCGGACATGCGGCGTACATGATCCCAAGGTGCTAACCTACCTAAGGTACCTTACGCAGGGACGTGAGGCAGCCGTAAGTCGATACTCGGACGATACAAGCTCGTGCAAAGGGCTGGACTTCGGGTACATGCACAGGCACCCTCTTTGCATGCCATCTGCGTCCTCTGCCTGCAGCAGCTTTGCCCTGGCCCCTGCCGATTGGCCGCGCCGCTGCAATAAACCTGCTGGGGCCCGCCGTTGTGGACCAACGCTGCAATCTGGGTAGCACTACAAGGTACTCGTACAGGCGAGGTACAGTGCCGACACCTCACGGCGCGAGCACACAGACCAGATGAGCTTTGTTGCCGCAGTGGCATCTGGCATGGACTGCGTACGAGCAGGTAGTATTCGTACATGTACATGTAGTAGCATCCACGGCGCTTTCGCTTTCCAACGTCGAATCGCAGCAAGGAATTACCTAGGTACCTCAGTCAGAGGTAGGTACTGGCGAGTATCGAGACCTTCGTAGCGAGACGCGCAAGCGGCACTGTGCGAGCAGCCGTCCAAGGCCCTGTCCACCCGCCAGCGTCTTTGCCGCCGTGTGCCAGGCCCGCCAGCCACTGTGAGCCCCGGCCTGGGCTAGCGGGCGCAGCAGGCACTGCTGGACCGCGCCGTGGCCGCACTGTGCCGCCGCCTGCCGGGCTAGTACCAGGTGGTGAGCAGTTACCTGTACCTTCTCGCCGCCCGGTCGAGTCACCAATCCTCTCTCTTGCACGATTCACTCCAAGCAGCAACTCCCGTCTTCTGCTTCGCCCTGCCCTGTTGATGGCTTCAGCGCTGATCTGAGAGACTGTCCCGAGCAAGCCAGCGCTGGGATGCTTCCGTCACTCGCCAGACAGCACCGCGCCTAGTGTTGCATCTCTACTTCTTCCTCTCCCTCTTCCCTGCACCTTATCGCATCTTACCTACTTAGCCTTTCGGCGAGCTCAGCGAACCTCCCCGCCAAAGCACAGCTTATCGTTACGCCTGAAGCTCGGCTCAGCGCCCCGCGAACTGCCCCTCGACGCCGAACCCCCTCGACTTGCCCGGACGCTGCCTTGTTCCCTCGAGCGGACAACGGCATTCACACGCTCTGGACTGCCATGGTGATGAACGACTCTGGCCACCGGGTGTCGCGCGCCTCCACCATGTCCAACGCGGCCTCTGCGAGTACCGGCGGCAATGCTGCAACCGCAGACGACTCTGGTGAGAGCATTTCCCTCGTCAGCCGCAAAGCACCCCTCCCCTCGGGCTCCCACTCCAGAGCCTTTCCTGGCCCGCGCCAGCAGAGACAGAAAGAAGGATATATCCAGATGCAAAGATTCGCACCTTACAATCACAATTTCTCTGCCAGAATGCTAACCGTTCTTGTCTTGCAACGCAGCCTCGACAATCACGGTGAACACCACGCCCAAGGCCCCTCCAAACTTCCCTCCGCCCAAGACCGACAAGCCTCGGCCGCACGTCTGCGCAACTTGCCAGCGGTCATTTGCTCGCCTGGAGCATCTGAAGCGGCATGAGCGGTCTCACACAAAGGAGAAGCCGTTCGAGTGCCCCGAGTGCTCGCGGTGCTTCGCCCGCCGCGACCTGCTGCTTCGCCACCAGCAGAAGCTGCATCAGACGTCGACGCCCTCTGCCCGCCCGCGGAACCGCCGAGAGTCGACCAGCGGCGTCCCGCCAGGCCAGAGCCGGGCTCGCAAGAATAGCGTCGCGGGTCCCAGCCATGCGGCGACGGCCACCAACCCGGCCGCCAACACCATGCGGCCGCGAGCAAACACCATCAGCCATGTCGACGGAGCGGCCATGCAGATGATTGCTTCGGCCAATGCGTCAGTCGCTCGGGGCATGCATGTCGGGCACAGCCGCCACCCGAGCCTCGCCGGCCTGCCGCTGCACAACTACGACCAGCTCCTAACGGGCATGTTGCCCATGGCCCACCGGAGCGGCATCGCACACGGCCTGCCCAAGCTGGAGACAGGCCAGATGGGCGTTCCCGACTTCGACACCGGCCTCCACACGGCGCCGCCGCTGTCGGGCTTCAACCCTGACTTTGACTTTGACTCCTTCTTCTTCGGGCCGGGCACGACCATCAACCCCAACGCCCTCCACTACAACGACTCCCCGCCGTCCATGGTCATGGAGCAGGCCTCCCCGTTTGCATCTGCGCTCAACGACGTCCCGGCCAACCCGTCGTTTGACGACTCGTTCGACTGGCTCAGCGGCTTCGAGCACCAGATGTCGTTCCAGACAAACGAAAACGTGGTGGACGAGTCGAGCCCGTCGGCGCTCAGCACGACGAGCCAGAGCGGCATCAGCGATGTCATGTTGGATGGATCAAACCACCCTGCGCCAGCCGGGACAAGTACCATGTGGCAACCCTCGGTCATGGGCCCTCCGCAGATGCCGAACCCGTTTGCGATGGATCTGAATGGTTCGGTCTTTCCTGATCTCCTTACTGGAGCTCCTTTATCACCTCAGCCAGCTACTCAAAAGATCAATGACCCATACTTCTCCACGCCCCCCTTGTCGCTGAGCTCGTTGAGCCCTTCCGTCGTATCTGGACTGAACCCGCAGAGCATGAACCACCCTCTTGGCTTCCACGCCGGCCCGGATCCCCAATCGTCCCTCAACGGTGTTAACCATCTCGCTTCGCCCGTAACCACAATCACAGATGCCACCAGGAATACCATTGTGACCTTTCTTTCCAAGTGCCCGCCCTTTGGGGGCCGTAAATACTCCTTTACCTCGCATGCCCCGGCGCAGTCTCCGGAGGCGCAGTCGTCGTCCTCGCCTCAGCCTGCCGACGTGCCCAGTACCCAGAACCTCCGGCGCTATGTCGCGGCCTACATCGCCTACTTCCATCCCCATCTCCCCTTCCTACATCTGCCCACGTTGTCCTTTGATATGTCCACGTCCCCGAGCGGTCGCCAGCCCGGTGTAGGTGGTAGCGGGTGTCTGGTGCTGGCCATGGCTGCCGTTGGCGCCCTTTATGAATCTGAGCTTACCCAGTCCAAGGAGCTGTTCGCCATGTCCAAGAAGATGGTCTTTTACTACCTTGAGGAGCGACGCAAGGCAGACGTTCGCCGGGCCGACATGCGACGCAGCAAGCACGCCGAATCTGATCAGCAACAACAGCAGCAGCAGCAGCAACAGCAGGATCATCAGCAACAGCAACAGCAACAGCAGCAGTCGTCGGCGAAAGGTAGGGATAAGGACAGGGACAGCTCGGCCCACACGCCCGTCTGGCTCGTCCAGGCCATGCTGCTCAACGTCGTGTACGGCCACAACTGCGGGGAAAAGATTGTCTGCGACATCGCCTCGACGCACTGCGTAGCGCTCGTCAGCTTGGCTCAGGCAGCCGATCTGCTGCGCCCGGAGCAAGAGGACTCGGCCGATGGAGAGGATACGCGCATGGTTGACGACTCAGTGTGGCATAGGAAAAGCGAACACGAGAAGCAGCAGGAGTGGCTGCGGTGGAAGCGAAAAGAAGAACGCAAGCGCACGCTGTACGCCATCTTCATCATGTCCAGCCTCTTGGTTGCCGCCTACAACCACACGCCGGCCTTGACCAACTCGGAAATCCTGCTGGACCTGCCCTGCGACGAGGAGTTCTTCGCCGCTGGATCGAGCGCCCAGTTCTTCGCCATGGGTGGTGTCGAGGGCGCCAATCACAACAGGGTCAAGTTTTACGATGCTCTCGGAGAGCTCTTGCGCACAAACGAGCGACAGCAGAAGCACATGGCGGCAATGAATGGCGGCCCACACTCTTCCGGCGAGATGGCGCGATCAGACCTGAGCCCGAGCACCTTTGGCTGCTTGGTGCTGATCAACGCCCTGCACAACTACATCTGGGAGACGCGGCAGCGGCATCACAACAAGGTCTGGACCAATGAGGAGACGGAGAAAATGCATCGGCACATCGAGCCCGCCCTCAAGGCGTGGGAGGCGGCCTGGAACAGCAACCCCAAGCATGCCGTAGAACGGCCAAACCCGTATGGCGCAGGACCACTCTCCGCGGACGCGATTCCCTTGCTAGATCTGGCATACGTCCGTCTCTTCGTCAACCTTGCCAGGTCCAAGGAGAAGTTCTGGCAACAAGACTGGGACGGCGTGGCCGAGGAACTGGCCCGGGGCACGGAAATCGTGCAGCACGCCGAACACTCCCCCACGTCCAGCACAGAGCCGGAGAGCAACGACACCTTTGACAGTTCGCTCTTCACCGGGTCGCCAACGAGCGCGGCGTCGGCGTCGAACCGTCCACGGAAGCAGTCCAACGGTGCTGGGCAGGCCACTCGCTCCATCTCGCGGCGAGAGCGCCACCTGCGGAAGGCAGCCTTTTATGCCGCCGACTCTCTGTCCATGTCGGACAAGCTCGGTGTGACCTTTGCTGACTTCACCAGTCGCGAGCTGCCCCTGCAATCGGCCATGTGCACCCTCGACTGCGCACAGGTTCTCGCCGAGTGGGTCGCCACTCTGCAGGATCGAGTCGGCCGCTATTTAGGCATTCTCGGCCAGGACCACATCAACGTCACGGCAATGCCCGCCATTATGCTGCTGGAGGAAGACGACGTCAAGTTGCTCGAGAGGATTCAGAACGTCCTGTCTTCGGCAGAGATGAAGATTGGCATGGAAGTGACGGCGAGCAGCATGACACCCGAGACGGGGAGCCCGGACGATGGGTTCAGTGGGCTGGCGACCAAGATTCTCCGCGTCACATCCCGGATGCTCGACAAGGCAGCCGTTTGGCAGGTGACGCACCTCATGGCCCGCTGCCTCGCCGTACATGCTGGTCATATGCGGACGAGGGCGGAAAGGTCTGTCACTACTACGCCCTCACTGATGCAGTCGGAATTTTAGACGGAGGGTCTGCTATTGGTCTTATGACGATACGATGATGATGACGATGGAAGATACCCGGACATGACTCTTGATGTCTATTACAAGTCAATCATGGGGAATTGCTAGCCATCACACACAGGATGCCGGCGAGCATGCCAGGCATCGAGGGGGGTTACTTCATGGAGTTACTCTGATGGATGAGAGGAGGCGATGGAACGAAACCAGCTGGTGGGCTTTCGTGCAAGCTTGCAGCGCCAAAATGAGAGATATGCTTGATGGAATCGGGGTGTAGCAAAGCGATTCATCTCATGCTACTTAGACAAGACCTGCATATTTCCGTCTCCGCGTCATGACGTGCGGCCAGAGCGCGGCATGTAAGTGGTTTCTGCCTTGTTCATACGGTTTCGAGAGGGTGTTTATAGGCGTTGGGTGAATATCTTGTACCTAATACTCATTACATATATCTTTTTCAAATCACTTTTTGGGCTTGCTTCTCGATTCATCCAGCCGAGTATCTCTGTACCGAGCTTTCGGCTCCTTCTTACTATGTATGCTACCCGAGGTGCTATAGGTCATGGATAGTTGGTGTTGGAGGGCAACAAGCACATCCATCCGTTGATCTCTGTCAAAGTGACTTACCCTAGGTATGTACTTTCTCTCAACTGTGAGTCATTCGGCGACACACGTGAAACATGGGAGCCTGAAACAGGCAAAAATGAAAGAAAAGAAAAGAAAAGAAAGATTGTCAGTGGTGGGTGGAAGATTGTGCTGCCTGGATTCAGCGCCTAATGCTGCAGGAGCCTCAAGCCGCTAATGTCTCCAGCTGTAAGGTAAAAAGTAGTGGGTGGGCCAGATTGACCGCAAGAGACCACATCAATTTCTGCGCTCATTTCGTCTTTGAGCGTGGATTCATCAGAGACAATCACAAGCAACAGATATAAAGTTGACACAGAAGCAGCCACACAAACAACTTGAACCGGTTTCAAAATAAAGAGGCTACCCAAAACTCACCGAGAAACAGCCACAACTACAACAAAAAGAGAGAAGAAAGAAGGGGGGGAAAAAACAACCAAACCCCGTACCAGCATGGCCATCCCCAACACAGCCATCGACACAAAAGACTCTCAAGGCTGCCCCGTCGCCGACTTTGCCTTTGACGAGTCCCTCGTGGAGTTCACCGTCCCAAAAGCCGACTGGCTGCGGATCAACAACAAGGCCTTTGACGGGGTGCACACGTCGGCCTTTATTTTTGACGACGCAGGGCGCGTGTTGCTCGTGCAGAGGGCGGCGCACGACAGCATGCCGAATCTGTGGGAGACGCCGGGAGGGGCGGTGGACAAGGAGGATGCGTCGATATTGGCGGGGTGTGCGCGGGAGGTGTGGGAGGAGGCTGGGCTTGTTGCGAGGAGGATGGTGAGGCTTGTTACGGAGGGGGGGGAGAGAGAGAAGTGGTCTGTTTTTATGAATAGGGATGGGACGAAGGTGTTTTGCGGGTTTGGGTTTGAGGTTGAGGTTGAAGGGGGCAAGGAGGTTGTGCTTGATGAGAGGGAGCATCAGGATTTTGTGTGGGCGGGGGAGGAGGACGTGAGGAGGGGGGAGGTTGGGGGGAGGAGGATTCCCTTGACGGCTTTGGCGATGAGGAATAGGTTGCTGGAGGCGTTTCGGCTGAGGAGGGAGGAGTGATGGGTTGGTTGGGGTTTGGGGAGAGCTGGTTTTGGGGATACTGGTGATGGTGGTCCTGATGATGATGATGATGATGGGGAATGCTACGGAGAGTGTGGTCGAGACGACAAGGGTGTTATTTCACAAGATTGATTTGATAGACGAGATAGATTTGGCGGGGGCTTGTATCTAGATCTTGGGCCGGGAGTAGAGCGAGATAAAGGATGAGTGAGCGAGCGTCTTGAAAGAGCACAACTTGAGTCTAGGGCAGCATGGCAGCTTCCCTTGAGCGCCATTGTCATGTAACCAATCATTGATATGAGCAATAGGAATCCAGCATCATGCAATTGCAGCATTGTGTTCATTATAAGAGGCTTTCGTTCAACACAGCACAGCGTTGAGTGCTACTATACTGAATTGGAAAAGGAGAGCCACTGCCCTCTGATGCGTTTTTCTCAACAGATACAGGTGATTACCAGAGTAGACACCATTGAGATACAATACAATTAGTAGAAGTGTCATTCGTTGTCAATTTTATCGTTCCCTATCACTTTTGTTCAACAGGATGTGATGAGCTGGTGATAGGGTAAGCTAAGCGGCAAGGTGATGACGGGTCAGCAGGGTATCAAGAACAGAGCAATGTCAATGGCAGTGGCGCAAACTTTGCATCTAAAGAGCTCGAAATGACGCGAGGATTCTACTTCAAAGACATGGTGACCATGAGCATGGCAAAGGTGATATAGACATTGTATTTGTTGCCGCCACTGAGCACATAGAGGACAAGCGCTTCACGAGACGGCATCGTGGTGAATCAACTACATCAGGACGTGAGACGACATCAGCGGCAATTAGAATAGCAGCTTAGAGCAAGTCAAAGCTTGGCAGCTTTTGTTTCACTCTGACAGCTGTTTCGTGGCCCTCGTTCCTGGTGCCACCTGTCTGGGAACCTCGTGGTAATGGGGTCACAGAAACAACCTGAATCAGATGATATGTACACAACATTGCAGCGTCTAACAGCGGCATAACGTCCGGAATACAAAAAACCAAACCGGCAATCATTCAACAAAAGCACACATGAAAGATAGGTTAAGCACAAGACCGGGTCAAGTAGCTACCGTCCATCGATCCCGTCATCTTGAAGCTCCTCGTCTCCGCAACACGGCATCTACCTAGACAAGTGGGACCTCAGTCCCCAGACCCAGTCCCGCATCATGCCACTGTCGTCCCATGTCAAGACCCTGAGAGACCCTTTTAAGACGAATTCCTACCGGAACTTGGATCCCGATTGACCTTGTTCTACGAACTGGCCATCACATGGGAGGGGGAGGTTAGAGGCCGGGCCGGATTCGGCTGGAGAGGCCGGCAAGTCGGAAGGGATGCAGGCGAAGAGCATTGAATGTCCGGTAGGGCCGGGCATTGTAATTACTGTATCTCTTCCGTCGAAATATGGACAGAGGCTGCCAAAACGAATGTTGTACATGGATGACCTGACTCAGGGCACAGGGTAATCATCAAGTTAGAAGGCGGGGAAAGAGAGGCGTTTGCTGCTGCATGAGAACTTGGAGCGATTGGCATAGGCATGGACCCAGTGGATGCGGATGTTCCGCTGCCAAAAGTAGTGATGACGCAAGCTGTGTAGCCAGATGTAAGAAGCGACCTGATATCAACAGACTTACCTAGATACTCACCTAGGTAGCAATACAGCTTGATAAAGTTGCACAAGATATTACACATGAGAGTATAGTTCTGAGGGCGTATTAGAGGGACGCGTAAGATGACATGAAGTCGACTGGAACTGCTTATCACTAGCGGGAGGAGAGCCTTTTGTGTCGTTTCTTGTCCGTTTGGCCACGGAGGCTTGATCTATCCGTTTCTGGAGGGGCGCGTGAGCTGATGGGGGACGGGCTCCGGGAGATTCTTGTTGTTGTCAGAGGGCAGTTGATTGGGCGGGCATGGGTGGCGATGTGAGCTGCCAAGGTTGCGTCCACTCTGAGTGGCTGTATGAGTCTATGTCTAATACCACTTGCGACTGACTTGAAGTCTTTCGATCTGTGGAGGCAGTACACTTTGAGATGCGTCTTATGTATTTGCAATCTACTAACGGCAGGACGGGGCATGGCCACGGATACCAACCAAGGAGGCTTGCAACCGAGGTCAAGTAGAGACAGAGAACTCGAGTCAAGAATCAGCAGCGAATACTTGCCCGGTAGCGAATCAGCAGATGCGCGTCCCCCGGTGGCTGAGCGTCCACCGAGAGGCTATGTATCAAGTCTCATGTAGCCAAAAAATGGTCAGCTGGTGAGATCTCATCTGGCCAGACCAAGACCATCTCGGGGTCTGTCCGTTCTAGAACGGAGGGTATGGCAACGTTGGACTTGCGAGACGGAGGAGCGGCGTGATTTTTGGTTGTTTGTCCTTTGTGCTTTTATGCCGGAGAAAAGAGGAGGCAGAGGGAGGGGCCATCCGGCAGATCCGGAGGGTTGAGAGGACCCGAGAGAGCCGGCGTCAAGGGTTAGTCTGGGTGCTAAGGGGCCGGGAGTGAGCATTAGGGACGGGGCTTGGTAGGAGGATGAACTGGAATCAAGGCAGAATTACAGATAGAGATGAAGATAAAGATCAAGTAATAATAATAAAATACAATAAAATACAATAAATGAAAAAGATCATTCTGAATTGTCAGAAAATAGAAGAAGGCAGAGAGAGAGGGCTGAGAGAGGCAAAGCCACAGGTGAGTGCTAGCTGAGGGTCCCTGGAATGTCTCGGTATTGAGAGGAAGCGCATGTGGTTCGGCAATATGGGGTTCGGAGGGGGGGGAGGGGAACTTTCCGACAGCCGAGCCCGCCAATCTGGCTGGGCTGGGGTGTTTTTTCTTTTCTTTTCTTTTTAGTATTATTATTATTTTGTCTTTAATCCAGGCGGAAGGGGAAAGCTGAAGGGTGCGAGACATTTTGGCTGGAATGGGAGCTGAGCTGAGACTATTCACGAGGGGGGACAATGGGCGCTGATGTCTGAGCTGAGGAAGCTGGGCCTCTGGAGGAATGCCATGGTTGTTGGTACAGGTAATTGTCTGCAGGGCCTAGAGCTCTGTGGCTTGAGCGAGGCGTGAGAACCGACCTGCTGGGTACGAGAAGTCTCCTAGAACAGAAAGGAGGACGACGAGAAGTGATGGGTTAGCCTGGCGCCCAGCTGGCGATGGCTGGCTTTTTGGAGTTGCAGACGGAGCTGCGCCCGGAGCTAGTCGCAGATTGATGTTTGTCTCGGCAGGGGTTGGAGGAGTGATTTGTTTACAGCATCTGGCTTCTGCGATTTCTCGGCATTCAAGCAGATGCATAGATTGACGGTATCAGAGTACTACTAGTTGCTGTTCTTGGGCCCTGCTGTGCTCTGCTGGGGGGGCAGTCGTTGACGAAACGAGGCGACGCGGGATTCCAATGCTGTCAGACAGGCATCACCAGGCTTGATCGGAGGAGGCTCCGTTTGATTGACTGGACTTGAAGCGATTGACGCCTTATGTAAGACAGCAACTGATACACAGCGTCCTTCTTGTTGTTGTTATTCATGCGTCCTGAAGAATGTCGCGCACATCCACGAAAGTGCCAGATGCCTCGCGTTGGTTGGACGCCAACTTTTGTGCGACAGGTGCGCATCCCTGCGGTTTTGGGTCCAAGCTTCGACCGGGGTGCCGGGACCGGTGACGTCGATCGCGATGCTTGCTCTCAATGTTCCGTTTTGTCGTTCTTGTTGTTGTTCGTGTTGTTTTTGCCTTAAGGGAGAGGCGGGAAGACGCGGCCTATAATCCCGCCACCCACCCTAAAATATTAAAGCCACCCTAACTAGCTGTATTAGGCTAGTATTCCGCCAGACTTCCTAATATAGAAGGTACCTGTCTCTATATATAAATTACTAGCATTTACAAGTACTCTCTATTTTATATTATTTTTTTTTTAACGTAACCTAACTATAATACCAGGACTTATATAGCGCGCCTACTATAATACTAACACTAATATCTATACTATTATAATAATGCAAATAGCTTTAAATAATAATACTACTGCAGCCACTTTATTAACTTAGGCCTTTTTTATATTATAAGGAAGCCTTTTTCTTAATTTAACACTATATTAAAAAGAAAGGCTATATTATTATTTACTAATATATATTTAACTATAAAAATAGGCAGTCTTATTATTATAATATTACTTATATATACTTAAGAGTGTATAAAAAGAAGGGCTATAGCCTTTAAATAATAAGTATATATAAAATAGGCTGCCTTTTTTTAGTTAAAATAATATAGTAAGATAATAATACCTAGCTTATTAAAGTTATTTAAGGCAAGCATAATTATAACCCTTAGCTTCCTTTTTCTTTTTTTAAGTATTACTGGCTTATATTTAGGCAAGTTGCCTTTATCCTAAAGTCTAATATAATAGGCTTAATAGCAAGAGCTATTAGGTATATATTAAAAGCCTAAAATAATAATTTTATAGCTATAAAATAAGATATTTAAAATATAGCATTATAGGTAATATAGTGTAATTTTAAAAAGTATATAATAACTTAGGCCTTGCTTAAAAAGCTTAATAATTATAGTATTATTTATAAAGAGCAGCTTAATAAGTAGGAGTTTATTAAGTATATCTTTATTATACTAGACTGTAACTTTAAAATATAAAAGGCATTGCCTAATATAATAATAATTAATGCCACTTATAATATAAATTACTATAATATAAAGCTTTTTAAAATAAATAATATCTCTTCCTTTAGCACTATCTTTTTTATTACCTTTACCCTTAGCTATTAAGAAAATGCTGATTTTTTTATATAGGCTTTAGGCAATTTAAAGTTAATATAAACTGCTTATAAGTAGCAGCACTTACTATTAATAAACTTCCTATTACTTAAAGTTATAATTATAAACTTTACTACTATTAAGCGCCTTATTATTAATATAATCTTCTTAATAATATAAAAGCAGCTATATATTTAGTATATTTTAAAAAATATCTTAAAAGCTATTAATAAGTATTAAGTTAGCTAGGATAAACTTAAAAAGCTAAAGCTATAGTATTTTACTATTTAGCAGCTTATAAATAAAAATTTTATACTATTAATATATTAAAAAGCATATAGAAAAATAAAAAATAACTTCCTAATTACCTAGTAATACCTTCTTTATGCTTTAATACTAGCTAGCTTTAGTATAGCCTAGGAGATAATATAAACTATATTTTCTAAGTATATTAGTAAGAGATTATTTCTTTTTCTTTTATAATATATTTACTAATAATTCTAGTGCTTTTATATTATATTTAATAAACTTATATTCCTTTTTATAAGTAGTAGGCAACTATATTTATAAAAAAATACTATAATTATAAGCATTTTATAACTTCCCTAGCTAAAGCCTAGTATTTTAGCACTAAATCCTTCTTTTAATTATATTATAATAATCTGCAGTAGCTATTTTATGCCTTAAAGAAGTAGTAAAAAACAGCACTAGCGCACTTTTAAAAGAAGGCAGCTATAAAGATAATAAAAATATAAAATATATTCTAGTATAGGCTTTTTTTTAATATTATTTATAAAGTATTATAAAGGTTACTAGACTTAGTTTATTAGTAATACCTTAAAGTAAAGGCTATATAACTAAATCCTAAGAAAAATGCCTTATAAAGCTATATAAAGTTATTTATAGCTTAGTATAGGCTGCTATATATATATATAATTAATAATTATCTTATAGTTAAGGTATTTAGTAATAGTTAGTATTATATTATTATTATAAATAATATATTACTAATTATACTTTTTAATAACTAGTGGCTTTTTTTATTTAGTCTTATATATTATCTTTATTTTTTTTACTGCCTTACTGTTTTATTTATTAATAAAAAATAAGAAGATTTAAATCCTTATTATTATATTTATAATCCTTATATTATTTTAAAAAGAAATAAGCTTAAAAATAATTTTATAAAGCTGCTAGCACTAGTGCTAGTAAGGTAATGCTATTAATAATAATAAAATATATAAAGTATTATAAATTAGGCCTTATAATAAGCCTTATAGCTAGCTGGCTTTAATAAAGGCCTAGCTGTAATCCTTTAGTTAATTATATATTAAGAAATTTAATAAGCTTTTAAAAATAATATAATACTATAGAATAATATAAAGATTATATAAATACCTACTTTACTAGCTTTAAATCCATTATATTAAATATTCTAGCGCTTAAAAGCTATAAGGCTTAAGATAAAATGCATTTACTTAGGATTTAAGGTATATAAAGTTCCTGCTAAGGCCTGCAGCTGCCTTAACTATAGCTATAAAAATAGGCTATATTCTTTTAAACCCTTAGGATTATAATTATTAATTTAGAATGCCCTTAGCTTAATTAATAGCAGCAGTAACTAAATTATTCCTTACTAGTAGTATTAGCCTTTAATTTAGTAGCTAAATGCTATATAAAATAGCATAATCCTAGGCTATATATTATAAAATGCATATTAATAAAGGTGTCTAGCTATGCTTTAGCTATATAAGACTATAATTAACCTTATATAACCTAGCTGCAGGCATAATATATATAAAATACCTTTTTTTTATAGTAAATAAAGCTTTAATTTATATATTTTATATTCTTATTGCCTTTATTCTTTATATTTATATAGTGTTAATATATATGCGCTAGTCTTAGTGTTATAGTTAGGTTATGTTAAAAAAAAACTAATATAAGATAGAGGGTACTTATAAATGCTAGTAATTTATATGCAGAGATAGGTACCTTCTATATTAAGAAGTCTAGCGGAATACTAGCCTAATATAGCTAGTTAGGGTGGCTTTAATATTTTAGGGTGGGTGGCGGGATTATAGGCCAGAAGACGCCGCCACTTGCTGTTTCATGTGAGATGGAGTGAGACAAGCTGCCGCCCCGTGCCTGCTGCTCTCGCGTGTCTCTGCTTGCACGTGTCCGAGTGTCTGAGATGGATGGTTATTTGGAGTGGTGGTACTGTAGTGGTAGTAGCAGAAGCAGAAGCAGTAATACGACCTCGCTCCGCATCAGGTTGCAGCGATGCATGTGCTATTTCCGGTGCCTCCAGATTTCGACCACCAAAGCCCTGATATCCATGATGATGGATCTTTCAGTCAATCTGCGCAAAATGCGTCCATCTCGCTCGCTCCCCGTCCTCGATCCATGCCTGCAATCCCATCTGCTCTGAATTACAGTACCATGCCTTATGTAGGTATGTGCCGACCCCGGCCTCCGTGACATCACCAGCCCTATGCTTGCTCCCTTGCCGATTACTGCCCAGACGGTACTAGCACCGCCATTGGCGCGCACCCGCTATAACCTCACCCAATCTTGAGCGCCACAGCGTGCTGAAACCCGCTGCCACCGCCCACTAACTGCCACGCACAGCCCAACTGAACCTGTCACCTCACCCACTGTCATCCACTGTCGACAGCCCCCTTCAGCGCCCCTCAGAGCCCGAGCCCAATCCGCGCGCTCGCATCAGCCCCGGAACTGACTGCCGAGCGAGCCCAAACAGGCAACGGACGAGAGAGCCATCGTGCGGGCTAGGCCTAACCAGGGCAAGGGGCAGAAGTACACAGAAGCCGAGGAAAATCAAGGCCCGGGCAGAGAGAGGGTCGAAGTAGGGGAAAAAGGACATGAGTGATGCATTACGTAGCCGCTGCGCGTTGATTAAAAGACACACGCCCGAATTCCCCTTCTGTCCCCATACCTTATGCTTGTCTCTCGCTTTGCCGCTGCCACCGGACCTGCCGCCTGGGATCGATTATTCCCTCTGCCACAGACTCGATTCGAGGTCGCCGTTTAGCCTCTTGCCCGGCTGGCAGACGGGTGACTAAACCAGCTCCACGGCTCGGGGTTGCTTTTTTTTTCTGGGGTTCCCGATCATCAGGCACTTATTTTTGGCAGTAACGGCGTTTTGCATTTCATCTACTTCATCCTCCTGCTCCTCCCACCTCCTACAAGTTACATACCTACCTACCTACCTACCTTGCAACCACCTTCGCTTCTCGTCTCTTCTCCATTCTTCTGCTTCTTCTTCATCTTCATCTTCTTCTTCCTCCTCCTCCTTACCCTCCACCTCTCACGAACCATTGCCATACCTCTCTCTCTCCCTCTCTCCCCTCTCCACTCCTTCTCTTGGACAAACCTCGACCTCGCCGGTCTTCGCGATTCTCGACTCAATTGCTCGGCCGATTCATGACGTTACCGCGATTCGCCATCGGTCCACCCCGTTGCTTTGCTCGCCTAGCACCAGCATCTCCAGCACATCTCCAGCACAAGCACAAGCACATGCACATCGAGCTGCGTCTCGCCTAGCAGCCTTGCCCGTTTCAGTCCAGTCCGACAAGACAAAGACGAGTCGACAGCCACCAGCAGGCTTTACGCCATTTCCCTGCGACCTTTCCCGATCCTCTGGCCTTCTTCCGGACCAGGTCCCCCAACAAACAATCCAATCCGCAGGTGAGTCCGCCTCTTTGCTTGTGGTTCTGCTTTCCATTGGCTCCTCGACGATTGGCCATGCTGCTGCTGCGCTGGCGCCGCAGTTTTCCTTGCTTCTTCCATCTTGGCCGGCGCCCTTCTTTCTTCTTCACTGCAAGCCACTGCGGGCTCTGCTGCTACTGCAAGCGCTGTGCAGCTCCTCCACCGGCTTCCGGCATCAGTCACCTATCATCCTGCCACTCGCTTGGCCCGACAATCCTTTCTGAGGCGAGTGCCTGAATGCGACTCTGGGCCGTTGGGCGAGATGCCATTGGGAGCTCCCGGGACTCGAGTGGGCTCTGCGCGAGCTGCAGTGGGCGCGAGTGGATGCGGGCTGCCCAACCGTCAACGTCACCACCCATCGACGTGTCCAGCCTGCATTTGTGGATGCCCGTCCAGGCTTCACGCTTCATGCCTCGCTGCTCGATGCTCGACCGAGGCCACTCACGCCCTGCCGCCCTGCTCCATCTGCTCTCCCGGCCAAGGCGTCCTGCGTCGGCGTCTGACTATCTTATCGCCCGCCCTCTCGCCTCACATAATCACGAGGGGGGGTGAGGAGGCGATGGGAGAGGAGAAAATCTCGCCTCGCTGCCCAATTACAACACAATTCAGTCAAAATTTTCTTGTCCTCTCCTCTGCACTCGTTTTGCCTCTCTCGATTCCCACTGCCCGTGTCGACGCCCCTCCTTCTCTCGGTCCTGCCAGCGGTCCAATTCTCATTCGCCCGGCCTTCCTCGACCTGCCCTGGATCTGGACACAAAAAAGCACTCTAGTCCTGCCGGCCTCGAGATCGACGCCTTCTGCCCTCTTTGTCTTGCCGTCAGCTCACCACAGCTACACTGATTTCCCTTGCCTGTCGTTTCCCTTACTCTCAACCGACCCCGCTGCATTAAGCTCATACACAATCCCCTCCCTCCTCTTTTTTGTTTTGTTTTGTGTCATCCCTGCATTGGCTCGAGTTGTGCCTCTCTCTCCTCCTTCCTATTCCCTCTTCCCCCATCCCACCGCTGCATAGCATCAGATTGTGCTCTCGCCCAGTCTGGCCTCCACCAGCGCTGCTTCGGCAGTTGATAATGGCGGTCTGAGTGGCTGTCTGGCTGCCCTTGTTGCCGTGCCGTGGTCGAGCTAGCAGACGAGAGAGAGAGAGAGATCGCGGCGCTTCCCAATTGCTTCCCCACACCCGCCCTCCCCCCTCCCCCAGATTGTCGTCCCCTTTCGAGGAGCAAACATGCCCGCTGGAGCTGCAGTGCAGCCGCCGTCCTCCTCACAACGAACCCGTCGACGGGAGCCAACCCGCACCGATAGCTTCCATGCCGCCGAGAGCCAGCAGACTGATGACAACATGCCAGCATCCCGCGAGTCTGACTCCCGCCATCGCAGACGTCGCCGAAGAGACGACTGGGTCCGCACGAGCAACGACAACATTCTCTATCGCCCGGACGCCCCTGTCGCCGACGCTTCCGCAGCTGCCCTTCCCGTCGCTGCCGCTGACGATTCCATCGACCCCATTGGGCCCCGAAGGACGCGACCTCACTCCATCCACGTCGTCAGCTATCCCTCGGGCTACGTGCCTCGTGAGCTGCGCACCGGAACCTCCCCTCATTCATCGAGAGCCCGTCTCGAATCTGGCGGCAGTCCCGCTCCCAGTGCCCCGAGATCGTCGAGGCCTTCTGCTTCACTGAGTTCCAACGCCAGGACATCGGAGTTACCCGTCCGCCTGGCTCTGACTCGATTTTTCCAATCATTGGCGAGCGACTCTGTGTCCTCAGTCGACGTCCCACAGCACACCGCATTCCCCGTGGGTATCCAGGCCATCCCGGCTACCGAACACCGGTCCGAGTCTCGCCATAGCAGCAGCCGCGCCCATCGGCCCCGTAGCCACCAGTCGCATCGCTCTCAAGAGACCACTTCATCGTCTCGCAGGACCCGTGAGCCAAAGCAGCAGGGCTCATCCACTAGAGACCGTGACGCCGCCAACAAGCGCGAGCGTGATCGCCGAGGAGACAGTCGCGAACAGCAGCGAGAGCGACAACGCCACAGGGCCTCTTCAAGGTCTTCCAGGTCGAGGCAGAGGCATCGCGCCAGCAGCAACAGCCGCAGCCGCCACGCTAGCCGCCACTCCGGCCATCAATCCACTCGCACCCGTCAGTCTTCTCAGCATCGCCGCTACCCCCCAAACAGCATGGCCACCGCCAGAGCCGCGGTGCCCATGAGCACCTATCATCTAGGCCACCACAACAGCTTCACATCCATCCGAAGTTCAAAATCCAGCGTAAATGCCGTCGTGACCGAAGTGACCAAGCCCGTCGCCACAGGCAGCGGAGTGTCCTGCTCCATTCTCCTCGCTGAGCCCAACGTCTTCCTGTCGGGCTTCGACCACAACGGCCATGAGCACCGCGAAGCACGCGCCGGCACTGCCCTGCTCAGAGGCAAGCTGCAACTCACCATTAGCAAAAATGTCAAGATCAAGGCTGTTCAGCTTAAACTGGTTGGCCGCGCGCGGACAGAGTGGCCCGAGGGCATCCCGCCGCTCAAGCAAGACTTGTATGAGGAGGAAACCCTACGGACGCAGGTCCTCACATTCTTCAACGCCCTCAATGAAGGATGGGAGACAGAGTACGGTAACCAGTGCACCTACAAGCTCAAGGGTGGTTCCGCAAACTCTAGCAGCACCATTCTCACCACATCGCCCGGCGTCTCACCATCTCCGTCGTTGCGAAACAATCTAACGGCCAAGGAGCTAAAGAAGCTTTCTCTGCAAAATGTCCAGTCTCGCAGCTTTGGCAAGGGCGAGAGCGGCGTCGTGACACCCACTCAAGCCAAGGGCTTCAAGGTGTTCTACCCGGGCGTCTACGACTACTCCTTTGAGCTTCCCATCGATCATCACCAGCTCGAGACCACCAAGCTGCAGTATGCCTCGGTCAAGTGGGAGCTCCAGGCAAGCATTGACCGCGCCGGCGCCTTCAAGCCCAACCTCCACGGCTCCAAGGAGGTCCCCATCATTCGCCTGCCAGACCAGATGTCTCTCGAAATGTCTGAGCCCATTTCAATCAGCCGCCAGTGGGAAGACCAGCTGCACTACGACATCATGGTTTCGGGCAAGAGCTTCCCTATTGGGTCCAAGATTCCCATTGCCTTCAAGCTCACTCCCTTGGCCAAGGTTCAAGTCCACAAGCTCAAGGTCTACATCACCGAATCCGTCGAGTACTGGACCAGCGACAGGCGAGTGACGAGAAAGGACCCCGGGCGCAAGATTCTGCTCCTCGAAAAGACGGCCGGAAAGGAGCTTGACCCTGCATGGGCCTCGTCCGAGGTCGTTACAATCCGCGGAGGTGAGCTCACGGAAGAGCAGCGCCGTGCTGCTCGTGAAACCGCCGCGAGAAGGCGAGCCCACGAAGCCGCAAGGCGGAAGCAGGCCCCAGAACCGCTACCGGCGCCAGTGGATAATCTCCTCGGCGACTTGGACCTGGGCCTGGAGAACATGTGGGGTTCCACCGAAATCGAGGCCAGTGTGCAGATTCCGACGTGCGAGATGATGGCCAAGAACAAGTCTCTTAGACTCCACCCCGATTGCAGCTGGAAGAATGTCAACGTCTTCCATTGGATCAAGGTAGGCCTCTCTTGCACCGTGACGATATACTTGGTGATGCCATTGCTAACATTCCTCCCCAGGTGGTGATGCGCATCAGTCGTCTTGACGCCGACGACCCTTCAGGCACCAAGCGCCGCCATTTCGAGATCAGCATCGACTCTCCCCTCAGCATTCTCAACTGCCGAGCCACCAGGGCAAACACGTCTCTGCCCGCCTACTCCGGCGAGACCAACCGACCTTCGCCGTATCAAGCAGCCTGCGGCTGCCCCGATTCCGCAACAATTGCCATGGAGACTTCACCGAGCTCCTCGACCGGCACACTCCCAGATCCCGAAGCTCTGGTCGACAGCATGCCGGCACCTCCTCAAGCCGCCCACTTGCATTCTGGCGCTCCAGCGGGAAGTTCAGGGGCAGCAGCAGGCCGACAAACGCCGACAACGTGGGCACCTGAACCGGCTCCTCGGCCCATTCATCTGCTCCGAGCACCTAGCTTTAACCCTCCCGCCTTTGATGACGATACGGCGCCGCCTCCGGCAAGCACCATTGTCTACGATGGAACTCCCGCCGATATCCCTCCAATCATGACACCGCCTCCCCAATACGACGCCGTTGTGGGCACGCCCAGCGTCGATGGACTTGCCGACTACTTTACACGACTGGCCGAGTACGGCCTCGGCGATGACCACGAAGGGTCCGGATCGGACGGCGACGAGTCACCCGCGCGGATCTTGGACCGGAGCGGCCGCGTCAACGTAGCACACCCACGAACTCCTGGCGGGAGGAGGATGCCTAGCCGAAGCATGGAAATTTCCCGACCGTCCATCAATCTCAACATGACTGCTCTTCTCCAACAACGCTCCGGTTATGGACGCGAGGGCGCACAAGTATAATGTTTAACCAAATCATATTCTGTTCATTTCGGATCTATTACTTTTTTTCATTCATATTCTCTTTCGACAACATTTCTTTTGTCGAAGCATGATGTCGACGCACGGATGCATAGACGGGATTTTGGGATACCTCCCGCACTTTCTTTTGTTTTGGATACATGACTTCATGAGGAGATTGGCCATTTGCAACTTGGGTATGGCGTTTTGGCGGCGACATGAAAGACATCTAGGAGATGCATCAAACATACCCCGGGGCTGGGATACGGCGGCTTGAATGTTTGTGTGGACATATGAATATGATTGTTTAGAATTTAGTATTTAGTGTTGATAGTAATGATGCGCCGTTGTGCGCTTGACCTGTTCGATTCTGGTGTGATGAGACTTACAGTATTGTGAACATTTCCTGGTTTTAGCATTTAGAGGAGTTTTTGTGTTTTAGGACGAGGAAGATCCACGTCGCCGACTTGCCGGGATTGAGCACTTGCAGTCTTCTCTCAATGTCGATGAAACTTGGTTCAGTAATGGTCTAACCATGAGAGTATCTGATTGGATGAGGCCGTGTATAAGCAAGCATTCGTGAGGTGTTGATGAGACGAGATAAATCAGGTTGTATATAGGTAAGCTAAGTCAGGCTCTAAGGGCTTATTGTACATGTAGATTGACGATCAGTTGAGACCAACTATATAGTGAATAAGACAAAGGCTCCTCGGCTATGGCTGATGCTGTGGCCGTACAAGTAACGTAGTTGAGTCATATCAATAACAATCGTGAAAGGGCAACATCATGCAGAGGTAGTAAAGTCATATAAATACGCTCCTCTCTCTCTCCTCCACCATCTTTCTCTCCTGACGGCTGGTGAACAAAACGTAAACGCTTGAGAAAAAAAGAGACAACGGGAGAGCAAACTCAAGACACAACCTTTGTCCAATCCCTGCACAGCCCAAAGGCCGTCCGACAAAACTTGCCGTACTCAACCAGCCAGTCAAACTTTTTCCAGGAGCCGAGCGCGTGGTGGACGAGGCGGGCGTCTGGATGGGAGATGGGCTTGGAGCCCATGTTTCCGTATGTTCCGCGGCCGGGACTACAAACCAGACTCAGTCAGCTTTTCCTTTTCCTTTTGTCTCTCTTTCTTTTTCTTTGTTCCCGCTTTTTGAACCGTTGTGGACAGGGAGGCGGCAAGAAGTAAATACCTGAATCCCGTGATGGGCAGAATAAGCACATCCTGGACGAGCTTCGACTTCCCCCCGTCCTTTAACCCCGTAAGTGAATTCCACCTAAAGTCTTGACTCTCCCTTGCAAGCCACTGTATCGTCGCGAGCGTCACCGCCGCAGGACCCGTCCTCGTAAGAGGATCAGCCCTGCTATTTCCATTCCCTACATCATCATCATCATCATCATCATCACCGCCACCCATTGCATTTTCCTTCTCCAGCCGGACCTCGGCGCGCAGGTTGTCCATGAACTGGTCCAGCGCGGGATGGCCGGGGCTGGATGCTAGTGCCCACTGGGTGAGTTGGATGGGATACGTGTAGCCCATGCGCCAGTAAGCGTTTGAGGAGGGATCGGTGTCTGCTTCGATGCCCCAGAGGAGGTTGACGACGGGCTGTCTTGCTGTGGTGGTGGTGGTGGCGTTGGGATGGTGGTCAAGGTGGGAGGAGCCGTGGGTTTTGTTGGTGAGGTCATCGGTCCAGGGGGTGAGATCTGCCGGGCCGATCCAGGTTGCTGGGGGACGGAGGGGTTGCGTGTCGATGTCGGCGTACTTGAGGCGTTGTTAGATAGAGATGCTGCATGGGAAAGATTTGTGAAGAAGAGCACACACACACAGTATGTATGTATGGCATGGACTTTCGGGATAAATCATGAATACGTACAACGCCTCCCAAGTATTTGCACGCCAGAATGCGAAAGATGTCTGCCCTCTCAACGGGCGTAAACATGTTCTTAAAGTCACCCATGAAGTCCTTCTCGTACTCATGCATGAACATGTCTATCCCCTCGTCGTCCCAGAAAAAGTACGCCATTGCGGCAGTATCGGCATGGGGGGACACTGCATGTTCGAGCCACTGCTCGACCCAGGGAACGACCTCGGGCTTCCATGTGTTGACTTTGGAGGATGGACCCGTCTGGTGCATCAGCAGCGGAATGTTGGAGTAGGCGAGGCGTCGGCGTCGTCGCTCGGGGACGGAGAGGGCGGCTTTGGAGGCGAGGAGGGCGGCGTCGAGGATCGTTTTGGGAGGAGGCTGGGTGGGTGGGATCCAGGCTGGGGGAATGTACCAGGCTGTTTTTTTTTTTTGTGGAGGGTTAGTTCACATTGTTTCAAGGTGATCAACAAATTTTCGAGGACTACTGGGTAGGTAGGTATGAGATGGGTTACGTGCGGCTTGTTGTTGTTGTTGATGATGGTGATGTTGATGGTGATGTTGATGGTCCGGCATCCGGGAGCCGGATATGGGAATGCCACCAAATCCGAACGCCACCAAAGTTTAAAGGGGGGGGGAGCAAGGACAGCTTACCTCCTCCGATTCCGTCAAAGGAATGAATGTGTTTCCACACCAGCGGGTGCCGCTCCTCTAATTCTCCGGCGTCAAATGGCTGCGCTGGCTGGTCATGCCGGCCTGGGAGCATCCAGAGGGCCGCCGCCGCAGAGGCCAGCCCGGCGAGGAGCATCAGCCGCAGCCGCCGGCGGAACAGGCTGTGCGGGAGCAGCATCGGATGAATTGGCTTGATGATAGGTACCTAGAGGCCAAGATGGCGCCGACTATGACAAGGAGAAGCAAGTGCTAGAGGTATGGTAGAGGCGCTTGTAGCACCGAGCTGAATGATGTGGTGGAGGTCTACGAGAGTCTCGTTGCATGTGAAGCTTGAAGGACTTGGGGCTGAGGATGATTGTTCCGCTGGAGGGGCGCTGGTTAGGGGTTACGGCCTGTTTCTCTAAGTATGTACTGTAGCTGTTAGGTAGAGACTGGGATTTCTTAGAGCGTGATGCTAGCAGAGACAAGGGGTGGTGCTTTGTCCAAGGCAGACCAGACCAGACCAGACCACAGACGCAGAGAAACCACCCCCACGACGACGATGAGTCCAAAATCCAACACGCGGCAGGTCCTTTGAATAGGATCAGCAGGATATGCCAACCAAAAGGACCATCCGGGGGGTTGAAGGGAAAGGCCAGGGCTTCGATAGATCGTTCTCGGCCCTTTTCCGAATCTGCTGGCGGGAGCCTTGAATCGTGTTAAATCAGAAGAGAATAGGGACCTTTCGATTCTGATTCGAGTCGAGACCTCCCCAGCTGCGGCTGTCATCGCGATGGCTTGGGTGGCGCAGCCGAGACGGGAAGAAAACGGGGCTGCTGAACGGGGAGGGTGAAAGGAGGACGGGAGATGAGGAGACGTAAAGATGATGAGATTGATGGACGATTCACTTTATATGGTGGGAAATGTGCAGAACGGTTTGAAAACGAGGCAGTGTGATGTTGGGCGAGGCAGGAGAGTAGCGGGCATAAGTGAAGAGACAGAAGACGAAGATGGTGAGGCAGGGAGTCGGATGCCAGTACCGGGTACAGCACAAGACAGACCCTGTACGGCTCGAACCGACCGCTTGTCTTCGGCTTCTCTCCCCTCTAACGCGTACCTACTCGCAGCCCATGCCTCTTCGTCGAGTACCCATCAGGTAGTCACACGGCAAAAGTCCACCTGGGGAGAACCACTTGGATACGCGTGTAAGCCGTAGTTGCTCTCCTGCGCTAACACCCCACCACCGCCGTACTCACAGGTAGAGCTGACGTCTCTCAGCCCCCTCCCCCGGCGCAGGACTCTACCGCTACGCAACCTTTGGTCTACTTCCTTTAGCTCCAGATTCAGAAAGCTTGGCAGTGCAGATCCAAAAAGCTTAGCCACTGGCATGTATCGTTGGTCTGGCCCCAATGTACCGGGCACTTTGTCCTGCTAGGCTTGCGTTCTCTCTGACACACCCCCCCTAATAGTTTTGCCTCGATCTCCGTCGGAATTAGCAGTGCAAGCATGCCAGACGCGCAAGCGGGCTGAAATCGTATAAGATGATTGCTGTGAGGGTGCCGAACAGCCGGTAATGCATGGTTGAGGTCGAATGAGATGAGAGCCGATGGAAATCTCCGAGTTGTCTGTCGTACGATCTGGAAGTGGGAGTGGATGAAGGTGAAGACCATCAACACTCTACGTTCTCAAGTCAAAGTAATTACACAGACGCAAGTATATACACATTCAGGATTTATCATGAAATTTTAGATATATTACAAAGGAACTATCAATTACTTCTAGAAGATGTGAAACTCCAGTCGCGGGAGACCTTGGGGGCCTGACCTCGCGAAATCCGTGCTACGCTATTCGATTTGTTGCCCATATTCTCAGCTCCAATTATACAGTTTCCCAGCTCGCAGGCATGGTTATACAAGCGATCGATCTCCCATGCAGCTCCCACACACCCTCCGTAGCATGACCCTCCTCTTTATCAACACCACCAGCATGACACCTACGCAGAAAAACACAATCTGGTGCAGCCTCCGTCCAAGCGACATGATGAACCTCGCATCGTACGAGTGCCACGACGAGCTCCCCAGATGCTCGAATATCGGCGTCTTCACACGCCCGTTAAGGCTGTGCATCGGCCCCGGCAGGATCTTGAGCTCGCCCCGGCCAGGCTGCGGCTGCGCGGCATGCACCACCGAGGCGTAGTGGCAGCCCGTGCTGAACATGACGGTCGCGTACGGCAGCCCCAGCCAGCGCTTGTTGTACGTCTCCAGGTTGCCGACGAGGGCGCCGACAAAGTCGTTGCGCCTGCTGGCCATCATGAAGCCGATGGAGAAGCCTGCCGGATAGGCTTCAGGGGCGACGAAGCTGAAGCGGCGGAGGGGGCCCAGGGCCCGCGTGCACTTGAGGTCCATGTCCAGCACGACGCCGCCGTATTCGTAGAGGAGCATGTAGCGGAGGGCATCGATGCGTTCGACGGGATACGCGTAGTTGTCCCACATGGGCTTGAGGTCGGGGAACTTGTCCTCGACGAACCGCGAGGCCGTCTCGTCGGTCCAGATGTGCGTTTCCCAGCCGGGGTGGATGTCGATGCAGCTCTGCACCGTCTCCTTCCACTCCGTCCTCCAATGCGTGCCATGGCTGCCGAGGGCGATGTGGTGCAGCACGGGGGGCACCAGGTCCTCGTAGGGGGCGGCCGAGAGCTGGTTTATGCTGTAGTTGGCAAAGGTGACGTCGAAGGCATCCCGCTGCTCGGAGAGGATGAAAGTTTCGTGGTCGGCGGCCCAGCTGGCGGGGAGGGCGAGCAGTGTCCCGGAGGTGTAGAGGAGATGGCGGAAGCAGAAGATTGCCGCGAGGGAGCTCAGGATGGCGAGCCAGAGGAGGGTTCGTGCTCTTCGTTCGAGTCGTATGTTGAGGTAGCCGGCGTCGTGGGCTTTGAGCATGATGTCAATGCTAAGGGGGCTAGCGCTGGGATGATGTCCAAGGAGAAAATGAAGGGGATGAATGAGTGAATGTCGAGTGAGTCGAGGACAAAGGAGAAGAGTTGATGGTAAGTATGTAGTTGATTATAAACAAAGCGTTCAAGAAACATGGAACCAAAAGAATGAACGAAAATAAATGGATCTCACTTGCACGTTGATACTCTGCAGACCATGATTTGCCTCAGGATCAACAGATGTCGTGGATAGCCAAGGAGGAGAGTCGTGTCATGTTTTCAAGACATCTCGAGAGCAGCTAGTCTAGGAGCCTATTTCAAACGAACAACTTGCCTCGTCCTTCCATCCCATCACTCACTCGGACCATCTCGTACCTCCGGCCTGCTCTGGCATAGCCCCCCCCAGTCCCGCCCATTCACGACTCTCCAGTAGCGCCTCATTGGATACAAATGCGCGGCTTGCAAGTGAAGGCCAGAGAGAGATAAGTACAACAAGGGGCTTTGCCTCCACAGCCCAGGGAGCTCAAGTACGAACGAGCTGGCGTGGATCGCTAACCGTACCCGGGATTACGACTATGGCTGCAGAAAACGAAAGCCCCTTGGAGCACTCACCCCTTACCCGCTGCTTCTGGCCGGTGCCATACCGGGGCTGCATACCTGTAGGGTGATGAGCCAGATCAAGAGGGCCGAACACCAGAGACATCGAACCATTGTGTCAGTTTTCGTCTGGTGCTTACAGTCCAGGATGAAGTCTCATCTTTCATATACAGCCTGCACACTTCTCTCCTACTAGATCAATAATATAGCGCTTCTACGGATCGAGAATCTATTTACGAGTACATGGAGCCCCGGCTTCGACCGCTAAGGCTGACCGACAGCAGCCCTGCGATAATGGGGATAGTCTAGAAGGGAAAGCCATTGGCGTCCTTCCTCTGCCAAGGGATGTCCTCAATACATTCACTCCTGGGGACTGGCTCGTCAGAGTGACATGATGGGAGTCTGCGCTAATCGCTATGGCTTGACTCGTACCGTCAGCAGCTTAATTTGTGCTTTTCCTGAAGAAAATGGGCTTCCTAATGGAAGGAAGCACGGAGCAGCTAAAGCCGACTATTCAGTTGTTCTCGCTAAGATGCAAGGGTTGGTAAACAAGCCTTTTAGACCCCAAAGTCTCCGTATAATGCACGGCTCGGCCGCCGAACCTCGTCCGTCAAAAGTTCGTCCGTTTCTCCCAACGGCAACGCCACCAAGCAGTTCCAGTCCCCTTACAGGCGGCAGCATGATACGTGCCGGCCGGGACGCATTGCCATCAATCTCTCTTGTCAATCTTCTTTGTAAGGTACCATCATTGCCGGATGGAGGTGCGTTGGGTTCGGCACTTCGGCATGGGGAATCTGTGGCTTGTTCTTGGCCCAGAGATGCTGGCCTTTGGCTTGGGATGATGCCAGGCAAATGCTACCTACCTAGGTATTGACAGATCGTGACTATGATACTTACACTATAGTCCAAGTGGTAATAGTTGCGTGCACGTACTCGTAGGCCATTGACGAGGTATGCGTCTAGACCCTGGATATTTTTTCCTCTTTGGCCATGTGAAAGCCATTGTCTCTGAGTTGATAAGGGGGGCTGTGCGTAGTATAGTCGCATCCAGCACGCCTGTTCCCCTGCAGCCACGAGTAAGTTGGTCAAAATTGGCATCTCGGGAATCTCGACGCGGCTGTCGAAACTCGCCAAGTCTTGTCGTATTATTTGGCGTATTACTATATCAGTAACGAGTCCAAAGGGCCAAGTACCCGAAGCCCAATTCTTCAACCTGTAAGATCGTCAGGGTTTGTCGCCTCGACAGGGATCACAGGCGGGTCTTTTTCGTGTCAAACTCATGCAACAGGCGTGGCTAATAATCGAGCGGTGCCCTTGTTTTGACTGCAGACAAACTCGTGCTTCTATGTCGTACTAAATACCTTTGGGTATTCTTGCTTTGGATCCTCGAGGCAGAAGAAGTCAAAGTACGTACATGCATACAAAAAAGCTGAATGCGGTTGCGGCACACACCCCCCCCTTGGGACGAAACCGTCGAATTAGCATGCAGTGAAATCCAACCCTTGCCGTTGCAAATCACCAGCCTCACAATTGGACCCAGAAGAGCTGCCAAGCCAAAGGGCCCGGTTCAAGCCCTCTTTTTGTGGCGTCGTTCCAGAGCGAATGACCTCAGCGAGGCTGTGCTGCTGTTTCCGGGGAAGTCTCCCAATGCCACGTCGGTGTTGCGTGTGTGAGTGTGTGTACAGTATTAGGTGTGTGTGTGTCTCTCTTGGGCACCGGTTTTCTGTTACTCATCAAGCTTACGCAGGACTTGGCAGATCAGACAACTGGTCGTCTCAGAAGCGTTGACGTTTGTCAACTCACTCACAGTCCCGCCCTGACGCGCGGTCCAAGTTGCGTCTCTCTCGGGTTACACCTCTCTCTCTCTCCTATCTCTCTCTCTCTCTTGTCTCTCTTATACTACTACTAGCAAGGGGCTAGGCAGATGGCACGCAAGCTCCGCGATTCCAAAGCCTTCAGGGCCTGCCATTGGCCCGTGGCCACGCGCAGTCGACGCCGCGCCCTGTTCCGGGCGGCCATTGCGGCCCTCGTCTTCCCAATCCTTCTGCAGTGGTTCCTGGCGTACATTGTTGGCAGCGATGCACGGCTTCTGCCGCCGGAGCTGCTCCGCGCAAAGAACCTGCTTGTCGTGACGGCGCATCCCGACGATGAGTGTCTCTTCTTTTCGCCCACCATCTTGGGCATCCTCGATCGGAACCGTGCCGTCAATGGCGGTTTGCTAGTCATGTCGACTGGTTAGTTGTTGTTTTCCCTTCTCTTACTTGCTTTTTGTTCTTTTTTCTCTCATTGTCTTCTCGTGGCTTCGAGTATTCCCCCCCGCGTTGAGTGTAAGAGAGGCTGTGCTGAGACAATCATGTCGCCTATCTTCGCCGGCTACCAGGAAACAACTACGGCAAAGGCGATACGCGCAAAGAAGAGCTCAAGGGGTCGTGTCAGGCGCTTGGCATCAACCCATCAAGATGCGAGGCCTTCAACCATCCTAGACTGCAAGATAATCCCAAGGTCTGGTGGGATACGGCTTTGATCCACTCCATCATTCGGGAGTATGTCAAGAGATGGGACGTTGACGCTGTAAGCTGACCCAAGCAATGTACTATAACTTCATGACTATGCATACTGATGAACATGTCAACCCGAATAGATCATCACCTTTGATGAGGGCGGTGTGTCCGGTCACATTAACCACCGAGCTGTCAGCGCAGCCGTGAGGTAAGCCATATCAGTGTCTTGTGTTGTGCATCTCAGAGCAACACAATGCCTCTCCTGGTCCATCCCGATTACTCACGGTCCCTCTATAGCGAATACGTCACGAGCACCAAAGACGCTCCCCCAGCATACAAACTCGTCACCACCGGAGTCCTCAGAAAGTACACGTTCCTCTTTGACCTGCCACTGACGGCACTGTCCTTCTTCTGGCGCATCGTATCCGCGGCTTTTTACCCCTCCGTCAAGGCGGACTCAGATGTCACATCAAAGGCTCTGCTGGCCAACTCGTTGCATCGTTATGCCCTGACGCGCGCCGCTTTTGCGAGCCACAGCAGCCAGTACTCGTGGGACCGCCACTTGTACATGATTCTGAGCCGATATGTGTGGTTTAACGATCTGAGGAGGATACCCGCGGCATCGTCATGATAGTGCCAATAGCAGTAGCGATTTCCCAGTTAGACATTAAGTAGATATTTCTCAGTCGGATCTGATCAGTCAAGAGACGGCTTTCCAAGATTGACTCGAAAGCTTGGTCTCTCGTCCGCGTACATTCATAACAGCCTTGTCTCTCCTCCTGCATCCATCACAGCCTTTCCTCTGTGGCGCAATTGGCTAGCGCGTCTGACTGTTAATCAGGAGGTTGGAAGTTCGAGCCTTCCCGGAGGAGACATTAGCTGTTCAACTAGCTGTTTCTCTTTTTGGCCCCTGTTATTTATTTTTCTTACCTGTCGTTGAAGTATCAAGTTGACAGGGCTGAGACAGTTTCTGGAACTCTAAGGATGGCAACAAGTTGAGAGGTGTGGCGTTGTCGGTCTTTGGCTTGGCAGCAGTTTGGGGGTAATTCTCATGGCGGTGCAATATCAACTGATGAAAACGTGAGATCAATAGTGCAACCCTGGTCACAACAGACACTACTGAGGAAGATCCTTGACCTTGCTCTCAGGACTATGTCATCTCAATTAGACACACAGCTGAGCCCTCCAATGCTTCAATTGTCGGCACTAGTATGCCGAAGAACATCAGAGCAGTTCGTAGTCCCACCTCGTCAAGTCCAAGTGAATCCCCCATCAAGTATGCCAGGGGATGCATGAGCCACGGGGCTAAAAGCTCCTGCCTCGAGCCAGCATACTAGTAAAGAACGGCTCCAGACGAAAAAGGGCTGAATCTCTGAGCCAGGGGTCTCATTGCAGCTAACGAAATACGACGTATAAGCTTCAAAGGAAGGGTTGTGGATCTAGTGTCAGCCCAGCGATCCTGGTCTGTTCCCATCACATGTTACTGTTGTGTTTTCTGTTCCTGGGGCTAGTAATCCTTTTCAGAGGCTTCATGTATGACACGAGAGTCTAGAACTACCTTTTGCCATTGAGAGTAAGCTACACAATACTAAACCCAACATCGGCTACGGCACACCTCATCTGCCATACCTGGGGCAACTCGTTCGGAACTGACGAAGCACCAATATGCACGTTTCCCTGAATGGTAAAAGCACGCTGCTTACTGCAGTTTGCTTCTAGGCAGGAACATATGCAATTAGCTTCGAAGATTGCTTCTCAAAACACTCAAGCTGCTGCTCCAGTGTTCTAGCTCTTAACAAGAAGCTGAGCAATGAGGCTGACTATTTGGCCGGAGTGGAGATTGGAGAACGCCTTGGGCTGAGATTGTTACTGGAAATGACCACCGATATTGATTAGCTGTTGGCAGGCCAGTCATTAGTGCTCGGCTGTTCAAAAGGGGTGTCTAGCTATCAAGTTGTAAACAAAACGGCCAGACTTCTTGCCATTTGATAACAGTAACATGTGATGATTCCCTAAGGATATAGCTAATGAGGCACTTTTGTAAATACGAGTGTAAGTAGAAAATCTAGACCTTCGGCACTATTACGACTCAGCCACTTCCATCAAGGTCCCAAGCGTCCCGGGATATGGTGAACTGGAAGTAACACAATGACCCAAGTCTGATGACACCAGAACAAGTAATCTGAAGAGTTGCTTGGATGGATGGCATCGCCCCATTCACTGGAATATCAGTGAAGGCCATATATAAAACGATAAAAAAGCAGGCTCTAAGAATGGCTATTACGTGTGTTCTTTCGCTGTTAAGTGGTAGCAGCTAGAATAGCCTCTACTCTCAATAACTGTGCTTTTCATGAGAGGTGATCCATCTGAACGAACGCGGGGTTCAACAGGAGATCTTTAAATCATCGTCGACGAACAAGGTGTTTGTCTTGCTGAAAACATACATTTTATGCAAATGTGAAGACGTGAAGTACAGAAATCTGGAGCCAATTCGTTTTAACACGATCCAGCTACGCCGGTGAAGACGTTTCTTGTACATTATCACATGCTCGAGGATTGTAACAGAACATGCCGCCAAGGTGCAAGAGGCCGGACTGACTCTTGGTAAAGTCCTGAAAGCTGAATTGCCCTTCTTTCTATGAGAAAGTGAGCTAAAGAGTGACTGTTATCTTAAGAATAGGGAGTGAGAGAGACCGATTATTCTCTGCATCACGTTACGTAGGAAAACATCGACTTTGCCTCATTTGCTGGCAAGACCAAAGTGGTTCCTCAGCACTTTAGACAGCTAGAACAAGTCGGATAAGGGCACAAGCCCATTGTAAACTATCAAAGCCAAATGCTCCTGTCATTTGGAAAACTGATAGGTGGTGATATGCGCGTTCAACGAAGTTTCAGGTCCCAGACTTGCCATCACGTAGCATGTCATGACAACTGCCTACCCAAAGATGTAAATCTGTCAGTAAGCTAATGAATATAACCTGGTATTCTCACAATGTGGGAGGTCTAGAGAGGAATTCAAAGAGATAATGCCCAGTATCAATTGCTCCGATAGCAATGATCAATGATTATAGCAGAAAAAGTCTTACCATCTAGACAACATGACAGGATAGAGACGGTATAATAGGGTATCTTTCCTTTTATGGAGGCGTTCAAGCGCTGTGAATTGCACCGCCACAGCTGTGCTACCTAAGGTACTAGTGCAGCCACATAGCGGGGTCACTGTGGCTTGCTATCGTGCGATAAGAGTTGCTCAATGGATTTTTTTTTCTAGAGGGGCTCAAAAGTTGGTGTCGCAAAAGATTCGCAGTCCAACACCTGTGATCCCAGTGAGTGGATGCGCGCAAACATTGACTGACGATATCTTGCATCTGACCTGGTTTGAAGATTCAATAGGTGATCCAGCGAACTACTCACATCACAATCAACATGGCGAAGCGCACAGCAGACGATCGCGAGGATGCGCCGCTCAAGGGCGGCGAGCGTCCCGAGCAGATGGACGTGGACATGGACAAGGACATGGGCGAGTTTGAGGACGAGTTCGAGGACGAATTCGAGAGCGAAGACGAGATCATCGAGGCTGGCGTCGATGGGCGGCCAGACGCCGAGAGAGAGGCCGAGGAGAAAGAACGTGAGTGTCCAGCTGGTCGCATCACTCGCAAGGGCAATTCACAGTTTGGGAGAAATCCATGTCACTGACCGAAACACACTTCAACAGATGCCATGGAGGTCGACCAGGGCACCTTCATCGTCGGACGAAGCAAGCTAGAGCCCGGCCAGACGCTGGCGCCCGACCTGACGACGTACGAAATGCTGCACGGCCTCAACACGCCCTGGCCGTGCCTGTCCTTCGACATCGTCAAGGACTCCCTCGGCGACAACCGCAAGGCCTACCCGCACACCATGTACACCGTGACCGGCACGCAGGCCGAGTCGGCCAAGGCGCACGAGAACGAGCTGCTGGTCCTCAAGTTCAGCGGCCTGAGCAAGATGGACCGCGCCGGCGGCGGCGGCGACGAGTCTGATTCCGACGACGACGACGACGAGGACTCGGACCCCATCCTCGAGAGCAAGTCGATCCCGCTCAACTCGTGCACGAACCGCATCCGCTCGCACCAGATCCCCAACCAGGACCCCTCGCGCCCGCCGACGACGCTGACGGCCACAATGACCGAGTCGGCCAACGTCTTCATTCACGACGTCACCCCGCACCTCGCCTCCTTCGACGTCCCCGGCACCGTCATCACCGCGCAGCAGAACAAGCCAATCTCCACCATCCGGGCGCACAAGGCCGAGGGCTACGCCGTCGACTGGTCGCCCCTCGTCCCCGGCGGCAAGCTGCTGACCGGCGACAACGACGGCCTCATCTACCTCACCTCGCGCACCGACGGCGGCGGCTGGGTCACCGACAGCCGGCCCTTCCAGGGCCACGCCAGCAGCGTCGAGGAGATCCAGTGGTCGCCCTCGGAGCAGTCCGTCTTCGCCTCCGCCTCCAGCGACGGCACCATCCGCATCTGGGACGTCCGCTCAAAGTCCCGCAAGCCCGCCATCACCGTCCAGGTCTCCGACTACGACGTCAACGTCATGTCCTGGTCCCGCCACCAGACCAACCTGCTCGCCTCCGGCGCCGACGACGGCACCTGGGCCGTCTGGGACCTGCGCCAGTGGAAGGCCAACGCCAACAAGCCCCAGCCCCTGGCCAGCTTCAACTACCACAAGGAGCAGATCTGCAGCATCGAGTGGCACCCGACCGACGACTCCATCGTCGCCCTGGCCGCCGGCGACAACACCGTCACCCTCTGGGATCTCGCCGTCGAGCTGGATGACGAGGAGAGCAAGGACACGGCCGGCGTCAAGGACGTGCCGCCGCAGCTGCTCTTCGTCCACTACCTCAAGGACGTCAGGGAGGTGCACTGGCACCCCCAGATTCCCGGCAGCTTGATTGCCACGGGCGAGGAGTTTAGCGTGTTCAGGACGATTAGTGTTTAGAGATGGGAACGGAGAGAATGGGAAAAAAGGGGGGGGAAAGGGGAACTCAAAGAAGATTTCCATGGGCCTTGTTTCTTGTATATACCCGTTATGACTATGGGCATGCTTCGCTGATATAGAGAGTTTGGAGTGTGCAATAGATGGATGATTCACGACATGCTAGGTGGCTTTGATGCCTCATGCGCACGATGAAGGGGAACCAAAGCAGGCAAAGAATTTGACTGGAGGACAGAGGCGAAGGATGTTGAAAGAAAAAACTAGGGATTCAATATTCTCATTACTCTACTAGGTCACTTGAGATCCTTCTCTGTGTGCGCCGGCGGAGAATCTGACCCTGTCCCGTCATGATCGCCCACCGGCACTCCCACTGTCGGAATGATGCCCTCGTCGCCTGCGCTTCGAACGGGCGGCCCGGTAAAGTTCTTGCGCGCATACGCAAAGTACCAGATAAACGCAATCGCCCCAAAGCCAGCAAACACCACCGAGGCGTAGTTCATCGTCGTGGCATCAACCGGCAGCGAGACCGGCATGCAGAATATCACAACGGAGAAGACGATCCAGACGATGCAGATGCAGTTGATAATGGGGCCCATGACTTTGCCGAGAGGGTAAGGCGAGTGCTGCACTGCTCGACGGCGCTGGACAAGGTTGACGAGGACGGGAACACCGTAGGAGGTTGAGAGACAGATGGTGGCGACACCGGTGAACGAGTTGAAGGCGGCGGAGGAGCCGAAATAGATGCACCCCAGGAGGCAATCAACCACCGTAGACAGGACGAGAGCCCAGATGGGCATGTCCAATGACTTGTTCACCTTGCGCCACAGCTTGTAGCCAGGAATAGCACCATCTCGCGCAAAGGCGTAGGTGCATCGCGAGGCAGCTGTAAGAGCTCCAATACCCGCAAACATCAGGATCCCAAGGATCAAGAACAGCAGGCCAAAGCCACCAGCTGAGGATCCAGTGACAATCTTGAAGAGCAAGCCGATTGGTTGAGAGTTTGCGACGGTGAGCAGGGTCTGCACATCGGGGAGGACGAAGAGGAGCGGGATGAGGTAGATGACGCCAGTGATGCCTGCGGCAACGACGGAGAGGACAATAGCCTTGGGGACTTCGCGCTCGGGGTTCTGCACTTCCTCGCACATGGCGGCAACCATGCCATAGCCGGTCAGTGTATAGGCGGCTGTAGTTAAGAAAGGCCCAGCGTCAGTACGAACAATTTGACTTCAGAACAAAAGCAAGGAACCGCAATGGGAGCGTACCTTGAAGGAGTCCAACAAAAAAGGACCACCCAGTTGGCCATCCACTGCCCGAGGCGTCATAATGGGCAAATACAAAGTCTCCGGAACGTCGGTGGTCGGCCATTGTGAGCAGCGTGATCATGATGATGATGACACTTGCAGCAGTCCAGTAGATGCATATCTTGTTGATGAGGTCCAGGTAGCGCGAGCCAAAGGCATTGACCAGAGCGCATACAAGCATGACGGCCCAGAAGCACAGGACGGTCTGCCACGTATTCGCCACGAAGTCTTCGTTAAAGATAGTGATTGCGCTTAGAATCAGCTGCGCGCCGGAGAAGTTGATGCTCAGGGTAACCGTCCAGTTGCCGACGAGTGTGAGCCATCCGTCCACGAAGCTGACCAGCGGCGCCCACTCGCGTGAACTTAGCATTGCGGACCAGTAGTAGACGCCGCCCGCAGTCGGGAAGACGGCGCAGATTTCGGCGAGAGACGCAGCAATGCAGACAGAGATGAGCGAGACCAGAACCCATCCCCAAAGAACGGTGACGGATTGGCCATTGGTCAGTGTAATGTATAGAGTGGTGCTGAGGCCGAATGGGACGGCCATGATGGCAAAGGAGAGGCCAAGGATGGACATCATGGAGAGATGACGAGGCAATTCGGCCTTGTAGCCGAGAGAGGCGAGGGCTTGGTCGGCCGTTTGGGCGCCGCTGCCCACGGAGGAGCGACGACGACGAGAATCCATGGCCGTTTGAAGCTCTCGCCGGTCTGGTTCTTCAAAGCTCGCGATTCGATCGGGTGTTGTCGATGACACGACGCTTCTAGTGTGCTTGCCTCGTCGCCAATACCTTGTCAATGTCGTGTCACGACAGCTCGAGGCATATGTATAGAGACGGGAATCAAGCGTGCCGCCCAGAATGGCGGAAAAGAAATAAAGAAGTAGGGGGTTGCGAAAGAAAAGAGAAGCAGCTGAAGATGGACAAGGCGCAGATAAGAGAGCCTTACCCGTTGTTCAATCGCTATCTGCGCCCCCATGCTGCAGTGGTTCGTCCGATGACGATGACCGAGGCTCTCCCTGCCTCCAGGCTTCATGCGCCCTCCGCACTTGCGTCGCTGTCGCGTGCTGGCTCGGTGCTTAGTTTGGACCCTAGTCGCGGCTTCATGCTCGAACAAGGAACAGCGGCGCCGATTCTGCAGCAGGCATTCGCTGGCCTGATGATAAGCTTGTTTGCCCTGCTGCTCGGTGGCGCCCAAAGCATGTCAGCCATGTCGTGTCTCAGATCCCGCACATGGGAGCATGTCTCGTCTTGGCGATCTCGGATTGTACTTGAAGACAGTTCCATATCTGGTCCGTACGTATTCGATGGCTTTCGCAGCATAACCGTCGTCAGAACGGGCTGAAGCCAGGCGATGGTCCGATGGCACCAGGAGATATGATAAGGATGCGGAAATCGGACTGCGCGAGTCAAGCTTCGTCAATCGATCAGGGATCAGGTCGGCCGTGCAACATTCCAGCCAATCCTCAGCGCCCGCCACCGGCGAATCTGCGGGGAGCCCGCGGGGGGGCAAGTGCTGGAGCATGGAGATAAGCGTGCTAGGGAGCAGAGTTGGAGACAAAACGTTGGTTGCAGAGGAATATTGACGCCTTGACGCCCTTTGTTCGACTCGTCTCGCTGAGCAGAATCACAGGCCTCACACACGTCCCACATGGCGCACGATAACGGCGGCCTTCCCCAGATTCGGAGCAGCACTAGAGGGTTGCTGTTATGTAAACGGTGCGGAGGCGATGCTGCAGACAGCAATGACGTGAATGTTGGATTGTTGGAGCAACACGATGTTCAGTTGTTGAAGGTGGTGAAAGAGTCAAGATAGGTAGGTAGTCATGATTGTTCACTGGTTCAATGCTTCAGGTTACCTTCTGTATTGACTGGGGTTTGCGGCAGTAGCTGACTAAATCCAGAGCAACACGATCCAGAGAAGGCACGTTCAACAGCTGCAGTTGCTTGTCTGTTCACCAGCTGTACCGCTTACATCATCCGACACTGTTTATCGTGCACCTCCTCCTCTTCTCTAACGACTCAACTCATTTCTGTCTATCCGTCACCAAACCTGTCTCGTTTCCATCTCATCAGCCTCTCTTCTAGCCGCAACTGGTTCACGACTTCTCACCATTGACTGCGTGTCCGCTCTCTCCATTGACCTTCTTGTCCGACTCCGGCGCCGGCGCCGCAAGCTCCCGCGAGAGCATCAACATTTCTCCCATGGCCGCCAGCGCCGCGACATCCGCTGCCTGAATGACAAAGGACATGCGCTTCACGGCCTCCTTGAATGACTCCGGAGTGCCAAAAGGAGGAGTGGTGAAAGCAAAGCCGCCGTAGGGCTTGTCGTGCTTGTCCATGATGTCAAAGAACTTTTGCCTGGCTGCCAGCCATTCGGGCTCGGTGCCGCCTCTGCCCATGTTGCTGGGCAGATTCATCTCTACGCGAAGGTCGAGTGTCCCAAGCCATACGATGTCGATGTCGGGCACTTCGGTGAGGATGGCGTCGAGGTTGTTGATTCCTTCACAACGGGATCGCGTTAGCTACAGGCAGATCTCGAGCGTGACGGAATGGCAGCTTACCGGCTAGCGATTCAATCTGAATCATGATCGCGGCCTGGTGGTTCATTGCCTCAAATATATCCCTGCCCTTCTCGAATGGCGCGTCTGTGACGCCTCGCATGAGCCGGAAAGGAGGGGCCGAGCGGCTGCCGCCCTGCTTGGACCCGAATTTGGCTGCCGATACCACGTGCTTGGCTTGCTCGACTGTTTCAACCTTTTCACGATGTCAGCTCTACTATTCCGCCAGCTGTCCCCGTTGCGAGATGGACTTTAACATACTTGAGGAATGATGATACTGGCACCAGCATCCAGCGCATATCCAATGGCCGCATGGTCGTGCCCTGGTACTCTTACGAAGGGAATCGTCCTTCCCTGGCTCATGAAAATGGCCTCGTGAACAATGGTCGTCATCGTCTCGACGTTCATGCTGCTGTGCTCCCAATCGACCCAAACAGCGTCAAAACCAATGGGTGCCAACCAGCGCGTGACCTTTACGGATCCAAGGCCGCCATAGTATCCCAGCAACGGGGGGATCTTCTTCTTGTGAGCATCACGGATAGCCTGGCGGGCGAGGTGAGGTTGGAAAAGAGAGGGCGCAGCATAGGCGGCCATGCCTTGAGAGGAAGCCATGGTGAGTCTTGGATGGACGTTCACGAGTGGGCTGGACTGAAGCTGTTTGGCGATATGCTACTGTGAGCTTCTGGAGCTGAAGGTGGTGAAGAGGCCGGTACTGATCGGATTTGACTGGACAGCTCGCGGACGAGAGGCCGTCGCTTCTCTTATACCTGCCGCATTGTCACCTCTCATTCATCTCGAGTCGGCCACCATGCTTCTACTAAGGCTGACGCCCGTGAGCATAACTACCTAGAGGAGGTCAGCTAACGCTATCATGGTAAGCTACCGCCAGTTGATAACACCCCCCAATAATCTTCCATGACGGCCTGTGGCTTACAATACTGTGGTTATTTTTAGGAAAGAGCATGACCAGATCGAGGATTCTATTCAAACAGTAGATGCGAGTTATTTGTCACCTAATGTGATTGCATGCCTCTCCTGACGGCTTACTGTGGCCGCGAATTTTCTCCTATTTCACAACAATGTAAGGTACTCAAGGTTTCGCCAAGCCCGTTGGCCACACAAATGCTACATACTCGCGGGTTCAGCGGAGAGGGCACAGTCTAACCAGCGACCAGTGTGAGTGCGACGTGGATGGACTCATACACTTACGCCCTCGATCGGATACGCCACAGTCTCCTTGCTCGGCGGCTATAGTCGACGCCTCCACCCGAGGCAGGTAGTGAGAGCAGCTATGCTAAACACTTGTCCTCCTATTGCGATACGCGTTTATAGGTATGCTTGTGTGGTTTGTCAAGCACACATGGATCGTCCGAAGCCCATTACTTGCTAGTCCGTCCCTGCGTGCCTGGCTAGCTGTACGTTTTCTCATCGTATGGTGCACCGCAATTTCTCCCACCTCGAAAACCCTGCTTCATTTGCGGTCAGTTACAACAGCACGAGTCGCCCATCAGTTGGCCGTTGGCGCACGTTGACACGTCGATCGCAGTATAAACTGCCACTCGCACTCGCTTGTCGAACAGCGATTGCTGATTTGCAGTCAGGCGAGATCCAGGGCGTCGGGAATAGTCTGAGCAATGCTGTTCGGCCATCGAATCCGAGAAATCGGACGTCCGTGGAGATTCTTCATACTTGTCAGGTCACTATAGCGTGTCTCACGTTGGACCACCGGCAAAGGGCCTATGACTAGCGCAGCCGCAAGATGCTGTCGGTCTCACTGGTGCCGGACTATTCAGCTCGTTTCCCTTTGCGATAGGGCTGAGGCGGGGCGAATGGATGCCAAATATCCCTTCACTACCTTACTCAAATACTCCGGGTGCTTGGCATGACGACTGGTTCAAGGACAGTGATGCCGGTATAGCATAGCTGCCACATCGGGTCGGGATTTTACCCACGTTAGGAGCATCTTTATCATCAGCACCGTCATCCTAGTACTAGTATGCACGAATCCTTTACGTGGGGGAACACGTAGATGCAAGTTGAGAGACCGCTTAAAAGGGCCTTTGTCATACACTAATCGTCTGTCAGAGCTAAGCGTCTCACAATCACATCCGCGGACATCGACCACATTTTGACCTCCAGACACCGGGGGTTTCCTAGCATAAGGTGCATAGGGGATCGTGTTCATGCCGTGGATCTTGATGATTAGGCTATGCGGACCGGCTCTCTCAGCTCCACTCACCCGAGGCAAGCTCGGCGTTGGAGGGACGAATCTTGTCTCGTCCATATGGCTATTGATGCCCGAAAGCATCTTGTACCGAACCAGAGTTGAATGGGACCTTTAGGGGATAGTGAGGCACAGATTCCGCGGTTCCATTATGCGATGCCTCGGCTCTGAAAAAAATGTTCGGTATCGTCTGGTGCTTTTGGCCGATTTGCAATGCCCCTGAGAGCCGTGTCTCGCTCATTCACCTACACTGTCAGCACCGTCCAAACTCTATCGTTCTCAACTCAGCCTCAGACTGCCGGTACCCTTGAGCCCGTCAAGCCTCGTGGAGCCACTGTACAGATTCCAGCCCCGCGGTGTTACTCTGTAGCATGTCGTTCTTCTTATTCTCCTTTACTGCACGCGGCTGAGACGGCAAGGGGACGTATCTAAGGTTGTCTACTTGGCAGTAGTTGAGGTGGAATCACGGCGACTGTTTGGTAAGTACTAGCATATGTAGTTATGGTAGGTGGACTGCTGACAGAACTTCGTTGAACGTGTACATAATCTTGGTAGCTAACTATACAGATGGAATCACCAGGAGCTCGAGACGAGATGTACCGAGATATATATGCTTCAACGTAATGCTACGGCAAGGCACTCAAATTATCTGTTTGAGCGATGCACGTGCGTAGCAGAGGTATGGTTCGGGATCCTGCACTATGCCGTGAACGATCCTATTTAGTCACAGAAGATGTCGGACACGACCATTGTCCAATTCGATTCGAAAGCAGTCCATGCCTTATTCGTATTCTATCTGGCATGTGAGAGGCCTTAGAAAGGAGTCGATCATACGCGTATATTATTCGTAGAAACATCGCTTGCATAAGGTGGCGCTCTAGATGTCATCCGAAAGGTGACAGCCCGGCATGTTTGCCGTGTGAGAGAGAACGCTTCTCCTTACTCGCCCTGTCCACTCAAAGCATTTGCAAGCATCCAATGCTCCCCCTTCAACCCTAGCCAAGGTTTCTTTCTCTTGTCGCTAGCATCGTTTGTCCTCTCTATTGCTCGGCGAGTCCGCAGATAGTTCGCTGAATAAGTTACGGAATACCTGGCAGCATTATACTTCTGAAGACACATTAAGCACCTCATAGTACTACGTTCGAAACCATGAGATGTTGGGACAGAGGAGAGCTCGGCCTACCAACTAGTGCTTATTCATCATACCACAGCATGCCCTCACCTTAGGTATGAGAAAAGGTCCAACACTGTAGCGATAGAGAAGCATTTCCGTAAAAGGGAAATTTCCCGTTTGGTGCATTCTCAAGCCGCAGAACACACGAATGGCCCGAGAGCCGGCGGTAGAAAAAGGGAAAAGGCACACATGGTTCATATGCTACAAGTATGTGGCTACGTATATGTGAGATGTCCGGACTCCGGGGTGTGTGTGTGTGGGTGTGTGCTGATACATACATAGGTATTATGCTAAGGTAGGCAGTTCGTTCTGCGACTTGATCGGCTGGGCGGGAATTGTGCTTATTCCGGGAGCCACTCATTTCCAGATTCTCGGGTTGCGTGGGCTTTCAGCGGGATCCCGAGCATTTTCGGGGAGGGGCGGACATTGCATGGAGTCTTCCCACTGGGTTTTGTTTTGGGCAACTGTCCGTACCTACTATATGGACGTGGATAAAGTAGGAAATTGAACAGCGACTGGGATACAGACAATTGCCTCCTTGGTGAATGCCCGTATATCTTCTTAGCTACCAAGCTTTCCCTTTTCTTCCAGGAGCCAAGCGACTCGGACTTTAATGCATATAAGGTACTAGCGTTTGTCGGATTTTGATGGTCTGGATACCATGCGTAAACGAAAAAAGGGCCTTTAAGACCGATAGTTATTCTTTTTGCGTCAGAGTGAGAGCAGCGGTAAGCAGCCGCCTTGGCCGTGGCTGGAAGCCTGCGGCAAACGAGCCGCACTTGGTCGATGTTCTAGTCGAGCTTTGTCAGGCAGCACTAGGTACCTAGGTAGATCATTCGGAATGATGACTTGCCTTTTCGAGGTATGGTGTTTGTTATAGGTTCGTGCCACCCCATCCTTTTGAGGAGAGGAAGGGTGAAAAATGCTGTTCCGTAACTTGAAATCTATCGATGAGTTCCGTGAGGGAGAAGAGTGGTCACTTAAAGGTCGTGTTATAGACATCAATGATGGTTTCCAATGGTTGGTGAGGTTTATGAAGCTTGTAGGCGAGCGTGTCTGTCAACCAATCAGGTAACATGATGGTTTCGTGGTCTAGTTGGTCATGACATTTCGTTAACAACATCTGTTGACACCACCGAAAAGGTCCCCGGTTCGAGCCCGGGCGAGATCATCCCTTTTTGCTCCTTGATTCATTATGGGCATCACGGAAGTAGTTTTTTTCTTCTTCTTTTTCTTCTTCTTCTTCTTCATACCATAACTCATTATACGTAGTTTTTCCTTCTTTCTGTATTTAACCGTCGGCATTTGAGGGGGTAATGGGAAATGATCTTGTGTGAGAATTACAGTTAACAAAAATGATCCAGAATAACTATAATGTCTAGGTATGCCACCTCCAGGTTAAACGAAGCTGCGTGCATTTCATTGAAAAGGTCTTCAGAGCTGTCTCCCTTCCAGACGGTGTCCTTTATTTTGAATGTTTGACCTCAGTAATGGAACTGGTACCTTCATTGCCAGTTTACCAGCATTCAGTCAACCATGGTCTGCCAAAAAAGGTGTTCTACAGGCATCGAGGGGTTGTACGGCCACAGTAGCAGTTCAGGATTTACAGCCCACAAGGCTAGCTATTCTTCCATATCACACCGCAATCCCAGTCTGTTAGTAGACAACAATTAGTAGACGGAAGCGCAAATGTCGATTGCAGCAGAGCTATCATTTTCAGCAGACTAAGAGGCTCTTAGAACCTCACCTTCTGAACAGCAGGACTATTTAGATCTTTGTCAGACGCTTATCGGTGATCAGTATCGGCTCGCTATAGACAAGGAGCTTCCGACAACCCGCAAATAATGCATCCAAGCTTGTAGTTTCCCTTACACTTGGTTTGTCCAGCCTGCGAGCCGCGGGCTCCTCGCATCAACTTTTTTTCCTTCTCGAAGTTGGCTACTTCTCGCTCCATATATACCTACCTTACCAATCTCCGTCTTGTATTCTTTGTGTATGGACTGTTGGGTGGGATGTCCCATTCAGTCGCATCCAACGTGGAGCCGTCATGCTCATCTGCGCTTGGCTCCCACGTTTCACAGTTGCAATCCAACAACGTCCGCATCGGCGATAGTCAGTATCTGCCTCGCTCAAAAGACCCATATTCCACACGAATCCTTTTGTCCTGCAATTTGTCAACTCCATAGGGCTGAAACCTGAGCGGTCATACAAGGCTGCGGCTAATGGGTACAGATAGTGGTTGCTCCCTTAGCCGCAGCCTGATGTGTCAGGGTTGGAAGAGGCAAGGAACGTAAGAAAACGTGTCTGATGTTGTAGGATTTGTGGGAACATATGTCAGTCTTGCTGGGCCACGACTTCTGGCCTTTCTGGAATGACTGAGGTTATTGGATTTGGGATGGGGGTTCCTGCTTGATGACACGGGATGAAACTCTGAGCATGGGATATGGAAGCCAGAAGGAAGCAGTTTCTGAGATTGCCGTTGCGGATAGATGACGAATTGTGCCAGAGCCAAGGCATCTTTCAGATTCGTGGAGACGGAATGCTACTCTGACAGAGTTTTCTTACAGTCAAAGGAATAGAGAACATTCTCGAACTGTATGCTTCTGCACAACGATGGCCCCCGTGGCACACACAAGGCCCATCCCGGTACCCAGAGAAATCCCAGAAGAATGATCGACTAGCTGATCGTGCTTGTCTTATTAGTCACAAGGCAAGTATGAGAAATCGGAGACTTGATCGAGCCCACCTTCGTACGGCATATGACGACATTTGCGAGGAACCCTATGGTGGGCACCAGGAGACTCTCGAGTAAACGGCCAGGTCAAAGAGCAGGCTCTACTCAATACGTACCTAGGAGGTCCAAAACCTACGACTTTCGTTCTGAACTTTGGACACCTACTACAACATTCATGAATGAGCCGAGAGGCGGCAAAAAAGTTGAACAATCAGCAACTGAGAGGCTGATTCGAGTGTATCTATAGTTTCGCCTTGAACAAACAAAGTTGTACATGTCTACAATGATATGTTAAAATAAGATGTCTGTTGACTCCCTCCCGTCTCGTGATAATGCACCATGCCACGGTATTTGTGCAGACATACAAAAGCATTCTGAAAAATTCCACTCTGGGATGATAAAATCATAGAGAATCAGTATAGCAAAATGAGTTGTCTGAATGCATTGTAAGTGGTTTCCGTCAGCAGTCATGCCGACTCTTTGCTGACATTGAAGCCGCGCTTTTCTGTCAGCATATCAGCCTATCGCACTCGGCCAACCCTCATCCTCCGAGACGATGAAACGACGCAAGAGGGAATATTGAGTTGCCAATGAATCTAATCAGCTATGATGGCATTCGGTCTTTGTTCATCTTGGTCCACGCCGCGTCACGCTGACAACGTGCAATGGATATATAAGAATGCGTTGAGAATGCAGCATGTTGGGTTACTAGACTGATCAAGACATCACTCAGCACACAAGCAAGCAGACAGACAAGAAGCAAAGAAAAACTATATTTCAAGCTTTATTCCTCTGCTATCACTTACTATACAACTTCTACCTCGCAAACTGTCGACAGAATGAGACTCCCTCTGGTTGTGGTCATGGCCTCTGTTGCTGGCAAGTTTCCTCTCTGCACTTACACCCTAACTTCTGGCACTTCAACCGAGATGTTGCTTTGATAGTTCTACAACTAACATACGTTTCAGACGCCAACGGAACCAACACAACTGCCGGTCAAACGGGATCCTCAGGATCTGGCGCGCCCAGCGGTTCGGGCGGCTCCTCCTCCTCGTCTGGATCTGGCGGAAACTCTGGCTCCTCTTCCGGCTCCCAGCAGAAATAATGGCTGCAGCTGGGCCAACGGCATTGCACAATCTCTTTCTGCGCAGGCTGCAATCATTTTGCTGCATTGTTCATTGATGCCGCTGTATTATTCTTCATTGTTCGGATTGGGTTTTACTAGAATGTTACATGGGCAACCCCAGATTTGCGAATAGACGGGCGCCAGCGATAGAATACAATGTACTATTATGACTACCTACCTTACCTACCTACCTATAGAGTTGCAACTTGATTTCAAATTCTTCTTTTCCATCTGCAGCCTCGTGCCTGCTCCTCCAACCTCTCGTCCTTCTGATGAATCGGACATCGCCGTGTGCAATGTGATCTGATGGCGAGGCTGAAGCACATGGAGTGCGTATGCATGCACGTATGACCTCTACATCTTCTGCATCCCAGGCACCAAAGTACAGGTTCCAGAGTGCTGGAAGACATTGTCCCATTGGTTCCATGGGGGCTCGCATGGGATCTTAGCTCCCTATTGCCGCTGGGGACCAATTATATCCGGGGGGGTTGCTCCAAGGGGATGGGACACCCCAAGTAAGACTGACTCGAAGCAATTAAACGAGCACGATCGATCCAACAATGTCTTCAAAGGGAAACATGCCGCGCTCTGCTACGTCAGCTGTGATTCGTCACCCACAGCCTGGAGAGTAAATTGCTGGATGACATTCCTCGCTATCGTCGTCGTCAACGTTGTCGTTTGCGTTGTCGTCTGTGTTGTTATAATAAGACAAGGATTCGAGATGCGCAGCCGTTCGTGTGGGACGACGACCTCCAAATCTGCCTGGCCTTGATGATATATTCCCCCTCAGACTATGGCAACCAGGCAATTGTTCATATTTAGCTACAAAGCACACGATCCAAAGAAACGTCATCTAGACGCGCCACAGCTTTCTGCTCCTCATCTTCCATCAGGTTTCTGGTTTTTTCTTTGTTGCGCCCCAAAAGCCGCGATTCCCGTGATCAATCGAACCATCAAAGTATGCCTTGATGCCAGGGGCAATCCTTCAGCGATTCCTCCTGGGATTCTGCGCCTCGTCCCGGGCGCTTATTGGGCCAACCGCGCAGAAGCGACATGGATTGCCGTGCCCATTCGCCACAAGGTGGCCCTTGGGGGTCACTCTCTCTTTCTTCTGTGCGTGTGTCTGTGGCCGCGTGCAGCAACTGCCGCAGCGCCTGATTCCCAGGAGCTCGTCCCAGTATTATGGATGGAGTTCCGCGTTCGCCGACCCCCTGCCGGTGAGTCAATGGCCGAAGCGTTGAGTGAGATTCGGCCATCGGACAAGTCGTCATTACCTACGTCGTCCGGAGTCCCCCAAATCTCATGAGCCACGCAGATAGATCCCTGGGCAGCTGGTCCTTTGTGTGCCACCGCCGATTGGCCAGCCTGACCCTGTTCCAACCGGCTCTTCCTCCCCCCCCCCCCCCCTTGCGTCGATTCATCGCACCTCGCTCTCGAATGCGCTTCCAGGACCCCAGCTCGCGGGCCTCATCTCACGGGGGTCCCCTTCGTCCTAGATCGACCGGCTCCGCCATGGGGGAACCAAGCGTCCTATTCCTAGCGAAGCTTCGCCCGGCGTCCCGTCAGTGGTTCCTGGCAGCAGCCTTGCTAACCCGGATCAAAGCAAGCAAGCAACCTTGCAGGATCGCCACGAGTCGCAAAAAAGGCAAAATGGGCCGCCAAGCAGGACGGGCCTGGGCCGCTGGAGCTGCGGCCATCGTGGGCGCTGGGGCGCGCGTTTGTTTATAGATGTCGCATGGGCGCCGATTCGAGCCATGCCACAGAAAAAATCTCTGTATCCAGTCAAGGACGAGGGCCATCCCCCGGCTCTCGGTTGCGGACAAAGAGTGGTGAAGAGGAGTGGCTGTTGCATGAGAGTGTGCTGAGCTGTGTGCCCGCCCCCAATGCCGAGGGTGTCTACGATAAGATTCCTTCGACGGCACCCCTGTTCTGGTGCCTGAGGTGAGAATCTATATAACCAGAGTTGACTTTGCTCAACCCTCGCCTCATCATTCAGGACAAGTTCATTGTATATGAACAGATAATTGGAACATTGAAACCGCAGCATAAGAAAGCATCCCTCCAACAGACAGAGAAAGGGGCAGACGCGATGGCAACCTCATCTTATACTCCGGACGGCACCCCTATTGCTCGACATGAACTAAAGCTCGCCATTCACAACAACGAGGGAGTCGAAGAGAAGACTATCAGGCTTGACAGCATCGTCGACGCAGAGGACGCTGCAAAGGAGAGGCGGAGAAAGCAAAACAGAATCGCACAGCGCAAGCACAGTGAGTCAAAGGAAAGGGCGGAACACAGATGGCGTGAGACCAGTCCAATGACCATTGCAACCTGCAGGACGGCGGAAAGCAGAGCAGAGACTCTCTGCAATGTCCAAGTCACCCGAAATTCGGGTCTCACCGCTGCACTCGGGACCGTGTTGCTGCTGCGTCACCCGACGGCCAGAGGCGGCTCCTCCACCAGAAGACTACAGCCGCAGCTTCATATCCATCACATCACCAAACCCTTCGTCGTCATACGGCCCTCTCACGCCCTCGGTCGTGTCCGACTACGACAGCCGGCAGACTCTGTCCGCCAGCCAATGGACGCCCTTCTGGCCAGCCGCCTCTCCCCTCTTCGATGGCGACCCCAGCAGTGTTCTGCCGTCTGGGGGGGAGTCTCTCGACAACCACAGCCACAGCCACAGTCCCATTCCAAGCACAGCATCGCTCGACATTGCGCCTTTTCAGGATTCGCATTCGCCAGCGTCAGCTCTTTCGTATGACGCTTCCATCAGCCTCGTAAGCAGACCGAGCAACACCAACCTGCTGCCAGAGGGTCACCTCGGTGGCCAGTTCCCTCTACACCTGGCTGCGAGAGGCGGATACATAGGGATCATGGGGCTCCTCCTCAGTCGGGGGGCAAGGATAGATGCCAAAGACACTTGCGGACGGACTGCGCTCCATTATGCGGCTGACGCTGGTCATCTTGACGCCGTGGGGATGCTGTTGTCTGTAGGGGCCAATCCGTTTCTGGTGGATAGCGAGGGGTGCAATAGTTTGCATATAGCTGCCAGCAAGGGGAGGGAAGATATTGTTCGAGTGTTGATGGAGAGGGGGATGGATCCGAATCTGGGAGTTGGGAGCGACGTTGAGAATTCTTGATGTGCTTGAGAGCAGATGATGATTGATGGAGAGCAGTCATACACACTTCACTTGGATATATAGCGAATGCAACTCGATTAGACGACCGTACTTGCAGGTGTTTGCTCATGTGGACAATGGGATGCACAATCACTTATTTTGCATTGCGCTCCTTTATGTGAGGAAGAGAGAGAGAGACAGAGAGATGGTCTTGTGCAACGTTGTGCAGGTTCGTGTCTTGAAACTGCTTGGTGTCACTTGCAGAGAGTCGCCCCTCGTTTGTGTAACAGTTTCCGAGGCATGTGCCATTGCTGCATTGCATATCTCAATCAGTTTCTTAGGCATATGCTTGCCATGATTTGAAGCCGTTCACACATGACGGCTCAATACAAGATGTGGTCTTGCAACAGTGTGAAAAGAATGCTGATTGCTCGTGTCAGCTATACTGCCTCTAGCTTACAAGATCAGTGTATGTGGGCAGTATAAGCCGTACGTACGATAGGGTTGATTCTGCCTCGAATGAACCTTCAATACCAAAACTCTAGGCATTTCAAAGCCCATTCAAGCGTCACGAAGCTCCGGCTGTACCAAGATTCCGCAGCAGTTCTAAAAATGAACTCGCATCGATGCCCATTTCCGAAGCGGATTTGCGAAGAGAGGCGCAGCCGCCCACTAAACAACTGGTTGAACTGCCGAGAGCCACCAGTAAGCGGCTCTCGTCCGCCAATCATTTCCTAACTGCATAACGAGATATTTCATCATGACCCGAGTCTCCATTTCAGTGATATAAGAAATTCACTTGACTGCTGGGAGGTGTTATCGTCAGACTCATGCAACACCTATAGACTCTTTGGTCTCGAGAGCTTCAGCCTCACCATCAGTCTTCAACATGGTCTTCTTCGCCCCAAACGACAACATTCCCACCCTCACATGCTATCTCCTCGCCGAAGCCTCCAGCGATGAACTCCAGGCCTTCAAATCCGCCTTTGAACTTGGCAACCACGCGGCCTTCAATCCCGTCCTCCACATCAAGATCGTCCATCCACCAGATGACTATCTCGGGAAATCCCACGAGTACATCCGCAAGAAGGAAGACGAAGCCGGTCGCAAGGACTTATTCCTCATCCTCGACAAGAGGGCCATTGAGAACAACGCCGTCTGGTACATATCGCACTTTGCCGACGCCGAACGGGTGCAGTGGAAAGAAGCCCAGAACACGAATGTACTGTGGAAGATTCTCGTTAGAGCCGACAAGCTGGCCATGGTGTATGCAAACTACAGCATCGGAAACACGTCTCTGCAGGAGGACCTGGGGAATTGCGGAGTAGAATTTCCCGTCAAAGAGGGCTTTGAGCAGCCCAAGGTGTTTGACTACAAGTTGGACATGCACAAGGATCTGTACCGCCAGCCTGTTTGGATCAGAGCCGAGCCTGGAGAATACGAGGTCAACAAAGGCGGCGAACAGCTGGGAGACTACATTGCGCCACCGAATTCGTGCGCGAGGCTGAAGGACGGAGTGGCAGAGGCTGTCGGAGTGGTCAATGAGTGGACGACGTATTATCCTTCAGGGCCTTTTCCCTACTCGGATGGGACAAGGAAGGAGTTTCCAGAGGGAACCATGGTTCTTCAGCTGAGATGGAATCCCGATTTCCCGTGGCCGCCTTATAAATGGCCCGAGGGGTCGCTGTGAAGCTGCAGCCTGTCTTGATGATGGCAGGGTCATCTACTGAATCAAGAGTCGCAAAGCAATGGTCGACGTCTGATTGCGAAACTCTTGAAGTATACTTTATCAGCAACGAAACTCGATGATTGACGTATGCTGCGTTCATATACCGAAGATACGTAACCCTCGAAACGCTGTGTCCGCTCGGCTCTATGTTTGATTCCAAGGCCATCAAATTGACGCAACTAACAATCATCATCTTCAAGCTGTCCGTGCTCTAGGCTTCAAACGAATATACAGAGGTCCCTTTTGCCATGCGATGTAGACCTTGGATCTGGCATCCCAGCCGATGCTCTCATCAACAAGCTCGATATCATATCGCCAGATGAGTCTCGCCAAGATGAGGCGCATTTCAGCATAGGCAAGACTAAGACGCGATGTTTCATTAGCAGTGGCTCAATGAAACAGATGGGATGATGATGATCAGGAAGACGTACTTCTTTCCAATGCAAACCCTCGGACCAACGGAAAAAGGAGTGAATATCCTCTTCTGGTCGTTTGCAAACCGCGAGTCTCCCAGCCAGCGCTCGGGGATAAACTCCTCCGGCTGAGTCCAGAATTCAGGGTAGTGAAACATGGTCCAGTACCATATGTCAATGTGCGTCTATCAAGCCTCATCAGCACCATCGCGTGAACAAGAATGACCAAGACTAAACGGTCATTGTTCGGGAGGAAACCTACTCCTGGCGGAACCCAGTATCCAGCAATAACATCTCCCTTCTCATTAATCGTTCGCGGCGTCGTGCCGGGGACTGGCGAGTGAAGCCGTATTGCCTCGTCCAGAACAGCAAGCATGTAGTTCAAGCGGCCAACGCTCACGAGGTCAATCTCGTCCTCGGACGTGAAGGAAGAACGGACTTCGTCGCACAGCTTCTTCAGGGGCCCTGGATTGCGACCAAGATAGTACGTGGCTCCCATCAGCGCAACGGCCGTCGTTTCCGAGCCCGCTATGATGAGCAGGGCCATGTTGGCAATGAGTTCTTGAAGCGTCACCTCCTATGCGCAGTTTGAGAGTTAGCATCACCTATCTGATAGCTCACGCACTCGGGTTTCTGAGTCCCAACTTACGTCTTTTCCCTTCTTGGACGTCATGGCAGCAATGAAATCCTTGCGGTCCGTCACCGTGTCCAGCCTCTTGCGAACCTTTTGCTCAGACAGGCTACTATGTTGCTTGAGCTTTTCCAACATTGCCTTGGGTGTGAGCATGACGAGACCCTTGTAAAGGAGTGGCATACGCCTAAAGGTCGCGTCAACTGACACATTCTTCACGCCATCGAATACCATCTCAACCCATGGGTGGTACATGGAGTTTTCAAGACACCCAAAGGGCTCGCCAAAGGCCAGGTCGCCGATAATGTCAAACGTGGTCCAGTTGTACCTGGCCGCGATGTCAATCTTGTTCCCGTTTGCGCTCTCCTCATCAAGCTTCTCGAAGAGCTTCTGGACGTAGGTCATGATCAAGGGCTGCTGGTCAAGCATGGCCTGGTTCGAGAATCCGTTGGCCATGCTCTTTCTGATTCGAGTGTGGTTCTCCCGGTCGGCCGAGAAAATGGTATGGGGGACGAGTAGGTTTCTGGCGATTTCCTTGCCGTTTTCGAGCTGACCTGCTTTGCGATGGCCAGAGAGGTCGTTGATGGCGTCCGGATGGCAAAAGACGAGATGGTCGGGGGCGACCCTGATGACGGGGCCGTACTTCTGATGCAATGGAATCAACAGCTTGTGGGCGTCACCAGAGAGCTCAAGGCGAGCATAGAATCCATAATGGATGGCCCACAGCTTGGGACCAGGGAAATGCCTCAAAGGGTGAAAGAACAAGTTGTAAACAATAGTGTATCCAACGTAGAGCAGCCCCTGTTATTCGGTTAGAGAGCCCATCCAGCATGGTTGCGGCGAGTATCAGATGTCGTTACCGATATGACCAGCAACAGAGGTATAACGAGAGCAGGCTTCAATAGAAGCATGGGAGCAACGTCATGCGTGAGGATGGCCATCTTGCCGGATCAATACAGATACCAGTCAAGAGGACACTCTCCTTGTAGACTTGAGGAGCGAAGATGGACACTCAAGTCCCCATCACAGAAAGCAGACTTCCGCCCATGGGGCCATTTATATGTGAATTCATCCGTTACCTATACTGGCTAGTCGTAGGAGCTCGGCGTGAACCTGCATGAGCGGGGTAGACATACATGCAAGCACGAGGAGGAGCAGCACAGGTTCGCACACAGCTTGCTCTCTGTCAAGTTGCGTTCCTTTGTTCCCTTGAAGTCCTCGTGCTTTTGATACAGCAAGCCAACTGCTGCCCACGTACCTATCACATCATCATTATCGAGCGTAGATTCTCATCTCCAGCTGAGTTCCTCTACTCTGTTGCAGGATTGCCAGTATGAGATTGTTTACTGAAGACCTAACACGTTCCTCTTGCACAGTATCCTCAACATATCCCTGCCGTATCCGATACGACATACGACACGTCGCTTACAGCGTAGCATCAAGCAAACCCGGGTGATGGCGAGAGCTGCGTATCATCATACGCATGTTCCCCACTTGAAATCGCAACGCTATCATTGCAGCACGGTTCATCAGACGAAGTTGATGCTGCTGCTGCTCTCTTGTGGAGCTTAAGTGTTATAGCGCAACTGGGACAGCTCGAGACAAAGAAAGGCCATGGGGAAATCTGACGAGACCCGATAACAACCCCCCTCTTGGAACTCTGCGTCTGTTTAAATGGCGTTTATGTACGCCTTGGCTTTTAGATGCAGATCACAGAACATCACTCATCTCCCGCCGTAAGTCATGCAGACTTAGAATTTTCCTAGGTGTGTCTCTGCCGATGCCTTGAATTTCTACATGCATATTTGAGGGCTGCTTAATATGCAGGGGTGTGCACACTTTTACATCTTGCCCAGTCTGGAATTTGATTCCCTTCCATGTGCAGGCCGCTAGGCCGAGGTTCTCAGCAATGATGTGTCTCGATTCGATTGAGAAGTCTGCGGCGAGGACTGACCAACCTGTGCAAGTAATGTGGCAAAATGTTTTACTTCATCCATGGCTATGTTGTAGCAGCCAATGCAACCTCGCTTATCGGCCACTTACACTTGCTCATCACAAGTCTCGTCATGGTGATGACGCAGGTAATCATAGCAAATAGGTTGCCATCTCTGTGATAATTGGACAAAGAGTAGAGGGATACACATCTTGCCCATGCCCGGGTTCACTCCTCGAGGGGGAGGCAAGGTACGGAGTGAGTTGTATCAATACCGCCTCTCTATCACCAATTATGAACCCTGAGTATTGTCAGATTGCCAAACCGCGGATCACAGTCGTATCATATGTACAGTACATGTAACAGACAGAAATGGAGTTGAAAAATGGCCCGACTAGAGGTTGTGATACAGCAGCGTGCCGACAATCACGAAGCTCGGCTCAGAGAAGGCGCCTTTCCGCCGAAACGAGTTGAAACTCCTCATAATTGACACCTTCTCCCATATTTACTTCTTATGCGCTGTTTGTGTCTTCACGCTCTCTTAGTTCTAGACAAGTCGCAGATATGGCTGTAAGTAATCATGTAGTTGAAAGCAAGTGAGAGGATGCCGTACGCGGACTGAATGGAGCCACTGTTCATCTACTCCGCTGCACGTGCATGATAGATGGTCACGAAGCGTTCAAGGACCTTTAGTCAACAATATTGCTGTGTAATTATTCAGATTTCTGTGTAACACTCCTTCCCATATGCCCGCAGTTCCAATGCTTCAGTCTACAAGTACGTGATGAATGATACCTATCGCCTTTCTGAATTTCAGAGTGCGTTTACGCCCTCAGCATACTCCTCCTATAGGTCACTCTTTGAGGCAACAGGTGCTTGAGGAACGTATTATTTGAGCATAGAATAGGCCATGCAAAGAGGCACCGCTTTGTAATGGCCATGATTAAGAACCCAGATTTACAATGAAAGAAGCTGCAGGGGCCAGCGACGGCCGGCTGAGCGGTTTGCACAAATACGGGGAACAAGGCAGAATATGAACATACATTAAAACCAACCATACGCATACAAATGCGACCTTACACACCAATTACTAGGCCTCAACGGTGCGCGTATTGTACTAATGTGTGTCCATACTTACCTACGCACTCCCTACCTATATTTTTGGCAAATCGCTTGGCCGCATCGCCTTTAACTTGTGCCTGATTCCCTTGATAGAGCTGTTCTGGCTACACATAGGTTCAATCGATATGCATAAACGGCGTTTGATCCTACCTGTGGCATGATACATCATGAGCCTATGAAAGTCGATATGTCATTCCACTCTACGAGCCCTTCTCTATTTCTGTAGGTCTCATGACGCAGGAAAGTCGACCTTCAGCTCGACCAGTCAGTCGCTATATGTCATCCAGCTCGATGTTTGCTCTCAGCTATGAAGTCGCCCATTCAGTGAAGACTTGCGATACACAGGTATAAGTCATGAGCAGAGGGCTGGATAGAGCTTCAACCAGGTATGATACATCCCAAAGCGCCAAACCTCCCTTGCTCTCAACTATGGCTTTGCAGCAAACCTGTAGTGCATCCCATATTTTCATCCATAATGCATTCCGCACAACGCATCTCTACCTGATCAATTCAACTCGCAACTCTCTTCGTGCGACATCCCGAGCCTCAAGATGGCGACATCCGATCCCACATCCAACAAGTCCAGCTTCAACACTCTTTCTTTGGTCAGCAACAAAGCAAGCACGTAAGCAATCCCTCTCCGCCCTCCCCTTTTAAGCACGCCATCCATCCCTCAAACAAGGCAAACGCTCAAAAAGCCGTGTCCGCAACTATCGGGGTACTCAGGGAACGCAAGCAAGGCATTAATTAGGTAGGTACCTCTTGACCTGCAGAGAAAGCGTGCGGCGAATCGCGGGGTTCGATGCCCACTCTAACAGATCCAACACCAAGTACTGCTGAAGTAACCACGTCACTATCTTAAGCGGCTTGAAAAGGGTCGGAAGTACGACCAAGGTACCTTTGATCTCTCAGGGTCCTCGTACGAAGAAGTACCTAGGTACACTGTACTGTAATTACGTGCGTCAAACCTGACGACGCGACAGCAGATGATGGCATTTGTAATGCAGCCACCCCTCGACGGAGCTTCGAGAAAATGATTACTCACTATAGAATCACATTACATTAACCCAACGCATGATATAAAATGATTCAAAAAGAGCCCGTAGTTGCTCTGCTTCTCTACTACACAGAACAATACACCTGAAAACCTCACTCTGGATCATTGCTCTTCAACCCATCTGTCGGAACATTCCGAGGCTCACCAAGAGAGTTACACTTACATCATCCACAGCTCCCCTCCAAGAAAACTCCACCCACGAAAAAAACGCATAAAGCTATTACACTTACCAATCCAATCCATACTTACAAACCTCCATCAACCAACTATCACCACCTCAACAACCTCAACAACAACAAACACCCTTCTCCTCTAACCAAACAAACAAATCAGAAAACCCACCGCCCAACAACCTTCAGCCCCCTCAAAAACCGCCACAATGCCCGTCATCGACATCAAGTCCAAGCCCGAATTCGACGCCCTCACCCAAACAACGCCCTACGTCGCCCTCCAAGCCCACGCAACCTGGTGCGGCCCCTGCAAGGCCATCTCCCCGCTCTTCACAAAGCACGCCGACGCCCTCGCCGTCCCCGAAAAGTTCGTCTTCGCCCGCTTCGACACCGACGAGGTCCCCGACCTCGCCATGGAGCTCGGCATCCGCAGCATCCCCGCCTTTTACGTCTTTGAAAACGGCGAGAAGAGCGAGACCCTCACCGGCGCCAACCCGCCTGCCCTGCAGAAGCTGGCTGAGGCTACTGCTGAAAAGGCCAAGACGGTGAGTTCACAAACCGCCTAAAGTCCCTGCGCTTTTTTTTGTCTCTCAGAGAACCTTCTGATTCTGAGGGGGGTTTGAGAGGAGTGTGGGATGAGTGAGAGATTAGAAAAGATTGTGGCTGACTCTTCGTGTGTGATGTCTGGTATCTTAGGCCTAAGCTTCCTACACGCGAAACGGGACGAGACGAAACAATAGGTAAAGTCGCTGCAGAGGAGGATACACATACAGTGACATGGGACACGAGGGATACCACTCGCGAGGGCGAGATGATATAGACAGGCGCTTCAGCCCCGGCTAGTCTGCAAATATATCATTGCATGCATCGTGCTGGACATGGACATATCGCATTTCTTTTTTACTGTCGTAACCCGCTCTATTCGCTCCGTCGTTGCGCATCCAGCATTTCGAAACCCATGATATCAATGACAAGAGTCCTCTCAATCTACAAATATGCGCCCACCAATGAAGAAGAAAAAAAAAGGAAAGAAAAGGCCCTCCGACAAGTCATTGTCCCGTGTTCCAAAAGATAAAAAGGTACATGCGTAGCCTTTTTCCATGACCGCCGAGCCACCTGATGATGATATAAAAGAAAATTGTACACAATAAACTCCCGCTCCATATGCAGCCGTGATGATAAGTAATGTCAAGGAAGGAAAACTGCCGTTGAACGCGTGTGTCACACTCAGGCCTCCCATCAGAAGCGACACCTGAGCGGAGTAAAACATGATAAAAAGAAACATGGCCACTTTTTGTGTCTTCACCCTTCTCACGCTGCTGCATCGTCGCTCATCCTTCCCAGGCCAGAATCAGCCCGGCTCTTGGAGAGTGGCTGAGCAGACTTGTCCTCGGCAATGACACCCATGTCTGGCCCCGTCGTCTCCTGGGACCTGCTCGACTGAAGGGCAGGCCCCGTAGACTTCCTTCGGCTGGCCTGATCTTCCACAACTCTGGGCCTGTTGAGATCGGTGACGCCAATGCTCCTCCGAGCAGTCGCCCGACTAGGAGGCTTCAGGAGGTCGTTGGGCTTTCGCGACGGGCCATCACCACCGGCGCCGGCGGTCTCGTGCGTAGATTCTGTAGGCGAGTTGGCACTGACAGAATATCTCAGCCCCGAGATGCTGCCCCTCCACCGGCTGAGGTTCCAGAAGCCGCCCTCCTTTTCATTCTCGTCCGACTCCGCCACGCTGATGAAGTTGAAGCTCGGCGTGGGCGGCTGCGACCCCCCGTCCAACGTTCCTATCGACGGCCGGCTCCGTATGCTACCCGTGGGGCTGGCGAGGCTGTTTCTCTGCGGGCGCGCCGGTGAGGAGCCGCCGCCCGAAGCGAGTGGCTTTCGGGCTTGTGCTGCGGGACTCGCAGTCGACGAGAGGTTGGCCGGGCGCCTGGGGATTTTCCTCGGCGACGCAGACCGCTCGCTCCTCGCCGAGGTCACGCTGACGTTTGCAGGCCCTTCGTCGCCAACATCCTGACGCCAGCTAATGATGCGGTCAGACGGGTGCTGTGCCTGGCCCGCGCTCAAGTTGAGCGAGGTCCGCCTCGACACGCTGCCGCTCGTCCTGGTGATGATGCTGCCGCTTCGTCCCAGCCCGCTCACCTTGCTCGAGAACTTGGAGCCCAGCTCCCACATGTTTTGCTGGCGCTTGAGGTATGCACAATCCTGGCGGAATACCTTGATCGTGCCGGTCCTGTCCGTCGTGACGATAATGTTGCCATCCAGATGCTTGCAGCGCTCCAGGTAGGCCGGGCTCTCCTCCGGCTTCTTGACGCTCGACGGCGGCGGCGCCGGGTGGTGGATTTCGGTCCCGGCTTCCGACACCTCCGTCTGGCTGAGAGCGGCCTCGTCGAGGCTGCGCAGCAGCACCGGAGGCGGGTTGCACAGGTCAAAGATGGGATCCCCCGATGCGCTCAGCAGCTGCCTGGTGCGCGTGGGGGCCAGCAGCGCCGCGGTGACAACTTCGGGGTGGGCATCAAAGGACTCGTAGGGCTGGCGGTCCTTTGCGTCGGCTTCCGCCGCATTCGTGTTCCAGATGTACGCCTTGCGATCTTCGCTGCCGCAGATGACGTAGGTGCCGTCGTCGCTGAAGTGCGCGTGAATCTGGCTGGACTGGTTCTCCAGGCCCTTGAACTTAACTTCGAGAGCCCGCGAGTCCAGGTTGTAGATGCGGACGCGAGAGTCGTTGGACGTGATCAGGACCTTGACCTCGTTGGTGCCGGCCGCCGTGGCTGTCTTGATGCCCGTGATCTTGCTGCCCTTTGCGTTCTTGCCCCGGGACGATCGGACGTGGATTTGAAACTTGACCTTGAGCCCCTCCGTCTCGTAGAAGGAGCACATGCCGCTCAAGACGCCGCAAATGGCCATGGTGCCGTCGGGGGTAAAGGCCACGGCCGTGATGAATTCGTTGGCAGAAGCGGAAAAGGCCACGGTCCTGTCTGGTATGTTCCACAGTCGCAGCTGCGCATCCAAAGAGCCCGCCAGGAAATATCGGTCGTCGGTGGGGTGGAATGCGATCGAGGTGACCAGATCGTGGTGCGCAAACGTAGCGAGGCATTCCTGTCTGCTGACATGCCAAAGCCTTACCGTCTTGTCCATCGAGGTCGACAGGAGGAAGTTGTTCTTGCTCCAGCAGAGAGCCAGCACTTCTCCGGTATGCGCCTGGAACTCGCGAACCGGCTTGTTCCGAAAGACGGGTGCGCTGAGCCGCTCTCCCTTAGTTTTGCCCTGCGCTTCTCTATCGGCCTCCTCCTCCGCCTCGTGTGCCCTGCGCTCCTCCTCGGTCGAGATAACGGCAAAGACGCGAACCACCTGGTCCTTGCCCGCCACGGCAAGGTAGCGCCCATCGAGGCTAAATTCAGCGGCCCAGATCGCATCACCCGCCTTGAGAAGTTTCGTGCCTACGGCTGTGGCAGGAACGCGGCCATGCGACGGCTCGTCGTCCTTGTCCGGCTTGGGCCCGAGCAGCTCTTGTGCAAGGAACAAGCGGTTAAAATCCCGACGTCTGCTGTTGTGAGCTTTTACGCGAATGTAGCGGGGAGGTTCTTTGTAAAGCGGAATGTAGCCGCCGCCTTCGCTCAAGACGGACATGGGCGCGCGGGCGCTGCTCCCTTCGGTGCGCTGCTCGCCCAGCTCGGAGTCGGAGTCGGGCGCATCGTTGTCGTATCTCCTGAAGGCGCTCCGCATGCCAAAGCGGCTCAAGAAAGAAGTTCCCTTCCTACGGCACAAAGCATTAGCACGCGCCGACGGCATCCAGTAGCGAGGACAGTTGAGCGCAAACATACTTTCGATCCTTGGAGGGTTCGGGCAGGGCATTTGCTAGGCGGGCTGTGGTCTCAATGCCAAAACTCTTCCTGGGGAAGCTTTCCGTCGTGGGACTATCGGGCTTGGTCGAGCCGCGCAGGCGCTGAGCGAGCGACGTTTCGATGGTGCCGCTGTTGGTTCTGAGGAAGATTTGCTAGTCATGTCTCCGTTAGCATCACGCGTAGCTTGATCCAGCTGAATGAGTGTCAAGTAAAGCAGGGAGACATACAGTGCCCAGAGGATCCAGGGCCGCGGGTGTCGGCGGGGTTGAAGACATGGTTCTTATAATGACGCCCTTGGGCTCCTTTTCCTTGTCCCTTCCATTTTGCAGTTGCTGCTGAGTGGGCGAGCGCGATAGCAGAGTCGTGGAACGGCGTGCTGGCACAGGCAGCGGCCGGGATTCAGAGCTGCCGGGAGTGCCGTTGGCGGGACTCTTGATGCTACCGTCCTTTGTCGAGGCCCATTGGCTGTCGCCGACGTCCGCTGACGATGATAACGGGGGAGGCATATTCCATGCTGTGAGGCCAGTACGACTGGGACAGGCGACCACCCGACGGAGAGTCGCAGCAGCCCGAGGTGAGGCTTCGGGTGAGGATGCGTGCGGAAGCGGATCGAGGCGACGATGCGAAGAGAGACGAAGCGCAGTAAGTCTTGCGGTAAAAGTTGAAACAAATCACGAGCTGAAGCTGTCCGGCACAATGAAGTACATAGACCAGAAGACAGATCGAGGACAGACGGACTCGGACAACGTCAGGCTCCGAGTGGGCCGGCTCAGCTTGTTTATAAGCGGAGGACTCTCTGTGGTCATTAGCAGCTGCGCCGTGGTGCGATTGGCATTGATGTTGAAGCCCCTAGAGGGCGTCAGCCAGTCCGTGGGCTCCGAGATGCGTACCTGGTCAGGGCGAGAGTAGGTTGCTTGATTGCCAGATTGCTCAACTGCTGGCACAGGCCTCGTCTGCACGCCTAAGTTGCTGGATTAGTCGTGGCAGGACAGGGCGCGCGCGGAAGCCGAGGATTCGAGATGGCAGGAATCGGCGGTGGAGCAGACGAGAGACGAAGGATGACAGGGGAGTGAGCTGTGCTGAGCTGTGCTGAGCTGTGCTGTGCTTATTCGGATCCTGGCTGATGATGCGTCGGTAGATATGGTATTGGATGGTGAGGCTGAATGCAGGTAACTGGACTCTTGGAGTGGCTGTATGAGTTGCTGGCGATGAGACTGAGAGCGGCTGATTGGACGGCAACGAAGGCAGTTGGGGTTGAACAAGTTGTAAAGTTGAAGTTGGTGGGAGAAGCGATGAAGAGGGCGAGGAGCGAGAAAGCAAGGAGGGACGAAAAGGAAGAACAAGAAGAAAAGAAAAGAAAAAAGAAAAGCCACACACGGTTTTCTATGACTCTACTTTAGGAGCCGATGCGAGTACGAGCTGAAGAGAAAAAAAGGACCAGATGCTATGACGGGGTCGCACTTGGCGCACGCGAGAGCGAAATCGAGCTTTTTTGAATGGCCAAAATCTCGATGAAATGGATCAGGCTGCTGAAAGTGGCTGCTAAAAAGGTGACTTGCAGCGGGGGTAGTGGTGACCTTGGGCCTACGCAGGTGAGGCGCGTGTTTCACAGGTACTCGGTACTACGAGCGCGCGTGATGCTGCCCCTCGCATGATGACGCATTGCCGGCGTTTTGTGCCTCGTCCAGGAGCCAAGGATTGGGATGGATCAATGCCTTGCCTTGCTAACTTGCCTTGCCTGGCTTGGCTGATGGTGCCTGTTGGTGCTGGACCTGGTAGCACTGGACCTATGATCAGGTACCGCCTGTGGAGAGGCTCATGTTCCCCCTTGTGGCCCCTGCGAAGGATTCTAGAAGTCGTCAGTCGTCAGTCGTAAGTCGTCGTGGACAGACAGAGCCATGCATTCTTCATTCCGTCTGTTTTGTTGTAGAATTTGACAGACTCTGCAGGCCGAGGTACGAGTACCTGAGGTACAAGTAGGTAAGTACCTAAGAAGTTACATGGCAGCATCAACAGCGAATACTCGTATTTCATCCATCGAATACGCGTATAGCGGGCATGGCCTCGATTGCGGGAGCACCGCTTGCTTGCATCCACAGCTTCTTCTTCTTCTTCTGCGCGCATGTGTGTGTGTCGTATGCATATATTATGGAGAGCCTTGGGACCAGCAACTCCCAGCTTTGGGGGAACCATCGCGGCGAGCCTCGGCCCGATCAGTCAATTCTCTCGAGCCCCCCGCCAAGACCCGCCGACCCTGAAAAGGGTCACCGTGGGAAATAAGGAACCACTGCATGAGTCGGCCATTGATTTCGACGAGGTGCGTGTATTCCGTAAAGCTGAATATTATCTCGTAGGCACATACGGATACGAAGTACGAAGTACTAGTATTCGGTCTGACCACATGCCAAGGCGATCTATCCAAGAGTGTGATATTACCTGACGAACTGAGGTAGGTACATAGTATTATCACTTGACGTCCCGCCACCTTGTTCTTCATTCCCCATACATGATCCAAATCCAATGCCGATGACCTCATCGTCTCGTCTTCCGGTAGGTATCTTGCACAACCAACCTACAAACAAAACAAACAAAACGGCACAGACACCGAGCAAGCAAACTCAACCCCTCAAAAGGCCTCACTCAACACCATCCTTCACCAAGCTCTTTTTTGCTCGAAAGACTAGCCCGGATCTAGCAACATCTGCGTTCCACAGTGACTACATACCTTATTACTAGCTGCCTTATGGGGCGCCTCGGCAAGCGGACGGTTCGAAGCCAAAAAGACGCATTCGCATGGGCTTCTAACGAGTCTTGAAACAGACAGGGCCTGGATGCGACTTTGCCCTGCTGTTTCCTATTCATTGTTCTCTCTGCCTCCGATTGTGATGGTGCTCAGACTGTGTATATTCCCCATCAAGGCGTTGATCTTCTAATCTTGATCTCTCTAGCCTGCAGCGCCCTCAGACAATCTCCCTTGATTCTGACTTCTCACATCAATGACGCGGCTGCTGTGATGAAATGCTTGCGCAAGCCTCGAATCGACAGCCTCTTCCGACCAAGCGGCGCTAGATGCAGAATGCGGGAAGCCTTTTTTGAGCGGGTCCTCAACTGTGGATAAAGAACATCCTTGGAAGCTTCAAACGTCGAAGCCTTGAAACAACACCTGCATCAACACGTGCTAGAGATGCTCAAGGATACATGCAACGAACCCTGATGATCCCCGTGTTGATAGAAAATACGACGACGAAACAGGGAGCCATTCTCGTCGCAGCTCCCATCTGCTAAATATAGCAAGTCTATAGGCAACCTGGAGAGCATGAGATTGTGGGGTAGCGAGTTCTGCATCTGCATCTCAGGCTGACCCCTCCACCCCTTTTGTCATAAAGAGTCCACAGGCATCAATATTGCATGTTGGTTGTACCATAATGTCATCGTATCAGTATGGATGACTGATAACGGGATGAAGTCGACACCTTCATGTTTAGAGGGGGTCGTTTCAACATCTTATTGTACCCATTACGTGGTACCTATTCTTGATATCATTTTGTCCCCATCGGAGTATGTGTCAGATACTAGGTATCTTTCGTCGATCATATTCCGAAGGACTATGTGGCCATGGTCAATACTCAGACACTACAAAGACGTGCTGATACTCCGGAGGGGTGATCACAACAGAAACTGGTTATCATGTTGGCAACACAACATCGCCAGGGCACACTTTCCCCGCAAGCCTCGCCACAAGGCACTCTTCAGTCCCCCTCGACGCCTGCATCTCCCTCACGGTGGCTCAAGAGAAGAATATTGCGCATGCTTCAAATACTGAAAACTCATCATTACCGGCCGACTGCTCCAAAAGACCAGAACATTTTGCATCCAAGTCGGTAATATGACACACGAAGACCTTGGGCAAAAGGCGAACTCAAGATGGTCCAGAAGAGGGTTCAGCTCTAGACGAGGCACCCGATCCCCTTCGATTGGTATGGACAACAGTTGTGCTAGACTACCCTCCATCGTGCTCAAATTGATTATCTCTCAGACGTCTTCCATGATTTTCCGGACGATCAAAGCCGTGCCCTTCCCAAAGGTTTGCTCCGCCCTCAAACCCAGCCTCTATTTGGCAGGTGGTGGCTGATTTGTCGGTAGTCGCCAGGGGGTGCTCCAACTGTGGTATGAGAGGCATTCACTGCGACGGTATATCGACAAATACTTGGCCTTGCCGGGCATGTCGAGAGGCTCGCTTCCACTGTGAGCCTCCAGGCGGTCCATCAGAACCAAATTCCTCATCAGTCCTCGATCAATCGTTCTACAACTCGCCCGAGGCCTCGATGAGAGAGAGTCTCCCATTCCTCGGAGTGTCTACCCTTGGAACCTTATTCAACGCTTCTTCATTCGTTCAAAGAAAGGTCAATCTCTACAGCAACATCGACAATGGCATATCATTGAGCAACAATGAATGGGTATGCTGGCAACCAAACTATTTGTCTTGTACATGCTCCTACTCTTTGTTTCCGCCTGAAAACGACGAAAAGATCAAGCTCAAGCCAGGGGGCTCTAGGCGGTTGTATGATGTTCATGGCTTTGCCATGAGCATCTCGGCCGTTGAGTGTGACTGCGAGCCCTACGAGTCCTGCGTCAAGATTGTTCAGCACGTCGCCCACGGCCATAATGGACAAAGTACAAGAGCACCGGCAAAGGTGCAGCTGACGCCCCGAACCTCGACGTACCAATTTGAGAGCCCGGAGACCACAAGAGTCACGCATCGCTTGCATCCCACTGAGCATACTTTTGAAGAGATTCAAGTCAAGACGGTCACAGCCGCCACTGGAAGACGGCCAGACAGCCATATTAACTTCCAGTTTGTTGTTGAGCTATGGGCCGACTTGGGCTCACAGCATCCTGCACGCTTCTTCAAGGTGGCCTTCAAAAATTCGGTCACGGTATCTCTAAGAGGACTACTCTCGCGTACGATTGACCTCTCGTCTAGTGTCCATGGTAAGGGACGGCAGGCGGGTCTAGTAAGCAGCTCCCGCTTCTCTACGCAAAGTGATGCTCAGTGCTCTTTCGACGCGGCGAGCACATGCGAGAGCGACATTCTCCCTAGCTCGAACATGATTGTTGAGACAACCCAAGAGTCAGTCGTAACAGAATTGACAGTGCCAGATGTACAGGTAATTGAAGGCAGCGTCACGAGAAGCCGTATGCCTTGGGGCTCTAACCAATGCTCGGATGATGACGAGCCAGAGTCTTCCCAAGACACTGTGACTCCTTCTCCAAGGACACGCGATGAAAGTCCAGCAGTAGATGCTGATGACCGACTATCGGCCCTGCAGTCACCCATCCGGGCTACGAGGAGGCTCCAGCGCGATCTGCCGCACAGCAGCCTACTATCATGGTTCAGAAGGGGTTTCCGGCCCCGGCCTAGGCTTAGGCCAGGGCATAGAAGAATTGAATGGACTTGCGTAAGTGCCACTCTCTTGACTAAATCCTAGTACCCCCTATGCTGTTGTCGATTTTAGCTCTAAACCATTGATGCCCTTCCCCAGGACTGCGGAGTAGACCTATATGGCGACTTTTCCCAGGAAGAGCCATCAGACCTGGATGCCCTAGAAGCATCACTTCGGTCTCCCGCCCGACAAAACACGTCGCCCGAGAATGAGTCGCCAGACGCTGAAGTCATCGGAGGAACGCCGTCAAATTCACTACAAAGCAACTTGAGCTTATGGACCGCAGGGACAGCAGCTTCCCTGACCCTCACCGTGGCATCCAGCGTCGAGCTGCACTCGAGATTTCTCGCCCTCTGCGTCAACACGGGGGGAATGTACAAGAAGCTGGCCGAGCTTGATACGACACGCATCAAGTCTGACAGCGAGGCCTTTTCTCTGATGAAGCAGGCGTATCTCGAGCATCGGGGGCTGCGATCCCGATTAAGCCTGCTTATAAAGCCGGTGACAGTTGAGTTTGTCCGTGTAAGTCAAGGGCTTCCCGTTACCCGGCCACCTATAGAGAGACAAAAATCCAAGCACAACAACAGAGGACAGATCTAACCACATCAATTGAAAATTTTCAAATACGAAAAAGTCCATCTCTGCATAGGTATATGTACTAATCAACGGACTACTACTATAGTTCACCCTCTGGAACCTCCGCCACGGCTACGTCTCCATCACCGACCGCCCAAACTCCATGCCCCCCAAGACCGCCATCGACTACGACTTTATACCCCAGCCCATGCCCCCTCAGGTCTTCATCCACTACCTCTTGCACGGTGACGGCGACCTCAGCCCCAACCGGCATACCTGGCTGCCGCGTCTGCCCCAGCGGCTCAACGGCAAGGTCCTGCACTGCGGCGAGGCGGCCGAGGGCTGGGGCATCCACGTCGTCGAGGGGCCGAACCGTGTGGCCATCTTCTGGGTCATAATTTTGACCGCTTTGGCGGGTGTGCTGATGAGCGCCTTATGGTCTTCAATTAGGGGAGACATTCAGGGGGGTATGGGGCTTGGGGCGCTCATCGTGGCGCTGCCTTCGGTCCTTATGACTGCTTTTCTGTTTCGCCTGGAGGCGATATGACAGCCCTGGAGCGTATCGAATTTCTTTAATCAAACTCAACGTGAAATATATTAGACGTATCTATCATCACATCCCTCCTTGAGATATACATACTTACCAAGTCAGTTTCAGTAAAGGATGGCTGCGGATGCTCTTCTCTCTTAGCATTGGTTTGTTCCATGTCCACCATTTGCATGTGTCCAATGACCTTGTGGTGTTTAGTGAGCAGGTCAAGTGGACAACGTCATTATGGGGCCGGTGCCTTGCGATCAGACGTCCACTGTTAGTGCCAGTGACCTAGACAGGCAGCACCAGAAGCTTATCAGTTTGAGTTCAGGGCGATAAGCCTCTCGACCGACTTGAACCATACAACAACCACACTTGAACAGCTATATAAACTGTCGCATCCCGTCTGTTGGCCTCAAATCGACCTCTCTGGCGACACATTTCGCACTTTGACTGCTTTTTGCCATCACAGACACCATGAAGCTCGTGTCGCGACACATACCGAAAGAGCTCGAGGACGAGCAAGTCTCGCTGCTGCCAGAGGATCCAGAGGACATGGTCAGTCCACGATGCGTCACCACAGCGCATGACACACATTTGAGCGGCCGGCAGCTGACTGCGAATCTCTTCAGTGGCATGCCTACAACCTCATCGTCCCCGGCGACCTCGTCCACGCGCACGCCGTCCGCAAAGTCGTCAACATCAACCCGGGCACCGGCGTCCCGAATGCCGAGCGAGTCCACACCAACCTCGTCATCCGCGTCAAGTCCACCTTCTTCGATCCCGCCGTCGCCTCGCTGCGCATCTCGGGCGTCGTCGCCGCCGAGAACGAGCACGTCGCCATGGGCGCCCACCACACGCTCGACATCGAGGTCAACCGCTCCTTCACCATCATCAAGCCCGACGGCTGGGACAGCGTCGCCAAGAACGCGCTGGCCGAGGCCCTGTCGGACGACAAGAACGGCGCCATGGCCGCCGTGGTGATGCAGGAGGGCCTCGCCAACATCTGCCTCATCACCCAGTTCCGCACCGTCGTCAAGACCCGCGTCGAGAGCGTGGTGCCCAAGAAGCGCGATACGGCGGCGGACCAGGACGCCGGCATGCGCAAGTTCTTTGAAAAGACGCTGTCGTCATTACTCAGAGCGGCCGACTTTTCCGAGTCACGGCCGCTGCTACTGGCGAGCCCCGGATTCGTTGCGCAGGACTTCAAGGACTACATTGCAAAGCAGGGCCGCGACAAGTCGGACAAGGTGCTGACGGCGGTCGCCAAGCAGGCAACGGTGGTCCACGCCAACTCGGGGCACGTTCACAGCTTAAACGAAGTGCTCAAGAGCCCCGAGGTGCTGGCCAAGATGAGGAATATGAAGTACGCCAAGGAGGCGCAGTACATTGACAGCTTCTTTGAGCTGCTCAAGCTCGACGACGGCCGGGCGTGGTACGGCACAAAGGCCGTGGAAAAGGCCGTTGCCGACGGCGCAGTCGGGCCCGGTTCCGGGGTGCTGCTGATCAATAACTCTCTGTTCCGGAGCGAGGATCTGGCGACAAGGAAAAAGTACGTCGCGCTGGTGGACAAGGTGATGAGGGACGGCGGCGATGCGCGGATATTGAGCAGCGATCACGAGAGCGGGCAGCGGCTCAAGATGCTGGGCGACATTGCGGCCATTCTGAACTATCCCATGCACGACCTGGATGAGGACGAAGAGGCGGAAGCGGCAGAACAGACACCGCCGAGGCGGGACGAGGACGACCAGGTGGACATGTTGGATGACGTGATTTAGAATAGACAGACTGGGATACCAAAATGAATGAGCGTGCGATGGATTTGCGTGGCTTGTTAGGCATGGAGCTGTGATTCCATCCCAAATGGTGGCCCTCATATGTATGGCAGATGCCATTGCCGTTGCTCTCTTTAACTCATATACCTACCTACCTACCTAAGATTATCAAGCAAACTGCTTTTTAGTCTGAACAGCTTGGCAACTCTGGCCGTTCGGTTCTATGCGCCTCGGCGTTAAAAAGCCACGGCCTCGACATCAGCAGCTCCGAGATAACGCCCATAATCTCCGGGTACTGTGCGGGTTTGTGGGACGCTTTTTGAGGTGCATCCATCCCTTGTCCAGCTCCAAATTGCCCCTCATGGCGAACGGTTCGAGCCCCTCCATGGCGTGGTTGACATCATCCATATAAAGACTGAGCAACGTTTCCTTGTACTAACTGTTGCGACACTCTTGCGCTCTTTCTTTTTTCCACCTTTATTTTTCATTATTCTTCTCATTAACTCAAGGAAATATTAAAGGGTCCTTCAAATTCGGCAAAATGGCGCAGAAACTCACGTTGCAGTCGACGATTAAGCTCAACTCGGGCTACCATATGCCCCTGCTCGGCTTTGGAGTGAGTTATCACCTTACTTTCTCGCGATGGCTTCTTAATTAGACTTGCCGACAGGGTGCTGACTGGTGCTTACTAGGTCTACCAAACGTATGTCACCGTCCATCAACAAAAGCTACCTACATCTCAAAGACAACTAAACCAATCCTGATTTCCTTGACAGCTCCGCCTCTGTGGCTACCGACGTCTGCAAAGAAGCCCTGAAAATCGGCTACAGACACGTACGCACACTCCCCCTTTATCATCCTCATCACAAGACACGCTCATTCACACTCACATTTCCCCCCCTCCCCAGATCGACTCCGCCTCAGCATACCGCAACCAAGGCCCCTCCGCAGCAGGCATCGCCGCCGCCGGCATCCCCCGCTCCGAAGTCTTCTTCACCACCAAGGTCCCCGTCCGGGAGAAGCCCCTCGGGTACCAAAACACGCTCGACCTCGTCGACATTGCCCTGCAGGAGACGCAGCTGCCGTACCTCGACCTCGTCCTCATCCACTCACCCTACGGCGGATCCGAGAACCGCAAGGGCGCGTGGAAGGCCCTCGTCGAGTCTGTCGAGGCCGGCAAGGTGCGCTCCATTGGCGTCTCCAACTACGGCGTGCACCACCTTGACGAGCTCGAGGCATACATCAAGGAGCTCCAGGCCGAGCGCGGCGGCGAGGCTGGCAAGGGCGGGATTCTGTCCGTCGGCCAGTGGGAGATTCACCCCTGGCTGCCGCGCGACGACATCGTGCAGTGGTGTCGCGCGCGTAACGTCGCTGTTCAGGCGTATTGTCCTATTGTGCGCGGCGAGCGCTTTGGCGATCCCAAGGTTGGCGCCGTGGCGAAGAAGTATGGGAAGACGGAGGCGCAGGTTTTGCTGCGGTGGAGTTTGCAAAAGGGGCTCGTTCCGCTGGTGAAGAGCGTGACCCCTAGTCGTATCAAGGAGAATGCGGACTTGTTTGATTTTGAGTTGACCGAGCACGAGGTCAAGGAGTTGACGACGAACGAGTACAGTCCTTGTGCTTGGGACCCCACTGTTGAGCCGTTGGACAGGTAATTGCAACACCAAAGACGACCTTCGTTGAGACAAGGTGTATGAAATAAAAACCTATGGGAGGCTTGGATTTCCCACCTTCTTCTTTTCCTTCCATTGCGAAATCTTCCCAAGCAATTCTCTCGGAGCCTTGAGCAAAGCTCTCGGAACCTTCTTGGGTAAATTGGTCGAAATCTTCCCAAGTACCTCGCTTGGCGTCTTGGTTCTGCAGTATCGGTGCCCTTCTTGAAACCAAGTTGCGATCCTCTCCATGTTAAAAGTGACCAGCAGGGTAAGCAAGGAGACACAGCATGCTGTAATAATAAAGGGCAATCTTGTGCTGATGTCTGTAATGTTTGGAATCGCCCATAGTGCCTAGTAAATCTCAGGTCAAGGGATCCCATCCAAGGTATTGGGTCCTATACTCACAGCGCAGAACCCCAGCGGCAGATAGAAGATGCTCACATAAGTGAGCAGCATGACATTCTGCCCTAGTTTCGTCGCAGTTCTCGCCTCGCGGATTGAACTCCACGCAAACTCCTGTACCCGATAAGCATGCATTTCCCGACGGGGCGGGATACCCCTTACTTACAATCTGAAGGAGGTCTCTGGCTATCTGATCCAGCTCGTTCAACTTTGTCTTGATTCCAGTCTCAAAGTCCTCTTCCAACATCTTTAGCACGGTATTTCGAGTACTGTATGAACTGTGTACCGTCATCTTAGGTTCGTCCAGAAACACTCTAGCCTGTGAGATGTGATTTGCCAGACAGAGACGAAGGTTGGCCAATTTCTGCGCATCCTTTGCTAGGTCATCCATCATATGGGGGCTTTTGCCCCGGAACGTTAGTTGGTCAACGCGCTGTGCAAGATGGTAAGTGATTTGCTTCGGCTACATTTGGGACCTTGGGCGATCATATGAGACCAGTGCTCACCCTCTTGGACAGACACTCCCCAGCCCTGCGGCACAGTTCCAACCATTGCGTGTTGGCGTGTTTCAGGAACAGACGGAATAAATCTGCGCAATCATCTGGGATGCAGCCAAATGGCAATGTACTCAGGTACGCAGTTTGATTCCCCATGTTGATGAAGTATGATCTGTACCACCCGATTCTACTCACCTGGGCACCATGATGTTGCGAAAGGCGGTCCGATGAGAATTGATCGAGAGGGAGCCATAAAGTGATAGATACAGTATCGTTCCGAACTTCTGAGGCCTGATATATTCGTAAGTCGTTTGCAGTTAACTTCTCCTCCTCTGATACCTTGAATAGCACTTTCGCCCAGACTGAGCCATTCGTTTCATCGGTTAGGGGGCTAGAAAGGGTTGCCTTAGTTGACGTCCTAAATACAAGGGTTTAGAGAAAGAGACCGTTATAGCTCACATCAAAAAGTTCTTCCTTTGGGGATATTCTTTGCATAAAGTCCGGCAGTCGTCGATTGCTTCTGGAAAATCAAGGTGCCGTTCTCCGTCGTATGTTTCGGACAAGACAGCAAACTCCCCGTCCCGCTTCCCAGATACCCGGTACCACTCCTTAGGCATGACGCCCGTAGTACTTGCCCTTCTCTTCAACAATTCTCGCGCGAAGTCGGCCCTTCTGTGGAATAGGACAACCTGGAGTGGCGTCTTTCCCGAGTACTCCACGGCGTTGATGTCTGCCCCCGCGGACAGGAGCGTTTTTGCACAGTCTAAGCGCCCCAAATACGCAGCTATGTGCAAGGCAGTTCGGCCGTCTGCGTCTTTGTGGTCAGGATCCGTTCCCAAACGCATGATAACCTTGATCAAGTCAGGCTTATTCTCAATTACCAGCATTGCTAGTGCCTTGGTGTCCAAAGGTATCAGTTTCTTCGCGATTTCCTCCTCATTTTCCCTTAATGCGTACCAGAGCGGTGTGCTTCCGTACCTATCCGGTAGGTTTGCATCAGCGCCGTGTTTCAGCAACAAATCTACGGCATCAGCTTGTCCGGCTTGAGCAGCCCATGAGATCGCCGTTCGTTCACTGCGATCCCTTGCGTTTGCATTGGCGCCGTTCCTCGTGAGCAATATCTGCAACACCTTAAGTTGTCCACGCATTGCGGCCCATGATAACGGCTCCAAATGATCATTGACTGAAGCACAGCAACTGGCTAACAGAGAGTGCAAGCGATCGTCATTTCCGCTGCGAACGGCCGCCTCAATTGAGTTCTCGAGGTTCTTATCCCATGCACTGGGAAGCAGCAGCTCGACCACATGCCGGCCACCCTTTGCCAGACCTATGTCGAGTGCTGTAGAGCCAGATTTGTCTTTCTTATTGATGTCGATCCCATTTTTCTTGAGCAGAAACTCGACAGCATCCCGATTGCGTTTTTGTGTGGCTAGATGCAACGCTGTAGATTCGTTCATGTCGGTTGCATTCACGTCGATATTGAACGTTGCAAAAAGCAACTCCAGGACGGGGACGCTGTCAACCCCTTCTTCGGCCGCTGCGGCTGCGAAAAAAGCGTTTTTGTAGTTTTTTGCGTCGATTCTATTTTTATCCTTCACCATCATCCTTACTATGTCGATATGGCAATTCCGCGCAGCGTAGGTGAGTGGAGTACTGCTCCAATAGTCGACGGCGTTGAGGTCAACATCAGGGTCTTCAAGCAACTGCTTCACACGTTCTGTATCTCCCCGTCGTGCCGCGAGGGACAATGGCGATTCCTCTGGTAAGTCTCCAAAGAATGATGAGTCCCCATCCTCTGACGGGCTGCTGAAGGTGAGTGAGCTTCTGTGTGATGCTGCGTCTTGAGCATCGCGCATAGTGACTGCTTGTAGAGGCCTCGCGAATTCAGGCGACGTGAAGGGGAATAGTTGCGACCGGAGGTTAAGAAGAAATACAGTGACTGATTTGCGTTAAGAGGCAGTTCGGTGAGACTGTACTTGAGGGACTTCCAATCCTCATATATACGGAACAAGGCCATGGTATACCGCCCTCCATTGGCTGCTGTGCAAAGTGCCATTGACCTCCGATGGCTATGGCATCTTATTCATCAGGCTGCATATCAGGCAGCTCTGGAGACGTCGTGGTCAGCTATGAGTGGCTCATTTCCACTCGGGTATGTATGCAAGCCTCGCGAGGCAACCAGGCTGTGCAGGTTGGGCTGTGCTCTTCAGGAGCGGCGGGCTCCCGAATGCATTTGCATTGCTGCCTGAGGCTGTCATTGACATCCGAGATTGGGTGCGTGGCTGATGGTGCATACAGAGCCTCAATTTTGAGTTCTGTGTTATGAGGCGATGGTTGGTCTTGATCCCAGAAGAGCTCTGCCCAACATACTGATTGGCTGAGAACGTCCATTAGCACACATACCTGCTGGTCGCAGCTTAGGTATCTATGCATACATGGACCTCAGTATGAGAGGGTGCCCTGCATGATGTTCTCTGCGACTCATGAAAGTATCAGAGTGGATGTTGATGGGAAAAGCAATTGAAGTTCTCATCAGTCAATTGACTAGATACATTTCTTGCAGGGCGTGAAGAGAGAGGAGGAGGTGAGGTCAAGTCATCGTGTTATTGCCATCACGTGACAGCGTATCGGTCTCGCGTCAAGAGCTTTGGGGGTATCACGCTGTTTCTCCCTCAATCTTACCCCGCGACAACAACAAACCAAAAGCAACAACGAAAAGCATCGTCAATCACCACCAAGCCATGCAATGCTCGTCCACTCACTGAAACCGTTGCAAGTGCCACGATGCGCGTCCAGAGGACATTTACCGTAGTGCCGCCTCCGGGGCCGGCCGAGCGAACGCCCCTCGACAACCGCCCCATGACGTCCAAGCAAGTCCGCAAGGCCTACCGAGAAGCCAATCGCGTCCCGCGCGTGTCCAAGGCAGAGCTCCGAAGACAGGAAAGGGCCGAGCAGGAGCGCATCAGAAGGGAGCTTGAGAAGGAAAAGGCCGCAAGCAAGGCAAAGGCGCTGAGGGAGAAGAAACGAGCAAAGGAGCAGGCGGAGCGAGAGGAGAAGAAGAAGAAGGGCCTGCCCCTGGTCAATGTCCGGCCCAGTCAAGACACCATTGCGCGGTTTGTGAGGGGGAACGGTTTGGGGAGCAAGAGGGACTGTCAAGGACGAAACGTTTCCGGCGCGCCAGTATTGCCGATAGCGGAGGAGTCAGAGGAAGACGACCTTTCCAGCCCAAAGCGAACCTGCGAAACATGGCATGACCTCGGGGGCATCGCCGAGGAGCCTGAGCAAGGTGATGGCGAGCTCGATGACAAGACTGTTTCTGAGAAGAAGGTGGAGGACAAGGACAAGTCTGCTGCTATCCAGGAACTGGAGGCTGTTGCTGCCCTTGAACCTGTCACCAAGCTTGACACTGCGCTTGAAGAGCCTCCCGCTGAGGATGTCACTGCTCGACACAATGAGCCCATTGGTGAAGAAGATTTACTGGAGGGATTTGAGGTCATGTCGGACGACGAAATCTCCAAGCTATCATTCAATACGGTGATTGCAAGACCCAGGGTAGATGACGCAGAGTATGGTTCCCCTGCAGGGCAGGATGCCAGTCCGAGAAAAGAGGGGAAAGGCCTCGTTGGTGAGACCACACTCCAGCCATCAGATTCTCCCGTCTCATTGAAGAACCCCGAACCCATTCAAGAGTTTGACTTGATATCAGACGACGAGGAGGATCTGGAGCTGGAGATGCTGGCTCTGGACGTTGCCTTGACCTCTCAACAGCAGCTACCGAAAAAGCCATTGAAGCACCCACTACCCCATGAACCAGAGAAATCGGTTCGCACAGCGGCAGATTACGAAACGCATCTCGGGCTCGCCGCTGGACTTAAAGAGATGAGCCCTCCTAACCGCCAGGCGTGTCTTATGCCACCACCACCGATACCAGCTCCGCAGCGCTCGCCCTCCCTCAGCTCACCTGTCGCAATGAGACGGCAGGCACCTCCTCTCAGCACCCAGCAGATCCTCTATAACATGGACGACTTCTTTCCCACATCATCGCAGCAGGCAGCCGAATTGGAGGAGGAGGAGACCACATTCATCTCTCAACATACGAAATCAGGCTACACGCCTACACCTCAGGCCGCAAGTGCTGTCACGAAGAAGAGTTCGCCTCTGCCTGTGGAGACAACGTCTTCATCTCCTGGAACGCCGAAGCCCTTCTTTACTGCTTCGGGGACAAACGAAAGAATGGCTGTCGCCTTGCTACACAGTCGACGAACAGCTGAGCGGGAGGAGGAGGAGAGGCGGCGGGCCGCCGAGTTGGAAGCCCTGGAATTTGAAGAAGCCAAGAGGAGAGAAGCAGAGCGCCTTGCTCGGGGGAGGCAAACAGACAATCAGCCAACAAAATCGGCTGAGTCTACAAAGACGGAGACGTATGAGAAACCGCAAGCCCCTCGACAGGCAAGGCCAGTTAGTGCGATGTCACCACAGTTTCCGAGGGGCAGAGCGTTTATACCGAACGCAAACCGTGCACCCAGCAGGGCGGTTACGCAGCGGAGGCCTCTTGTTGAGACACGCGCAAATGTGGCATTGCCTACCAAAGTGCCTCCTGCGTCTGAAGCGAAGAAAGATTCACCTGTGGTCACGATTCCCCAACAGCAGCTCCCTCCAACGTCAGACACAAACAAGCCCCTCCCTCTCAAGACACAAACCGGACCCTTTTATTCTAAAGACCAAACTATGCCTACCAAGACTTTCAACAAAGAGAACAAAATCGCTCCTGATTTCGATGAGTTTAAGGACCTGATGGCTTCTCAGGAGTCGGAGTTTGGCGGAAGCTGGATGGACGAGCTTGCGACGGAGCTTTCCCTATAATGTACATACCACACAGAGTTCGATAACACGGCCGCAGAGATGGCTACGAGAGACGATATATACCCCCCTTTGGATTATACAGCGGACAACATGGCTGAACGGCTTGATTTACTACGGCGAAACGGGACTCTTTTGATAGCAAACTGGCGGGATATTAGTGATTTTTGCATCACATGGCGAATATTGCTTTCTATTTTACAATTATTGAGAGTATCAATTTATGTATGTTGTACGATTTACAGTTCCAAGTTGTGATGAGGAGAGATGAATGCCTGCTCCTTTTCAGAGTCACATATCACCAGCTCTGATGGCGCGTTGCCAGCTCTCATTATATCCTTCCTTATTCGAACAGTCCATGGATCGCTAAATGACTCCTAAACTGAACATTTCTACCTTGATCCATCCATTGCTCGAATCTCGACATCTCTTCAAGAGACTACAAACAGTCGAAGCACACACAATCCCCGGCATCTCCCACCAACTTACATCTCAGCCCCTCAGAGCCGAACCCTCGTCAACCAACAAGCACAGACTACCTAGGTATACAATACCTGCCCAAACCAGGTACACACCCCCCAATCTCATTTCTTTCCCATGCATAAAAGCTGCATTAGCCTCTTTCCTCCCCTTCTCCTTTTTGCACCGGCTAGCTGCAGGGTGCCTAGACGGCATCGTTCCTGTACAACCGCTCCCGATCAAACACTCTCTCTCGGCTTGTATTTGTACTACCTTGCCTTACTTTATGTTACATATACCAGGAACCGATGCCCTGTGCTCATGTCATGTCATGTGGAACACTGGAAACAGAACTGAGGATATATACAGCTTCGTTCGTTATATTACATATCGTGCCGTATGGGAAGCGAAAACTCATCCCTCAGCACATATCTCCCATAGGGGAAAAAAAAAAAGAGAGAGAGAGAAAAGAAACGCATAGTAGTACGACAAAGAGATGCCAAAGGGTATCGTTCACAAACACCATTCAGTCCCTTAAAAACCTCAAGTCCAGCACAAAAGCAGACAACACAAGAAAAACCATCTATACAAGATTCACATACATTTAAAAAAAAAAAAAAAAAAAGTCTTTCCTAGTCTTTATCGCTTCCATTGCCTTTGCCATATCCTTTCCCTTGCCCGTTTACTTTGCCAATGTCCCTTGTTCCGTGCCTCGCTGTCCGTCCTGAAAGCGAGCCTATGGATAGACGTTTCCAGCTCTACCAGATATATATATCTCACTTTGAAAGCAAACAGCAAACAAACAAAAAACACACAATAGAGACCCTATCTCCTCCCCAACGCCTCGAATGCAGAATGTCAACAAAGTCGTCTCCCTTGTTTTCGCCTGACCATTTGTATCGCGGCTAAATCAGACCAAGAAAAAGTCATCCTAGACGCCAATCCTTGCCGCCTGTGCTTGAACAAAATAAAAGAAGTAAAAAGGTAGAAGCAGAAAAAAAAAAGCACAGCCGGCGTATATGCTCCTCGTTCCATGACGCTGATACTTCCATGCCTATAATTCCGTCCCCCCTTCCAATGTCTCAAGTTCGCTTCTTTCTATGAGCAGCAACTTTTGACCTGGAAACCAGTTTCCATACTCTCTGCACAGGAGATGGCACAACGACAAGATGCCAAAACATGGTTCTTCCCAACCCCCCGACGCCCACGCTCTTCAAAGGAATATGCCCACCCATTCCGTCTTGGAAGCCACCTTTGTTCCGCATCCGTCCACGGCACATAGTATGTCGTTGGGCGTCGCGTTGCTCTTCCCCGGCGGATATCGAAAGCCGACGCCCTCGGGCGCAGTCTTGGTCGGTTTCCTGTTTTCGAAGCACTCGGCACAGTAGACCTGTGGCCCAAAAAAAAAATCTCAGTTAGACAGCAGCAGCAGAGAGAGAAAAATGTAGGAGTCAGCAAATACTTACGTGACCGCACGACTTGAGCGCCCAGAAATGGTGCTCTCCCACAGCCCTTTTCCTCTTCTTGGACGGCGTCGACGACTCCGTCGGGTCGTAGGCTAGCTCCTCGTTGCAGGCGGGACATATCGTGACCAGCTCCTCGCTCTGGCCGTCTGCTGCGCGGGTGTCGCGGGTGAATCCCGCCGATGCAGACGGTATCGGTTCCATCGGGGGCTTTGGTCTCGGCTCTGGTTCCGCGGGGAATCTGTTTTGCGGCGAGTTGAGGCTGGCGGTGAAGTTGCCGTTGAGGATGTCGGCCAGGGTTCGACCAAGGACTCGGATGCCGGACTCGAGCTGGTGGTGGCCGCTGCCGCCCATGAGTCTCAGCGCAACGAGGTGGTCTTCGTTGTTGTGTCTTGTGTGGTGATGATGATGGTGGTGGTGGTGATGGTGTGGCCGCTGGTGGGCGCGCGCGCGCCAGTGCTCTCTGCCGGAGCGCTGCTGCTCGTCCTCGTCCACCGTCAGGTCGATGTAGCTGGACTGGCCGCCGACGAGGGTGCTGTCGCTCCTGGCGAGCTGCGGCGGCGAGATGCGCTGTGAATTCGTCCGCCGCGGGTGTCGCCCGGCAATGTTATTGGTCACCTGCTGCAGCGTTACCTGGGGGTCCGACGCCTGCGTCCTCCGCCGCTCGACGGGCGAGTCTGGCTCCTCTGTCAGGTCGATGTAGGTCGTGGCCGGCGGATGGCCCTCTGGCGAGGCTCCCGTCCAGGCGCGGAGCATCGAGGCCTGCTGTGAAGAAGCCTGCTGCTGCTGCTGCTGCTGCGAGTGGGAGGAGTGGCGCAGGCGAGGCTGCGAGGTTGTCGACGATTGGGCGGGCTGGGCCCGTCGCGAGTGGCTGGCACTCGGCCGCAGGCTGACGGAGCCCGCCATGGTCGAGTCCCGTGGAGGGACGCCCTGGGGATGCAGCAGGTCGTGGAAGATGCTGCGGCCGCGGCTGCTGGGCGCTGAGGCCTGGCTGCCCTGGAAATGGACCTCGCCTTCGAAGTGGACCTCAATCAGGTCGTCGTCGCTGGACAGATCCAGCCCTTCGTCCCCGGATCGCGACATGGCGGCGCGGTTGGTGTTTTTTTCTCTACCCAGCTGCTGCTATTGTTGGGAAGCCAGAGATGGGAGACGGAGTTCTAGAGAGGGCGAAAGAGAGGCGACGAGAGGAGAAAAATTGGAGGTTTTTTTCCCGAGTCTTGCGGGATCGCTGAAGCGTGCAGAATTGGTGTTTCGAGGCCCGACTGCGTGCGAGTGCGGAGGGCAATTCACCGTTGCGTCCGTTGCGTAAGGGTGGCGTTGGCTTCGCAAGGGCAGCTGAGATGGAGACTGGGATGTCGTTATAGCGATGATGCTGCCTGGGACGGGGTTCGGACGGCGTCGGGGCTGGGGGGAGAGGGTCGCTCGCGTAGCTTCTGGGAGGGATTCGGTGGCTTCAGCCGTTGGTTGAGCGTGTCGTTGTCCTGTTTGTTTGTTGAGGCTGCTTTTCGTTTGGCTTCAGGTGGTGCTGCGTCAAGGCTCGTTTGGAGACGTCCAGAGTGTGAGAGAGAGAGAGAGGCGATATCCGACCCTCAGCAGACCAGATTGGCAACAGGGATGAAAAGCTGCTGGTTATTAGTGCTGCTGCTTTTGTTTCCTCGTTACGCGGCTCAATGTGCCAAAAACAGGAATCAGCCTGAGCGTTATGTATGTATGTAATATGTATGTCGACAAAAGACCAAAGTGAGGCAAAGATGAACAAAAAAAGACCCGGCACTTTGTTTCGTCGTCGGGTTACCGTGCGAAAATCACACCGGCTTTGGCTCGCATTTCCCTGGTCATAGTGTCATTGATGGTTCGGATCGCTTTCGGCAGCTGACAAAGAGTGGCGGAAGTGAGAAAGAGACGGGACAAAAAAAAAAAAAAAAGAAGAGAGACCCCCAATAAGACGGAGATTAGAATGGGAAATCAGGGCAGCAAGCAGCGCCACTAGAGCCGTGGATAGCGAACTGCTAACCGCTGGCTTTGCAGTGTAATTGGCCGAGCTGATCAGCTGAAAGAACTGATATCATGACTTCTTGTTAAAGTCTATATCATCTCATATTGCCGTGTCCTGATCCAACAGCCAATATCTGGACATCAGTGAGGCTGCCCTACCCGGCAGTTGGCATATGAACCGAACAAGGCCTACAGCCCTCCCTTGTCCTTCCCTTGGCCCCCCCACCTTGAAGCCGGCAATCACGGGAAATGGCTGCATTTTTGATGGATGACGAGATGCTTCTCACTGCCTTCAACCTTTGAGTAACCAACAGAGACCAGCTTGTGCCATTTGCCTGAAAGTTTTTGCCTCTGTCATCCAGAGAGACCATTCCTGAATATATAGCCATTGTGACGCAATCTAGACCCCCTCGTGTAACAAACAGTGTCCCAGCCGTTTGGTACAGATATGTATAGTAGCATTAAGAGACGGAATCATCAATCCCAGAACCAAGGCTCGCACCGCCCAACTTCAAATCATCTCCTCTCACTCCTTGACGCCCAACACCGTCACCACTCCCTCCCCGTTGAGTGAAATCAGCTTCTGCCCCGACTCGCCCCATCGAACCGCGACGGCTGCGACCGAGTTGCGCAGAGGCTCGCTCCACTTCTTGCTCGACTTGGTGTACTGCTGCACCGTGATGCCCGTGGCGCCTCCCGTCGCCAGGAACTGACCGGTGTAGTCCCAGGCCAGTGACTGCACCGACCCTCCAGTCTCCAGCACCTTGGACACGGCAGCGTCGCCTTCTTTGCGCAGATCGAAAATGGTGACGCTCGTCTGCCCCTTGGCCGTGGCCGCCAGCATGAAGCCGTTCTCGGAAAAGACCAGGGCCTGCACGGGGGCGCCCAGCTTGAACACAACGGCCTGCTCAAGGTTCTTGGTCATGTACAGCTTGATGTCGCCGGTGACTGTGCCTGCGGCAAAAAGATGTCCGTCGGGGTGGAAAGCGCACGTTGTCAGAGCTGCCGAGTGTCAATCGAAAGGGTCTAACACACAGCTGCGAGAGGAGCCATAGAAACTTACAAGCATCGGCATAGGCCCGGCTGACCCGCTTCATCGTCTCCAGGTGGTAAAACACGATGCTCTTGTCGGTGCCCACGGAGGCGAGCAAATCTCCGGACGGGTGTAGGCTCAGGCCGCTGGCAGGCCCAGCGTGCTCGGATAATGTGCCAACCTCGTTACCGGCCTCGTACACCTTGACGTTGCCTTGGCTAGTGGCGAAGAAGACCTTGGAGCCAGCCCAGAGCGTATCCGTCACGGGCTCGCCCACCGGAATCGTTCTCTCCACGTTGTCGGCCTCGACGGAGTAGATGGCTGCCTCCCCGTTCAATCCTCCCGCTACCGCATAACTGCCCTCCACGTCGAGAGCGGTGGCCCGGGGAACCGGCAGGGCGTTTGTCGTCGTCGTCTCGAATGATGACACCTGGTCGCTGGAGACCCAGCCCTCGGGCACGGAGCGCTTCTTGCGCCCCTTTGATAAGCTGCAGAGCACGTCAAGTCAGTATATGGCAATGGCCCAAGAACAGGCGCGAGAGTGTGCTGACCTCTGATGTACTGAATCCACTTGCGCCGCCAGGTCTTCCGGCAGCGCCTCGACGCTGTCCACCACCATGCCGTCGCCGTTGGCAGCGCCGTCTGTTACGGTAATCTTGCTCAGCGAGTCTCTGGCCTCGTCTCGCTCCTTGGTCAACCGCGCAATGACGCGAACGGCGGCATCGTGCTGGTACAGCGCCGTCGCGAGCTCCTCCCTTGTCCGGGCCAGCTGCTCCCGCAGGTTGTATGTCTCCAGCGCAAGGTTATCCCACTCGTTCTGGAAGGTGGCGAGCAGGGCGGGGATGGACGTCAGGGTAGGGGGGCGCGGGCGCGGGATGCGAGAGGTGTTGATGGGCAGCAGGTCCTCGACGGTGAGGGCCTCGCCGTTGGGTTCTGTGCCGTGCTCATTGATGTACTGTTCTATCAGCCGCTTCTCGTAGACGATGCCTGGGGTCAAAAAGTCAGCCAAATCTGCTCTGCCGTCTGTGTAGGTCCCCCTTTTGGCCTCTACTCACCCGACTTCTTGGACGCGACAGGCTCTTGAGGAGCTTCTCCGGAGACTGAAGTTGAGTTAGCATACGAGACAAAAGAAACAAGAGAAGAAGCTATCGTCATCCAGAGTTGGCAGCAGCCAATTACTTACTTCCGCAAAGCATGGCGACTGATTTGGATCCCGGCTGCGCTTCCAATGGCTGTGGAATGAATGATAAGGTGGTGACAAGTCCAAACAGTTCCAGAACTCGCGAGACGAGGCTGCAGCTCAAGCTGAAAGCGCCTGGAAGCCCGTTGGCGCGAACCAGCATTTGATCCCGCTCGAGATTTTCCGCTCCAGCGCACAGACCAGCTCCAGTACATACCTTACACACAGTACAGCGTTTCCCCCCCTGCACGTCACGAGCTGATAAGGACGGCCCCGATAAGCAGCTGCTCCAGCACAAGAGCTGGAATTGCGGGGAGTGCAACTTAAGTTTAGGGGATGAAGCTCGTCCTCTCCTCGAGCCAGCCATTCTTTTCAGTCTTGTTCAGGTTTCCCTTTTCTCCCGCGGCTTGTTTGTTCTCTTGTTTGCGCTGCATTGAATCGTTCGGGGCTTGTCGTGCATTCGGACTCCTTTCGCCTGGCTTCTCGCCCGCAATCGTTTCCAGCATTCCGTTGCTTCTACGACGCGGTTTTCATCCATCCCCGTCCAGACTATCCAGCCATCCTCCTCCTCCTCCTCCTCCCCCCCCCGTGTGTGCGTCCAAACCATCTCGGGACTCCAGCACACAACTCGATCTCTTACAACACGCAAACACCCAAAGCACGACAAGCCCAACATCTGTTTCTCTCTTCTTCTTGTTGTTAGAGGCACGCACACGCACGCTCGCACGCACGCACTGCATCATGCCTTTGGAGCGTCTCCCTCCCATCGCCGCGCTTCACTCGTACACGGATCTAGCCCAGACCGAGGTCCTCGACCTGCTGTTCGAGCCCAGTCCCGCCATCCACGCAACCCTCCTGCCGGTGATCCGCACGGCCGTCTACAGATCCTACCCCGACCTGATCGACGCCTGCCAGATCAAGCTGCTGTCGCTCGCCGCCCGATCCGCCGAGACGGAGCCGAACCCGGTCCTGCTGTCCGTCCTCGGCTCCCACCCGCGCCTGGGCGACAAGAACGTCAAGTCGCCGCAGTCGGTCGCCGAGCAGGCCGGCTTCCAGGACGATTCCGAGGCCGAGGCGGAGGAGCTGGCCGCGCTCAACAAGGAGTACGAGGAGGCGTTCCCGGGGCTCAGATACGTCGTCTACGTCAATGGCAGATCGCGGCCCGAGATCATGGAGGACATGAGGGCGCGGATCGAGCGAAGTGACTTTTCCAGAGAAGTCATTGCCGCAACACAGGTATGACTCCAGGCTGCTGACCTTCAACAACCTGCTATTTGTCTGTGATGATGGTTGGAAGCTAACTCGTGCGGACATCAGGCCATGTGCGACATTGCCAAAGACCGGGCGTCGAAGCTCCCCGAAGACACGTATACCCGCAAGCCGTCCAACGGCAACTGACTCTGACGATTGCCGCTTTCGAGCACAATATGCATTTTCGGTGGGGGAGTTAGAAGATGATGAAGAACAGACAGACTCCTCTAGATTACACAACCATGTTTTGAGGAACAATTTCAGGAGGGAATCCGGTCCTCCGCCGCCAAAATTCGCCCATAGCCCTGCCATTTCCCCCCCTCAACCCAGCAAGATAAAACGCCCTCCTACCCTTCCCTCCTCTCAAAGCCCATACAGCCCAAGGTTTTGCTTGTGCGCCAGCCATGCAAGATAAATATACAGTAATTTTCAGAAAGCCCCCTACAAGTGATTTCCGGGCGTCGATGCCTTGTTGATTCCAGCCGTCTTCCCAAGTGAACAATAAGAGATTAGACAAATAAAATGGAGGAAGAAAAAAGAAGAAGGATGAACAAGGGAGAAGATAATCACCCAATTCTTCACCCAATTCTCCATGAAATGCCATCGAGCTCGTCCATGTACTCTTCATATGTGTGATCCTCCTTGGGCGTCGTCACCTGCGGATCCGGCGACGTGGCCCTGACCGCAAAAATGGCATCAAAGTTGCAATACACGCCCACCCCGTCGTCGTCATCATCGTCATCATCCAGGTGCTCGTCGCCTGCATGAAGATGGGCGAAGCTGTCCTCCTCGACGTCGTCGTACATCCACGCGAGCGGCGGCCTCGGCTCCGGAGATGTGGTCGAGTCGATGCGGGCCGCGGGGCGGTCATTCGTGGCATCCGCATCGGCCGAAGGCAGCGGCAGGGCTATGGGTTTGGATAGACGGCATGCCGGTGCCTTGGCCAGTGTCCCGATGGGTTCTTCTGGTTGTGGTGCTGGCGGTGTTGCGCCTCTGCGCGCCTCCTCGAGGAAGCTGTGCTTCGCTTCGTGACTTGGTTTCACGGCTTGAGGCTGCTGCCACGGCGCTCTGCCAAACGTATCGATGCCCTGCCGCAGCGTACTGCTGCTGCTACAGCTGCTACAGCTGCTACAGCCATTGCTGCTGTTGCTGCCCTCGCCTTCGCCCTGCTCCCCTTCTACCTGATGGTGATACGGCGCAAGGCCCATCCGCTTGCGCATGCGGTTCATGACGGAGTAGCGCAGATACGCCGTGGCGCGGAGATGCGCAGCGCGCCTGCTGGAGTCGAGCATGACGGCCATCTTGACGAAGCGCCGGTCGCCGACGGGCCTGCCCTCGCGGTTGAGGATGTGCGTGGCGGGCTGGGAAAAGGGCTGGGAGAGCGGGCTGGTGATGAGGCGGCTGCGGAGGCGGCGCTTCTTGCGGCCGACCGAGGCCGTGTTGGGGCCCTCGACGTCGGAGCCGAGGCGGCAGCGCTTGATGCCGCGACGGGCTGCTGCTGCTGCTGCTGCTGCCTTTTGGCTGTTGGGGAGGAGGAAGGTGAAGGCTGTTTGGAGGCTGGTGCGGTCCAGGAGGGCGAATTGGATGAGGTTGTTGGTGTTGATGTTGTTGTTGATGATGATGTCTGGTTTGGGGCGTTGCCTCGGCGTGGACGAGGACAGGACAGTAGAAGGAGGAGCAAGAGGAAGGGGAGGAGGAGGAGGAGAAGAAGAAAGAATATGAGGAGGAGGAGGTTGTTTGCGTTTGGTGGTGGTGGTGGTGATGCTCTTCTTGAGACGGTGCCGGTGAGGCGGCGCCTCGAGCAGGAAGTCGGAGCTCTTGCGTCTGGACAGGGCCTTGCTCATGCTGGCGAGGCGTGGTCTTGCTGCTGCGCCGAGAGAGTGCAGGCCTGGGACGACGACCGCCATGGGGCCGGCTTCGAGGAGGGCATCATGGCATCTGAGCGTTTGGACGGGCTCGAGTGAGATTTGCATTGCTTGGTTGTGTCCTTGTCCTTTAGATGGGTGTATAAGGCGGGTTTCATGCGATGAGAGTTGTTGCTGCTTGCTTGTTGTTTGATTTCCCCCGGCTTTCACCGGTGAAGGGTCTGCTGAGGCTTGTTGAAGGTCAAGGTGAAGGACAGATCAAGGTGAAGGGGGGTGGTTATGAAGAAGAGAGGCCACTCTTTTTTTTGGTGAACCCTTGTCTTTCGCTGTTTGTTGTGCTGTCACTTTTTATTGCATGGAGCAGGAGTTCGTTGTACCAGCAGCGGTAGAAGGTGTGCTCTAGACGGGACTCTGTGGCTTGAAGCAGTGCAGAAGAGAGTGTTATTGTAGTCTCTGGTGTTTTTTCTGTCGGTGATGCTGCTATGGATGCTCCCCCAGTGAGGTTTGTGCAAGACAACTGGAAGGTATTAGCAACAGAAGACGGAAGATGGAGGTTACAGACGGCAAAAGGCGCCGCAGCCCATTCATACATAGGATATTAAAGCGGGGAGCCCGGCGCTGGACCTTTGAATCGACGGGACCGACCGAAGCCTCAAAACGAACTAGATCTCTAACACTAGTATTTCTTCACGGGACAGAGAGACATGAGAAGTAAAAAAAGAAACATGATGCAAGTTGTTTTCTTTTTCACCAGAGTCTTGATTTGTCCATCTGCACACGCCACGGGCAGCCAGCTCGACAAGGGGGGGTGCCATGCTGGTCGATATCATTACACACCTCTACTCTTCTTCTTCTCTCTCTGCTGCTTCGTCTTGTTGTCTCTTCCTCGGATGCAAGACAGAGAGACATCATCAGGCTTATTCGCAGGCAAAGTCTCCGAGCATCCAATCCCACCGTCCCAGAGACGCGGGAGCGAGTCGAGAGTCGACGGATGACGGGGGTTTCGCTTCCCGTAATGCCATACTAGCATAGGTGCAATGCAAGACTGCCTTGCAACGGAAGAGGTGGTATTGCGGGATTGGGAGCTGGCCTGGCCTGACCAACACATCAAAGAAGGTGTGCGTGTGTGTGTGTGTGTGTGTGTAAGTGAGTGTGTGACATCCATCACCCACCCACCAAAGCAGCGGATTTCCTCTTCTAGCCAGCGCCACGGCCCGGGGAAGCACGGTCATAGTATATTCCTTTTTCCCTGCCTTGTAATTGTTTCCTTTCTTTTTTTCTGCAAGGATCTGGATCTGCAGGGTATCAATAATAGAGAGAAGAGATGAAGTGAACAAGGAATACCTTAGGCTAAGCGGACTATCCGTGTGCCTGGTCGACAACGCCATAGGGGAGCGAAAGGGGACGTAATCACGAGACGGGCAGCTCTTGAAGTATTCTATTATCTAAGGAACCTGGTGGCTTTCTGTTGTTGTCTGTTTGTAGATGATGCTACTGTAGTCTTGAAGGAGACCTACATGATGCTGCCGTTTTTCTTTGGGTGTCACCGTAGCATTCAGGCTGTATGTACTTCATGCACAAGGGTGGTGAGAGAAAAGAGCCGGCAAGGCAAGGCAACAGAATTATACACACAGACACAGACACACACAAGAGCAACCCCCGAGTTCCGACCACTGCAGGACGACATCATCACGTTCAGGCGCCCGACCCCTACAAAGCCTAATCTTTGCAGCAGCCTTGTAATACTACTACATGCAGAGGATAATAGTAAAAATGCATGTTTGGCACAGCGTTGCAGGACACGCGGAACCTGTCAATGGCTTCCATTTCGCATCGAACTAAGGTATGAATGTACCTAACGATGCACGTCTCATGCATGAATCCAATCAGCACAGCTCGACCACGCGCGTAGAATAACCAAATGCAATCAGAAGAGAGAGGGGGAGAGAGAGGGGGGGGGGGGAATAGGAGAAAAGAGAAAAGAGAAAAGAGGATTGTAAAGGGCAAATGTTTAGCATTCGTGCTCCCACAAGTCCTGCTTCGAGGCGGACGACGACGACGACGAGACCCTGGTCCATGTCCCAGCTGAGACAGTCCCCATCTCGCCTGTGCCAGGAATACTACCTAGTAGTAGACGGGACAGTTGAGGCTTAACAAACAATAATGGGACTTGACGCCTCGTTTTGCGGCAAGGGTTCGGGTCGCCAGCTCTTTGCCATTCAGCTCTTCTCCACAGCATATGTCTAGGTAGCCAGTCCTAATGGTTAATATCTCATTAGCTACTACCTAGTATTACTTCACAACTCCCGACAGAGTCATCACTATCAGATACACTCAGTCCACAATTCTTAGGTATACAATAACACGAGGGGGAGAGGAAATCAAGGACACAAGCAATAATGACCGTCATGGCCCAACTCGTCAAATCGGATTCCTCTCCTCTAGCATCCCCGGAAGCCCCTTGGTACTTGATAGGCTCGCTCGTACATACCTACAGGACGCCTCCTCGTACGACTGGAGGTTCATGTGACATTGGTATCAATAGCCTAACGTACATGTCATCTGTCAAGGGACAATACAACAAGCATGCAGCCGTGCGAATGCCATACAAGCATGTACGCAGACCGCGCTTTGCCTCTTTGCTGTTTCGGTCGAGCTGCATGAAAGCATCCATACTACTACCTTCATGTTTGACTTGCCTGACCTTATGCACCCTTATGTATGTGCATGCAGAAAAAGAAGCCCCGGTTTCATCTTCAGCCGTGATTTGCTGCAAGAGTAAGCCATGCAGCTGCAGCCCTCACTCTCAACGCTCAGCAAGTATTAGCCAGCCACTCACTCACCCACTCACTCACTCAACCATCCGTCAGACATGCAGCAAATCAAGCCAAACAAGCATCCTGATCGAACAATCATCGGGTCGCCAAACCCCATCGACAGGTCACGTTGGATCTCCAATATCCACCCCCGGAAAAGCCCAAGACCCTGGCTAGTCTCTCCGCACGAATGCCACACCACACCACATCCCCTCTGCAGTCCATCCAAAGCGCTCCAGACGATGACAAAAAGAACAAATCACTTTCTCGCTGTCGAATCGGGCTTCGTCCGCCCAACTGGCCCGACTTCCCAAAGCGTCTTCTCCTGCATTCACATACAGGCGTAGACAGATGTCGACATTGTCAAAACAGCTCATGTTGACTGCTTGGGCTGCCCATTGCTTTTGCTACCCTTCAGAGTTCTCCAACCCCCGAAATCCTGCTCGCTGATTGTGCTTCTCTCTTGTCAACACACCGAGGGAAAATCCCACGAACCAAAAGCTGCTGTCTGCTCTTCGTGTCACGGGAGCGAGACGTGGAATAGCACCTGGTGCTACAACATACTTGAATCCGCACGCACACTCGTCAATCTGTGTGTCTCGACCATTCATACCAACTATTAATGCTTCCCTACGCATCGAGTCGACGGTGTAGCAGCTCGGCCAATGACTTGTTTCCAGCCACTCTGCTGCTGTGTTACCTGAGACGGCGTTCTGCCAGCTCAGTGCTGCATTGACCTTACCTGCCCAGATCCGAAGCAAAGCGCTGCAAAGTGCAAAAGACCATGATCATCTTGCCCCAGATTTCGATTGGCCATGTGCCGCCTTGGTCACAGCCCGACAGCTGGGATCGCTGCCTGAATCACCATGACGCTGAGACCACGATGATCAGCAACAAAATCGCAAAAAGAAGCAGACCAAAGTCTCGACGGGCTTAACAAAGGGCCCCCGCCATATCCGGCCGCGTCTGGGTGGCAGCGCCATTGCTCCCATTCGCTCTGCCGAACCAAGCCGGCAGCCAATATTCGCACCGCACATCATGCCGGGATGCCTACTCAGTACAAGTACAATCGAGCCACAGCCCGCCGCATGCTGTAATACACCACGAGCCCATATGACCAGTCGAAAAGCCAGGCGGCAGCTTTCCCCCCAATCTCTCCGGCTGACAGGCCTCGTTCTGGACCTGGCTAAGCTGGGCGCGTCCGCACACCAAAGATGTCATTGCGCCATCCTCCTCGCTCGTACTCGTAGATTTTCTGACTGGCATCTTGAGCCTCCCGCTCCCACAGCTGGACTAAGCTGCCCGGCGTATAGCGGTCGCGGAAGATTTCTGGCCGCACGCCAATCCTGGCTGCAATCTCCGGGTCCGGCCGTGGCACCAGCCGGGCGGCAACGGCCTTGATGAAGGTCCAGAGGTCTTCGGGGCTGGCGATGCGTGTTGCGCGCAGCCTCTCGCGCGCAAAGAGCAGCTCGCGGTTGAGGGTGTGGAGTGCGTCTTCGATGGACGAGGCGATGCTCTTCTCCAGCGCCCTCTTGATGATGGGCCGGACCAAGGGCTTGAACAACCAGGCAAAGAAGGAGAACTTAGACTGGCGGAGGGTGTAGTTGAGGTGGTGGATGCGGACGCTGGCCTTGCGGAGCGTCACAATCTTTTCCAATCTGTCCCGGCCAATCTCAATGTCCAGGATCAGGTCAATACCGCGCTCATCCAGATGGATGCTGGCTAGGCCCTCGTCCATGAACCTAAAGATGCCAGAGTGCAGGTGCAGCCAGTATCCCAGATCTTCCGCCGCAATCGATAGCCCGGATATTTTGATCGTGGCCAGCGATGTTACGGTCGACAAGACTTGGAAGCGGGCCTTACGAATGTCAATGTCATTCCGGGTCGAGACCTGGAGCCTGTAGGGGAGGAACGAGGTGTTGTTGATTGTTCGACCAGGCTGCAGGATCAGATTCTCAAGCAGCAAATCCACATCAGGGGTCGAAACTTCCAGGCGCGGAATTGGCAAATATTGAATGCCCTGGATAATCATGGGGACAAACACGTTGACAAGGTCCGACGTCATCTCCCGGTTGATGTACTGATTCTTGGGCGATATCAGGTGTGCAATGCGGCTTGAGCTAGCAATGAGTTGGTTGACTTCGGTATCCTGGCTCACGGAGCGCAGGGCCGCGCTGAGGCTGCCGAGCAGCTCGTCGAGCTTGTCCCGGATGGACGTCTCGGTTGCGAGCTCTTTTGACTTGGCGCGGATCTCGTTGAAGCGCTTCTCCGCGTTGCTGAAGAACTCGGGATCCATGAGAATGTCCTGCACCAGCTTGGAGACATGGTTGACGAGCTCTTCAAATGCAGGATCGGACTGGCCAACCTCCACAACCTCTTGAAACGACTTTTCCACTTGGTCCCAGGCGTCCTTGTCACCAAACGACGTGACAAGCTGCCAAAAATTCCTGAGGGCTTCGTCGGCTTCCGGGTTGATGTCAATGTCTTCCTCCACGACCTCAGCCGTACGAGCAGCAGCCTGAGAGTAGACTTTGAGATAGCGCCTCAGGAGAAGGGACAAGGTGGACACGGAATCCGAGTAATTTGGTCGTTTACGAAGCTTGAGCACGGCCTGCTTGAGGCGATAAGCCAGGGCCTCCTGCTCTTCGCCTTGGATGTGATCCCGCGCGCTGCGAGCTGCAGCTCCAAGGACATCGGTGGCACCGTCTGCCACAACTTCAGCCACCTGAGTCACCTCTTCCTGCAGCTCTTCGGTCGAGGGGGCAGGCTGGGCATCTCCGTTGGCATGTTTGAGAGCCTGTTGCTTCTCCTTTGGCGGCTCGATCCTCTTGGCTGTCTCTTGGGCCACGTCACTCAGCGTGAATGCCGTATCTCGAAAGACTTCACGGGAGACGGTAGACAGATCTGTAAGGAAGATGCGAAAGTCGGAGTTTGTGAGAAGCAGCGAGCCCACTGTTTTGACGCTGGCGATGGCGGCCATGACGTCTGCCTTCATCTTGTTGCTGCTGGCTCTGGCCTGGATGTCCGAGGCGTCCACGCGCAGGCGGGCCTTGGACAGGTACCACAGGAAGTCCTGGATCTGATCGTTGGAGTTCTTGGCCTGGAGCAGGTCGATGAGCTCGCTAATCCACATGCGCGTGGTTCGGACCAGGGCTCTACCCGAGGGACTCAGGCCAGGCGCCTGCGGATTGAGAACGTCTGCCGAGAGCAGCGTGCGGAGATGCGTGATGGTCTGTTCGTTGGAGGGCATGTAGCCGTTGGAGAGGGCGCGCAGCATCTGATATGTGTGAAGCTTCTCGTGGAGGCGGGTTTGGCGCTCTGTGGCCTCGTTGTACTGCGGGAGCAGCGGCTGGTGCTCTTCATCGTGGCGGCGGCGGCCGTTGTCGTGACTGAGAGTCAGCCAGGAAAACATGGTGGCGATTCCGAGATTGTAGCTGATTGTAGTGGTTTCTCTTATTCTGTCTCAAGGGGATGGATGCCAAAGGTGTGTGATGAGAGAGTATATGAAATGGCTTATGAGGTGGGTTCGGGTTGTTGATGGGAGGTGAAGATAGAGTAGGAGTAAGTAAGTTTAGTAAGTACCTAGGTGAGTAAAGAGGTGAGAGGAGGTGAGGTATGTGAGATGATGCAAATCAATGACGCTTGCTTGACGTTGGAGCTGAAACACGGCAGGTGCGTCCAACCGGGTGTCACTGGGAATTCAATATTGGGGGCTTGTTTTTCTTCCTTTTCCGAATCTCCAAATTCCAGGTATTGTGAGCTTGGAGACTATCAAATTTTTTTCATTTGATAGAGGTGAGATTTATCGGGTGATGGCTTGATGACGACAATTGCTGGTGGTGTCGCTTGTTTTGTGTTTTGGTGCATCATGTTGCCAGGTGCGTCTGAAGCCCGAGTGACATCACAGGGTAAGCTGCGTGAGGCGAGCTGCATGGGACTGCACTTTACTTTACCTTATCTACAAGCCACATAGGTATCATTGACCTACCTACCTATACAAGGAATCCGTTGCAAATTAAAATCACTGTTTAGCAAGAAGAAGAAGAAAGAAAGCATTCACATAAGCTTTGTGTCGATACTGGCTCAATGCTGAGGTCCAGTGCGTGGAGATGCAATGCATTGGATGGCCCTTAGCTATCGATCCCTGTGTGCGTCTTTGTAATATCAACGTGCAACCCGACTTCAGGCACTCAGCAGGCGCTGAGGAGACAAATGCAGTTATATGCGCGTATCAAGCACGATGACGACTCGATTTATTTTTGCTGCTGCTTCAGAGTACCTTGATGTCTCATCAACCAAAAGCTTTAAGGTAGGTAGTGCCCGCCTGTGGAGGGTTTGCCTTTGCTAAAAAGCCTCGGGAGTGGCTGAAGATCACGCCGCTTCCGTGTAAGAGTTTAGGAGGAGACAAAGGAGCATTCAATGGACGCTTTTCTACTGCGCGTCTACTAAGTCATTTCACATGAATCCCACTATAACAGGATTGGAGAGTCGTTGGTTCATCTTTGGTTTGCTGCAAGTGTGTATTCGTCGGCTTCAGATGATGTAGCATCTTGTCACCTGCCGAGTCTGATGGGGAAAAGAGACGACAAAGTAATTGTGAAATCGGAAAGCTGATGAGTACATGTAAATTGCTTTCCCACAAGATCAAAGATGCCCCATACATGTAACTGAAAATGGCAATCAATCTCAGCAGCATGCGAGGCGAGCGTCAATTGGATGCTCTGCACCTGTTTTAGCCGGCAATATGGGGATGCAGCTAGCGGGTCCGGAGCCGAGGTCCAATGCCAGCTTGAGCGTCTTCGTCCCTGTATGTACGTGATATCAGCATGTCAACGCCTCCCTTCTGTTACACCGGCCAACTCGACCGTCCAGTCACTCGATGCAATTCGAATAAGTCAACGGGCGGGTAGAGGAAGCGGAACAAACGTTCAGGCAGCAACACAAGTAAAATAAATTACTGGAACGCGTCGCGTAAATGTCAAACATGGGCGCCAACGGCAATGACACACCCACCGAGTTCCGGCGCAATGATCTCTACGAGGCTCTGAAGCTATCTCGGCTCCCCGACAAGCAAAACAGCTCTCAGGATGGCGGCAAGAGATTCATGAGCCGTACGCCAGCGTGGAGGCCAGGCGACGAGTTACCCTGGAAGAGGACAAAGGACGATTTTCCTCGTGGTGCTTTCGGGGGCCACGTCTATGCCCAGGCCCCTTTGGCAGCGGCGAGAGCCGTGGAAGAGGATGAAAAGGAGGCCGGTGGCAATGGAAACGGTAAACTTGGCATTCATGTGAGTCTGCAGTCACCATTCACGGGCTTATGATTTGAACTGATGGTTGGATCATCGGCAGTCTATTCAAGGCGTCTTCACCAAGCCTGGCGCGATTGATCGCCCATTCATCTATCAAGTCACAAACGTCCACTCAACCCGTTCATTCGCCACCAAGCTGGTTCAGGCACGACAGCCCACAGCACCATCTAGAGTCCCTGCCGGCCCCTTTCCAGAGTCGGATGCTGATCAGCCGCTGGGCAGCGTCTGCTTCGCCTGTCTCACGACGTTCAAGCGTCCCGCGCCATCACCGGCAGATCACCAGATGGAAGGATCAGCTCAGGAACGCTACGCCGACATTCTCTCTCAGCGGGCACCAGACGAGTGGGATCCTAGCCCGCAACTCGACGTCGATGCCATCACGGCAATGTTCCCCAATGCCGGCCATGGAGGATTTCCCATACTGGACATGTACAAGGTCGATATGAAGGCCTACAACGCAAAGAGGGCGGTTCCCGAGCGGCGTGAGCTAATTCTCTATCGACTGCATAAGCCGATTCCTGAGGACGATGCCAACGCGCACATTGTGGCACACGCCTTTGAGGCGGACCGCAACGGGCTGATCATGCTGACCAACTCCCTCGGCTGGGGCTTCAATCTCGGGACTGCGGCGAGCTTGTCATATTCGTTCTATGTGCATGTCAATGCTGATGAGGCAGTTATGAAAGGCGATGGGTGGTGGATCCAGGAGGTCTGCTATCCGAGAGTGTGTGCGGGCAGGGGGATGATGGAGAGCCGGATATGGAGTCCAGAGGGGAAGCATGTGGCGAGCGGGTATCAGGACGGCGTGGCTATTCCGGCAGAACAGAAGGCGAAGACGACTAAGGAGAAGCTGTGAGGCTGATGGATCACAAACGAGTGATGTAATCAAGGTGTGGTGAGTTGGATATCTAACTGGCGGCATCGAGCGTAGTCGGCATATGGTATCATAAGACAGGGAGAGTTGATGAGACTAGATAGATAGATGTGTTTGACGGTCAACACATAGACGACCTAGATACGTCCAAGCAATGTTTCATCATCCATTCACTCCATCAGTGCTCTCTTGTATGTCAGCCCCGTGCCTGGCCTCGCCAGTCGGTTGCTATGCGCCGTTGCCTGGTGCCCGAGCTGCCAGCTGCCAGCTGCCAGCACTCGATGTCAACAAACAGACACCAGACGATGCAGCGCGTGGGCGCGCGTCTGCAAGGCTCAACTTCTATAAAGCGCGTCTCTCTGTTTTGATCTCTTCTCTCCCCCCCTTCACGATCATCTTCACGGCTGACATATTTCGACGCAACCACCTTGCATCCCTTCTCTCTTCTCAAGCAACAAACAGCATATACAGACCAACATCATCCAACTCCTGGCCAGTCTTCGTATCTATCAGCATTCAAGACAGTTCATTCACGAGTGTCGGGCACACTATCCTCTACGGCAAAGCAGTGAGCTCATGACCGCCGCCTGATATGGCCTGCCTACGTGTCTCTGTCCACCCAGTTAACCAATGTGTATGCAGTCATCAGGCCACACATCTCTCACATCCAGCTGCGTCGGCTCATTTTCCAAAATGCCCGTCATGAACAACCCCTATGAGATCAACACGGCACCGCCCACTATTGGCACTCCTCAAGATGCCGCCACGCTCCGAGAACTGCTCAAGACTCCCTACGACAGCGTGTACAAGGTTACGCCCGATGGAAAGACCTTTCTCGAGCCTCTTCTGCTTCGCGGCACCCCGGTGGAACGGATCAACGAGTCTTCAGAGTACTAGAACCCCTCGTGGGACTCGCTTGTGGAATTCCTGGAGCGCCAAGAGCCCGAGTCGGAGAAGAAGAGAGAGGTTGCCTACCTCAGCCAGCTGAACCCTCGCGACAAGGCGCTGCGGGCATCGCTGAAGCGGTACCGGGACAACTCGAGCAAGTTCAAGAAGATCAGGGAGGTCTTTGGAGAGCCCAGCAGATATCACCCCAACCAGCTTCTCTCGAAAGACTACCTGCCCTCTAGCGGCCTGTGCCAAATGGAGCTGATGTATCGTCTGGCGTGCAAGATTTCGGACCTGCAGCATCTGTACCGAATGGGGGCGCTGGCCATGGACCCCTTCGACTTCATCAGGTGGCGACTCATCAAGAAAGCCGCGAGCTTCATGCGCAACCCGGGAGACAACCCGAAGAAATCGATCAGGACGATTGTCTACAAGCTCTGCGACGACTCCGTCGGCGTTATGAGCAGACCCTACCAGGATTCCGTCATGAGGCACGCGGTGCTCATGTCTGCTGCGCAGAGAAACCACCTGAGTGCCTATGGCCCCCGGGGCAGATGGCGAAAGTACTGGCTCTCGGACAAGAGAGACTCCCCATACAGCACGAGGGCGTTTCGGTCGCCGCAGAAGTCGAGGCTTACGGAGGAAGACGTTGCCGACCACAACTCGGGCAGCCCGCTCCCCCTGGCTTCCAGGCGGAGCCAGCGCCATGCTGCTGCTCTTGCTCGCGCGCGTGCTGCGGCCGCCTCCACGGGGCCCGTCTATACGGGGGTGAATGCCTTTCGAGCCCAGCAGCAGCAGCGGCGGCGGGAGGCGCAGATGCGACAGGAGGCCGAGGAGCGGCAGGCCAGGGAGGAGGGACGCCCCGAGGCGGAGTAGAGGCGACGGTTTCTGCGTGCGCAGGGGCGAGGCGCGGAGACTGTCGTCGTCGTCGTCGTCCTCCTCCTCTTTGTGTGGGATTTGTGTGAGGCTTGGTGGTTACTTGTGTTGTGGCTAGACGCCGCTTAGGTCTTTTGTTGCCTTCTTGTTGGTTTTTCTTCTTTTGTTTCGGGTACAGCTACAACTGCGTTTTGTCTGTAGCTGCATTGTTGTATCATCTCTGTAAGACTATTTTTGTACGATTTCCCTGTCAAAGTTGCATTCGTCTCAAGCTCCAATGATGCTCATATTCGAAGCTTCTTGTCGTCTGTGAACTGAGCCGAGTTGGTGGTGCAATGGTGACATGGCTGGTACCGTCGGGTTGTGTCGCACAAGCTCCAGCAACAGCTTTACGACCTGCCTCCTCAGCTTCTGATACCAGCTGCACGTAGCATAACCCTCTATTGAGCAAACGAAGCAGCTTCTTTGAGCTACCTATTCCCGCCCATCGTCATATTACTAGTAGTATCAAGGCAGCTCTCCCTCCTTGCCATGAGGTAATCACAAAATCATCAGCTCACACACAGCAGCTCAGTCACGTGTTGGTAAACCACAGCCCGCCATTGGCCAATTCCCGCCCGGACAGCGGGGCGCCATCTCAAATCAGACCATCCGCAAATCCCTCGAAGCCAGAAAACCGAACCCCATCACCAACTTCCTCTTGCTTCTCCTTGCATCGCCGCCGCCCGCTTCCCGACGACCAACGACGACCATGTTCTTGCAACGCTCTGCCATCGCTGCGGCCCGCCGCGCCGCTGCCGCTCCGGCCATTGCCCGCGGCTTCGCCACCTCTGTCGCTCGCCGTATGAACTTTTAACCCCCCCCTCCCCTCCTCTGTGTCGAGCTTGGGATAGAATGGGAGATTCGGATGGATGGAGATGCGACTTGTGGGAGGACTGTTGGAGCTGTGGCTGACGTGTTGGGGGATGTGGTTTAGGTTCTGCTGGCCCTGCGAACCCCAACCAGCAGGCTGCTGCTCTTGCCGGCACCACCGAGAAGAAGATTGGCTCCTACAAGACCCTGTCTGGTATGTCTGCGTCGGCTTGTTTACGCATGCATCGCTACCTCGGCTAGGTGGCTATAGCTCTCTGAGCTATCCACGATGGCATGCAGTGCATCCCTTCGCAATAGCAGATGCTGATGCAAAGCTTCCTCACTCCCACTACAGAGATCAAGACCGAGGACGACCTCTTCGGCCCCGGCGCCCAGCCCGGCACCGTCCCCACCGACCTCGAGCAGGCCACTGGTCTCGAGCGTCTCGAGATCCTCGGAAAGATGGAGGGCGTCGACGTCTTCGACATGCGCCCCCTCGACTCTAGCCGCAAGGGAACCTTGGACGACCCCATCCTGGTGCGCTCCGCCGGCGACGAGCAGCTTGCCGGCTGCACCGGCTACCCTGCCGACTCCCACGGCGTCATCTGGCTCGGCGTAAGTGCTCGCACCTGAGTGAAGGGAAAAAAGGAGTGGTTTTGGCTTTTACGAGGTGCTGACGAGGGCGGATTTACGACGTGTAGCTTTCCAAGGAGCGCCCTGTCGAGCGATGCCCCGAGTGCGGCAGCGTCTACAAGATGGACTACGTCGGCCCCCAGGACGATCACCACCACCACCACCCCCCGGAGATCGCCGAGCCCAAGACCTTTGCCGACTTCGTCAAGCCCGAGTACCGTTACCGATAAATGCACCGCTGATGGATGACGGAGGACGCGAAAATCAGAGGGAAGGTGTATCAAGACGATGTATTATCAGGGCATAAGAGTTGGGTGGAGCGAGATGTCCATGCCCGGAGGGCCAATGGGACGCGGCTGTGTATTTTGTAGATACTCATGACTTTGTTACAATGTGAATCACGAGCATTGACCAGGGGCAGGGTATCTTTCTGATTGATCTAATGTTCGATGCGGGATGTTTGGCCCATGCATCTGACAATCTTATCGCTTGTTGCATGACCCCGGCAGTATTGAGAAGCTCCAGTGAGGCGCCTCACCTTTATCAGGAGGGCTGTATTGAGGATGTGCAAGGACTGGTAGCTACACATGTTTGGTATGTGATGGGCGGCGGTGTTTTCGTTCCATCGCATGCTACACCAGCAGCCTTGAGATCCCTTGCTTCCAGGAATCGAGCTGAGTTCGCCGGCAGAAGAGATCTGGGGCTTATGTGAAGCTGCGGTGGCGATTTCAAGAGAACTCTCTTGCTAGTGAGCTGCCACAGCATGGTCGGTTCCTCCAGCTGGCTGTTGTTGTTCGTGCTGCTGGAATAAGCCCAGCTCAGCCTTCGTCCTCGTCGAAGCTGAGCTTAATCTTCTTTGCCTTTTTCTTGGGCTTGCGGTTGCTGGTCTGCTCAGCATCGTCCGTTTCCTTCCTTGACGTCTCGCTCTTCTTTCCCGTAGCCGCACTCTCAGCAGCGCCATCGTGCGCCTCCTCGCCAACCACCTTGCCGACCTTGCGCTTCCGCCCTCCTATCGAGGCCCTCGCCGGCTCGGCCTCGCTCTTTTTCGCCGCGTCCAGCTTCCCATCATCTTTGCTCTCCTCCTCGGCCTGATCCTCTGCTTTCGCTGCTGCTTCTTCCACGGTGCCGTCCTTGTTGACTTTCAGATCCTCAAGTGCGTTTCCATGCTCGTCCACGACCAGGGGCGCATCCTCGGCCTCTTCGCTGCCGGACCGCTTCTTTGCGCCGCGGCGCTGGGCGGCGAGGATGGGGTCGGGACCTGTTGCGCCGGCGGCCTGGGCGCGGAGAGCGGCGAGGAAGGGCGGGAGGGAGGAGTTGTAGGAGAGGTTCTTGGCGTTGACTTTTTGGGACATGGCGATGTTTGTGTGGATATGGGGGATTGTGTGAGGTCAAGCCGTCGCGTTTTAGAGTAGTACTACCTTGCCAAGTACGGTAGGTAGTAGTAATTGTTTAGAGGTGAGCTTGAACGCTTGACGTTGTTGGTAGAGGTAGGTACCTAGTTGATAGAGCTCTTTGCGGCGGGCGATAATCAACCAATCAGCGCTTCAAATGGTTTCGTGGTCTAGTTGGTCATGACATTTCGTTAACAACATCTGTTGACACCACCGAAAAGGTCCCCGGTTCGAGCCCGGGCGAGATCATTGCTTTTTGCCTGCTGCAGCTATTTTCACTCACCTATCCAGACAGAATCGAGTGGAGTTTCGCTAGAGAGCATGCAGGGTCGGTCGGGCGTTAGTATTATGTAAGGGGGAACAAACATGTTCCCCTCCGCCGGACCCTTACTACCTTACCTATCCCTGTGGCGTTCTGCCCCTTGTTCTGGCTCGGAAAATTCATGATTGAGGACGCCGCTGATTGGCCACAGCGCCACTGCATGGCCACCGAAGTCGCAGCCTCCCGACGCTGCTATGCGGTACGTGCGCGGCCGTGCGGCGTTGGTCAGCTGCCGAGGTACCTGTCCAACAGCGGCGGCGGCGGTTGACCTCTTGTCGCTGTCGAATCTTGTCCTTCTTTTTGCCCCAAATTTTTTCGATTCTGCCGGGTCGCGCTAAACTCCAGTGGAAGCAGAGGATCGGGATTCCCCAATCAGCGGCGAGCGGTCTGGAGGCTGGCGGTATCTGCCAGATCCAACGGCTAGTACGACTATGACTAGGAGGTAGGTAGTAAGTACTAAGTTCAACCCAATCTCCCTCTCCTTTTGATGGCAAGATAAAGACACGAAGGGAAATCAGTCGATTGGATGCTGCGACTTTCTCTCCCCAGTCTTTGACGGCGAAATCACCAGCCAGAGGCGCCGTTTTCCTGTCCTTTCCTCTATCGTCTGGCGCGAGGAGCTGAGATTGGCGTGCGAGTCCGATTCAGGCCGGTGCCCCGCGGGAGGCGCATCCAATTTCCACGCAGAAGCGCGTTCTGGCTCTTCGGCATCACGATCCTTTTCTCTCTTGCGGCTCGACAGCCTCGATCAAGCCATCAGAGGCTTTTGCTGAGCCAGACTGCACTGATCCGCCCGGACTGCTCTACGATTGGCGTCAAATTGCTGCAGGGCTTGTCGATAACCTGATACGAGTCCCCCTCCAAACGCCAGAAAAATAAAATCAACCAACCTCGACCCCTGATTACGAAGTCTCGACTTTCACTGATCTGGCCTCAAATCTGCCACGGCCCCTCCCCACAACCTCGTTCGACACGGGCATTTGTCTCTCGTCACGATAGAGGCGTCTCTCCTCTGACCGAGCCGATACACACGTCGATTCTCCCTCTCTCTCTCTTTCTTGGTCTGCTGTTGCTGTTCCTGCCGCACAGGCAGGCTTGGTTGCTAGTTCGCCATGGACATCTTCCGGCGATCAAGAGCGGGTGGGCGATCATCAGAGCTGCCGACGGCGGACGAAAAGCGCACGAAGAACAAGGGGCTCGCGTCTAGCTTGGCCTTCTTCCAGAGGCCGCTGCGTCTGCGCGGCAACTCGGCCGTGTCCATCCCGTTGGGCGTCGTCCTCATCTTCCCGGTGCTGGTGGTGGTGCTCATCCTGGTGCTGTTTGTTAGGCACCCCAGCTCTCCAGGCAGGATATTGATGCCCGCTGGCTCGCCGCCGTCCATTCGGTATGTCCGAGCGCTGTGACACTTTGTGTTTGTAGACTGCTGACGGAGGCTTGCGTGTAGGAAAATCAGCGAAAAGCACGACAAGGTCTTTGTCACGGGCTGCCTCGAGCCCGATACCTCGACGCCGCGAGCCAATGCCGCCTTTGTCGTCTTGGCCCGCAACAAGGAGATTGACGGAGTGATCCAGTCCATCAAGTCCGTCGAGCGCCACTTCAACAGGTGGTACCACTACCCGTACGTCTTCCTCAACGACGCCGACTTCGACGACAACTTCAAGGAGACTGTGCGAAACTATACCTCGGCCCCCGTCGAGTTTGGCAAGGTTGAGCCGGGCACATGGGGCTTTCCGGACTGGATCGATGAAAAAGTTGCAAAGGAGGGCATTGCCAAGCAGGGCGATGCTGCCGTCATGTATGGTGGCATGGAGAGCTACCACTTCATGTGTCGCTTCTACTCTGGGTGAGTCCCTTTTTATCCACCGTGCCTCGACGGCGTTCGTCGCAAACACCTCGCTGACTTGCGACCCAGTTTCTTCTACAACCATCCCCTGCTGCTCAAGTACGAGTGGTACTGGCGCGTCGAGCCCGAAATTACCTACTTTTGCGACATTACATAGTACGTTGCCCGTCGGCGCCTGTCCCCCAAAGATCGCATAACTGACCAGCATCCCAGCGACCCCTTCCTCAAGATGATTGAAAACAACAAGACGTACGGCTTCACGATCGCTGTCAAGGAGCTGCGCGAGACCGTCCCCAACATCTTCCGCTATGCCTCGGCCTATAAGCGAATGAACAACCTGACGTCAAAGGGCCTCTGGGAAATGTTCGTGGAGCCTCAGGATCCTCCCAAGGAGCAGCGCGACGACCCCAACCCGCCGCTGCCCGAGGAGATTCTCCAGGGAAAGCCTAGCAGCCTGCCGCCCATTGACCCCGAGGCGATGGAGGGGGAAAAGTACAACATGTGCCACTTCTGGTCCAACTTTGAGATTGCCAAGCTCAGCTGGTTCCGCAGCAAGGAGTACAACGACTTTTTCGAGATGATGGACCGGAGTGGCGGCTTCTGGATGGAACGAGTAAGTTGCCAGCACGCGGCCAAGCCCCTTCATAGTCGAAATCATACTAACCTGGTGACCAGTGGGGAGATGCTCCCATCCACTCTCTGGCTGCCGGTGCTCTTCTGGCCCCTCGGGACATTCACTACTTCCGAGACTTTGGATACCGACACACGACGATCCAGCACTGCCCTGCCAATGCCCCGGCGCGACAGCTCCCCCGGCCCCCTTTCCTTGAGTCGACCACCCTGGACGAGCGGAAACGAATCGAGGAGGACGAGTACTGGGAAAGCTGGGACGAGCCCAAGGAGAACGGCGTTGGTTGCCGCTGCCGATGTGACACGGACATTGTCGATGTCGAGGGCAAGGACGGCTCCTGTCTTGCCGAGTGGGTCGACGTCGCCGGTGGTTGGGCATCGCCGTAAATGAAGAAGAAGAAGAGGAGCGTGGGACGCCTTTTTCCTTCGTTCTTTTGGAAATTTGAGTAAAGACGGTCCGGTTCCCTTCCGCTTACTGGGACCGGCCATTAATGAAGTGCACGAAGATAATACAGACCATGGAAATACCGACGCTGGCACAGCGATGCGAGATGCGGCTACGATGTCTTATATACAATGCGAGAGAGGGCAATTGGTGATTTCAGGAGGGACTGTGCTGTGCCGTTTTTTCTTCGAGAATGATGGGCGAAAGTGGCGGCGGAAAATGGTTCTTTACTTTATTGGTCCTCGTCCATTCTGGTGTTTTCGCTCAGACAATGCTTTGCCACTGTATCCAGGATATAAGAGGGATGAGAATCAGCGAGAACTGGGGTGGTTTGTTTGTTTGTTTGTCCATTACAAGACACATATATACTAGGTATAAAAACCAAAGCAAGGGTCAAGCGAAGGATGTTGGCAGAAATGTGCGGTTTTTCCTTAGAGTAGAAATGCCTGTTTGGAGCACGGGGAGATGGGCGAGAGCGGGCGTGGCATTGCTAGATGTAGAATCACTCTTCTCTAACAAGCGAATGAGCTGGTTTGAGGTTTGAATTGTGTTGAATCTCGAGTGCTCGATGGCCCTTGGGTGCTGGTGATTGCAGTAACGTGCTTACCTACCTGCATACCTAAGACTGGAGTCAGTGTTTTGTTGTTCTTGTGCATTGTTCACCCCTTTCAGCAGTGCAGTAAAAAGTCGTTTTGTTGCTTCTTTTCTTTGCTCCTCTATCCTCCGTCTTTGAGAGTAAAGACAGGGATCGAACCAACAAGCACTACACAAAGGACTCCTTTACATGTCCAAGTCTACAACTGGGTATCTATCCATCTTCTTCAAAAAATAGTTACCGGCCCTCATAGGTCGCCTGCAGAGGCGCCACAACGGTGCTATAGAACTCGTGCTGGAACATGTCCAGATCAAAGTCCATCTGTCCCTGATCCGCAAGAAAAACGCCATACACACACCTCTGCGCCGCATTGAAGTAGTAAATGCCCGCCTCTTGCTCCACGCGATCGAGATAGTTCTTCAACGGACGGTAATCGTGCTGCAGGATGGCGGAGAGCGAGTCTCTGCTGAAGGACTGGTTGACGGCGAGTTCGATGAGGAGGATGCCGAGGTCAAAGATGAGGCTCTTTGGGGTTCTTCTTGTTGTTGCTGTTATGTGGCGGAGGGAAGCCGATGATGAGGCGGGCGAAGGGAGAGTTGTTGTTGTTGGCTTGGAGAGGGAAGATGCGAGGTAGGCTTTTTCGGAGAGGCTGATGAAGCCGTTGGCTTGTTTCCTCTGGAGGAAGAGCTTGACCTTGTGGCGGTTCAGGCCTTGGGATAGCCAGGGGCTGTCTGCGAGATAGAGCACTGCCCAGGCGAGGGAGGCGGCGATGCCGTAGCGTCGTTTGGCGGAGAGGGGCTGGATGGCGGGTGCGACGCGCTGGGATTCCGTGGCGATGATTTTCTCGAGGGAGATTTCTCTGATGATGGCGTCGTGGTTGCGGGATAAGTGGCTGAGGGAGAAGAATGTTCCTTCGTGGGATGATGATGATGATGATGATGATGTGGATGATGGGGTTGGGTCTTTGAGGGAGCCGAAGAGTTCTTCTGTGTGGGAGGGGGAGGAGAGGGCGTTGCAGAGGTTGGTGATGGGTGGAGGAGGGCAGGGGATGAGAGGTTTCTGGGGCAGAGGCGGGATTGATGTGATTGATGTGTCTTCTACGCTTGCTTTGAGAGTGTTGTTAGTTGGATGGGTTTGCTTTGTGCGGGTGGTTTTGTTGCTGGAGTTTGGTGATGAGTTACCTCTTGGGGTGGGAAGCTGTTTGAAGGAGTCTCGGGATTTGCTCCATATGCTGTGTGCTTTTTCGCGTAGATTCTGGGAATAAGACGACCGTCTTGATCGGAGTGTTGAAGGCCTCGATGGAAATGGATATGGCTGTGAATCCGATACCGAGCTGCCTTGAGCTGCCTCACCCGCAGCATAGAACAGCTTCCAAGCAGCGCTGCTCTCCACCCCATCCGCTCCATGCAAGACCCCGATTCGAAACGTCAAGAGCGGAAAACCTCCCGCGTGAAGGCTATTCAACTCAATACAAACCTGATGACAAGCGTCTCCATCGCCAAGCAACCCAGCCTGCAGCGCTCGATGCAAAGATCGGAGTGTCCGTCGCACGGACTCGCAGTTGCCCCTGTTGTAGAGCCTTCGCACTCGCTGGATGGCGTGGCTCTCGTCTGGCGGGCGTGGCTCTGCGGCGGCGGCGCTTTGGACGAGGTGTCGTAGGTCGTCGTTCCAGCTGCGCAGGTCGCGGATCATCTTGTCGCATTTCTTGGTGCGGAAGCTGCGCTTGACGCGGCGCCATTCCCAGGAGATTCTGTCAGGGGAGTCGTGTGTTGTCCAGAGGGGCTGCGTGGATTGTGAGTACTATTGATGTGTACTTATGCTTGGGTGGTGACGAGAACGGATGATGAATGAGTATTTACAACATCACGGCCAAGAGGGGGAGAGAGTGCCTCGATGTTGGTGCCCATGAGAAAAAGGGGGGGGAGAATGGAAGGACAAGTCTCACTTTCCGGCTCATGTCGACCTGCAGCCCGTCCATCATGCCTATCATCATCTCGTCCATCTGCCGCACGATAAAGGCAATCTCGCGATGATGAGACGGGAACCTCTGGCGCAGGCAGTCGGCCAGCTCGCGCGGCGTCGGGTGGCGCAGGCCGATGCTCTGCAGCGTGGCCTCGAGGTGCATCCGCTGGATCTGCAGGTTGGCCTGGAGGGTGCCGATGGCGCGGTGGTAGTCGCTGTAGGCGTCGAGGGGCTCCGAGTACTTTTCGAGGGCCCAAATGACGATGGGGAGGACGCTGAGGGCGATGCCTACGGCTTCCGCCATGGCCTCTTTGGGGGTGGTGGTGGTGAGGTGGTGAGGTGGTGAGGTGGTGAGGTGGTGAGGTGGTGAGGTGGTGAGGTGGTGAGGTGGTGAGGTGGTGAGGTGGTGAGGTGGTGAGGTGGTGAGGTGGTGAGGTGGTGAGTGAGATGAGGTAGAGTGAGATGGGAAGGGCTTGGGAGAGACAGAGAGAGAGAGAGAGAAGCAAGTGAGTGGTGAGTGGTGATGTGTGGCTTGGTGGTTTGGGGTTTTCGGAGATTATCGACGATGGTGTGTGTGAGTGTGTGTATGCGGGTTTGCAGAGCGGCGCGGGTCTTGCTCATGCAAGACAGTGCCTTGCCTTGCCTTGCCTTGACCTAGGGATGAGAGGCCATTGGGTGTGGTAATGGGAGCTGATGGTGAACTGCGGAGTTGCCGAGAACATTGGAGTTCGATGGGAGATGGGGGGGTGGGATTGGAAGGAATCGCTTCCTTGCTGGACAGGGGTGGTTGAGTCGTGAGACATCACGGGCGCTGGGCTTGTCACGATCTGAGAGCGGGATACGGTGTCTTGGCTGGGTTGGGTACGAGTATCGGCGAATTTTGGTTGAGGATGACACTGAAGAGTTGTTCTGTCTCTTGATATGACTCGGAACGGACATTTTCGTTGCTGCCTGAGAGTGTGTGACAAGGCAGCTGGGCAAAGGCCTCGTGTAACTGAAGTTTTGGGATGAGCCACCACCTTGGAGACCTTGAGTGGTGGCCCATATTGTGTAAGTGCAATGACAACCTTCGTAAATTTGCCAGTCTTGTCCATTGTTCCTCCAATGGCTTGTGCCCTTCGGTCTTTGATAGAGGACTGCACTGCTTCAAAGGAGGCCTTTAGATCAGCCTCGCTTCTGTCGGATGGTCCGTGTGGCAACAATTAGCGACCTTTGGAAACGCTAATGGCGTATGAAGACAACCCGAGGGAACTCGTGGCCGCATCCCTGGGAGAAGAGCGTATACAACCCTTGTTCGTCTGTGATGTTGTCAAAATGTACGACCCGGCGTAAGGCAAGGTACCTACATGTAAATTGGCGACCCGAGTCCCACCACCCGACCCGAAAAGTTGCCCAATCGAGAGACGGCCGCTCCGGGAGACCCGGGCCGGGTCGGGAATCCACCGTCACCCGAGATGACGAAATTAGCATCAGCTGCCTTGACACTGAGCTTTCAAGAGCATATTTATTTACATCTTTTTTTTTCTTTTATAGATGCCCATCACCTCTACAATATTCTTCTTCACCTGCTTTAGCCCCATCATGATGAAAGCCGTCGAGGTCCTCGGCACAAAGGCCAACCCCGAAGTCACCCTCAACCCCGCCGTCCCCAAGCCATCTCCCAAAAACGGCGAGATCCTCATCAAGGTCCACGCCGCCGGACTGACAGGAGACGAAATCACCTGGTGGGAGCTTTGGGAACACCCGATCCGCATCCCAGGGCACGACATCTCAGGCCAAGTGGCCGCTCTGGGACCCGAGTACAAGGGAGACCTCAAGGTCGGAGACGACGTCTTCTCCATGATCCACGGCTGGAGAGGGCTGGGCCAGGCAGAGTATGCCATTGTCGAGAGCGCAGAGGTGGCGAGGAAGCCGCAGAGCCTGAGCCACGCGCAGGCTTCGGCGCTGCCGATCCCGCTGTTGACTGCCTGGGAGGCTGTCTTTGAGCGCGCGCAGGTGCAGCGCGGGTGGAGGGTTCTCGTGACGGGGGCGTCGGGGGCGGTGGGCGTGATTGTCGTGCAGATGGCTTCGAGGCTGGCTGGGGCTGAGGTTGTGGCTCTTGCGAGCGAGCAGCATCATGATTCCCTGAGGAGGCTGGGTGCGAGTCGGGTCGTTGACTATAACACGCCGAATTGGGAGGATACCATTAGGGGTGTTGATGTTGTTATTGACACGGTTGGGAGCCCTGTTCTGGGGAAGACGTGGAAGACGGTGAAGAGCAATGGGCACATTATCACGGTTGGACAACCGCCGGCGGCGTGGGAGTATGGAAAGGGCCGGCCGGAGGAGTTGGATGACTTTCCGAATGTCAAGTGGCTCTTTTTTGTTGTCACGCCAAAGGCTGAGACGCTGGACAAGGTGGCGCGGCTGGTTGATGACGGAACGATTCAGCCGATTGCGGTCGAGGTGTTTCCTCTGGAAAAGGTGGTTCAGGCGCACAAGTATGCGTCGATACGGAATAGGAGGGGGAAGGTTGTTATTGAGTTTGTGCCCGAAAAGAAGTGAGCTGCGAGATTTAGTGGGAAAGAGGAGAGATTGTTGGTGAAGCTGTTTGAATGACGTGCTTGATAAGAGAGTGTTTTATTGGGTTCACGGGCTGGCCACCGAGGGTCAGGCTGAATGGGCAATAAGCTTGATTCCTCTGTTCTGTTCCGAGTCCCGCGAGTATCGGGAAACAATAAAGTTGTGGTTGGATGTCAGACATCATCACCTTCTGGCGGAACCACTTCCATAATAGGCTGTGGTAATCCTAGTAGATGACCTGCCGAGACTGCTCTTGCAAACGGTTCAACTGCCGGCATTACCTGTTATACCTATGAACAATCTATGAAGTAGGCTTTTCTTGCAAGAAAAGTGGTCTGTATCCGGTTCGAGATGTTGTTCAGAGACAGTTCGGGCCTTACTGTGCATTCTCAGCATCCGGATACAGTGTGCATAGATGCATGAGGAGATCCGTCTTTGCTTTTCGCCAGCTGCACGTCAGAATGTAAGTGGGCCAGCCACTTTGGAGATGAGCATGGCGTAGCTGGGTCTATGAGTGGCTTCGAACTCGAGTCTGTAGAGTTGTTGTTGTCTTTGGTCTAGGACTGTTGTAGGAGAGATAGACTCAGAGGGATTTCTCGGGTACTCATGAGTATAGAGCAATAAGAATGTGCAAGATACTCATGGTAGAGATCCGAATGTAGTACATTCAGTGTGTGCAACTGCACGACTTTGACTTACGAACTCCGACAAAAACCTCTTATGTAGCCAAGTTGTTTGGTTGTCTATTGATGTCCATACTACAGCTATGTGACAGATCAAACAAAGATTCCTCACTCATGATAGAAATCGGGCAACTCATGAAACTTATCCTGAGTTTAAATGCTCTCATGCGACTATATCAGCCACTCAAGGCATTTCATCTCGCTTCTCCAAGCTACCAAAGCGGTAGCCGAGGCAGCCGAAAGCTTGCATATCATACAGACGAGTCCGGTTGAACGGGTGACAAGCCATATCCTGCGTGATGGGAAGCACATAGGACGAGCACATCGATGCTACGCTGATTGCTACTGAGCATGACAAGTCTTTCCGGAAATAAGACGGTAGTCTGACGGGCTGTAGAGTTCTGTATTCGAGAATATATCAATTGGCGGATGGCTTCAGCTGCTGCCCATGGCTGAACCCTGGAGTGTCTAGCATATCAAGTTCTTAGAGTAAAGTTATCGGAACGCGGCTGACCACATCGTTGTAGCCGGGCGTGCAAGGAAACACTCATTGGTCAACTGGCGCATGGCTTTATGGCTGCTTGACGTTACCGAAAGGGGCATGTGTAAGCGAGCTGCTTAGTCGAGGCCGACTTGAAACTATATCGACGACTGCAATATGAAAGGCCTTGGATGCGGTTTGTTGATACACTTTGTTACGTCAAAGTATGCTTTGGGTATGTCACAGAGAGCTGGGACGTGGCATGGGAGAGCTATTGGAGCTAGGGCAAGGTTGCACAAGCTCTCCTGTGTCTACAATGCCACTATAATAGACGTTGTAGGAAGAGAGCTAGAGGAGCGCCTATTGAAGGGCATAGTGTTCTCATGGGACCTACCTATCATAACTTTAACAACTCGCCAAAACTCGGAATGGCTTGTGAATGCGGAGACTGCTTCCTATTCGATGCCTGCTACTCGTTTGTAGAACTAGGATACAGCATGGAGCATCGCCATGGGACGCCGATCAAACTTTTAATGCTCTGAGCTGTGGGCACGTTCAGAGTGGCCCGAAAACTGCTTCATTTACCATAATACAAACTCAAGCCTCCCTGATGGCTTCCTTATCAGACCCAAGAACAACATGAAGTCAGGCATCTTTGACCCCTCTTCTGAGTGGGGTTGGGCTGAACTACAAGATGCTGATTGTGTCTTGGTTGAGATCGAGAGGAGCTGACATTTGGAATCAAACGGTAGTTGGCGTTGCAGAGCCCCCGAGATTCCGAAAGGGTTCCCTTCAGCTGGATGAAGCCTTGCTGATGGCATCGGACAATCAAGAGTGGCGTGAGCTTCTGGAGGGAAATAGAGTATAAAAAGGGGGTATCGTTTACACATGAAAGATTGCTGGACATTAAGGCTTTTTGCACATTTACTCAGTTGACCCTAAACATTTACTTCACACGTCTCCACAAGGCCTTCTCACAACAGTATACCTGCTCAAACCAACATCATGGCGGTCAGAGACGGAGAACACTTCGACTTCATTGTTGTTGGCGGTGGTACTGCTGGCAACTGTGTAGCTGGTCGCCTGGCTGAGAATCCCAAGGTCCGCATCTTGGTGATTGAGGCAGGTGTTGGCAATCCACAAGACCATCCCGAGATCACCACGCCCGCCAATGCCATGAATTTGCGTAACAGTGCTCACGACTGGTCCTACAAAAGCACCCTAGTGAAGCGTGAGGATTACGAGCGCATCGAAAAACCCAATACGCGAGGCAAGGCCCTCGGTGGGAGTTCATCGTTGAACTATTTCACTTGGGTGCCTGGCTGCAAGCCGACTTTTGATCGATGGGCCGAATACGGCGGCAAAGAATGGACCTGGGATCCTCTTGTCCACTATCTACGCAAGAGCGCCACCTATCATGATGATCCCAAGCTGTACCTCCCGCAGCTGAAGAAGATTGGGGGCGGAGGGCCTATCCACATATCTCATGCTGAGCTCATTGAGGAGATGGCCCCGTTCCGCGACAACCTCCAGAAAGCCTGGATTTCCCGCGGCCTACCCATTACAGAAAACATCTACGATGGCGAGATGAATGGCCTTTATCACTGTGTTGATACGATCTATAAGGGGGTGCGGTCTGCGAGTTGGGTCTTCTTGAAGGACAAGCCAAACATTACGATTCTGGCCGAGACACATGCGAAGAAGCTGCTCATCAATTATGCTGACCGCATCTGCCGTGGTGTGCGGGTCATGACGCCCGACGGCAAAGACCTCAACGTCTTTGCAGACCGCGAAGTCGTCCTTTCCGAGGGCGTCTTTGAGAGCCCAAAGCTGTTGATGCTGAGTGGTATTGGTCCTGCCCGCGAGCTCGCAAAGTTCAATATCGATGTGGTTGTCGACTCCCGTCATGTCGGGCAGAACCTCGTCGACCATCCGGCTGTCCCGTTTGTGCTGCGCGTGAAGGAGGGCATCGGCATGGATTCGGCTGTTCTTCGAAAGGGCGCCGAGAATGAGAAGCTGCAAGCCAAGTATAACAAGGACCATTCGGGACCTATGGGGTCGGGATTCCTGGAAATGGTGGCATTCCCTCGGATTGATGACTATCTGGAGAAGGATGAGGCATACCGCAGCGCCAAGGAGGCCAATGGTGGACTTGATCCCTTTTCGCCAGAGGGTCAGCCGCACTTTGAGCTTGACTTTGTGTGTCTCTGGGGCAGCGCGTTCCAGTGGCATTTCCCGTTCCCCAGAGAGGGGGAACACACTACCGTCGTCGTGGACCTGGTCCGTCCAATTTCAGATCCCGGTGAGGTGACTTTAAGGAGTGCAGACGCTCTTGAGCAACCCGGTATTAACCTGAATTTCTTTGCTAATGACCTTGACATCATTGCGATGAGGGAGGGGATTCGTTTCAGTTATGATGTGTTAACCAAGGGTGAGGGCTTCAAAGACCTGGTTATTGCGGAATCGCCGTGGGAGATGCCCCTTGGCTCTGACGAGGAGATGAAGCGCGCTGTCTTAGATCGTTGCCAAACCGCTTTCCATCCGGTAGGAACTGCGCGACTGAGCAAGAGTATCGACCAGGGAGTGGTTGATCCTTCGCTCAAGGTCCACGGGGTGAGGAACCTCCGCGTGATTGACGCTTCTGTCATGCCGGTGATTCCAGATTGCCGGATTCAAAACTCTGTGTACATGGTGGCTGAGAAGGGAGCCGACATGATTAAAGCTGAGCATAGGGATATCTACTAGGCTGGGATGCTGTGAGTGGCATTAGGGGTGTCTGGGAAGATGCTGAACTACAAGTGGAGGCAATGGACTCATATGTCAGCCTATCACTGAACAAGAGATTGTTCTAATCCTACAACATCATATCATACTCACGAACTCTATGTGAGTCACAGAAATATTGTGACAGTGAAAAGGTGTCTTTGGAGATCAGTACATCGAGGTTGATTACTATGGCAACCATCTCACTTATGTCAATCATAGCCAGCGCCGTTCTAAACCTCTGAGATATGCAGGTGCAAATGACCCATCAGGCAAGGGTGGCCGACGGGGAAAGACAAGGTACTGAATGCGGCTACGTGCCGGGAGTCTTTCTTGTTGCGCTTAGGAGAAACGAAGTTGGCATGTTTGGGAAGCTGGTGCCTCTCTTCCATGACATCTGACGGGCTGATCGAACTTCTTCACCCCTTTCACCTACATTCATATGCGGTGATCACGTCCGCGAGCGATATCTATACGACTAATCCCATCTATTGCCGCCCTGTGATTGTTTCATCTTTATCCTCCTAGAGCATTTGTTTTTATTTGTTTCAAATCCTTGACAGCGTCTCATTCAAATAGCTTTTGCTGCAGCCACCTCTTGCTCCCCTCGACCCCCCCTTCGCGGGGGCATCATGTCCTCATCAGCCCAACTGCTCTCGCTCCCCCAAGAGATCATCAGATGCATATGCCACCTGATATTCCCTCTTCGGGGTGAAAAGGATGGAAGCGACGGTCCAAAGGATCTGTCTCTCTTTTCGCGGACATGCAAGCAATTCCACGACGCCGCAACGCCCGTGGTCTACTCTCGCTTCCTTGCCCCTCCATCCAACTCAATGCGGGTATGCCTCAACTTTCTCACGACACTCTGTCGACGCCCCGAACTCGGCGAATTCGTACAGGAACTGAGCTTTGAAATCAGCTCTTTTGCGGATGTGAACATCAATCGACTTCCCATACTTTCCGAAGCGGCAGCCAGGCTCGGCGTTGATCTCGGACCGCCGCCACGGCAGCATACCTTTGAGATGCTGGCACAGCTCATCATTGCCCACACTCCAAATGTGAGGTTGATAAACTTCTATGCAGACCAATTCATACGAAGACCGACGAGCGGCCCGAGGGTACTAGACCAGCTGGCAAGGAAAAGACAAATGTTCTTTCGGAAACTGGAGGGTCTCACCATCAAACATTTCCACACGCCAAGTTTCTCGATCGAGCACTATGCAGGACTCATTGTGCTTTCTCCTCGCCTCCGCCAACTTGTGGTAGAGCCAAGCTCCCCCCTGGATCATCCGTGGATCAACCCGAACGCCAATAACCTGCCATATCTCTCCACCGTGAGGCGACTCGCTCTGAACCTCGGCAACATGGACAGAGACCAAATGAGGAGGATAGTGCACGCATGTGGACCCTTGGAGCTCTTCCATCACTTCTACTCGATGCTGTATTCCGAGCGCAGACCGTCGGTGACGCCCGCAGAGATGGTTCGCATCCTGGAGCGGCACGTGGACACCCTCGGCGAGCTGAAACTTGACCTCGCGTGGAGACACAGGGATCGCCTGAGTGAGTTCTACGCCAGTCCGCTGTGCCTTGAAGGCGAGCAGATCCGATCTTTGAGAGCCTTCTCGAGCCTCAAAACCCTTCAACTGGACGGAAGCTGTTTTCTCTTTCCGAATAAATTCGACGAAGACTACCACGAGAATTACTTCATACAGCTGTTGCCCAAGTCGATACAGACCTTCAAGATCACTATCGCACTGCCGGGCACTATCGAGAATCTGCGGACAGTGGCGATGTCGATAGGCCAGTTCCCGCACCTGATGAAAGTACGCGTGAAGAACCAACTGTTTTGCCGGGTGACGATGCAAAATGTGTTCTTCATCTGGCAGGATATGACGGCTTTGGGGAGGATGATGCGCAAGCTTGGGATTGATTTCGACCAAAAATGTTCGTTGTTTGGAATTCCGCCCAGCCCTTCCCCGAGCATCGCGGACACATCGTCGCCAGAAAGCGGTTCCTATTATTCATCAGAGGGCGAAACTGTATCCCCACTTCCTCACCAGGAGGCATCGTCTTCTGATTCTGAGAATCCTGGTGGTGATGCGTCTGATGCCGGTGCACCTGGCGCCGTCGAGCCCGATGTTGAAGCGTCTCATGTTGATGGGCCTGGTGCGAATGGGTCTGGTTCTGATGAGCCTGATGCTAATGAGCCTGATGCTAATGGCCCGGATGCTGTTGGGCCTGATGCTGATGCTGCTCTGCAGCAAGCCTCGACGGGTTTAATTGATGAAGAGGATCTATATGACTAAATTGTTCATGGAGAGATATGGCGAGCACGACGGCGGCATAATCCCCCCTCACTCTTTTCTGCTTCCATTTGAAACCCCCCAGCGTTGAGATTTATGTTGGAGGTTTTGAGTTCGAAATCTCTCAGCGTTTCTTTTCATTCGTCAATTGTATAATTATTCAGAAGGCTAATGAGGTCTCCCTCGGGGAACGATGGACCATTGCGCTATGCATGTGAGCCACGATCGACAAGAGGGTGCAAGATACTCCATCGCCTAGTAACGTAATGCCTGTTTCTCTTAGTGGGGAGTGCAATACACCAATGGCTCTTTATGCTCGTACCGCTATCAAGCCAATGAAGTCTACGTTGCCAATACGTGAGAATGGTTGAGGCTCGGAGCTATTGCTTGGCTGAAGACCAGGAACAGCTATGAAGCATTGGTTCTTTTTCCCGGCATCCCTGTCATCAGCTCATCCTAACTAGGCAATTTGTTTCGGTCTTCACAGACGGCTCGGCGTTATCACTTGTGGGACCAGCACTCGGATCCGAGTCCGTCGGGGGGTGGAGTGCGGAGGTCTGTTTGTCTCCGGGCACAGCTGCTGATATGCTTTTCCAGCACGTTGTAAAGGTGAGGACTATCACGTCCATTTTAGAGAAGCAGAAAGAGATTCTCATAGCTGACACTTGTGATGAGATTCATGCTGTGGGGTCATCAGGTGTTGGTATATGACTGTTGCCAGGCTCTTTTTTACCTTGGCAGCGTCTTTAGGAGGCTTCGGTGTAGACTTGTGCTGCGGACGTGACAACTTGACCTGAGTAACCTGCCATGTGTTGTTGACGTGATATTTCAAAGAGGCTTGGGTTACCTCGAAATGCCTCTGGGCAACTACATGTAGTCTTACTTGTTATGTAGTTCTATGCTTTGCGTTGTATGGGTAGGCAGTAAGTCGGCCGTCTCCTACTTCAACCTGTATTGTTGTAAGCGACATATTCTGCTAATGAAACGCAGTTCTTTATAGCCTACAGCACTTGACAATAGCAAGCTGTGGTCCTATCATAAAACAGAACACATACCTCCACGTACCTAGGTCAATGACTCTGGGGTCCTGAAGCCATCCCCACACAAAGGCCAAATGCGCCGAGCCTTAATGAACAAGAGTTCATCGACAAAATTCATCATATAACATGGCAACTGCGCAGTCAAGCCCATTTGATGAACCCCCTTACCCCTCATTTGAGGAGCTTCGGAGCAATGAGCAGCGAGTCATCTTCTCTCCCGCCGCCAAACGTCTCTATTGGCCCCTAGAAGGTGTCTTCCCTTTCACGATATCCGTTATGAGGACTGCCCGCAGCGTGGAAGAGCTTGACCCCTTCTTCATCCCAGACACCAGCGGCAGTGGCAGCGGTAGTGGCACCTGGCATGAAACCTCGTCGCTTCCCGTGACCGACCTAAAAGTTTCTTCTTGTTGAAATGTGTGTACATTGGCTTGTCTATCTTCCCTATGTCTAGACAGGAGCATAGCTCCTACTTATGTTCTGCAGATGGGTGCCCCTTATTGCATAACGTACCGGTACTTCCTATATTAATGCCCCTATTTTTAACACTCCCACTTAGCAACATGGGAAGCTTTAGTAACAACTCCTACTGCTTCCTTGCCTTTACACAGGGAGACACCAGGCCTGGAACATACTCCCACTGGACTAAGCCTCGACTTCTAGTTAATGACTTTTACATTAGTGATCCTCCTTAGGCCTAAGGCTTTATAGAATTTTAGGAACTGGTCTTTGCCTAGCAGCTTAGTTAACCTATCTGCTACTATCTTGTCTATAGGGATATATTCTAGTGCCACTTCTCTAATCTTAACCTTCTTATAAATAAAGTGCTGTTAAGTCTTTATATGCTTTAAGCCTCTATGGTTTATAGGATTCTTTGCAAGCGTAATGGCTCCTTAGTTATTATAATAGATAATAACTGTATTTGGCAACTTGTTGGATGTTGGCGGCTTGTTAAACGTTGTTAACAGCTTTATCGTGTGTTGCTTGTCAGATATTATTAACAGCTTTGTCATGTGCTCCCCCTAAAGATTGTCCTGTAATTCTGTAAAGAGCCTCTGCAGCTAGATTGCCTCCTTAGTTGCATTTATCTAGGCTATATATTTAGCTTTATAACTTAATAAGGCGGTCGTTGCCTGCCTCTTTAATAACTAGCTGATCTTGCCACTGCCTATGTTAAATATATACCCTAAGGTCAACCTGTGAGTATTTAGATTACTAGCCTAGTTAGAGTTAGTATAGCTATAGAGTGGCTGTAGGTTGCCCTAAAATACTAAATATAGGTCCTTTATTCCTTATATATACCTTAGGATGCGTTTAACGGCTTATTTATATATATTATTAGGATTACTAGAATACCTGCTAATAACTAATACTGTATAAGCAAGGTCTGGCTGCATGCCTAGCATAAGGTATATTAGCAATCCTACTATAAACTAATACTCCTTTTATTACTCTAGTTAATATAAGTACTTATCTCTAGCCTTCTGCAGTTATTTTTCTACTATTAGGGTTAGAGTTAGTGCGCAGTCTGTTATATTATGCTATTAAAGGATCTTCTAGATATAGCCTTATTAGTTAAGGGTGATTATTTATACGGCCTTGTTATAGCGAATTTAAATCTTAAGGTAAAAGTAACACTTTTTAAGGTCTGTTATAGAGAAGCGTTAGTGCAGAGCCTCTTTTAGATCTGCGATCTAGGACTTATCTTTTTTAATAATTAACAAATTGTTTATGTAGATTGCGATAAAGATGCCGTCCTTTATGTATAGCCTGCTATCTGCTATTACTGCATAGAAACCTAAAGTGAGGAGGAACTCTATAAGCGTCTTATACTAGACTCTTAGGGCTTATTTAAGACTGTATAGCGCCTTTTTTAATTTGCAGACCCTCCTTATGCCATCCTTAAAGCCTGTAGGCTGCTTAATATATATATCTTCTTTAATATTTCTATATAGGAAGGCTGTCTTAACGTCTATCTGCTTTATCTTTAAGTCTAAAGCAGCTGCTATTATAAAGAGGGCCTTATATATTATCAGCTTAATAACAGATGTAAAGGTCTTAGTATAGTTAATCCTAGTAATTTGCTTAAAGCCTCTTATAACCTAGCGAGCCTTGTACCTAATAACTTAATTATCTAGTCCCTGCTTTAACTTATAGACCTATTTTCCTTATAGTATATTTATACTAGGCTTTAGATTAATTAGCTTCTAGGTGTTATTATCCTGTAGGGCTTGCAGCTCTTCTTTTATTTTACTGCGCTATTTATCTTAGAAAAAACTGCGTTTGGCTTCCTTATAGGATGCTGGCTTGGTGTCCTTAAGGTGTGACTCTGCTGATGCTGTAAGGGCAAGGACATTGTATAGGGAGATTTAGCTCCTTAGTGGGTAATGTAGTTTAGGATGTCCTAGGACTGCGTTTTCTGGATGCATGTTTTCTTGCGTATGGGCTTGCTTAGGTTCTGTCTGATTTCCTTCTGTTGGTTGTAAGGGAATGACTTTAATTGTTGACTAGGCAGAGCTTGTCTTGTAGTGTTGCTTCTTAGCCACTTTAGTTATGGGGTTAGTTGTCTGGGTCCTTATGGATTGTGTGGAAGTGGTTGGCAGTGTTGTTGTTGCTGCTGGCGGCGCTGCTTCTGCAACTGTATTAGATTTAAAGTGGATATTTAACGAGCTGATAACCTTTCCTCTAGGTATGAGGAGTCAGTACACTATATTCCTAATAAACCCTAGCAAGATGCACTTAATGCCCTTGTTGTTTAGCTTCTTCTGTTAGGCCTGAGGGATAAGATGCCAGGCCACGGTCCTTACAGTTTAAATGTTAGAGACGTTTAGTTATTGCCTGTAAATATATTTAAATGGCGTTTTGTTTAATGCTCTGTGTGGACTCTAGTTATGTAGGTAGTTAATGGTTTCTAGGACTTCTGACCAGTATTGCCTTAGTATGCTCCCCCTTATTATTATAGGCAGAAGCTTGTTATGTATTATAATGTTAAAGTTCTTAGCGATACTGTTAGACTAATGTTGTTTTATAGGGGAGATTTCCAGGCTAGTCCCTTATTAGGCAGCCCACTTATTAAATTCCAGACTGTTAAACTCCTTTACTTTATTAAGGTGGATTATGCAGTATTATTATCCTTAAGGTTCTCTGCTTTCTAGGAACTGCATAAAGTACTAGATAAACTCTTAAGCACCCTGTCTGTTCTTTATTACCTTACTCCTACTAAATCTGCTATATTTATTAACTAGCGTAATTTAGTACCTTTTCTTTATATGGCTGGTGATATAGAATAGGCTGCAGATATTAATATAAATAATATCTCCTATATAGTCCCCCTGTTATAGCTGCCCCTGGTGTGGCTTTTCCCTTATCCTTTCTTAAAGATATGGCTTATAGAGGCAGTATTCTTATGTAGTGTTTATCCTGTTAACTAGGTCCTTAAGTCTATTAAGGTTGTTGCTACTTAGGTGGCCTATTTAGTTATGCCACACTTTTATCTAGGGATTAACTGCATATAAGATAAGTGCTGGCTTTTAGAGGGAGTTAATTTAAAGTGCATAGGATACTAGAGCTTGTGTAAGGAGAGAGTTAGTTTAGAGAGTGAAGAGATTTCTAAACTATTATACTGTAATCTTTACTTTATCCTTCTTAATTATCTAGCTGTCTTAAGCTATTTGCATCTCCCCCCTTAGGTTAAGAAGTTAGGTAATAGAGATTAGGTTAAGGCTAAGCGTTAAGGCGAACAGCACTTTAGTAAGTGTAATTATAATAGACAGATTTTTATTTATGCATTTCTAGATAACTGTGCTAACGCCCTTAACTAGGATTTTAAAGTTACCTATCTTACTAAGATATCTATAGTAAGGCTAGAGGGATCCTGGAATGAATTAATCTTACTGCAAGGTTGCGTGCTGGCTGCATCCCGAGTTAAGAATCTATACAGCCTTAAGGCTGCACCTAGAGGGAGATGGCATTTTTAAAAGGTGATAAAGTGCTCTGTCTCTGTTAAGGTCTTAGATAGTAGAGCTTAACTCTCCTTCTAATCTAAGGTTAGATGTAGATGTCCTTGCTGTCCTCTGCGGTTTTCCTAATGCCTCTTTTTCTTTAGATGCAAGTCCTAGCACCCCTTTTTTATATAGTAAGTTTTGCTGCAGTATATGCATTTAGGCACCCTTACTAATGCAGAGTCCTTGTTATTTATTAGCGCAGGCCTCTTTTATATTAGCAAGGCCTGTGTTATTATACTGCTCTTCTGCCTAACCTCCTTAGCTTCTGTGCTGCAGATAACGCTATCTAGTGTTAGGAATGTCTTAACACTGTGGCTTAACTAGAAGTTAGTGCACTAGATAAGGTATTAGTCTGTCAGGCTGTTAATAAACTTTAGGATAAGATAACTGTTTAGGAGCTTATGCTAGCTCCCTGCTTAGAGAAACTTCTTTTAAATGGTCTTAATTCGCTAGGCAAATTCTTATATAGAGTCTGTAGATAGGCTAAAGATGCAGTCTTCCTATTCTTTATATGCTATTTATAGCGCGCTAAGCCTAGACTCCTGGAATTCTTCCTTTACTTATTAGAAAACCCTTTATACTGTCTTCTCCTTACTTATTATCTTACTAAGTGAGATTAATAGCGTTGTCTTTAGGATACTAATGCATTATTACTGCTTATTTCTCTAGGCAGTGATTTAGCTGGTTAGCACCTTATCCTTAGTGTTATAGACACTTAGAAGGTCTTCTGCTTTAATAAGGTTAATCACCAGTTTTAACTGGCGATCTTACACTAGGTAGTCTTCTTGCTTCTTTAAAGATAGCAGAGATTGGAGACTTAGTGCGTTAATAATAATAGGCTTGATCTTGACTTTGGCTTTAGTTGTGCCTGCTTCTCTAGCTATGATTATCTCCCTCAGGTTGCTTTATTATTAAGCCATGTTTTGTGTTGGTCTGGGTTATAGTGGTTATAGTGGTGGTGTATAGACTTTATAACTGTGTATGTCTGTGTTGCTGGGTGGTGAAGGAATTGTTGTTGTTTTGTCTTTAAAATCCTTATTTATTGGGCTAGGGGTTAGACGCCTTAAGGTGTTTAGACTGTCCTTATTCTCGTTATTGTCTAGTCCTTCCTCCTACAGCTCCTAGGTCTCCTAGCCTTCTGGCAGATGCGCTGGTCTGATAATCGGATTATCTGAGGATGGCAATCTTATTTGTCTTAGTTATTGAGCGATCCTTGGCTTATCTAGGTTAGTTAATTGGTGTCCTGGTGTTATTTTGGAGTTGTATAGCAGATTCTCCCTGAGATATGGCAGGACTAGCGAGATTAGTTGTTAGCCACTTGGAGTATTGGTACTTATTGTTTTTCAGTAATTAAGCGGAAGCCGGGCTTATAACCTGTTGAAATGTGTGTATATTGGCTTGTCTATCTTCCCTATGTCTAGACGGGAGCATAGCTCCTACTTATGTTCTGCAGATGGGTGCCCCTTGTTGCATGACGTACCGGTACTTCCTATATTGATGCCCCTATTTTCAACACTTCTGTTGAGGCTTCACTCAGCGATCTTGACCAATGGGAGTCTGATTGGCTGGCATGGCATAGAGACCATACTGCACCTGAGTTTCACGCCGAGTACGTTGCCTATGGAGACCTCAGCGATGAAGACCGGCCATACGCGGATGAACCCAAGGAGGATGGCAGCTGGGAAGAGGACTCGGATACTGAGTTTCTCATACGATGTTGTGGAGACGATAGGCCACTTAGGAAGAGAGGTCTGAAGATCAAAGTCATACCTTCTGCTGGCAACGACTTTGTCACTGTGCGTGATTATGTTAGTGGTGAGTCTTGCCTCTCCGACCTTAAAGTCTCTCCCCATGAATCCTTGAATAGCCTTTTTCTTACAGAGTCTCAGCCGTGCATCCATGGCTCATGAGTTTACGGTGGGATATCATACGAGCAAAGTCTGTTGCACGTCCCGTACCTTATCTTGACACGGGGGTCAACATTGAATGGATGGTCAGCAGCCTGACAGCGCCGCAACACCAAACAATGACGAAGGGGCTTTGGATTGAGATGCATCGTCCGCCACGCCCCATGGACGCTGCAACTGCCAAATTTCTGCAAAGAATACGCGCAAGGAAGGCTGAGTGTCCCCATGTTCCTTCGCCGCTCTCTGGGAACTAAACTACAGCTTTCCACAAGGTCTATTGGAGAACAAGTCCTTTTCAGCCTCGAGGGAATGTGCAAAATCGGGGCAAAAATAGCAAACGACTTCACATCCAGTTATGCTCCTTTTGGCCATATCATTTGGACCTAGATACTGGAAGCCTTCCTCCAAGAGATAACTGCCATCTATCTGGGACTCTGTTGACACTTCCCTGTGGTGCTTCTGCTCTCATATGAATGAGAGAATGGTTAGCCCACTCATACGGTCGTGAATTATCACTGTACTACCATGCACCAAGAACCAGGCCTTGAGTTTCTTCTCGGGGCTATTATCAGATAGCAGGCGATTGTTATCAGGCAGCTGAAGAATCATCTTACCGTTTCGAAGAATCTTACGGCCCGTCACGTCTAAGCCGTAAAAACAATGCTCTGCCGTGCCTTGCTTTTCGTTCTTCGCAAACGTCGATGATAGGAATGAGCTCGAATCGCACGGGAGCGTTTGGCAAAAGGTTGCCGAGCTCGTCGAAGGATCAAAGTTCCATACTTCTGTTACCGTGAAGTCTGTCGAGCCACAGATGATCTGCCTGCCGTCTGGAGAAAAGGCTACCGAGAAGAGGAGGAAGTCTAGTTCCAGTATCTGTATACACGCGAACTGTTCATCAGTTTTCCTCCAGATTCTGACATCCATGGATGTTCCTGATGCCAATGCCGTACCATTCGGGGAGAAAGCCAAGCACTGAGTGTCTGATGCTGGATGAAACGTCAAGGTATGCATGCACCGGCCTGAGGCGCTGTCCCATATCTTGATTATCCCATGCCCGACGCCCGAGGCAAGTGCTCTTCCATCCATATTGAAGTCAATGGGCATGCTCCATTGTGACTCGCATTCCAACTGAATGCAAGTCTCCGCAGCAAGATCCCAGATTATGATTTTACCGTCATATGTCGACACTGACGCCAATCGGCAAGAGTCAGGTGAGAATTTGACCAAACTGACCTCGCGGGAATGACCCTCCAGTATGTACCTGCAGGTACCTGTTTCTATATCCCAGATTCTGATGTGATGATATGGTGATGCAGACGCCAAAAGCTGCCCATCTGAGGAGAACGACATGTGGCGGACTTCAAGCGTGTGGCCAGTGAAGGTCTGCACCTGCTCGCCTTTAGCCGTATCCCAAACCATGATGATTCCACTTCCATCTCCGAGGCTTGATACCAGTGTAAGGCCGTCTGGAGATAAGGCAACAATTGCCGGACGGCGGTAAGGCTCCCTTGGCTCCCGATCATCTACCCCCAGGCCTACATCCCATATCTTGATAGAACCATCCCCGGACGACGATGATACCAAGCGACTGCCATCGTGCGAGATCTCAATTGAGCTTATTGAGTGAGAATGGCCTCTCAGTGTCCTCAAAGGCTTGTCTCCATCGATGTCCCATATTATAATCTCGTTGCTGGAAAGGGCCACGACCACCTGCCGACCATCTGGGAAGAATCTTGGACCAAGCACAATTCTACCAAGCGTCTTGGTCTTAATACATTGGCCCGAGGCTGTGTCGACAATACCGACCCTCTCACTTGAGTCACGGAATGCTACTCGAGAGATGTCGGGGGAGATACACGGTGCGCCATGTTTGTTGGGCCATGATCCAGTCAGAGTGCTCGTGCAGTTACCAGCCGCATCCCAGACCGTTATGGTCCCACGGTCGGAGCATGACATCAGTCGCTTGTCATCCGACGAGAAGGATAATGCAGCGACGTACTGATGGCTGTTCAACTTGAGAAAGCACTCACCGGAACACACGTCCCAGACCAGAATGTGCTTATGAAAACTGGACGCGAAGAGACTTCCATCCGGCGAGAAGGATGAATTGCAGGGCCGATAGCCACATCCTTCCAGTATCATTATAAGCTCTCTGGATTCAATATCCCAAATAGCAATGCCATTGTGCTCTGTGATCGCGGCCACTTGCTGGCTATTCGGCGAGAACAGTAGACGTCTGAGGTCCTCGTGAGGACTCCAAAGAGTTTTCAAACAGGTTCCAGTGGCCATATCCCAAAGCTTTCCGCCAAACCTTGATTTGGATGCCATGAGACTGCCATCCGGAGATAAGGCTACGCTCCCGACATCCTCATCCAGTTCCAGCGTTTGCAAGCAAGAATCCCAAGATGTCCGTATGCCACGCTTCATCACGAATAACGGGCGTTCTTCTGCCAAAGCAAGTTTCCGGATCTTGCTGCCATCTGGACATATTAAGAGGGCCGATGGATGAATTTGTAGCGGGAAATATTCAATCGTCTGTTTAGCTGCCAAGATGAACCGATAGGCATCTCGAATCAGGTGTTCTGAGTCCTGTCCCGCCCAAACCCTCTGGAGCATTTCCTAACGTTAGCTTTTTGGTTCTCAGTGATCATGAATGTTAAACTCAAGGGCAAGTCGAGATGCTGGGGGAACGAACAGAAATGTCCTGCAACTTTCTCATCGCGATGACGCCTTCTGGCACCCTTCTCAGAAGACTAAGAGCTTCCAGCCAGTAAAGGTATTTGGTACCAATGAAGGTCTTGATGTATGGAACAAGAGCATCGTTGGCATAACCACCCGTCGTCTCATTGTATTCGCCGTCAACCAGATCCGCGAAATGATCAACCCAGAAGACGCAAGAGTATCCAACGGCGGCGAGCGGCTCCGGAGTCGGGGCTTCAACCGCATGAACATGAATGCTCAGGTCGCTCAGCTGATAGATATCGCGCTTGAGCGACTGGGACAGGAGCTGTATCGATCTCCTCACCATGTGGCATCTGGCCTCAATCATTCCCGTGGCAAATTCTCGCTTTGTTAACATCTCCGATAAAAAGTCTCTCGCTGACTGATGCACGAAGTAGACGACTTCATCTCGAATGGTAAGAAAAGAGCCGCATTGCCCTATGAGCTCACAAGCAGCTTGCTCTTTCTCAAATGCATCTCCTGGAGTCTCTGCGAGCGCAATAAGCTCTTGCAGTGTGAGTGGTCGGCGGGCAACAGTGGCAACAGTAAGAATGCTCTCACAGATCTCAGCATCGTCTGAGAGACTGATACTCTGGACCATCTTTCGGTAAAAAGGCTCCAGTCCTCGGGGGGTAGCCTCCAGTGCCTCTAGAGCCTTCCATGCCGGCACCCTCTGAAGATTTTGGCAAACCAATGCCACCCAAAGAAAGGTTCCCTCAGCATTGACTAAGAGGTGGTCTAGGATCTTCTTCTCTCTTTCTTTGGTGTACTTTTTGTTTTCGCTCAACTGTAAGACTTTCTGGTGGATGTATACCTCAACAGCAGTGGTCACTGAATTCGCGTTCAGTTCCAGACTGAGTTGTGCGTCAGGACCAAGGGTCTCCATTTTGCCTATAATGTGCTGCCAGTTGCGACTCGAGATGATCCATTTGACGTAGGGTATTTTCTTGGACATTTTAACGATGAAGTCGAGCAGTCGAGGCAGATCCTCATTGACACATTCGTCGAGTGCGTCAATCAGTAGACAGGTTGGTTTCTGACTGTCATTCAAGTCGATCAAGAGAGATTCCATGATCTCGGACAAGGCATACCACGCGCTCGGTGGTTCAAAAAGAGACTTCCCTTGGCGGACATAACGCTCCTGCAAGTGCTTCAGGAGGTGATGCTGTTGATCGATGAGGAGAAACATCAAACTTCGTAGTATTGCGGTTGAGTTGTTGATGCGCTGGTCAGTGGCCTGGCAAAAGAAGAAAGAGACAAGGCTTGATGGCGCCAGCTTCTGAAGGCTGTCGACGATGCCGCACAAGAGCATCGTTTTGCCCTTTCCTGGATCCCCTCTGATCCATAGCAATGGGCGCCTTGGGTCCTGGAACCACCTCTGAAAGTCTTCGTTGCCAAGGATCCAGTTGTAAGAGTCTTGCAGGAGGCCCCCTTTTGTATCCTCGATTCGTTTCTTCTCCACGTACGGATCGTGTGACCACAGATGCCTCAGACACTTTTGATCCTCGGCATTAATTTGGCTGCGAAGTTGCTCTTCCAGGCGTCTTGCTATACCTTTGATCTCCCACTCCTGATTTTTACGACATGACCCACAATATCTTCGAGGCGTGTTCGAATCTGCTGGTTACCAAAACCCCCAATATCATGGCGCAGACTGTCTTCAGCTTTCTGTATATCTTGCAAATTGACCGCCCAGTTATCGAGCTTTACCAAGTCCCGCAGGAAGTTGTAGGCACGATTTCGGTAATAGTAGCAGACACTCTTTATCTGGTACGCAAGCAGTGCTTTGTACAGCTCGGCAAGTCGCGCTTCAAGCTCGTTCTTCATGCCAGATACGGCGGTGCCATCGAGATCACTACCCTCCAGCAGCACGTTGGAGAGATTGCCGTACCATCTGATGCGAGTAATGACGTATTCAATCCCATCACGATTCGAAGCGGCCTCGTTGACTGCATTCTCAAACATCTTCACAACGATCAGTATACTGGATACGTTCGACAGGGGCATGCTCACGTACTCCAAGGGAAACCCACACTCCTGCCCAGGCAATCGAAGCTTGTGGAACAGCTGCTATCGCGGTGTTTACCATTTCTTTCAAAGAGTGCACAATCTCCATAGTCGCTCCAAGTCCGTCTGATTTTGTCTTTGCCGCCCGTCTCATTCTTCTGAGGCCAATGCGGACAAGCTCATTCATCTGCTCACGCCTCGTGTGCCGATTGATAGAATTGATGGTATTGAGCGATGCTGCAGCCGAATCTGCGATGGAACCCTCGCCACTCAGATACTGTGAAAGAATCCTTTCGTATCCCTCAACAAGTTTTGCATCGTCCTTCTTTATGGCATCGTAAGCCTCATCCCAGAGACGCTCCACATTCGAAGGGCGAGGCTCCGGGGAAGACTCTTCTCCGAGAGGGAGATTTGGAGCAGTTTGGGATACAGTTGCAGGAGATTCAACGGCAATGTCAGTAGCTTGAAAAGGTCCCAGGGAAAGCTCAAGGGCAGGCTCAGTAGGAGGTCTAACAAGAGAAGCTCCTGCGGTCGGCGTGGGCGTAGAGGCCCTGGAGACATTGCCATGGTCTACCCTTGATCTCAATCTCAGTCCCCCATGGAAACGTTGTAACAGGTCACGAGGCTTCTCGGGCATGGCGGCTTGCAGTTCAGATAGCTTGTTTCAGTGAGACAAGAGACGGTAATTGTGAAGACAGTCGGGGTGCTGCATCGAGCCCGACTGGCAGCGACATCTGGCCTTGTACGTCAGCCTCATGCAGGCAGTGGAATTCGCGGGGTAAATCGATTCGAAAAGCAACGCGATTGGTGTCCTCCCTGCAGTAGTATTGGGTTCTCTGTCTGATGATAGTTGATAGGCTAGGCAGCAACCTTACTTATCAACTGTCGAGAGACCAACCAGGGCCGTGAATGTTGCATGCGTTATTCAAACTATCTCTATATGTGACATACTAGTGGCTTCTTGAGCGGCTCGGTCTTTGTCACTTGCCATCTTCTGTGATATGTGACCGCTTTAACGTCGTAGCGGTGGCATCTATCCTTAGCAGCTGGTTAATCTGTGACTGGTGAGGTGGAGGTGAGCAAACAAAGAGCGGAAAGATAAAATGGCATATGAAGTTGGCTGAATCTGGTCCTGCGAACACGATCAACAACATTCAACAGATTATGAAGCCTAAAGCCAGGGTCTGCAATTATGGTAAAGTAAACTGCGCGGCTACCTGACTAGGAGAATGCTTAGGAATAAAGACATAGACTATCTAGTAGTGACTATTAGAGTCTACTCCTAAGTATCCAAAGGAGACACAAAACCGACATTTATATAATATGAAATGACTAATAGAGTTTATCATTATACTTGAGGAAAAGCAGTCAATTCCTCAATTTAAACCATTGCGAGCAGCTTAAACAGTTGCCCCTCCACACCCCCCCCCCCCCCCCCCCCCCCCCCCCCCCCCCCCCAAACAACCGAGCTGGCCGAAAGCAGGGCTTTTATCGTCTTGGATTCTCCTCTCAAAGCATTTGGACATGCTGCTGCACTTGCTGGGAGAAGGGAGTTTGCATCTTCAGCCTCAGCTCGGCCATCGCGGCGCAAGGGCCAGCCTGGGGACATGCGCAGCGGATAGCGACACCAGCTGAACTCTGATACTGCAACCTTGGCGTTGGTAAAGCGCAGTCCGTCGGATGGAGGGCTGCAAGGACCTTCATTCGTAGTCAATCAACAGGAGTGCGACTGTGGGCATCGCATCATTTGTTGTAAAGTCCCGAAATGCAATGTCAGCGATGAAGTTTGGTTCGGCTGCTTCGTACCTTGTAAAACTGGGGAGGCGCAGGAAGGGTCATGACACGCATTGCTTCCGCTGAGATATCTGTTCATGCTGCGTATACAAGCGCATTCAAGCGTGTTCGTGAAGCCCAGTTGCGTGTAGTATGATCTCAACTGACTTACTTGCTTCCGACGGAAACAGTTGTTTGTGAGTGATGGACGACCGGATGGGTGCCTTTTTGCCTTGTCGGCAAACTGAAGCTATAATTATCTCTAGACAGCTTAGGCACAGGGCATACTGTTTGTCTACAACATAGCAAGTAATACTTCTGAAGTTTCCTTAACGCTTATATCAAGACCTCGCCAAGGTAGGAAATGCCAATGTTCGTTCATTCTTAGGAAATGCCAATGTTCGTTCATTCTTCAAATCATCACACTATTTCTTTTCACACGCCTTCTTGTTGTAACGCATCCCTCAAGTCTTGTGCCCAGGTCTACTCTGAGCTTTTCACCATGAAGCTTCTCCCGAGGCTCTTGTACTTTTCTTCAATCATCTCTACATCGAGCGCTTTCATCAAATCTGCGGGAGTCGGTGACACTGAGCTTTTTGACACCCCAGCTATATGCAAGCAGCATGTCGTTCGCGACGGCGATACTTGCCTCGGCCTTGCGCGCGCGAACAACATGTCTTTCTCACAGATGATTGCTTGGAACCCCATTCTCAAACCAGCTTGCGTGTAGGTCGCAATCGTAGAATCATGGCTCCTTCAGACTGCTGTTCGAGGGACTAACAACGAACCGAAATAGGAACTTCAACGACTTGTATGGCCAGAATATCTGCTTGAGCAATCCCACGGGAAGCTTCGCCCTGCCCAGAAATACACATGGTGCCAAGAGCACCAGCACCATCACTACGCAAGCGTAGGCACTCTCCTGTTCATGAAATAGTTGATGGAGTACTAATGGTTTATCTGACAGGCCCAAGCCTACCCCACTGCCGAACACAACCAATACATATTGTGGACAATATTACAGAGCCGCCAAGGGAGACAGTTGCTCAACCATCAAGACTATGTTTGGTATATCGATGGATGACTTGTGAGTGGAGATGTATCACGGGGAAAGAAACAAGACCGTGCAAGTGAGCTTACTCCAAGGTGCAGCCTCTTCCTCAATCCAAGTGTTGGAGAGGACTGTTCTCGCCTCCGGCAAGACTATCACTACTGTGTGAGGCCTGTTGGATCCATATCGACATACCGGGGCTACAGGGGAACGCCCACAGGCGACGACGGCGTTGCCTGGGTCGAAATGCCAATGAAGCCAGGGCCTACCCGAGACCTCATGGGCCTATACAGACCACAAAAGCCGGAGATCCCAATCGCCGATCGCACGCGGCTCGATTGCAGCGAGTATGTTTTAAACGTGGCATCATATGGCGGCCTCCTCCCCCCTTTCTTTCATCTACCCCTAGAAGAACACTGCTAATTCCAGAGTCAGGTATTTCTGGACCGATGAAGATGACTACGCCTGCTATGACTTGTTCGTTTTATCAGATGCTCCCTTAGAGGTCCGTTGGAACCAGATACACGGATGGCGCTTGTGTTGGGAGGGCTTTGCTCAATGACTCGTTGAATACAGGACTTTCTCCTATGGAATCCCTCTTTGGCACATAACGAAACGCAAACGCAAATGAACGCCACCGCATGCACCCTCTCAGCCAGCAAATCCTACTGCCTCGAGCTGAACACGCCGCCCCCGAGTGAGTCAAACCCCCCCCCCAATTTCTTCTTCCTCTCCTGCGTCGTCTGCTCGTCGAAAGCAACACGGATGAAGAGAAGAGGCATGTGAGCTCACAGTCTCCAGGGCCCGTTGAGCAAAACCCCCCAGCAGTCTCGCACTGCAGCGACATTCCTACAACAATCACATCCGCGCCATCGCCACCAGCGTCACCAGCAACAAAAAGACCGCCATCTACCACGAGCACAATGCCGTCCCCTGTTCAGGCCGGCATCAGCCCTGCCTGCACCAGTTTCCACAAGGTCTTGCTGAACGACACCTGCATAGGCATTGCTCAGCGGCAGAAGCTTGTTCTTCCGGACCTGTACGCCTGGAACCCGGCGCTGGAAGGGGACTGTTCGGGCCTGCAGGCAAACACGTACATTTGCGTGGCCGGCCCTCACAATGCCACGGGCCCGCAGGCCCCGATGCCGACGCAGGCTGGCATGGTGGCCCAATGCAAGCGGTTCTACAAGGTGAGGCGTGATGAGGGGTGTTGGGATATAGCTCACAGCGCAAAGATTCAGCTGGTGGACTTTTATAAGTGGAATCCGGCGGCCAAGAAGGACTGCTCGGGCCTCCAATCTGACGTCTATGTCTGTATCGGTATCTGACGCTGAAAGTTGAGACAAGTGCCGTCTTGCGCTGGTCCGGCCGCGCAGGGAGGTGAAGAACAGGGGTTCATCGCTCGCTCTGCTGCTATGACACTACGACCCTGACATGTAGGTGGTTTCTCAAAGCTACCCAGTGAGGCTTGGAGGAAGGTTGGACAGCTCGTCTTTAGATTACTGCATTATTATCGATTACATGTGCTTTAAAAATGCAGAGGGACAGGGAGGCCTATATACTACCTACCTTAGGTAGGCATGGATGGCGGAAGCCGAATTCCCGGTACATGTTCAGTATTGCCGGCCATATCTTCTCTTATGGATTCCCAGGCGCACAAGCTCGGGATGTTCCGCGTGAGGACGTTCATGTGCCGGATCAAACTCATCCCTCTCGGTACCCCCCCCTTCCCCTGCAAACACCGAGTTCGACGACCATTCATCGTCTCCGTGCCCGAAGGGGTTCTTCCCACCACCGTATAGGAAGTGGTCAAGCTCCTTGTCCAGCCAAAGGGCTCTTCCATAGAGATTGAACCCTTCCCTATGCATGTCTAACTTGATCACCACCTTGGGACGCTCTGCTACGTCCAGGGTGTGCCAGCCCAGAGTGCTCCTCATGTCTTCCAGCAGGCCTCTGTAGCTACCACCTCCGTCCAGGAAGTAGAGGAAGCTCAGTTCAATCGTCCGGACTGTCTTGGGGATCTTGGCAAGAAGAGACAACAAGTCATCCTGCCTCACAAGCAACTTGGATAACCCAAAATGTCGCAACCTCGGCCACCGTCGTAACGGGAGGAGGTTGCCGAGCGGAATGAAATGCTCCGGATGGCCGCCGCTGAGGTTCTGGCCTCTCCAGTCCGGATCATTTCGCACGTCTGTCCCGAAGTGAATGTGCTCCAGGTTACTGGACACCTCTTCGAGCGCAAGCCGCAGGCGCCCGTTCCGCAGTGATTTCCAGCCATCGTATTCTTGTCCACCGACCATGAGCGCGAGGTCAAGCCGGCGGAACCCGGGTCTTCGAAGCACGGCAACGAGATGGTCGAACTCTGGGCAGGGATTGTCGAAGAAGCGACAGGTAAGACCCGTCAGCAGCTGGCGGACATCGAGGACAAGCTCGGTCACAGACGGCCCCTGGTTCTCCGCGAGAAGCCGAGTCGCATTGATGAACCCGCGCCACGGCTCCTTGTCAGCTTCGGTGTTCCAGTTCCGAGCCTCCAGAGGGGCGTCGTCCACCGAGGTGGGCCAGCCGCGTGGAAGCTTGTAGTTCATATACTTGTTGTCTTTGGTCTTGGCGGCAAGCGTTCGAATCGTCGGGGTACGGTATAGCGGCATGAAGGTGAAGCCATGTGCCGCAGGGGTCAGGGTGATTCGTCGGAGTGTCGTGAAGCGCTCCAGACCGTACTCAAACGCCTTGATATCCAGATCATCAGCCAAGACCACGTTCTGCTGCGCCAGATATCCACGGTAGTGCCGCCAGGATTCCTGAACCGCCATGGCTTTTTCCATCCGCGCTTGTTTGTCGAGATGATGCGGTAAGTCAGCATCATATTCACAACGCCTTCGATGAATCTCATCCAAGTTCCTCTTGCAAGCCCTCGCATAGCCTTTTGGCGGTGTGTCTGGGGATTGCCTGTGCCGCGCCCAGTCGTGACAACACCAAGTGCTCCTGGGGTCCTCTTCGAATCGCCCTTCGTCCCAGACGATCTCTTTCACCATGCATCTCTGTGTCTCGTGGTCCGCGATGGCTCGGAATACCTCAATGTCCTTTGGGTTGGCGCTGATGAAGACTCTGTCGATATGTAGCGCAACGAGGGAGAACCGCTTGCAAGCGAGTCGCCATTCTCCAATGTCGGAATTCGACAGGTGAGAGGCTATCTCACTCAAGAGCTCTCTAGGCAGCGAGGTCAGAGCCATTGTCGTGTCCCAATCAAGACCACTGGAGATGCGCTGCCCTTTGACTGTTGCGAAAAGGTGAACTCCTGCTATTTGTAAAACTCGGTGGGAGAGGAGAGTCCACGTTGCACAGGGTTCGTTTTCTGCCCCCCCCCCTCTTCCTCCATCTGCAAAGCGCACGGACAATGGACGCATTTAGGGTTGCGATTGTTAGGCAGACGTGCACAGTGCATACACAAATCTCCCTTTTCTTGTTAACCTCTTTGTCTCTACTCAATGTGCTTATAGTCTTGTTTGCTCTCCTTCGCCCAGGGCGGCGGCAGACGGTCAGCAAACCACCGGCCTTTCACGGCTGCTTCTACCCGCTCGCCTCGGCCGTCATTCTCCGCACCGGGACTCCGAAAGGCTTCCCTCGCTGATGGACATGTAAACCGCGCCTTTTGCTCGCGTCAGCGCAAGGAAACAAGTGCTGCCTGATCGACTACGTCGACGAGGACGCCGTCTTTGGCGTGCCGCTCATCGACGGCGGCACCGTTCGGCTGCCGGCCATTGTCGGCCTCGGCCGGGCCCTGGACATGATCCTCACGGGGCGGCCGGTCGGCGCACACGAGGCCCTTCAGATGGGGCGCGCCAACCGCGTCGTGCCCAAGGGCCGGTGTCTGGACGAGGCCACGAGGATTGCGCGGCAGCTGCTGGCGTTTCCCCAGGCGTGCATGAACGTGGACCGCGCGAGCTGCTACTACTCAGCCTACAACGCGATGTCGTTGGAGGATGCTCTAAGGAACGAGTTCGCCAACGGGACTCCCGTCATCGCGGCAGAGAGCGTCAAGGGAGCAGCCCGGTTCAGCGGCGGTGCTGGGCGGCACGGCGTGTCTGCAAGTGCGGATAACTCGAATTTCTAAGAAAGGGGGGGGTCTGATATCATGTAAAGGGGGGAGGGAGCGGGGAGAATGGGATTGTCTAAATGTACCTGCGTTGTCATCGGGAGGTGATCTTTGAGATCCCTCTTCCTAGATATACCAAGACTGATGAGTGAGCCCCCTGATGATTCACATTGATCAACTGGATTAGGTACCTATATTCCTATTCCTTGAAGCTGGTGCTCTTGCGAAACACCTCGGAGACGACGTATTATACATGTATCTTTTAGTCCATGCACTAGCTGATTGTGGCTGTGGTTCTACCTTGCGTGTACACCGGGCGCGCCCTGCAGTGACAAGGACTGGCGCTTACAGGATCTGGCCAGGAAATGCTTGTATAAAGACGCATGGCTTCACAACTTCACAACCATCAAACAATCTTCCCGGAGAACACGAGCACCCTACTAAGAGATCAATCACAACGACAGCATCACAACACCATCAACAGTTGAATCATTCTCATACCCAAGGCACACCATGTCCGCCCTTGCCAGCGATCCCGGCGAAAGGTCCCTGGCCAGGCTCCTCGCCACCCTCACTACCACCCTGCACGAGCCCGTCTTCGTTCTTGCAACCCTTTCCGACGCATCGCGCCTCCCGCCCCTGCAAGAGACGCAGCTCGTGTTTAAAGAAACCGAGGGCATCACCGTCATCGTCACCAGGAGTTACGCCGAGGCGCACGGCATCGACTACCTCTTCCCCTGCAAGATGCTGACGCTCAACGTGACGTCGAGCCTCGAGGCCGTGGGCTTCATGGCCGTGGTGGCAACGAGGCTGGCGGAGGCCGGCATGGGCGTCAATCCGGTCAGCGGCTTTTACCACGACCATCTGTTTGTGCCGCTGGGGAGGGAGCGGGAGGCGGTTGATGTGCTGGACCGTCTGGCGGAAGAGCATAGACAGAGGGCGGCGGCGACGGACAGCGAGTTGCGGTGATGCTGGTGCTTGACTTGCTCAGTGAAGAATGCTTTCCTATATATAGATATATATATATATATATATATATGCAACTCCATGAGGAACCTGAAGTTTCAACCGAGAGTTCTCTGTAGAGTAGTAACTCATCAGATCCATTCAACACACCAAATTCAAGACTCAAACGGACGTCATGTGCGCTCCTGGCCAACCAAAGCCATGTCGCTACCAAACTCTCGGCAGCTGAAGTTGGAACAACTCGCAAGAGACTGAGGCACGAAGCTGAGATGGAAGGTACGAGTCACATGTGGTGGATTAAAAACGAAACCCTCGTGAAGTCTTCAGTTCGCAAGAGTCAGGCATTTCTTACACCACCGCCTTCAGACTGCTCGCCTTGAGCTTCTGAGGCATAGGGACTTTGCATTTACATTTGCCACGAGCAAAACAGACAAGCTGGGCTCTCCTCGAAAGGCACCATTACCATTGTTCTCAACTGCAGCATAGCGGACGTCTCTCATTTCTATATACCGCTGTATTTCGCGTCTATCACCTGTTGCTTCCCCCCCAATCGCCTCGAAATGGTAACCACCGGCCAACCAGAGCCGGAATCCTTCACATGGACATTCCTCCCCGCCGAGATTCGCACAATGATCCTCAATGTAATAGCGCGCCAGAAGCATCCCGGTTGGGCGTCTCTCGCCTCTGTGTGCAGAGAATGGCAGAGCGTCCTCGAGCCCGCCAACTTTGACAAGCTGAAGCTGCGCGTGTCCTGTCTCGACGACTTTAGCAGCGTGGTTTCGCCGTCGAGGACCAGCATCATTCACCACATCTGCCTCAACATCGAATTACCACGATACGCGTGCGACGACTGCTGCAGACGGCTTTCCATGTATGATAACACGAGTTCCATCGTCAGCAATGGAATATGGAGGCTTTTCTCCATCCTCAGTGCTTGGAAGCCGGCGGGTGACCTGGCACTGGAGCTCAATGTGTACTCTCCGAGCGACCGCGACCACTGGTTCAAGGGCATCTACCTGTCCACTGATGATGTCGAGGAAGACGAGGACAGCGTCACGTCGCTGAATGACTGGAGAGGCGAACCTTGGTGCCACGACCCGCGTCACGGCTGGCTGCACGGTCGACAAATCATGGATCCTCCAAGGTCGGCCATCCTGCGGCTCTTCCAACCCATTACTCTGCGCTTCCAGAAACCGCTGCCCCGGGTCCGAGCAGTCACCCGCTTCCTGATGCGTCGACAGCTCCGGCGATACCTTTTTCCCATGGAGATTAGACTGCTGCTCAACTCGCTCGTCCACCTTGATCACATGGTCTACGAGCCGTGGGCAGTGCCAATATCATCCGAGAAGCAGTTTCGTGAACAAGGTACGAGATGGGTTTCTTTCCACTGCCGCGTGTGAAGCCCACTCTTCCCTGAAAAACGTCTACCGCTAACACCGTGAGCCAGCGTTTGCTATCCTGGTCAAGGCCGGCCTTCCGGGCTCTCTCAGGAGTTTGACGATATTCGAGGACTTCTTTGAGCTCTACAACCGCTTCTCAAGGCGGTTATCAGACGGGGCCTCGACCGACCTGTTCCCCGATGGCCTCCGACTCGGCGCGACGTTTGCATCTCGGAGCCGCAACCTGCGACACCTTTCCATCTCCTTCATGATCAACGCCGAAGAATTCTTTCGATACTGTCAGCCGGCGGGCAACTGGCCTCACCTGCAGTCTCTGGCGCTCACAGCAAACTTTCTGGGGCAGGACGAGAGCCTGCGGCCATGCATCAACGTACTACTATGCCGAGCCGGAGTCCTCGCGCAGAGGATGCCCAAGCTGCACACGTTTGTGCTCTGGAACGGGGCGAGAGGGCACGCTTGTGCTTTTATTTACCGCGTGGAACAGGACGGACCATCCATTACTTGGCGAGGAACTTGGCGACTGCCGTTGAGCGAGGATCCTTATGTGATTCGGGTATGGAGGCTCGTTGCCTCAGGGCTGCGTTTCCACAAGCTTCGAATCAAGCAGCAGCGTATTTTCAGAGACATTACTTCTCGTGGAGATGCCGTGTATCGCTTGAAGCTGCCTTGTCAGGTTGTTGAGCCGGCATCGCTTTGGCAGATGCGGAGGGAAGGGTATAAGCCGTATTACTGAAATTTGGAAGAGCGGCTTTTACTCAGCTGTTGCTTCGAGCAATTGTCTGTGAAGAAGGCTAGCCTTCTTTTTTTCCTCCCTTTCCTTTCTCAATAAGCGTTGCAATCAAACAGAAATCAGCTCTTCCTTATAAGCATGACAGTTTTCAGGATAGACCAAGTTTGCCGTCGTGCAGCTGTTGCAGCTATCTCTGCTTGTATAATAGAATGTCGTTGCCCCAGCGAAAACTTTAACTCTCACAACTCTGGAGACTCCTATGTGACATATTTACATGAGCCATTCGCATATCGCCATCCTTGACTTGTCTCGCTTCTTGTCTTGGCGACTTTACTCTGCTCTCTACACGTGTGCCACGCTGCTTCAGGTTCTACTCCTGGTCCGCACAAATATAGTTGTACACGTGGATACTGAAATCCACCGCCAAAGTGTCGAAGAAGTTCATTATCTGCCTACCTTGTGAAGAACTAGCTCTTTGCCAGGATGAATCTCTTCCGCCTGGAATGTTGCGCATACATCATATTTTACAGTTCATCCCTCTTGCTTTATCGGTTTTGCTGATATCCCTGGGGAATTCGTGGACCATCCATCATCGATATAGAAAAGGAGTATAAAATAGCCCTTGGTCTCATAAGCAAGAGTATTCGCATGTATGAAGTCAATATAAGGAATACAATGAGAAGACTTTTAACATGTGTCTACTCCCGTCTCGTAAAGACAAGAGGGCATTCGTCCTTGAATACTCGTTAGCTCACTCACAACCCTTACACGCTTCACAAAGAGAGAATAGGACAGAAACATACCATGGGAAACAAAGTGGCAAACACTCGAATCTCTTCCGACCGCTCCGTGGCATGATGCACCCAGTCCAGCTCCAGCGAAGCCTTGCCAATCATGGCAGCCATTGTCAGCGGCACATACCGCCGCGCAAGGCAGTCGTGCGCGCCCGCCCCAAAGACGAGCCAGTTCTTGGTCTTGGTCTCGGCATCGCCCGTGATCCACCGCTCCGGGTCGAAGACGTCCGGGTTCGGGTACGCCGCCGGGTCGTGCAGGGCGGGATAGCACGAGGGGATGATCATGGCGTTCTTGGGCACGGTGTAGTCCGGTGTCACGGGGAAGGGCTTGAGGGCGAGGTAGGGGACGAAGATGACGGGCGGGCGGTAGCGCAGGAGCTCCTTGACCACGGCGTTGGTGTAGGTGAGCGACTCGAGCATCTCCAGCTCAAAGGGGCGGTTCTTGTCGCCGCCTCGGGCAGCCAGGTTCTCGGCTCTGAGCCGATCCAGAACATCTGGTCTCTGAGCCAAGATCTGGAAAAGCCATGTAGTGGCGCTGCTGGAAGCATCCTGAGAGGCGAACAGGAAGGTGAAGAGCGTCTGGGCAATCTCCTCGTCCGAAAACTCCCGAATGAGGTTCGTCGGCTTCTCGAGGCCCTCGACACCCGCGGCAACGGCTTCGTTGTATCTCTTGGACTCAAACATGTGTTGCACCCACTGGTCAACAATGCAGGTCGGCTGAGCGCCAGAGGCCATGTTGACCTTGCAGGCAGCAGCACACTTTGTGAACTCCTCCAGAACGGCATCTGCTGTGCGCTTCCCTCTCCAGCACTTGGTAAAGGGGACGTGTATAGACAGCGGGATGTTGACGAGCTCGAGCGCATCGGTGATGAGGTAAAAGTCGTCCGCAATCCTCTTGACGGCCTCCTGAGAGATGTAGTCACCAAAGAAGGTGCGGCACGACAGCGCGCAGTTGATCTCCCTGAACCACCCCATGAACTTTGTAGGCTTTCCCCCGTTCGCCTTGCTGTGCTCGACGAATCGGTTGAAGTAGTCCGCGTAAACCTTTTCTTGAACGGGGAGATAGGTGCTCAGGGCCTTGTTCGTGAATAGCCCAGTCAGGCCTCTGCGGAACTCGGCGTGCGCTTTGCCGTTGAGGAAGACCCATGCCGTGGGGCGCATGATGTTGATGGCCATAGGGACGAGGCATGGTCTGACAAAGGTTGGGGACTTGAAGACTTTGTGTGCGAGATCGCGGTCTGATGCCAGAACGACAAACCTATCGGTATATTGGCAACTGAAGACATGGAATCAAATGCAAGTCTACGGAACACTTACTTGTGGAATACAGAGACGCAGCTGAGAGGGCCACTGGCCCACTGGGCGAGATATGCGTCGAATTTGGGGTAGATGGCTTGCAGAAACGGTCCTATGAGTGGAATTTTGAACGTAGGCCCGGCAATCGATCCCTTCCGTGAGATGTATAAGTCTGTTTCTGGATCAGCAACCCACAAAGCACGCAAGACGATGGGCGCATATGATATGGTAAGAGCGGCTTACATTGGTCATAGGCAACCAGAACAAGCAAGGCCGTAATGGCAATCTGCCAGTTCGACGCAGCTGAACAGCTTGACCAGAGGCTCTCGACGAGTCCCGAGGTACCGTGTTGAGTGGCATTGATCGTGCTCTCGAAGGAGATCGGCATGCTGCCTTCTATAATGGTGGCCATGGTGTTTGTCAAACCTCGTCGCCCGGAGTGCATGCTGCTAAAGAACGACAAGATACATACGGGCAGGAGTAGAAGATAAATGGACGAAGAAGGGCTTTAAGTGTCTAGCAAGTGGCAGACATCTCTTCCCTTCAAGTAATCATGCTGTTTACGGGGTTGCTTGACATGGCCAATGGCGATCCGTCTCAGGCCATTATAAAAGTGGTCAGATAGTGGTGGATGGGAATCCGAAAATATCAAGGGGCGGCAGACTGCGTATCCGCGAAAAGACTGCTGAGGCTCTTCGTACTCGTATTCTCCGCAGCCTCTTGACGTCCCATAGTGGTGTGTTTGCTTATACAAGACATCTTCTACAGCCCATTCTGTACTAAACCCCGAGATCCAAGACAAATATGCTCGTGGGGTGTGTGATGCCTGACCAAGGCCAAAGGAGACCCCAAATCATCCCGGAACTGCCGCCGTGATTTAGACATTCGGAGTCTAAGCCTAAATAGTTCTAGACTCCGAGCTCATGGATCGCGGCTTGTGGGGAAAACATTTCATGGTTCTTTTTTTTCCGCATGATGATCCCGGTGCTTCTGTCCCCCCTTGTCGTGGTGGGATTTCGATAGTAGTATCCTCCTTTGATTGGCCATCCCTCATCTTACACTCATCTTGACAAATGCTCGCTCCCATTCCTGGCGGAAGAGCTCTTCCTGCGGCATCCTGGCCCAGAGGATTGCCTGTAGATGTGAGACGACGTCGTCCCATTTGCGAACCCCGAGAGCCGCTGCGGTGGCAAGCGCTTGATCTGTGAACCATTCGTGGTCTCTGAGCAAGCCATTGACAGCAGAGGCCACCATGCCCACGGAGAGAGCCCAGATCTCTAATGAATCGTGGCAGTGAGCGGTTATCGATGTTGCTGCTGTCCCTTCTTGCAAGGCCACGAGATGGTACCTGAGCTGGCGGATGATGGCGTTCGCTAAGCCAACGTGGGAATAGTATGTCGTGCCGTGTATGATGAGCATGTATAATGCAGTCGCGTATCGGAGACATTCAGAAGCTGCCAATCGCGATGGGTTCGCGTCAGCATCTGTGATTGTTTCCGTAAACGGAGGCAGCAGCAGCAGCCTGTGCACAACAAAACAGGTGAGATCGTGCAGCTGCGTGTTGGTGAGGCTCGAGTGCAATGAATGGTGCAGTATCCTTCTTAGACGAGACAAGATGTCATTCATGGTTGGTGTGAAATCCAAGGCGCCCAAGGTTCCGCCCTGGGATTCCGCGTCTATCGAGGCGAGCTGCCACTGCGGTATCGCGCTGATTCCGTCGCCATCGCCAGCAGCATCTTTGGTTGGAAACTGGGGGGCTTCCATGACGAGCATCGATACCCTTGAATCAGTCTTTGATCAGCATTCGCTCTCATCTCGCACCCGTGAGACACTCACCATGAGACCATTCTCGCCGTGAGGGGACTCCTTTGTTTGAGCTCGTCGATCCCGCCCCTGATGCTGACCATCCTCTTTACTCCGTCGATATGCATTCTGCTGGCTTCGATGTTCCCCTTGCCATGCTATTCAGGCCCCACGTTAATAAGTCGAGCCCACCCACCAAAAGAAAGGATATGTCACCTCAATGGCAGCCAGTGTCACGACAGAGTCCATAGTCTCGTCCTGAAAGGCTAACAATGGATCTGCAATTCTTCGTCTCACCAGAGCAATCGAGTCGACCATGAGAAGATCGGATATCGCGAACCCATTTTGGGCTTGGAGCTCCTCATACAGAGAGGCAGTCTGCAATGACACATGAAACAATGCTTGATCCGCCAGTGCTAGTGGCCACCAGGACACGATGAATGGATTTGAGTCCATATTCAGATCCAGTGGGTAGTACTGAAAGGCAATGCTAGACAGAACTGAGAGGTTTCGGTGGTCAGCCAGACATTTATTTTGATCAGCGGCGAAGGAAAAAAGAAGATTTACACCGGTGTATCAACCTCTGGACATGCATCCTAGGAAGCCTCGTCGGTGGATATGAGTCGAAAGGATCAAAGGAAGCAGTTGCCGGGTTTCTTATCCAAGCCGGGTTTTCCGAATATCGAGCTGCCGGTTCTCCATCCTGAGGCAACAGAGACAACAGCTCGCCGCCGTTGCTAGCCGCTGGAGGGCTGTAGCCTGACGCCTCTGTAGACGAAGCAGATGAGTCCAGAGGTGAGTTCAGGGGCTTGTTTGCATAGACGCATCTCGAATTTCGCTTGATGCACCGGGAGCACTGGGGGATCCGGAGATCGCAGGCGAGCTTCGCCTTTGCGCACGCGTCACAGGATCTTCGGAGGGTTGTGCGCATCTTCTGGCCTTATAAGATGATGGCCAGATGGTACACCGGCGGATTGTAAGCTGGCGAAAAAGTTGATAATATGCGTATTGCGATCATGAGGCTGCGACGGCATGAAGTGAACAAGTGCTGCGGTTCGTGAAATGTGTTGGATTCAATAAGCCGAATCCGCAGGCACTTGATGTTGTCAAACGGATGACTAATACTGGCCCCGGTTCTGGTCGAGACGGGTTGACGACATATTAAGTGAGGGCATCGTGTGCCGTCTTTACACGCTTTTCAGTTATATGCTAGCATAATTGATTGAAACTGATAGGGTTTGGTTCTCTTCTTGATGTCTTGTCACAGATTGTCTTCGATTGGGGTGTCAAGACGCCGATATACCCGCGGCTACTCATGACTTACGGATAACCACAGGTTCGCAACAGTACCTCATCTTGACACTATAATGCTCAGGGCGGCTCAGGGGTGAAGGACATTCTCAATACAGACTTGATAGTTGTATTGACCAAATTTTATATTGATTTTATCCATAACGTCGTGGTTCAAGTGGGAATTTCTGAAGTGTAGCAGTCGGGAATCGCTGGCCTGGTGGAAATTTATCATCTGAAGCCACAGCCAGACTTTATGCTCGTTGTTCCAGCTTGGCTACCTGCCATCCACGATGCTTATGGCATCGTGTGCCAGAGCGACAGAATTGCATTCTATAAATGTTGATATGATATTGGATCCGTCTCGGCAGTGAGATTTCAGCCTGATCTTGGTGCATATTGATGGAAGATAAAGAAGGAGAATCTCATTATCATCTGTACGTAGATGTGCTTTTCGTTCGAAAATAAAGAGAAAAAAACGCCCCTCGACTTGATGTATCTCAAATTCGTGTGCTTGATAGTCTTTTCTCATTGCACTACTTGAAGGCTATTCCACAAGTTGTGTAGCTGGGTTGTCGTGACCACCGATTCGGCTTTGCACAGACTACGTAACGCAAGTGGGCAGCTAAACAGCTCTCAAGGGCTATATAGCTAGCCCATAACCCGCGAAAATGACTCCAAACCAACAGTATGCAGGACACAAGGCACTGTCGACTGCTTCTCGTCGGGCTTCTCCTTCGGGATCTGAGGTTACCAGAGCATATCAGGGAGGTTTGGGTTGACCCTGAGGGAGACCCATGGATTTCGTTCGTGCCAATTCTCGTTGAGATATTAGGTCTCTTGCAATATACCACGTCCGGAACAATGTCACCAAAACGACAACGGTATTGCGGTTGTATAAGGTACGCTCCGTTCTCTACAAATGACAAACTATTGAAGACAGCCAATAGCAGATGCATATGCCTTGCACTGTTTACCAAAGGCCGTTGCAGTTCAGCTGGACAGCATCTTCGACATGGTCTGACAATATTACTGGCTGGTGGATAAATTACCTGCGTCGACCCCGCTGATGCCCAACTGCCTGTCTGCCCGCATCAGCAATGTTGAGAATCACCTTCATTCTTCAACTCTCTATCTCGAACATCTGCTCAGATCAAGATACTTGGCTGAAGATTTCAATCCATCCTTCAAGGAATGATGTTTCGTCAACTTACTACGAAAGTCAAGGGAAAGATCCGTTCCCATCGCAGCAGGTCCCGCAGTCCCTCAGTGAGGGATGGCTCTTCGCAAAGCCTGCCAAACGTCCAGGCCATCGTCTCTGCTTCGAGTGCCACGGCAAACACACCTCAGAATGCTCCTACTTTCACGGCAGAAGGTCACCAGAGTCGTCACTCGCTCGCCATCCCGACGATCAACGAACCGGCGCCTGAGCAAGAGCCAATCGTTCAGGATCCTCCAGCTGCAGAGCCTGGCGATGATGACGAAGAGGGGAGACCAGCACAAAAGCTATCTGACGAACTCTGGGACCGTGCATATGATGAACTAAAAGCCGAGGAACCTGCACTGGTACAAGCATACGAAAGAATCTTGACGGCCCACCTCATTTGCGACAACAACGGCACGACTGATGCTACATCTGGCGAAAACCGCATCGAACAACAAAACAAGGAGTACAGAAGAATCCAGATGCAGAATCTGGTGAAGAATGGCCTGGACAAGATTTCACGGGAGTCAAAGGCGAAATCCCGCATAGGCGATTTCCTCCCCCTGATCAACGTCTCGAAAGATATCGTCACCAACGTGGTCAAAGGCGTTCCACAGGCGGCGCTTCCATGGGCTGCCGTTTCCCTTTCACTCGAGGTAAGACCGCAAGACTTGCTCTTAGACAACATTTGTTAACACACTTTCCATGTAGCTCTTGACGAACCCTATGTCCGAGACGAAGGCCAACTGCACGGGAGTCACGTATGTGATAGAGCAAATGAATTGGTACTGCGAACTGGCTGCGCTAGTCTTCAGCGATCATAATGGCAGCACTGCCAGACTTCAGGGAGAGCTTCAGACGAAACTCATCGATCTGTATAAGAAGTTGCTCTTTTTTGAAATCAAGAGCATATGCTCTTACTATCGCCACCGGGGACTCACCTTCCTACGCGATCTCGTCAAGCTTGATGACTGGAAAGGGAGTCTCGACGAGATCAAAGACGCCGAGACCTTCTTTGACAAGCATTTCCATGCATTCCGAAGCATCGATCTGGGGCAATATATGAAGCAACTAGTCCTCCACGCAAAGGACGAGCAGGCGTACCGAAAGACTGAGGAGGACAAGAAGTGTCTGAGAGATCTGTATATCACAGATCCTCGAATGGACAAGCGCAGAATTGAGAACACCAAAGGAGGCTTGGTGCAAAACTCGTGGCGCTGGATTCTCAACCATCCAGACTATGAAACTTGGCTTCATGATGACGACAAACGGCTTCTCTGGATAAAGGGTGACCCAGGCAAGGGAAAGACAATGCTTCTCTGTGGCCTAGTCGACGAGATCACAAAGCGAGCCGCACAGTCGGGAGATGCCGTATCTTATTTTTTCTGTCAAGCGACCATGCCGACAATCAACAATCACTTGTCGGTTTTACGCGGCCTTATATGGCTGCTTGCCGACCAACAGCCCTCTCTCCTTTCATACATTCGGGAAGCGTACGGTACCAGCGGCAAAGATGTGTTCGAAGGGCCCAACGCATGGTACAGCCTGACAAGCTTTTTTCGCAGCATCTTGGATGATGCAAATTTGACAAGGATATATGTGATTGTTGACGGCCTCGACGAGTGCACCACCGGCTTGCCTGAGCTCCTGGAGCTGTTCAAAGAAGTGTTGCCGTTGCAAAATGTCAAATGGATCTTGTCTAGTCGAAACTGGCCTGATATCCAAGCGAGCCTTGAGGATACACCGGACGCTGAGGGTGTAAATCTCAGTCTTGAGGTTAATGCCGCCGTTGTTGCAGATGCAGTGGATGCTTATATCTCTGAGAAAGCATCCGAGGTGAAGCTCTTCAGGGGAAAAGATTATTTGAGAGAAGAAGTCCGCAAAGTCATGAAAGAAAAGGCCAACGGAACGTTCCTCTGGGTGGCTATTGTCTTCCAACAATTGCAACGCATGAAATTCCTCGACGGTGGTTTTTCGGCCCTGATGGAACGATTGAATGAGTTTCCAAAGGGCCTCACGGAGCTCTACGACAGAATGCTCAAGCAAATCAAAGACTTGGATAGCGAACAAGAGTCCGAGTTATGCCAGACTGTGCTCGGCATTTGTGTGGTGGCCTATCAGCCCCTTCGCCTTCAAGAGCTGGCCACCCTGGCAGGCTTCAAAGACGGCCTCACGGAACCCTCTGCATTGCGGACTCTCATCGAGACCTGTGGCTCTTTTCTCACCGTCAAGGACGAAACCGTCTACTTCATACATCAATCGTCCAAGGAATATCTAACGACCAGCAACGGGGCTCAATCAGCCATATTTCCAAACGGCACCGACAAGGTTCACCATAAGATCGTGATGCATTCGCTAGAGATCATGGAACGGAAGCTATGTCGAAACATATACAAGCTACACGATCCTGCAATCCTGATTGGTGATATCAGTACACCAGAGCCCGACCCTTTGGTATCTCTGCGCTATCCTTGCTCTTACTGGCTTCGCCACCTCTGCATGTCGATGGCTAGCTTCAATCTGAGTGATGGCAAGTTGTTGAAGTTCTTAAAAGAGCACATTCTTCACTGGCTGGAAGTCATGACCTTGATGGAAAACTCACTCGAGGGCGTTCCTGATGTTATTCATTTTGAAGACCTAGTCAGGGTTGGTTCAATATTTCCAATGAGCGAACATTAAAAACCATACTAACCAGAGTCGATAGCAACATTACCCCGACAGCGAACTTTTGTACCTGGTTCACGACATACGTCGATTCACGCAGCACAGCTCGTGGATCATCAACAATGCTCCGCTTCAAATATACCTATCGGCAATCCTATTTACTCCTAAACTCAGCATTGTGAGGTCTCTTTTCGAAGAAGAGTTATCATCATGGATAACAGTAAAGCCGCCAGTTGAAAGTCATTGGAGTCCTTGCCTCCAGATAATGGAAGGTTCTACCGATCACGTTGCACTCTCAGCCGACAAAAAGATGTTAGCGAGTAGTACAATCCACGGGGATCTGAACCTCTGGGACGTTAACTCCGGGAAGTTAATCCGTGAGCGCTATATTAGGGAGGACATCAGCAAGATTGTTTTCTCCAGCGATTCCAAGCGAGTCATGACCGCCTATGACTCTTGTGTCGTTTCTTGGGATGTGGATTCCGGCATTGTGCATCATTCCACATGGTCCCCTGGTACCTTTCCGTCAATCTCCAACGACGGCAAGTTTATCGCTTCTCGCACGATTGATGGCAAAATTCAAGTACAGGATATGAATACCGGGAAACGGTTGTATCTTGTGCAGGATCATTACAAGTATGGAGAGGACCCATATGAAAAAAAGATCAAGTTATCGAATGATGCCAAGTATCTAGTATTTGGCGGGGATACAATTACAATTTGGGATGTCGAGGGGGATGACGCACACAAGGTCATCCGCACATCACGCAGAAGCGCAGAAATTTGTTTCTCGATTGACTCCACGCTCATGGCTTACGTTTCAAACGGCATCAATATCTGGGACCTGGCGATGAGGCGTGAGGTGTGTACCATTTCTGCAAAGACAGATCGCGGTAACGCAATTATCTACTCGCTCGAGTTCTCGACCGACTCCAAGCGTCTAGCTGGAGGGACTTCGGAGAACATTAGGGTTTGGGATGTCGTCGATGGTACCCTTCTGACGCAACTGGACACCAAATACGAGTTGCATGAAAGTCTCTCTTGGTCGCAAGACTGCAAGATCCTAGTCTCATCAACTGACAGCAGCGTCTACGTGTGGGATATGACCGCCTCTGTAGAACCCCAGCCCGTCCCAGTTATTAGCGCCGCGGATGTTGTCTTGGAAGGGGTCGCAATCAACAACGACTATAAGCTAGTGGCTACGAGATCAAAGGATGCTGTCAAAGTCTGGGACGTAAATACAGGAAGCGAGCTAGCGGAGTTTGAGACAGAACGAGTGACGGCTCGATCGCCAAACTCCGTGGCGTTTTCACCAGATTCCAATTTCATATACACCCAGGAACATGCTAGTGTCACTAAATGGGGTATTGACTTGAGGACAGAAGCAACAGTCTCTAAAATACTTCTGAGCGACAGGCAGGACAGACTCGGCGATGCATTTTCTAGCGATGGCAGACTCTTTGCTGAAGCGATGGCAAGCGGTGGAGACGTCACGATATGGGATATGTCCACAGGCCAGAAATCAGTGCATTTCACCGCCGGTGATCAAAAAGTTCTGGCCATGGCATTCTCCAACAATGCGCAGTATCTCATCCTTTTATTTCCAAATGGGACGGTCGGCATCTGGGATGCCATTACCGGTTATCGAATCAAGTACGCCAAGGCGAACGCATATGAAATGATTGACAAGGAAAAAGGCAGACGCCTTGGAAATCGGCATCGAGCAGTAGCCTTGTCTGAAGATGCTAGTCGCGTACTTTTTGGGGATACATCTATCAACGAGATATGGATACATAACGAGGGTCAGAAGGTAATTAGGCTCATTCTCGGTGAACAAAGTTTCGGGAAGCTCTTTGGAGCCAGAGAATCGTATATCACAACGTGGGGCGGTTATATCGACTTGAATGGCCTGCAAACTGGTTGCGAGACGCTGGATTCTTATCAAACCATAACTTTGGAAGATGTTCGGTTCGAAGGCTACGGTTTGAGTTCTGATCAAGCTTGGGTCACATGGAATGGAAGCAACATTCTGTGGTTGCCGATGGACTATCGACCATGGCAACTCGGTTATGATGCCGTCGTCATACTTCCTCTTGGTCTCACTGTCGTCGCGCATAATAAAGTCCTCATCCTCGGATTTTCCGGTCCCCCGCCAATATAGGATTTCCAGCTCAGTACATAGTAACCGTCAACAATAAGATTGACCACATCCACTTTGATACCTGAATCTCGTGATGTTGCATTCTGCATGCCAGTTCCAGACGTTAGAATTGTTCACGATCTCTAGCAAATAATCGCAGTCGAAGCAATCGCTAATGTTGAACTAATATGTTTCTCTCTTCTATATCAAGACCCCTAGATCATTAACGCTCGTGGGTATTCGTACATGCTTTTCGAAAACAAAATTACAGCTTGATGACAGCAGTGTGGGCAGCGGCCTTCTCCTCCTCGGTGTTGAACAGGTTAATGTTCCACCTAGGCTTGTCTATGTAACAGTCAGCTTTTGCTCCCATCTATTCATACGTCTCGAGGGTGAGCAAAACTTACAGGTGTAAGGAATGTTGAACCGCTGAGGCTTCTCGCCCAACTTGTTCAGCGCAGCAATGGCCTCGTCATCCAGCTCAACCTCCTGGAAGTTCTCCGCAATGCGCGCCTTGGTGACGGACTTGGGAATGACGGTGTGGCCACCAATCTGGGACCAGGCGAGGATGACCTGGGCGGGAGTGACGGTCTTGCCCTGCTTCTTGGACAGGTTGTCGGCGACGGCCTTGACCTCGTCGGAGCTGACGAGCAGGGGCAGGCCCTTTGTGTTGTTGCCAAAGGCGGAGTAGGCGGTGATGATGATGCCCTTCTTGGCGCAGTAGTCGATCAGGGGCTGGTTGGGGAGGCGGGGGTGGCGCTCGATCTGGTTGACGGCGGGGACGACGCCGGTGGCCTCGATGACGGCGTCGAGCTGTTGCGTGTTAGTCTCTGCTGTGGTTGTAAATGCCATCGTGGGATTGTTCGTTTAGGAAAGACGTACGTGCTCAATGGTAAAGTTGGAGACACCGACGGAGCGGACCTTGGACTTGGGCAGCTCGGTCATGGCCTTCCAGGTCTGGACAATGGACACATTCTGGTTGAGCTGCACCTCGGAGCCGTCCTCGGACTTGGGGAAGAGGTCGGCGCCGGGAGCAAAGGCAACGGGCCAGTGGATGAGGTAGAGCTAGAGAAAAGCGTCAGCGTCTCGTCCATCACTTCACGAACTTGGGGACTTGGGGCAAGGGTGTACGCACGTCAAGGTAGTCGAGGCCAAGCTCGGCCAGGGTGTCGTCGAGAGCGGGCTCGACGTCCTCGGGCTTGTGGGAGTTGTTCCACAGCTTGGAGGTGATGAAAATATCCTCGCGCTTCAGGCCGGGGACCTCAGCAAGAGCCTTCTTGATGCCCTCACCAACCTCCTTCTGGTTGCCGTAGACCTTGGCCAGGTCGAGGTGGCGGTAGCCAACCTTGAGGGCCTCAAAGACACCAGCGCCGACCTCGCCGGGAGCGGCCTGCCAGGTGCCGTAGCCGATCTGGGGGATCTTGTAGCCGGTGTTGAGGGTGACGGTCCTTCCGGAAGACATGTTTGCGGTGATGCTGAAGAATCGGGGGGAGTAGTGGTGGTGGTGAATTGGGTTGTGAATCGAGTGTTGAGCTGAGCGAATCGAGTGCGATATTCGTGAACAGCGAGGAGAGATGGAGAGCAAGGACGGCCGAGCGAGGTGACGCAGGGCCACCATTATTTATGTACTCGAATGGCCGTTATCGAGCACGCACACGCCTCATGACGAACTGGACCCAGAAGTACGGGCTGCTACCGGGGGAGCTTGGATCATATCGTCGCCCCGTCCATGGCTTTCTGTGGGGAATATCGGAGTTTACGCATCATTGGAGGAGGGCCGTTGGCCTCGAAGGCTTGCAGCCGCGTCTTTTTTTTTTTCTTGGTCGCCTTCTTTTTTTTGTCTGGATTGTCTCCATTATAAATCCGGGCGTCGACGGACTGACTCGTGGCGGGGGAACCATGATTGAGGCTGCCATCAAGGTGACGATTGAAATGCTAGAGATGGTGTTTACAGTATGTGTTCATATCGTATTCTGTGACTAGTATTTGATAGTCTCTGCCCGTCTCGTCTTATCTCTTCTCCTATTTCTTCTTAAATGTCCTAGCAGTATCACCACGATCCTCGAAGCTTGCTTGAATCTATCGTGATGCCGCTTCTGCCCCGCGACCCAAAGAGGAAATCCTAGGCGCCGGCAGCTTTTGAGGTGATGAGGGGCACGAATTACGTACTTTTCGGCCTGCATGTCATTGATGAACGCAGAGAATGCCAGGATTGCCAATTCCAGTAAGAGAACCAGGGGAAATTGCTTCAGAGCGCAACAGATGGCGCAACTTTGTCCGTCCTTCTCGAACCTTCACGAATCTGGTGGCGCCTCGACACGGTCCGCCATCTTTCCCCCCCCTATCGCCTTGTACCCCGCATGTACTCGGTACCTCGGCTCGACTCCAAGATGCACCTCATTCTTCTCCATCTGGCTCCATCTGCTCCCCGTTTTCGCCTCCATCTTGACCACTCTTTTACCCCACGCAAAGGACACGGTTACAGCGAGGTACCTCCGCTGGATCACTGCGGGACGGACAGACTTGCCTCTTGATTATTTGGGAGAGACGCCGGCGAGGTGCGTCATCGGCTGATAGATTGTCCGCCTGAACTGACTGCTGTGGATGATGCTGTGAAGATATCAAGATAGTTAGAGTGAGTCGGATAGCCCTTGAAGGCTTCGATATGTGATGCCTCCTGATGATGTAATTCCCATCACTGACGATTCGCCCCCCCATCTTGTTCCATCAAATCGTCGGATCACGGCAAAGGCCTTGACTAAAGTCGGACTCTATTTGTTTGGCGTCTTACCCCCCCTTGTTGGCCGTGGCGGCACGACACACAAGCATACCCGCAACCCGCAACCCGCGAAAGCTTGTGTCGTAGCTGTCCGACCTTAAGCCCAATCTGACACCTTTGCCAGGCACAAGATGTGCCAAAATCTGACAGGACACATGCCAAACAGCGACTCTTGACATCAAGCACCTCCTTCTAGAAGCCTTCACCCTCCCTCCCTCCCTCCCTCCCTCCCTCCCTCCCTCTCTCTCCTCTTCCACGCTCTCTGTCTCTCTTTTGCTCACCGCATCGTCAGGCACAGACACCACCTCTTGTGTTGCTTCTCCCGCCTCATCACCGCAGCACCTGGCCAACCTCAACCCGTGCTGTCTCTCCCGAAGGACACGTTTTTCCCTTGCTCCCACAGGTGAGAAAACGAGGGATTGCCATCTCACAGGCTTGACACCAAGCCGTTGTCACCCTGCCTCGCGTCTTATAGCAAATCTCTTCTCCGTCCCAGCCTGTTTGTCAGCCCTCCATCTCTTTCAACAGCCGAAATATGACCACCATCGCCCAACCGATTCTGATCGGATGCTGTTGCTGCTAGACATGGCGAGAGCAAACTGTTTCGAGCTGGAAAAGACGGTGAGAATAGCCGCTCTTCGATGTCCAAACTCACAGGAAGGCTCGACAGATGAGTGCCTTTTGAAGCAAGATGATGGCGTCTCCTTTGGTAGCAAACTTCCGTATCATGCATGTATAAAGACAAGGCATCATTCACCGTGGTGAGAATTTCCGTAGGCGTACTGTAGCATATCACAGACGAGCAGGACGAGCAGACACGATCATATTACTCACAATCTTCAAAGTCTGCCATGATGTTCCCCATCTTCAACATGCCCTGCCTCCACAACCACCACCAACCCCCCGTGCTTCACTCCCGTGGCTCTCACGACGGCGAAATATCCTCCCCCGCAGCCACCGGCCTCGCCGTTGGCCTGATTCTCGTCGGCCTCGTCGTCGCCGTCCTGCTCTACTTCTGGTGCTGGCGCCAGCAAGAACCCAGGAACCATCGTCGTGACGCACGCCACCGCCGCGAGAACCAGCGTGATCAAGCCGGTCAAAATGCTGCCGGCAATGGGGCTAGAGTAGCCGTTCCTGAGGTCCAACAGGTGGCCCAAAGACGGAATGATGCTGCTCAGGGTCAGCAGGAGTGTCCTTTGCCAGCGGTGCCTTTGTCGATCCACCACCATCAGCATGATGATAAGCATTTCCACGGAGACCATTTCCATGACCACCTCCATGAGGGCGACCACATCGTGGACCGCCCTGACCCCAACAATGATCGAACTGTTCAGAACGATGCTCGTCATCAGCATAACAACCACAATCATCACCACCATCGACACCATCACCACCGTCATCACCGCTTCAACCGCTCCCACCGCACTAATCGGGTCATCATCCCCCAAGATCCCCTTGCCGAGTTTGAGAGACTGTTCAGATCCCCGTCACCCCGGCTCCCGGACATCACCCAGGCAGATCTCGAGGCCATTCTCAACGGTCTGGACATTCCGCTGCCGAATGATGCCGCGCAGAGGAATGCAAATGCTCAGGAACAGGGGGGCGCACGTCGTGATGATGAGTCGAGTGAGAGACGAAACAAGCGGCGTCATCATCATCATCATCGCCACCATCATTTTCACCATCGTCAGAAGCGGGTGGTCATCCATTAGAGAGTGGAAAGGTATGTGCATGGAGTTGAGCAGAGGGATCAGAGTGTTGATTGAGGGGGGTCGATACAATGAGAGTAGTGGTTGAGACAACCTGAGGGCATACTATTTGTTTCGTAATTCGTCATACTATTTGTTTCGTAATTCGAGAAACGAGAATATGTAACAAGTGCATCAATAGCAGTTAAGTTGTTAAGAAGATGTTACCTGCGCCGTATCCTACCAAACGGATCCTCCAAGGCACTCACAGCTGTTTAACACGTGAAGAAACGGAAAAGAAGTAAAAGCCCAGGCATATGACACGCAACCCGTATTCAACAAGTTGTAGAGCAAGAAAACATGTCACAACGCCACAACATCACAGTCATGCCCCCTCTGCCGCCCCCTCAGCATGTTCCCCTTCTTTTGCCTTGGAATGCCTAGACCCCTTACTGCTCGTTGACCGGCGCCTGTGTCCATGCTTCTTCTTCGAGAAGCGGATCGAGTCTCCGTAGCAGCAGATAAAGACGCAGACGCCAATGATGAAGGCCGCGAGGGTGAAGCCCACCACGAGGCCGATGATGAGGTTTGTGTGTGCGGCCGAACCTGAGCGTCGATGTATCGCCGAATCACTTCGTTTGATGATGGAAGCCGTACGTTGAAGTATATTTGAGATGATGGAGTTGTCGCCTTGCTTCTGCATGTATGCGGTCTGCGGTGCACGGCGCCGAAGCGCCTCAATTTGAGCTAGATGACTGGAGATATACATTCGAGCTGCCTTCTGATGAAGTGCTATCTCAATGATAATGAATTCATAGATCTGTTCGTAAGCTAGAAACAACAAGGCATGGCATTGCGTTCGGCGCTGCATCATACATTATATAGCCCAAATCAGCCCCCTTCTCCTCCCCCTTCACAACGAAGATACAGCCGCTCCATTGGCCCGTGTTACACAGTCCAATGCAGCGCCGACAAATTTGGTCAATCGCACAGAAACGCATGCACATGCACCTCCTTTCACGCGCAAAAGGGCCGGCGTTTGTTCCTGCGGGCCAGCGAAACGAGCGAGTGGGAGGACGCGAAGAGCGCGTTACGGCATGTAAGTGCATGCAAGCACTTGGGCGGGGATTCCACCAGTGGTGTTTGCCATATGCAGAGATTTTTGCCCATGGGTAAAGAAGAGAGCCAATGAATGGGTCATGTGTACTACGATAGGGGCGATGGCTTGGGTTGGAATAGAGAGGTGCAGAGCAGAGAGGGAGAGAGATCTGTGTGTGTGTGTTGTTGGCGGTGGGTTATTGCGCTGTCGTGGGAGGATATTTAGTGGCCTTATATGATACCGAGATATTGAGAACAAATTGCAACGTGAGTTACTGAGCAACTTGGAGATTTGACGTTGAGAGCAAACATATGTGTCAAGTCAAGGGTAGGTGAAGCCTCTACAACGAGGCATCAACACCCCTCACGGCCAACACATTGCCATGCAAGGTGCCATGCAAGGTGCCATGCCAGCTTTCAAGCCGAACAATACTCTGGCTATATACAGTAATCCATAAAGAAGAATCCATGAAGCAAAAAGGCACCACTGCTCCCAAAGTGGCAAACTTGGCAGAGGTGTGTAAGTCCTCACTCATCTCGAAGGCCCCCAATACTGCGGGGAAGGCCGGTCTACGGACGCAGGACAACGCATCGAACAAGCATCAAGTGCGCGGCCGCTGATTCGACAGGGTCCCAGCAAGGGGGGAGAAACCCTCCTATCTCTTCTGCTGAATTTTTTTTTTGGAGCAACAGCGCTTACATGGCATCTCTTGCTGCCTCTTCGGGTATCTACTACTACAGGTATATATCGGCGGGATTCGGGTGTGACGCTACATGCATGCGATTAGAGCGCCTGACATGGGGTGGCGTTCGAAGCATGCCCACCGTGTAAGCATTCGTCTCTGACGCTGGACGGTCCCTTCTGATACGCACTCATCATGAAGCCAAGATGAAGAAAACAAACTGAAGATTATTATACTTGATTTCTTGTCGGTTGGAATAGCATGAGGTGAGCAAGATAGTGTCTCACTTCCAGGTTGCCTATAGTTTCTGTTTCTCACGCAGTGGCACGCAACACAAGTGTGTGTAAGCGCGCTACTTGGAGATGCCTAACATTTGGTGCTATCCCACGTAAAAGCCCCGACAGATGGGACATACGACACGAGCTCAATCTTGAACCAGCTCCCTTCTCTCTTGGTCCTCATTGGAAGCACTAGAAACAGTCTAGATATTCATACAGTAACTCCATCAAGTGCACGCTGTGTCAAGGCACGCTTGGCAGGACTGACTCTATAGTCCAGGCGAGCGAACCCTTGTCTGAACTAAACCAGGGGTCGTTTCCCCACGCTCAGCTGGGCCAGTGTAAGCCAAGAGTCAAGTAAGCCACTTGAAGTCTACTCGACCTCAACGAGAACCAACCACAACAACCAAAGACACAACGACAACTCCCTATGAAAGATACAACCTTCACCTACATGATCATTCTCAGTAAATGAACCTCCATCTCTCCTCGATTCCGTAGCTCAACCAAGCCAGCCACGCGTCAACTCCATCTCATTCTTTCCAAGCGTTTGAGTCCCCCCTCGGAACCAATAACCCTCGACGGCTGGCGTTTCACCATCCGCCCACCCTGCCCAACTTCAAACCCTCGCCTCCCAAGGAAACAAACCATCCCGAGCCCTCGACCCTCACCAACCTCATCAGCACCGAACAAGCCGTTTTTCTAGGCCGCATAAACTTGCGCAGTCGAAGCACGTTAGACCCCCAAGCATCAAGTTTCCTTTTCACCAATCCTCCCACTGAATTCACACCGCCATCCCCCCCATGCCTCTCATCCCAAAATCTCCTGGATCCCGGTCCAAAACGCAAACGCCCAGCCGCCCATCACCGACGATACTAAACATTAAACAATGGAGCTCAGCACCAAGAATAAACCTCGCACCCCGGTCTGCTTCTCCATCCTGTGAAACCTCACCCCCCAAGGGTCCTCGTCATCACCTTGCGTTCATTCAATGCTTGGCTTTTTGCTTGGCTTTTTTCGGTCCCGTTTTTTCCTCTGCTTCTCCGATTACAATCTGATGTCGTTGTTTTAAGATTTGGTTTGCTTTCTCATTCACCTTTCTTCTCTTCTTTTTTCTCTTTCTCTCTCTTTTTTTCCTTCTCTACTGTCGCGAAGCTTCACTTCAGTCGTTTTCTTTGCTTGTCAATCTTTTAATCCGAGAACTGGCTTCTCATTCATTTCGTCTTTTTTGACCTGCGAACCAGCCTCGACGGCTGCCTGTTTATTGCGCTTCTCTCTCCTTGTCTTTCGTTGTCGCTCTCTAATTCTCAACCGATGATATAAGTCACATACGCACATATACATACTTTATACAGATCCAACCCGCACCATGGCCATCTCATCATTCCTCGTCCTCTCCCTCGCCCTGCTCGCCCACGCCCGCCCCAAGCACGCCTTTGAACCGGAAGACCTCGGCCACAGAATCACCCTCCCCGTCATCTCACCAGATCAAGGAGCCGCCGCCGCCGCCGCCGCCGGCCTTTCGCAACGCAGTGCCCCCGAGCAACAGCAGGAGGAGGAGGACAAACCATTCCACATCCTGCCATACCCCTATTCCAGCAAACGAGATGTCGAGCCAGAGGAGGAGGAAGACAAGCCGTTCCACATTCTGCCGTACCCTTATCCCAGCAAACGAAGCGCGGAAAGCAGCGATGCAAAAGATGAAGACGAAGAAGACAAACCCTTCCACATCCTGCCCTATCCGTACCCCAACAAGCGCTCCATCCTAGAAGAAGACGACGACGAGGGCGCCGCCGGCGGAATGACGCTCCCGGTACCTCTCCGCGAGCACGATCTCCCCTTTGTCAAGGAAAAGCGCTCGATTCTAGAGGACGACGACGAGGGCGCCGCCGGCGGAATGACGCTCCCGGTACCTCTCCGCGAGCACGACCTCCCCTTCCTCAAGGAGAAGCGCAAGCTCCCCGCCGACGACATCCCCTCGGGGACCTACACGCTGCCCATCATCCACGCGCGGCGCCCCAAGCTGGCCAGCAGAGCGATCGAAGTGCAAGTCGAGAACCGCTCCGACGTCTCCTACTACGCTCAGCGTGAGTACCCCCCCCTGAAACCCTCGTATGTGAGATTGTTTCTTCCTACTCACCGTGTAAACTTTTCAGTCAACATCGGGACTCCCCCCCAGACAGTCTACGCCCAAATCGACACCGGATCGTTCGAGCTCTGGGTCAACCCAAACTGCTCCAACGTCCAGTCCGCAGACCAGCGCTTCTGCCGCGCCATCGGCTTCTACGACCCGTCGTCCTCGTCCACAGCAGACGTGACCTCGCAGTCCGCCCGCCTGCGCTACGGCATCGGCAGCGCAGACGTCACCTACGTCCACGACACCATCTCCCTCCCCGGCTCCGGATCCGGATCCAAGGCCATGAAGGCCGTCCAGTTCGGCGTGGCAGACACCTCCGTCGATGAGTTTTCGGGCATCCTGGGCCTCGGCGCCGGCAACGGCATCAACACGGAGTACCCCAACTTTGTCGACGAGCTCGCCGCGCAGGGCGTCACCGCCACAAAGGCCTTTAGCCTCGCGCTGGGCAGCAAGGCGGAGGAAGAAGGCGTCATCATCTTTGGCGGCGTCGACACGGCGAAATTCCACGGCGAGCTGGCCCATCTGCCGATTGTCCCCGCGGACGACTCCCCCGACGGCGTGGCCCGGTACTGGGTCAAGATGAAGTCCATCTCCTTGACACCACCACCACCTTCTTCTTCAGGAAGCACCGACGACAACAACAACAAGCCCGTTGCCTTCCCGCAGACCAGCATGACCGTCTTCCTCGACAGCGGCTCGACACTCACCCTCCTCCCGCCCGCGCTCGTACGCCAGATCGCATCCGCGCTGGGCTCGACGCAGACCGACGAGAGCGGCTTCTTCGTCGTCGACTGCGCGCTCGCGAGCCAGGACGGCACCATTGATTTCGAGTTTGACGGCGTCACCATCAGGGTGCCCTACGCCGAGATGATTCGGCAGGTGTCCACGCTGCCGCCGCATTGCTACCTGGGCATGATGGGGAGCACGCAGTTTGCGCTGTTGGGGGACACCTTTTTGCGGTCTGCGTATGGTGAGTTTCTATCACACCCCCCCGATGTGTTCTTTCTTGAGACATTCCTTTCTCTTTTTTTCAGTTGCGTCTATGTTTGTGTATATTTATGTGTGACTGACATGAGAAATACAGCCGTCTTTGACCTCACCAGCAACGTCGTCCACCTTGCCCCTTACGCCAACTGCGGCACAAACGTCAAGTCCATCACGTCCACCTCGTCCCTGTCCAACCTCGTCGGCACATGCAACGACCCCAGCAAACCGTCCTCATCACCATCCCCGTCCCAAACTCCCTCTGCCTCTCCCTCATCCACCGCTACGCAAAAAGCCTCCAAGACGGCTTCTTCCAAAACAGCCATCTCCCCCCCTGCAACCACCACCACCAGCATCAGCAGCAGCAACACTCCCGCATCTTCCTCACCAACCCCGTCAACAGTCAACGTTCCGTCTCCAACTTCAGCAGCTGGACAGACAACGCTGGTGGTGCAGCCTTCAGTCACGCAGGTATCTCCTGAGGGTGCCGAGACAACTGCAGCTGCGGCTGCGGCGGCGGCGACGACGACGAAGACGAGGGCTGCTCAGAGCAGCAGCAGCAGCAGCAGCAGCAGCACTACCACGGGGATAGCTCCCTCGCAGACTGGTGGTACGAATGGTGCTGGACGGATGGGTGTGCATGGCTTCGCTTTGAGTGCTGTTGTTGTTGCGGCGGCGGGCTTCTTGTTGATTTGAGTGGATAGTTCAGATTCAGTTGTGATGAGGTGTTTTTGGATTGATTGGATATATTTAATTCTTGAAGACGTCCGTTGGTGGTATATCAAAACATATTGTGGTTCATCTGGAGAAGAGGATAGATACCTTATTGAAAGACAGATTATTTCACTTTCTTGCCCACACCCTTTCTTCACCAAGAGTCCTAGGTATCAAATGATATACCTCCTCATACAGTTTGCCTTCACCTCCCATCCCACTTCCTCACTCCACCTCCAGCACAAACATGGGCCCCTTCTCATCATCACCGCCCTTGACAACATCCTCCATCAGAATCCCCGCCACAGGCTCCTCCTCCAACGTCCCATCCTCCCTCCTCCGCAACACCACAACCGCCCACTCGCCCTCCTCGTTGCCCACAAACAGCTCGCTCCCATCCTTGCTCAGGCTAAACATCCGCGGGTGCTTCCCCCTCGTCGACGTCTCCCCCACCAGCTCCAGCTTCAGTCCTTTTCCTTCTTCGCCACCATCATCATCCTCATCATCCTCCGTCGTAATGACCCGGAAATGAGCAATCGTCTCCGTCGGGTCCGTCGTCAGCCGATTCGACGTGTAAAGATGCCTGCTATCCCTTGAAAGCACAATCTCCCCCGCCGCCGCAAACGCACCCCTCTTCGGCACGCCCTCGTCCCCCGTTGCATTCCCATCCCCGTCATCACTCACAAACGTAGAATAGCCTCCCTGGGGCGTAAAGTCGATATCCCCCTCCCTGTACTTCAACGCAAAGACCTCCACGCGATTACTCGTTTCGCACAGCAAAAAGTAATGCGTCGCCGGCTTGCCCCCCTCCACTTCCTCGCCCTCCTGAGCACCAGGATAAAACACGCCATGCCTCGGCCCGGACCCAGTCTCGACCGTCACCCTCCGCACAACGGGAACATGCGGCCTCAGCGCGTCCAGGACGAGCATCGAATCCGTTCCCAAGTCATTCACGACAAAGAAGCGCCCCGTCGGATCAACCACCGCCTGGTGCGCATGCGGCGCCCTGCCCGCGTCGACGACGGGATCCTTTGACGGCAGCGTCGTCACCAGCCGCGGCTCGCGCGGGTCCTCCGTGTTCCAAATGTCAATGGCGCCTTGCGCGTACGAGGACCCGAGGAGGAGGGTGCCCTGCTTGTTGAATTCCAGGTGGCAGACGCCCTCGCTGGCGTTGTCGCGCTGGGCGATTTGCGTCAGCTTGCTGGCCTTGAGGTCCAGTTCGAAGAGGTGCAGGGATGAGCCGCTTTCGTTGACTGCGTAGAGGAGGCTGGGGTCTGTGGGGGAGATGGCGAGCCAGGAGGGATTGCCGGCAAAGGGGAGGTCGAGGTCGAGTGTGATTTTGGGGATGGTGGAGGAGGAGGAGGAAGAGTATGTTGCCAGGTAGATGTGCCCGGGGCGGGATATCAGGAGACGGCGAAGCATGGTGGACTGCTGTGTAGATGGAGTGTATAAAGACGACAGTGTGGTGTTTAGCAGTCAATGAATAGGAGGTAGGTGAATGGAGGTGAACTTGGTTGGGTCCAAGTGAGGCTGTTGTTGGATATGAAGGTAAATAAGTAGGTAGGTAAATAGATAGATAGGCGGGGGAGAATGACGACAAAAGCCTGTGCGATGCATGAGGTCAGAGAGAGCCTCAAACAAGGCACTGCCGTCTCGGCGTCACACACCACCAAAGCATTGCCTGTGTGAAGGCGAGGAGCACAAAAATGAGAGATACAAGAAATAACAAGCGATTCAGTCTGGCAACGTACCTAATATGGACGCAAAATTGATTGATCGTTCTGCGGGGGTCAAAACAGGCCATGTATCTACATGCACGTGTTGTGTAGCCAGACAACATCGTGCTTTGAAAGCTGACTTGATATCAGGCGGAACGAGATAGTATAGCACAGGTTACTACCTAGGTAGGTATCTTCAGAACATTACAACAGCACCCATGCACTTCATGCTGTGCATCTGCTGCGCCGAATCTGCGCAACACCCCGGCGTGCATCGAGGTATCACAATACCAAACGCCACTTAAATCATTGTCACTCCCATCACGCCGTCGAAATCTCACCAGCCGACAGAAGTCACTCATCCAAGGTACACATCACGAATAGCATGTCACTCAAGGGGCAACGGCGTATGAAGCAAACTGGAGGGAACGTAATCATTCAATCTGCCCATAAATACAACCACTGCATCTCCTAGATACATCCGATATTAAGTCCTCCCCGTTCATCATCATCGCACATTTGTCCAATTACCTTTGAGACAGTCCTCGACCGCGGGTATGCATCAACATATTTGAAAAAATACCAAAAATCGATCCAACATGGGGAGAATATTATAAAGCCAGCAAAAATACACCAAAAGATATCCAAAACTCGACTCCGCGCCCCTTACACCAGGCACAGCGCAGCACCGGCCAGGCCCATTGCCAGGGCGCTGACACCCGCCTTGGAGCCGGCGTTCTTGTTGCCGCTCTTGCTGTCGCCGGAGTCGCTGTTGCTGCTGCAGTCCTGGTTGAAGCTGGTCGTCGAGCAGCCAGACGTGTCCGCAGGGGCACTGCCGCCAGAACTGCCGCCAGAGCTTCCGCCAGAGCTGCTACCGCCGCTGCTGCCGCTGTTGTCGGAGCCGGAGCTTCCCTTGTCGCTCGAGCCGCCGCCGGGGACCTGTCCAGGGGCGGTACCTCCACCGGGGATCTGGGCCTGCGTGTTCTTGGGCTTGTCGGACGACTTGGTGGCGGTTCCCGAGGCCGAGGCCGACGACGACGAGGACGAATCATCGGGCTTTCCGGCGTCCATGTCGGTGCCGGTGCCCTCGAGCGAGGCCAGGTTGGTGCGCTTGTTGCCGACGACGACGGTGTCGTTGGTGCCGGCGATGTTGTCGTAGGTGTAGCTGGTGCCGGAGCCGGAGCCGGGGCCCTTGGAGGCCTTGTAGCACTCGACGGTGACGGACTCGAAGGTGGCGTAGAAGTAGCCCGACTTTTGAATGTCCGGGGCGTTCCAGTCAATCTCGCCACCGGCCCAGTCGATGGTGCCTTGGGCGTTGCTGGCCAGGCCGCCGGGCCAGATGGAGATTTGGACGCGGGCCGGGGTCTGGGGGAAGGACCACTGGTTGGAGGTGGCGTTCCAGTGATCCTTGCGGTAGACGGTGCGGCCGACCTTGCCGTCGACGAGCCACTGGATCATGTCGGGGGTCCAGTTGATCTCGTAGGTGTGGTAGTTGTTGAAGGTGTCGGACAGGGTAATGTTGCCCGAGTTGTTGTCTGCCAGCGGTCAGCACTTTGATAACGATATTGGGAGGGTAAGGTAGGTAGGAAAGGGTCAACATCACATACAGTCCGGAATGCCCTGGAAGTACCAGTTGGTCTGCGCAGTCTCGAGGTCGACGCCGACAAACTCATAGTCAATCTCGTCCTTGACGTCCGACAGGAGGATAAAGGCCGTGACGACGCCCCGGCCGCGGCTCGTCTTGAACTTGGCCTTGACGTTGCCGTACCACATGTACTCGGTGGTGGCCAGGACGGTGCCGACGCTGTTCTTGGGCATGGTCAGCAGCACGTTGCCGTTGTAGTAGGCGGGCTCGCCCTGGGCCATCCACTCGGCCGTGGACGGGTCGCCCAGGTAGTCGCTGATGTCGGCGATGGTGCTGAGCTTGGAGTCGAACGTCATCGTCTTGGACTTGCACACGGGCTCGGGCGTGCACGAGTCGAGCGAGAAGGACATTCGCGGGTCGCAGCCGCCCAGGCAGTACGCGCCGACGCCGCACTCGCCATATTCTGGGGCATGTGGTCAGTCAATGGAAGAGGATTCAAGCAAAGAAGAAGAGCGCCCAAAAGAAGATTCGTCACGTACGGGAGCAGCAGGGCGACTCCTTGGGACACTTCTTGGTCAGCGAGCACGTCGCAGCCGCAAAGGCCGATCCGGCGCCCAGGAGGGCAGCAACCACGGCGGACTGTCGCATGGTTCCTTGTGCGTCTGTCGCTCCCCAAGGGCTTGAAGCCACAGAAACAGATCGATTAGATTAAAAGCAGGGATGTCGCTGTCGTCGAACAAATGCCCAAGGCGATGCCGGGCTCGGGCGTCGTGTCGTGTAACCGAGGCGCTGGTTTTTCTTCTTTCGAGCAGTTTTCGAGCGATTGGAAGCCCAGTCGGACGCGCTGGGGAATTGGAAGTCGGTGTCGCGCAAAAGAAATGAACCGGCAATGAGTGCTGAACAGGCAAGGAGCAGAAACAGATCCGAGCCGCTGGGAGTGCGCTGAAACGAGTGACGCACTGCTCGGGACGGCACACAAGAGAAACGAGAGGCGTGTTTGTTGTCGTCCGTGAGGAGAGAGGAATGGAACAAATCCAATGGAAACTTGAAGCCGGGACCTGGGCAGATATTTAGCAGCCGGAGGAGCCCTGGACGAAGTCGATGGGCCATCGGTTCCAGCACTAGCCGAGCCTGGGCCAGGGCATTTGACAGGCCTGAACAGGCAGGTCAGCTGCTGTAGGTACTAGTAATAGGGCCCTGCAATCGACGATGTACTCGCTCATCCATTCTGAGATTCTTGTTGCATGTAGGATTATATTATGGCACGGTCTAATCATTGTTCGTCTGGTTTGTCATTGATGCTGTGTGCGTACGTACATATTTGACTTGTTCTATTATATGTGATGCAAATTTACTTCCTCACAGCATCACCAGCCTCACCATCACCATCACCATCAGCTTCACCTGCAAAAGGCGCCGCCCTCCCTCACAGCTCATCCACCCCCATACGCCACCACGCCACATCCATCAGGGGAAGCACCCGAAAAAGTCAATTCCCGTTTCCTCCCTTCTTCTCTACCAGGTACCTACCTTACACACAGTAATATTGACCAACACGTGCTGATCCAAAAGCAATCATTACTGACAACAATTCAACGACAAAAACACACACAGTCATTCAGTCACTCCCACATCACCTTGTTCCAGAATCCACCCGATCCCGATTCCACTCCCTTCTTCTTCTGCTGCTGCTTCTTCTTCTTCTTCTTCCACCCAAATCCAGACACGGAGAGATTTTTGTGGGGCCCCGACACGAGGTGCGGGTGGATCCTCCTCCCTCCCCCCTTCAAGCTAAGATTTCTATTCTAAAAACTTGGGCTTTGAAAGGGAAAAATTCGAGGAATTCGACGCTTGCCGATGGCTTTGGTTACCTAATCCACAGGCAGCGCATGAATGAAGCACACACCGAATCCCCACGGACCGTCGGATACGAGGTTGGACTCGGCCTTGTTTTAGGACTCACAGGAAGAGTCGGGTGCTGGGTTCCATGCGGTCGAAAGCTAGAGTTGGTTGATACTACCTAGTATACTTGATCAACGGGAGCTGACATTATATTGAAACCTGGTAGTAAAGTTCATAGAGATGGAGAGATCAAATGATAAAGATCTCAAGCAGCAGAAAACCTCTTAACACGCCAAAGGAGTCCGGACTTTGACCTCCATCCCGACAAACACCCCGGCAAAGCGGCACCCGTCACAAGGCGCCATCAACCTGCAGTGCATCCCCAGACCAATTCTGCATGTTGCAGCACATAGACTACTATATGACAAGGCAAATGCCAGCCGTCAACTGCATCCATCTAGTACCCCTAGCTGTACTCCGTACCTACCTTACCTTACCTACCGTGCAATGACATGTTGTTTTCATAAGGTACCTACGGTGAATACCTTATGTACTGTAGTTTGTGGTGTAATAAAGCGTCAAGTCCGCATTATCACACCCCCATGCCCCCGATCATCGCGATCGACAAGGCATCGTCAGCCTCGCTTCAATTTAGGGGGGCCAGCATCTCGTATCCCCATTGCCCCCCCATCTTCGCTTGCCCGCGTTTTCGCTCAAACCACTCCTGGGTCTGATCACCATGCTTCATGCGGAGAAGAAGACCGCTTAGGAGTGCCATGAATCAAACGAAGCAATCAATGTAGAACAGAGCAAACCTCAAAAGTACAGACGCATTATATTATATCTTTTTCAAATCACACAACAGTACATGCATAAAAAGCAACGGAAATCTCTCTCAACATATGTATATCCCTCCTGGTCAAGTACCATTCACAACACACTCACTTCGTCTTCCGCCTCGCCTTAAACGTCTTCAACGGATCTCCCTTGCGCACCCCGGCCTTGCCGCTCTTCTTGCCCCCCTTCCGCTTCGTCCCCGCCCGCCGGTCAAACCTCTTCATCGGCACGAACCCAACGTCGCCCGCCGTCAGGGCCTGCCGCCCTTCCTTGGGCAGCAGGTAGTCCGGCACGTGCTTCAGATGCGCCTGCTGCCGGGCTGTCCTCAGCTCGCCGTCGTGCCGGAGGTGATTCATCTCCGAGGGGTTCTCTTCAAAGTACCTAATCAAGCTGTTAGCATCTCGCCAAAAATACTGAATGAAGCCCATGTCCCATCGCCACTCACCTCTTGAGCTTCTCGCTCTTCAGCAGCTCCTGACGCAGCTCCCTTGTCCGCGCCTCTCGAATCGCCACCTTGGTCACCGCACGCAGCGCGTCGTTCATGCGGTATCTGAAAGCCTCCACCTGCTCCTTGTTGAAGTTGTACGGCTTGAGCTCCTTGCCCTTCTTGGCCTGTTGCTTTGTGATTCTCGCCAGGATCTTCTCGTCGTTCTCCGCGCTGGGAGTGGACGTGTGGATGTGCTTGCGGTAGAGATCTTTGGGGACGACAAACGACAGCGCCATGCCCGCTCGTCCGGCTCGCGCCGTGCGACCTATCCTGTGTGTGTAGGAAGACGCAGATGTGGGAAGGTCAAAGTTGATGACGGCCGCAACGTTTTTGAAGTCAATGCCTAAAAGTATTTAGCAATCATGCTTCAACTTAGATCTTCGTAGGGGTAGATAGGGGGCCCAGAACATACCTCGAGAGACACCATACTCCACGTCACCCTTGGCAGCCTTCCGCTTCTTCTTCGGTCGACCGCCCTCCTTTACTTCGCCGTCGTCCATTGCCTCATCCTCCTGCTCCTCCTCGGCCTTCTCCTCGTTACCGAGAACCTCCTTCTCGTCAGAGGCAATGATGATGTCGTAGGCGTTGCGGTTGAACTCCTCGACCACGTGGATTCGCGAGTTGACGGGCAGCTCCGAGTTCAAGATGCAGCTTCGGATGCCAAACTGCTCAAAGTAGAGCTTCAGGCGGTAGCAGCGGTCAATGTCGGCGACGAAGATGATGCACTTGCCCTTGACAAGCTGCAGCTTGAAGATGACGTAGATGAGCAGGAACTTTTCGTCTTCACCACACCTGAAGCAACGATGTTAGTGGACAAGACATGTGAACAGATGCTTTGCGCAAGAGGAAGAGGAAGCGTACTTGGTCACCAGCTGCGTCACACCCTCGCCCTCGGCATCCGGCTCCTCCAGATCCAACAGCGTGGGCTGCTGGTCGCGGTAGAAAATCTTCTTCAAGGAATCCACCTCAGTGGTCAACGTAGCACTCATCATGATGGTCTGAATGCCCTTGGGCAAAGAAAACGACAAGCTCTCGAGATCCTCGCTATATCCGTACGACAGAAGCAGATCCGCCTCGTCCAGGACCAGGTACGCCAGCTTATCCAGTGACAGCGCACCCGAGTTGCCATTGACATTGTGCCACGCGCGGGCGGGCGTCGAGATGACAATGTCCGGGCACGTCGACAGCAGAGAGCGCTGCACCGCGTCGGTGAGCTTGTCCGTCAGCTTCACGGCGCGGACATCCTTTGCGCAAAAGGCGGAGAAGAGCTCGATCGACTTGAAGACCTGGTCGGCAAGCTCTCGCGTCGGAACCAATATCAGAGCCGTCGTGGCAGGAGTAGGATCAACCTAGACGAGCAACAACCCTCCCCCGTTAGCAGCCATTCTCCATGATCCCACCGGCCATTGATCCCACGTGGTTGGAAGCGAATGAGGGAAAACGTACACTCTTCTTCTTCAGAATCCCGGCCAGCACAGGCAGCACATATGCCGCCGTCTTGCCCGACCCCGTCTTCGCCTTGCACAGCACGTCCTTGCCGTCGAGCGCCAGCGGAATCGCCCTGCGCTGCACGAGCGTCGGCTTCAAGAACTTTTGCTGTGCCACGGCCTGCACCAGCCTGGCATCGAGCCCAAGGTCCGCAAATGTCTTGTCCTCATCAGAGGCCGCTCCCGTCGTCGGCGCCGTTGTTGTCGTTGTTGTCGTCGTCGTCGCTGTCGGCTCTGTGGTGGTGGTTGCTGCTTCAGCGTCGGCCATCTGCTGGTCTGCGTCGGGTTTGGCCGAGGTTGGCACGTCATTCTGGTTGAGCTTGCGCTTCATGACTGCTGCGAAGGAAATGGCTGCTCTCTAGACTCGTTTAATCGTGTATATCAAGAAACGCAGAACCTTCAGGCGCAGCAAGGAGACGCAGTACGGAGGAGGTTGTTGTTTGCCTGCGCCGCTTTATCGTGCCTTATCGTCCATAAAACTGAGAGAAGAAAAAAATTCCCCCAATCTTATCTTATCGCCCCCAGCTCCAATCACCAAACCAACTCTTAGCGTAGGTACTGAGGTACCTCCGTCATGTACCTGGTAGCAATTGAAAGGACATTGTGTGGGGCTTGATCGAGGTCTGCGGGACAGCTCGCATCAGGTTGGAATCCAATTCTTTGCATTTGCTGTCAGTCATGTCATGTCAAGTGCTCCCCGTTCTAGCGCTTATCTGCCTCTGCGCTTTTCCAGGCTTCGAGATTCCTTTCGCATGACTCCCAATTTGTACTTGTACATCACAAACTCCACAGATGCCATCATTTGTACAGGATACCTCTCTCGTCTCTTTACGCTCGTCTCACCTGTTGCCAGCTCTTGTGAACGTCTCAGGGTTCCAGACACGCCCACCCAAATGTACCGCTACCTGGTCAGAAAGCTTCATCGCCGTCTCAGGCTCTTCTCTTCCTTTTTTCCCTCTTCTGACTCCGGTAGGGCTGAAGCGGTGGTGATCTCTCTCCGATCCGAAACCCGCCCGAGACCCAGTCCGTCCTCTTCTGCTAGAGCTTCCCCTTCCTCCACTCCATCTCAATGTGTACAGTACCTTTGTCTTTTGTAAACCCTTGCGCCCGCCTCGTGGCACATCCCGAGTTGCAACTCAGCCATCGTTCCGGAACGCCTCCCCGAGCAGAAAGCGCTTAGGGCAGTCGACGTGGACGGTGCAACGACGACAGACCACCAATCAATCCTGATCAATACATTGAGGTAAAGGAAGTATATCATCCGCACGTAGGATGCTTGATACGTGTCCGTCCATCTTCGCGTTGCGCAAACATAAGTGCCTAGGTAGTATCTAAATATCCATTGCCACACAAAGTCCTGCAGACCTTCCCCGGGTAACCTGCCTATCCTCGATCCGGGAGCGGTACCTCAAGTCGCTGGTAGCGGTACCTCAGACACCAAAAGTATCTCGACCTGACGTTGTCGCGATACATCAACCACCTATCAGCAAGCAACGCCAGCGTCTGGGGTCATCTGCCCGCGTGGCGCCGCACTACCCGGTACCCAGCTCCAGAGTACCGGGACTGCGTCTACACACCTGCCTCACAATGCATGCCAGCCAGGCTACATGCAACTTGGAACCTTGCAACCACCACTACTACTGTTTCCAATTGTACCTCTTTCAGGTTCATCAGGTACACGCCAACAGCTTTCCTTGTACTCCGTACCACCAAACAAGGCAAGGCGAATCCACTAAAGACTCTACTTGCACCAGACGTACTCGCATTAGGTAGCTATATCAGCTTCTTGTCATGTTCGCACACATTACCCGGTGACTAGGTACCTACCTAGGTACCTCATGGCTTCATCCCAAATAAATGTCAAGGGCAGGTTACGAGAATATCCCTTTGTCACTCGTCCAAAGCTTAGTGTCGCAAATGAAGCGGAACTCATATTAAAATACGTAGAACGATAAAGGAAAAAGAAGGCGAAGGCGATCAAGGGGGGAACACGTGTTATTCGGGTATAGCTATCCCTCTTATCAGCAACAATCTGCATCGCCAGCCACCCAGGCTGGCGACATTCGAGATCCTCCCATCAATCGCCATGCCTGCAGGACAAATCAAGCCTGAGTAACCCCTTTCAGTGTCGACTCCCTGCCTTCCCAAGCATTGTCCCCAAGAAACACCCTGTCCCGGTCAAACTCTCTCTCTCTCTCCACCACCGAATAGGTATCGTTGGAAGGCGAGAGTGGAAGAATCAAAGAAGTCAGAGAAAATGAAGAAATGGATGCGAAACGAGAGAAATTATGAGTCAATCAGTGGCAGGCGACGGCGCGCAGCCTCGCCGAGGAAGACAACAGCCCGTTGCCCACGCCGGCAAAGACCATCCAGTGATTCGGTTTTCCCCACCCGGCAAACGCAGAAGCACATACACACATCTCTCTAAGTCCGGCAGAAGGAGAAGAAGAGGAGAACGTGAAAGTCAGTAAGGCGGAGGGGGGCAAAGGACCAATAGACAAAATAAAGTAAGAATGGCAGAACCCATGTTTTGCCAGATAACGAAGTAGCGGAAAACCCGGCCGTACTCCTTACTGTTCCTTGCTTTTCTTCAGACATCCGCATCTGGAGTTATTAACTGGAAGCCCTTGCGACGACGACAAGAAAAAAAAATCGGAGTAAAAAAAGAAAAGTGAGTAAAAATCAACGAAAACTGGTTCCATCCTCTTCCATAGCGGCGGTTTGCCCCGGGGCCAGGGCCTTGTCATGGCGAGACGACATGCGAGCGAGTAGACTACAGTCGTCGAGCGGGCCCACCAGGAGCTTTGCCCGGGCTAGAGCGCTGGCGAGCGTTCACGTTGAGTTCATCTCCCCTTGGGATTGCCAAAGAGATCTGCTTGAGAGTTAGCGGGACCTCGATCGTAGCGGCAAACCCCTACCGGCCAAAGACTGTACTAAGCATACCTGGAAAATGCTCCTTTGCGTACTGCTCACAAGCCTGCAAAGAGTTAGCACGTGTCGACAGAGGGAAGAGATAAGTCATCATGGACCTGTCATACCTTGGCTGGCTTTCCCACCTTCTGCCCAATTACCTTCCACTTGTTGTTCTCATATTCCTTGATAGCATTCAACAGTGCCTGACTCTGAACAGACTGATCAATCAATGACGCATCAACCTTGGCAGTAGAGGATCTACTTACTTCGTCTTCCGCGAACTCGGCATAGTGCATGTCCTTGTACCAATGCTTCTTAACGGAGCCCTCCGTTCTAGTGGGAAAGGTCTATGAGCATCACAGATTAGCATGCTTCATCAGAGATTGAGTGAGACCGAGGGGTATACGAATGGCAATGTGGGAGGAGAAAATGCCATCGACAGAGCACCGTACCTTTGCAATCTCGGCCCAGCTGTTTCCGGCGTCCCGCATCTGCTTGAGGCGGAGTTCCTCCTGGGGAGTCCAAGGCGTATTCGTCCGGCTCTTCTTGGCGGGAGGCCCCGACGCGGCGGCGTTGGAGTTTGCGTCCTCGGTCGCGGCAGCCTGGGGTTGGGCAGGAGGAGCAGCCTGGGGAGCGGGCGGCGTGGGCGCAGGTGGTTGACCCTGGGCCGGGGCCACGGGAGGTGGAGCGGCGGCCGTGGCGGGTGAAGGCGCCGCGTTCTGGGCCGGGCGCTTCCGTGAACGGGCGCTGGGCGGCTGGGCGGCGGGCTGGGTCGGCGTCTGCTGCTGCGAAGGAGGGCCGTTTGGTGGCTGCTGCGATACGTTCATGGGCGGCTGGACGGGCGCTGGGTGGTGTTGCTGCTGGGCAGCCATGTTAGGCTGAGCGCCGTAGGGGAAATCCATACGAGCTTCGTTGCGGCGAGCCATATCGGCCGGGTAAGGATGGTTACTGTTCGAGGCACCCCGGTTAGCAGACTCGCTGGCGGGGGAGGGGATTCATCATGGCATGGCATGGAACTATGCATGGTATAGGAAAAGGCACCCTCAGAACGGGGCCGGGGGTGGGAAGCGGGGAGAGGGAACGAGGCTCATGGTTTCGCCAGGCACCGCGGGCGATGTTATAGAAGGTATCGACAGGAGGCAGACGGTGATACAGCGTTCGTTTGTCTACCAGCCCGTGATGCCACGACGGGGTAGAGGTGTAGACATAGGAAACGGGGAGGGAGAGTCGCGAGGAATACATTGAATACATGACCACCGCTCGTCGGAGGCACAATGTGACCGGCAGGAGAGGCCTTTTGGTGTAGATGGCGGAGGACGATGTACAGGGAACAAGGAGATCGAGTACTTACTGCATGTCGTTGGACGGGTGGGGGGAGTTGGAGTAGACGTAGTCCGGCACGGGGCCGACTTGCCACTGCTGCATGATCTGAGGATAGCGCACGCGAAGGTCAGTAACAAGCTCGTCTTCTTCTTTTCGTTTCTTTGGTTGATATAAAACGCAGCCGGAAGATATCAGATGAGGTTTTCAAGGTGTAGTAGCAGAGAAAAGAGGCCCGCGCGGGTTTCTCTGCCTTGGAGTCTATCAGGTCTGTTGCACGCGGCGCGTACAAGAGCCGACGAGGCTATTGACCTGCGGGACAAGGACAGGAGGGAAAAGGAAATAAAAATAAAATAAAATAAAAATAGAAAAGAAAAAAAAAGCAAGAAAATGGAACGGGGGGAGCAACAGAGAGGGGTCGTTTGCTCAAAGAGAGCTTACGCGCAGCGCACGCGTAAAAGTCAAGCTCCTAGCAATGCCGCCGCTGATCGCTGCAACGGAACGACGCGACGCAGGCCAAGAAGCATGAACACGGCGCGGCAGCATTCAACAGTGGTAACACACGAGCATCTCGGACGAGGTCGTCGACAAACTTGGGCTGCCACGGATTGAAGTTGCAAGGGCACAAGGTGAAGATGCCCGGCGAGAGGGAGCAAGGGGGGAGGAAGGGGAATGTCCTTACGGGCGAGGCAATGTAGGTCAATGTTGCCTAAGAGCGCATCCGACTGGAACAGGTCTGGCTCGGCTTTTTTTTCCTTGGTCAACCAGAGGAGCAAAAGCTGGGGGCCGAAAGGGTCAGGTTGCACAATTCGGCAAAGTAGTGCAAGACCACTTGGATCAACAAGTACTTGTAACCGCAGTGCCACCGAAAAAGGCCGTGTGTGCCTCTTGGGGGTGTGGTTGACGAGCCTTCGTAACCGGAGACGACGACGGAAGAGGGTGACGAAAGAAACAATTGGGGATAATTATGACAAAGGAAAAAAAGAAATGGGGAATAAAGGGAAAAAAAGATATAAGGAGAGTGGAAATATGACGGCAACCCGCGAACTGACGCGCGCCGGTTGGTGACGGATGGGATGTGTGAGTGATCCAGTGGTGAAAAGAAATTTCGAGTGCTTTTGTCTTGTGGCAGTTGGGTGGTGGGGAGAGGGAAAAGGCGTTGGCTAGGGGAGGGAACAGATCCGAAGCCGAGGCGACGGTGGGCTGGGTTGCTATTGTGACCGGCCAGGACAGGCGGACGGCGAATTGACAAGGCACGGCCAAGAGGGATTAATTGGGCTGGGGGATAACGGTCGAGTCGAGCCGAGTCGAGTCGCAGTTGGGTGAGGCAGCTTGAAATTGTGTGGCAGCGGGAGGCTCAGCTTGCTTGGCCGGCGTGGCTGGCTGACTGCCTGCCTTGACTCGACGGACGGGAGGGAAGATCAAGCAAATCAAAGCGAGCAAAACAGCAACGCAACAGAGAAAAATGAGAGAAAAAGCACGTACGAATGGTGGTTGGCGCGGCGCCGGGAGCGGCAGGGCGACTGATGCAGTGGTACTGGGCGGTACTCCGGAGAGCCTGCTTCGACGACGCGGATCGGCCAGGGTGAGCGGTGCTGCGAGTGGTCGCGGATCAAGGACTGAGTGTTTTCTGAGGCGAGGGCACGGAGTCGAGCAGAGCGTGTACGCAGCTCGAGTACTCGCGGCGGGAGCTGGAGCTGCGAGGTAGCTGTAGCTCTTGGGTGGTCAAAGTAGCGTGCCGATGCAGCTGTGCCTCTCGTGCAGCGCGGAGTGTACTCGTACGGAGCAGAGTCACAGTCGCAGTAGCTTTGCAGCCGGTTCTGCTGGGGGCCAAGGCGCGAGGCTTTGCTGGCGGTTTCGCGGAAGAGAGCCTTGTTGGAGTACGAAAGTACTGCTGCGTTGCTGGTGAGTCGAGCAGCGACGCTGGTCGAGGCGGCGTTCCGCGTCGTGGCTCGGGGCGACACTCGCACACGCTTCACGCACAAAGCTTGAGGCAGGCGATGCGCTGCGATGCGATGCGTCTCTGGCTCTGGTCGGGACTCTGCAGCTGCCGATGAAGCTGTAGCTGTAGCTGAAGCTGAATGGCAGTGGATCCGCCCAAGGTTGCAGAAGCTTGCAGTGCTTTGCGATGGCCAGGTCAAGAGGTTCGGGGGTGGAAGGTTGAGTACTTGGAGCCCAAGTCACTCGGTTGGTTTTTTTTTTCGGTTTTTTTTTTCTGGGGGACAAGCCAGAATGTTTTGGCCTGCTGGGTCTTTTTGGGGGAAGGGGGGGGAAGGGGAGAGAGAAAGTTGCGCGACCTGCGAGGGAGGCAAGCGGCCAGGATCAGTGACGAGGGCACGGGAAAAGCTTGGCGGCTGGTGGAGCAGGAGCAGAAGAGAAAGAGGGGGCGTGTGGGAAGGCGGTTGGCCGGAGCAGGTACTGGTACCACCCAGGTCGGCTGGGTTGCGCCATCACAAAGCAGTGGAGGGGAAGCGAGAGGGTGAGTCTACAGTGCGCGCTATCGAGAGATCCGAGCTATGTACCGTGCTATCTGGCGGTGGCTGTCGCACGACACACAGTGCCCGAGTTTGAGCACAGCGGGCGGGGCCTCTCTCGCAGCACGGGAGTCCGCAGCAGCTTGCGTGGCGCACGGACCAGCAGCGCTAGCCAGAGCCAGCAGCTGTACCACTACCTGCGCGCCGGGCGTGCAGGTACAAGTACGGGCTAACGGGCTCCGGGCACACGCAACGACGCAAGGCTCCGGCGAGGCAACGGAAGAGGAACTGCAGCGAAAACTGCAGTGGACCAGCTGCCCTTGGTTGCGTTGCTTGGTGGCCCTGCTCGGCAACGGTGGAAGCAGCGCACGGCTCGCCTGTAGATGTACTGGTTCTTTCACTGCCTCCACGCTCGTACCAGTACCGTCACATCCGCAGACAAAGACCGGCTGCGTCCTGGTGGAGCAGATCCTTGTGCGAACAGGTACTTCGCACAGAGACTTGTCGCAGCTGCCGTCGCAGGTACTCGTACTGCCTAGTAGTAGTAGGTACTGTAGGTTTATACCTCTGTACATACTCGTATCGTACTCTACTTACCTAGGTAGAGAGGCGCGGCGCAGGAACGGTCACTCAAGGCTGGTACCACGAAGTATTGCAATGCACGCTTCGCGATGTTGGAGCTGGTCTTCATGCGAAGCATTTCGTACTGTGACCGGCATCGGGAGAGTCAGCAACGGCCAGCGCTTGCAGAGGGACGAGCATTGCTACTGTGCCTGCACACTGTACGCATACGGTACGTGACGACGACCGTGGGCAAAGCAGAGCAGCTTCCGATGGAGAGCAGGAAAGAACCGTGTAAAATGACACCCTCGCCCAGGGAAGGGACGGTTGGGAACTGCTGGGGCAGCGCATCTGGCCAACCAGAGCCCGACTTCGGCACCGCATGGGACCCGCTGATTGCCCTCGCGCCTTCCTGCACCAGCCACTCATTTCGCCGTGCCTTGGTTTGCGGGCCAATGGCAAGGTGGCACGGCCTCTATCGGCCCTTGTAGCGGTACTTGTGCACGCAGGAGGCGTTCGCGTGCGTGATGGAAAACGGGGGCGTTCAGGGAGTACCAAGATTGCGAACTGCGACAGGGCGGGCGGCTGCAGCAGCAGCTTCTCCGTCTGGATCCTCAAGCTGCCTGTACCATACCTCTGTACCTAAGGTACGAAGAGCGTGGCCGTACTCTGTACGAGGCATGAGGTAGCGAGGTCGCGAGGTATGCAGTACCTGCGCGCTGAGTACTTGCTGGCACGACAGGAGCCCACAAGCTGCAGCAAGACTCGCGCTCTCAGACCTCAAGACTCTCAGTGACTGTCATTGTGCGACAATGGACGGGCATCGCGGGTGGCACGAATCGACTGATGGACTGCCTCGCAAGTCCTTGTGAAGCTGCTGATTCGGCGCGGACATCCTATCAATGGCATCAGATTCCGGGCCTTAGGTACCAAGGCGTCTGTCTGCCTGCGCTCGTGTCACTACCGGGTATCAAACTCGGGTTGCACAGCCGCCCAAGGGCTGATGAAGCCCAATGCTTCGTATTCGGCAGCAATCAGAAGCCAGCTGCGCGTTCCTGGCGGCGCTCTTTGTCCTCGTCGTCGTCCTCGTCCTCACGCTCTTCTGGTCTCCGGCTTCTTCCTCCTCCTCCTCTTCTTCTCGTCGAGGCACTGTCCCCAGCGCGCTCCCTCGCGCCTATTGCAGATGAGCAGAGCATTGCCACCGTTCGCTTAGGCGGGCCAAGGCAGGGTCTGTCGAATGACACGAATCTAATCTCAGACGAGGCCGGGAAAAGCGGGGATGGCGATGTCCATGTGTGAGTAAGTGAGCTGTGTGTGGTTGTGTGTGTGTGCTTCATGGCGGCCTGAGAGCCGGGGCTGGACATGCGTGAAATGCCATACCATGTCATGTTTTGCCATGCCATGCCATGCAGCGAACAGGCGCCAGCAACGCTCCGGTGATACGATATGGTCTGGGGAACCCGGTGAGGGCAGAGGAAAGGGGGAAAGGGGAAACGGGCGCAGGCCAAAGAGGCGGCTTCGCGGACGGCCACAGCCTCGCCGAGCCTGGCTCTTGTTGATGAGCAAGGCCGGCTCGACATGGCAGAGGTCAGAGCACAAGACGGCACAAGCGCAGCTCAACGCGCTACAGACACGGCACGACGCGGCACGGACACAAACGGGTGACGCAGCACGGCACGGAACATGGCGTCTTGATGCCTCCTGGCTGGCTGTTGCACGGAATCACGACAGCAGCAGGAGCAGCAGCAGCAGCCGCAGCATCATCGTCAACATGGCCCATCAGCTTCGACGGCGCTAGTAGCTCTTGGTAGGCATGGCCCGAGCAGCAGCTGCACCTTGTGCTCCCGGCCTTCCAGAATGCTCAACCCCTGCAGCGCCTCTGATGCGCGAACTGCAAATCGCCAATGCCATTGTTCCCATGGACGTGGACGGCTGGCATGAGATTCTGCTAGCCTTGTCCGGCTGAATGTACCTCACCGTCTGGTACTCGATACCTCTGCTCGACGTGAGGCTAGGGCCGCATCGCATCGCGGCTCCACAAGGCCAGGTACTGGATGTACGAGTACTCGATGCCTTGGCCAGATCCAGTTGTCTGGACGTCGTTCAGGTCTCTGGGTGACTTTTGCCAGATGTACCTGTGGAGGAGACACTCGTTGACTCTGGCATCGCTGGAAGCAGATCCGATTTGCTCCAGTCGGCGATGCTTCGATTCGAGCATGCCAGCGAGCGATCTCTGCAAGAGCTTGCATGTGCTCGTCCATGTCAGGTAGGACTCGAGATGGAGTCTTACGAGCGGTACGGAGCACGGCTGCATACTACTACTAGTAGTATCTGCAAATTGAGATGACAGTATGTACATACATACTCTCAAGCTGCTGCTCCTGTTCTGACGAGCCCCCAACCTCCTCCGCTTTATTGCCATATGAGCGTAGCGGCGTGTTGTGCTGTAGCATCGCATTTCGGGCGTCCATCTCCATTTCAACGCCGGGCCTCGACATATGAATTTCTGATGTTGGGGTGAATTTACCCGGAACTCGCTTCCACCACCCCTTACTGGACAGCCCCCCCAAGGCTCCTAGAGGACTTGATGAGATGCTATTTGACATTGGATGCTCGAATATGCAGCTGTTTCTCGTTTGGTGATGGGCAATGCCTGCATATCGACCATGCAATGCAGGGTAGGCAGGCAGGCAGGCGCAGAGATTGGTGCTCGAGATATCTCCGCAAGTACGAGCTACATACGGCTTGCATGTGTGTATGCATGATAAGGGCCGCGGTGGTAAGGGTAGGAGACTCTCCTCCGTACTTGGTACACTCCGCGGCATTCCTCAATCGCACTCCAGGCGTGATTCGGCTCTGCGTAATGATTATGGGACCGGTTCCCATGCGGGCATCCCACCTATGGTACGAAGAAACGGCGAGCATGACCTTGCAAATTACCCGGCCATAGGTACCTAGGTTTCCAAGGCTTGCAGATGCTGGAGATATCACAAGCAGGATACTTGACATGATGCCAGTATTGGTTGTGAGCATCGCAGCGGCCATTGGACGAAATCATACCGCCAAAGGCCACCTACCCAGAGGAGGGCATAAGACGTGATATATCATATCAAATGCTGCGGCGAGTCAGGCCTCGGAACTTGTTTACAGGTCATATACGCGCATAGGTACCTACCTACTCGTGATGAAGAGCCTTTGCTGTGGCCATCTTCATGTATCACGTACCTCTGGAGAAAGCATTGGCCCTCTGACCAACAGTTGGATATTAACTTGCCAGACATAGAGTTGCGGACAATGCATCAACCTTATATGTACCGTACTGCAAGAGACCAAAAACATCACTTCATGTCGTCTCTATTATTGCATATACATGCGGAGACCTGCTCTGGCTGGGAGCGAGGCCTACACCCGCATGTATTTGTACCTCGTGCATACCTATATGAGGAGACGACTGAAGGCCCGAAATGATCTCCCCAAGACCTCCGGAACGAGCCGAGAGCCGTTGGCTGCAGCACAATCAAATGACTGATGCTCCTCCTCAACGTCAGATTCAAATTCCCATTGCTTGACACAGCCAGTCGTGTATTGAATCACGACCATCCACTCCTTGGTGTGTTTTCCGCATTCTACAATTTCTCCGGGCGACGAATGGCAATCGAACGGCGTGTCATACGATTTCTGGGCATAATTTTTCTCACAGGCCCCGAGAGCCCCTTGGGCGGCCTATTGGGCGTATGCACTGCCAGGATCTCAATGTGTTGTGTGGAATGAGCCTTGTCTTCCTGGGGCGTGCCCGCTTTGGCTGAATGTCAAACCTGGCTCATTGGTGGGAGCAGGTCTTACGATAGGGGAGCGCAGGAGAGACATGTGAGGGAGACAATGTCTTCGAATTATGGCCAGGTTTATTGTGCGTATGCGCAGTGTTTGTTCTCTTTGCATGTGGCGTGCTTCAGGACCGGTAAGGTACGGAGTAGTCTTATGTACTTGGCCACCATTTGCATACCTACCAGCCTCGAAGGGAACATCTCAGGTAGGAGTGCCTGAGGACACTACTCGACCTCTCAAGCATGCGGAACTAGACGCAGAATATGTAGGAAACCTCTGCTTTGCGCAATCTTTCTGTTGCAGTCGTTCTTCCCCAACGCTTCTTCTCGGTCCCGAAGCACACCCGTCTGAGTGGCGGTCTTGGTTGCATGATCAGTCTGCGCTCCTCAAGCCGCGCGTTTCATTCTCACCTGCGTCGGGAGTCAAGAAATTATTCTGCAGCAGCATGGACTTTTGAGCAAACAAAACCTTTGACGGCTTTTGGCGTGAAACGATGCAAGAAGAAAAGAAGTGAAAAAAAAAAAAAAAAAAAAAAAAAAAAAAAAAGGAAAATAAAGAAAAAATGATGGAAGCAAACGACGTGAGAGAGAGAGAGGAGCAGGAGGACAAAACGTTGCTGGGGGAAGAGTTTCGCCAGTCGGTGTTAGCGCGTTTCGAGGGCAGGGTTGAAACGCGGCTGCATGATGCCGGCCGCTATCTGAGGCAGAGGCGGTTCACCGGAAGGAGACGACATCCGAGAGGGAAGAAGGAGGGGGGATGGAAGAGTAGAGATGATGAGAGCAAGAGAGGGAGGCGGGGAGGTGATAGAGCTCTCATCTCTAGAATGTTCGTATCATAACATGGATATCAGTCTCGATGCTTACTTTGTGTTGTGATTTGCACATTCGAAAGTCGGGGTGTTGTCGTTTGGCGTTCAAGTTGCGACATTAGTATGATCGCGGTGGACCACTTACACACGCCACGACTTTGCCCTGCTGTTCTCTGTCTACGACTTCATTACGGTGATACTGCTGCTTCGTCCCCAGCTGTTGTTTCCTGACGTTGCTGTTCCCCGTCCCCATGCTAGAGCTTGGACCGTGCGGAACATCCCAGTCCACCAGCGTTTAAGCACTGCTCCAAACCGTGGACCCATCATTGGGGAAGCCGGGGCCAGGGGGGTCCATCCATTGGCGTCTTGTCTTTTCTCTCACCCGCTCTCTCTCTGTTTGCTTGGCGTTTCGCTTAGCAGGACGGCGAGCAAGCAGGCCAGCCTCCTTGTTTCACGAAAATGGAAACAGGCTTCAAACGGCGACGTTTTGGCTCCTTGCGTCGTGAGCGGCTGCGTGGACGGTCTGGGCCTTGGGGATGGATTGCGCTGGTTTTTTTTTACTTTCCATCTTGTTAGTGGGAGATTGAGGAGATGTGTGTTGCGATTTGAGTTGGTGTAGATGGGAAATAAGGCTGAGTAAATGATTTCGTTGAGCGCTTATACTCGTATGGCGATAGTAGAATGAAAGACTGCACATGTTGTAAGTCAAGTGCGGGAAGTGGGCAAGGTGGGATCAAACATTGTAAGACCCCTGATAAAGAAGTCAAACAAGCGTCAACATAAGAGGAAAAGATGGACAAGAGCTTAAAGACAATTGATTACTTCTCCAGCAGTCCAAGCCAAGGGCTCACTATCTCATGATCGCCTTGACACTCAACGCAAATCCCCACGAGTCAAACGACCTCATCGCCATCGAAACAGCCACCGGCGCCACCCCACAATATCGACCTCAGCAAGACGGGAAAAAAAGACAAACAAGTCTCGAAGCTCTCTCTCTCTCTCACCTTATTCCTCGTGATACGAAGCTAGCTCACTGATAGTACTACCGCGTAGTACGACCAGTAGTCCCCCCTACCGAGCCCCAAAACACAAGCCTGCATGAATGTTTGAAATGTGTTTCTTGGTGGGCCGACCCAAACGCAGCCCCCCCAGTCTAGCACCGAGGAAACAGCCCGCCCCGACCAAGTCCCCCCTCCAAAGTAGAGCTGTTATGCTTAATTTTCGAATATCGCTGTTACGGGAATTGTCACAGGACACCTGAGATCTCTCACAGAAGCAGGTCAGTCCGGTGTGGCTCCCAGGGGGGGCGGAGGGTCCCTTGTCCCCCTTGTCCCCTGGCGGCGCCAGATTCAACATCACTGCGACTACTTGTAACATGAGAGAATCGAGGTTTCGCGGGGACACAACCGGCTAGATTTTTTTTACTAGGATTCTCATTTTTCCTGCTCAAATGCGATGCTGTCAGAGACGCTGCTGTGGCGTGCGCATGTTTTATTATTAGGCTCACGGGCATGAATTGTTTCTTGTCACTACCGCTCATCGTCGAAAAAGTTGTGAGTGAGTGAGCGAGTGAGCATGTTTTAATACTTGCTCACCTCCCCCCCCCTTCTCTCTCTCACACCCCATGTCCGTCTCGTCCTTTTCCTCTCTTTTAATTCTCTCTCACCCAGACTTTGAACTTCCTGTTTGTCGATGGTACATGGCTGGTTCATTGTTTCCCTGTTACTTCATTGATAGACTGTCTGTTTATTCTACTTCTGTCCTAATCTTCGTCCGGGTTCTTCTTCTTTTCAATTCATCTGTCATCATCTCTTCCTTGTGGCTGGCTCACATTGCTCTGAGATTCACCAATACTCTTCAAGACGACTTTTAATATCTTTTGCATTACTGGAGTCGACCTCATATACGAGCATCTGGCTTGGGAGTTGCCGAAGCTTAATACACAGTACGATCACGAAGGCATACCCCATCGACATTATCGCATAATCGATCTACACCTTATCAGACACGACACATACGCACATACCATGACGGTGACAGGTTACATCCCCAAGAACGAGCCTGTCGAACGACACGAGCAAGGTGTAACCAAGAGCCGCAAGACAATCATGACGGGCGGAGGACGAGCCTGGAGCGAGGCCGAGGTAAGCCATGAGCCTATCTTTCCCACGGCTGGCAAACAGAAAGGAGCTGACACAACCCCCGTTGGTCGTAGGAACAATACCTCGTCCGGACTCGCCACCAAAAGGTGCCGTACAAGCAGATTGCGGCCAATCTCAAGAAGACGGAGCTTGCGTGCCGGCTGCACTACCACCAGCTCACGCACAGCAGCGCGCGGCGCAGGCACTCCGTCTCGACAACGCCGTCGTCAGCGTCGTCGGCGTCGAGCCGCCCGTCCGAGATGATGACGGTCACGATCCTCGGCCCCGGGGCGCACCACCATCGCCCGACGGCGTCCCTGTCGGCGCACCACCGGAGGGCCGAGAGCTACAGCTCGACGTCGACGGCCTCGTCGTCCGGGGACAATGTCCAGCTGCCGCGCATCGTCGACGCCTGGGCGTCTCCCACGCTGCCCGTCATCCTGCCGCGGCCGTCGTCCATGGTGGCCGAGACGGGATCCCGCCATCTGCCGCGGCTGCACGAGGAGCTGTGCCATCTCCCACCTCCTCCTTCTCACCACCAACATCACCAACATCATCACCATCAACAGTACCACCAGTCCCAGTATCACCACCAGCAGCAGCAGCAGCACATGGAGACACCAGCAGGCTTTCCCCTGCCGTCCACGTCCACACATCCGCCCCCGTACATCGACATGACCCGCCTGCATGCCCTGTATGACGTCCACCGCGACGCCTTCTGGCACGCCATCGCCCGGGACTACGGCTGGAATGCGTCGCCGGCGGTGCTGGAGAGCGCGTGGAGGGACAGCCAGAGCCAGCGCAACAAGGCGGCAACGCCCGAGAGGCCGCTGACGCCGGCGGACAGCCCCGAGGCCCCGGCGAGGCGGGACAGCGTGGACAGGACGAGCATAGCGTCGCTGTTGGCGGATGCGTCGCCGGGGAGGTGGTGATGGGGGGTGAAAGAAAAGTGATGCTTATTTTCCCTTTCTTTTGGCTCTGGTTGTTTGAGGATCTTGGGTATTACACCGTTCATTGGATATGTAATCTTTCCTTTGTTTTCTCAGTTCTTAGACTAGAGTTGCGATCTGTCTTTGATTTGTCTTTTTATCTTTTTGAGTCTTTCGAGAACACTCTTCTTTGCTATCAAAAGCCTGAGATTGGGAACGATGGAGTGGTTGGAATGGATATGGATTATGGGATTGGGCATGGGTATGGGCAGACAGACCGAAACAGCCTCTAACTTGGCAATCGTTTCTTACCTTTAATGCACTTGGCTGTTGTGTGTTTGGAAATGAGTGCACAAGTTTGATACTTGAAATCACCGGATTCTGAAACGCGGCACATGTTTTGGCAGGGCGTTGCTCGGGAAGCGGTGTTCTCTGAAGGGTTGAAGAGGGAGTTTCTGGCATGTGGGCGTTTGCTGAAACGGAGGAGTTAAAAGGGAAGCTCATGGAGGATCTAGTGGCAGTGAAAGTCCTTGGATTGTGGCTGTAATATATGGGTTCTGTTTATACCTAGAGGAAAGGGTTGCCGATGATGGACAGAAGTGAGTCGCCGGTATGTAGAGCTGGAACCCGACTACATAGTCCGTACATTTCGGCCATCAATTGGCCAATTGCGCTTTTAGGCTAAAATCCAATCAATAGCAGTGCTCACCTCTAAGACCCAAGGGTTAGGAAAGCGAGGAAAAAAGCACAATGGCTCGTCTGCTGAATAGCAAGATCGTGTGCCAAGCATTGCGTCTGGCGTGCCTCGTATGTATAAGCCGCAACCGGCTCCATGTCGTCGGCTGAACAAGCACCCGTTCTGCCCGTTCAAACCAACCGCGTTGAATATGTAACAGGCGATCAATGAATCTGATGAATCAAATGGCAGACAAACTGCGGCTAGAATGGGACTTTATTCCCACGCAGATAGGTACTTAATGCCGGCGTTGGGGTGCGGGTGAGTAAAACGAGCAACGCGATTCGACGACCGGAGAGCCTCGGGTCTTCCCCGCAAAAAAAGGGGTCCAAGAGGAGACGAAGTATTTACTTAGTTTTACTGCAAAGGTACTTATTAGGCTGAGTCTGATGAGATATCGGGCGATAATTGCTCGTATACCTATTTAGCTGATTGGTAGAACAAGTATTTAGGTAGTCACAACGATACTACTAGGTACCTGAGGTCCTCGCAGATACAGGCCTTGTGAGCTGAGGAGAGTTTAGGAACGATGACGGAGGCGTGCGGAGGCGGGAGTGGAGCCGGAGCTTGGAGCTGGAGCTGGAGCTGGGCGGAGGTGGGGAGGAGGAGATGAAGAAGAAGAAGAAGAAGAGGCGGTTGATGGTAGTGGCTGTTTGCTTCATCTCTTGTCTTTGGCCTCTGTTCTTTTGCTTCTTTGATATAGTGCCGTCGTTGCTGGCCCCCTTATTCATGAGCAATGACAGGAGTCTGGCTGTTGACTTAGGTGAGTTGCTGAATCTCTCTTCTGGTCTTGTTCTCTTTCTCTTGCACAGCATACGCAGTCTGTCCCCCGTGACATCTTCACCACCTGATGCCCGAGATGAGCAGAGGAGGGGCGCGGAGAGCCTCCGGGATCGCTCCCCACGACGGGTCCGGAGCTCCCAGACGGGTTCAATCGAGCTTCTTCCGTGGGGGGCAGGGCATCCATAGGGACGAAGCATAGAAATGTCTGAGCTGTTGCGATTCTCCTCACCTCTGCATTGTCCCCCCTCCCCCAAAAACCTTTTTCATTTCATAAAAGTGCAAAAGCTTCCCGCGGGGCTGCCTCCTCTCTCTCCTCTCTCTCCTCACCCCTCTCCCCTCCTCCTCTTGATATTTTCTGTGTCAAAGCTTGCCAATTAACTTGACAACAGCACAAACACACACACAAACCACCAAGCAATGGCGTCACAACAAGCCTCCAGCACCGCCGAGCCGGGCCCCGACCCAAAGGCCTCCCCCGACTACCTCCAGTTCCCGTGTCTGCCGCCCGGAGGCCCGCTGAACCGCTGGTCGCGACGCATCACCAAGGACCATGACTTTCCCGGAGCACAGGTAAGACGCACATGCCTCAATCTTGACACGCACATACGATGAATGAATGAATTGAATGAATGGGCGAGTGGGCTGATGCGGGGGCCGAATGCAAAACAAACATAAAAGGCCATGCTGTACGGCGCTGGCGTGCCGGACAAGGAGACGATGAAGACGGCGCCGCAGGTCGGCATTGCGAGTGTCTGGTGGGAGGGCAATCCATGCAAGTACGTTATTATTCGTGGCATCTTTGGGATGTTGAATGGGGAGCCTTTTGAAAACTAATTGGAGGGTAAATTATACAGCACACATTGTAAGTTGACGAGGCTCTCCTCGGTCCAGGGAGCTCCGAAGAGGGCATGACGACGCAGAATAAACACACACTTACACGCATCCCGCAGTGCTCGAGTTTGGCCAGATTGTCAAGCGAGCTGTCGAGAAGCAGGGCATGCTCGGCTGGCAGTTCAACACGGTTGGCGTGTCCGATGCCATTACCATGGGCGGCGACGGTCAGTGATTCTCTCTCTCTCTTCCTCACTACACTCTACATATATATGCAACATGATCCTGACAAGCTCCTCCCAGGCATGCGCTTCTCCCTCCAGACCCGCGAAATCATCGCCGACTCCATCGAGTCCGTCACCTGCGCGCAGCACCACGACGCAAACATCTCCATCCCCGGCTGCGACAAAAACATGCCCGGCGTCGTCATGGCCGCCGCGCGGCACAACCGCCCCTTCATCATGATCTACGGCGGCACCATCCGCAAGGGCCACTCCAGCCTGCTCGAGCGCCAGATCAACATCTCGAGCTGCTACGAGGCCTCGGGCGCCTACGCCTACGGCTCGCTCAAGGCAAAGACCAACCCGGACGCCCCCGGCCGCTCCAGCTCCGACGTCATGGACGACATTGAGCGCCACGCGTGCCCCGGCGCCGGCGCCTGCGGCGGCATGTACACGGCCAACACCATGGCCACGGCCATCGAGGCCATGGGCCTCACCCTGCCGGGTTCCTCGTCGTATCCCGCCGTCAGCCCCGAAAAGGCCCGCGAGTGCGAGCGCGCCGCAGAGGTCATCAAGGTCACCATGGAAAGGGACATTCGCCCGCGCGACCTCCTCACGCGCGCCGCCTTCGAAAACGCTCTCGTGCTGACCATGATCCTCGGCGGCTCGACAAACGGCGTGCTGCACTTCCTCGCCATGGCCAACACCGCCGACGTGCCCCTGACCATTGACGACGTCCAGCGCACCAGCGACCGCACCCCGTTCCTCGCCGACATCGCCCCGAGCGGCAAGTACCTCATGGAGGACCTGTACAAGGTCGGCGGCACGCCCTCGGTCCTCAAGATGCTCATCGCAAAGGGCCTCATCGACGGCTCCATCATGACCGTCACCGGCAAGACGCTCGCCGAAAACGTTGCCGACTGGCCCTCGCTCGAGCCCGGCCAGCAAATCATCCGCCCGCTCGAGGACCCCATCAAGAGCACCGGCCACATCCGCATCCTCAGGGGCAACTTTGCCCCCGGCGGCGCCGTCGCCAAAATCACCGGCAAGGAGGGCCTGTCCTTTACCGGCAAGGCCCGCGTCTTCAACAAGGAGCACGAGCTCGACGCCGCGCTCATGGCCGGCAAAATCACCCGCGACGACGGCAACCTCGTGCTCATTGTGCGCTACGAGGGCCCCAAGGGCGGGCCGGGCATGCCCGAGCAGCTGCGCGCGTCGGCCATCATCATGGGCGCTGGCCTGAGCAACGTCGCACTCGTCACCGATGGCCGGTACAGCGGCGCGTCCCACGGCTTCATCGTCGGCCACGTCGTGCCCGAGGCTGCCGTTGGGGGCCCCATTGCGCTGGTCCGGGACGGCGACGAGGTGACGATTGATGCCGTCTCCAACAGGATCGATGTGGCCATCTCGGACGAGGAGATGGAGGAGAGGCGCAAGCAGTGGACGCCACCGGAGCCGCCGGTCAAGAGGGGTGTGCTGGCCAAGTATGCTCGCCTGGTAGGCGACGCCAGCCACGGCGCGGTGACGGACAGATGGTGAAGATAATGTATTCGAACAGTATGAATACATGAGATCAAGTCGTGCACGTATTATCCACGCGGGCAATTGTTGCAGCTTGACCCATTCTCCTGTCGTCGTATAGCTCTCTAGCTGACTGCCCGAGGGTAAGATAACGAACCTGTTGGGAGATGTTCAAGCTTTGCATAAACAAGAAAGACAATGTTAGGTAGGCGGCAAACATGAAGAAAGCAAAAGGAATCAAAATCAAGGGTATCGTGCCTCGACTGCTGCTCTCTTGAAACCCGCTCAATAACCCAACAACAACAACCCCACCATCGCTGCCCTTCTTTCTGCTCCCCTCATTATCCTACATTCATGACATAGACATATTCCACCATATACACCTCATAAACTCGTCCTCGTACTTGCTCTTCAATATATATCCCAAAGTCCAACATGGCATTCCCTGTTTCGTTACTCGCCCAGCGGCATGCCCTCGAGAGCATCCAACAGACGCCTCCAGTTGTCGGCCAGCATCTCGGCGTACTTGACGCGCTCGCTGGCCCAGTCCTGGTTCCACCTGCTGACGTGGTACTGCGTCGACTGGAAGGTGATGAGCTCATCGCGGAGGCACTCTTTGACGAAGATGGAGCGGTTGTGCTGCTGGACAATGGATTCCTTGTCCTGGTTGATCCTCATGCATAAGCAAGTCACCTTGACAAGAAAGTGATAGCGACGTAACGCACCTTGATGATGGACTCTGCCACCTTTTCAATTTCCCCTGGCTTGACAAGACCCTCTGGCTTTGTCCGGAGGTTGGCCAGCTTCGTCTCGTTGGCCTGTATCCTTCTCTCCAGATACGGAATGTTGTCCTTGTCTAGCCGCTCTCTCCGGTCAAACAGCTCCCGCAGGCTGACCAGGGCATCGCGCTGCCGCTTCAAATCCTCCAGCACTCCCTCGTCCCAGCCCCGACTCTCGTCCTCGAGCAACGTCTGACAGGTCCGCAGATGCTTGCTCATGGCCGTCAAGCCGTCGTTGAGCAGCGGTACCTCGCTTGGATCGGTGGCATAAGTGTCTGCAGAGGCTTCCGTGAGCGACATGAGTGTCATGGCAACCCGCGCGTGGTCGGCAGCAACGCCCTCTGTTCGCTTGACGAGGCGGTCCATGATGTTGCACGCATTAATGTACAGCTCGGCAGATCGGCGAACCCCATTGCGTGTTCGGAGGAAGAGCTCCTCAAGCGACGGGGGCAGTGAATCCTCTAGGCCGGGGGGTAGTTGTCGGTCGGTGAACTCATCCTGGACAGAAAAGGTTGCCTGCTTCCGCCACACGGCGAGTTCCTGACCCCGTGTTAGATATACCAATTGTCTCTCGTTTCTCTCGCCTCTCCCCCTTCGACAGGACAACTTACTGTAGGAACAGTCAAGAACATGATAACCAGCTGCTCTTGACTCAACACTGGGTGCCGAACAATAGCATTCAAAAACCTAGCCAAGCCTCTTCGTCGCTTTTCGATAAAGGAACCGTCGTTAGAGAGGTGATTACCATTCACAGCGACGCGTTTAGGAGGCAGCAATGGTAGCATCCGAAATGGATATCTCTTGTGCAGGCAGTCCAGCAGCCATACAAAGTCGCTGTACCGGCGAACCACCTTACTCCCACGCCGTAGGCTAGTAACCTCGTAGTTGTGGTGCTGGAACATGAAGATGCCCTCCTTGCCGGGCATCAGAGTGACGACGACGTTTTCCTGCATACTGTTTCCGATGCGGCCTCCTAGACTCCGCGATGGAACAACGGGAGCCGGGGCGATTCCCCCGATCTGGAGAGCACCATCATTCCCAAAGATGTTGGGGATGGGCGGCGGGTTCTGATGCTGGGGCACATCGTTGAAACCGCCACCAGCGGGCGAGCTGCCATAGAATCCACCTCCCCATGCTCCCTGACCGGACAAGGAGCCGCTCGAGATCTGACGGGGCCGGTTGGGAGGGCGGATTGGCTCCGGGGGAGCACTGTAATGGTTCGTGGGGCGTGGGTCAAATGATGGAGGTGCATCCTGGCCGAAGCCGTGGCCGTGGCCGTGTCCATTGATTGCGGCCGCGTGGCTCTCTTGTCCGCCTTGAGGGTGAGTGTGGCCCTTGTGTAGGTCTGGCGTGTTCCACGGGTCCTCGTCGGGATCAACCATGGTCGACCTGCTCATGATGCTCGAGGGGGCGGGCGGAAGCTCGCGTTGGTGCTGTGGCTCTGGCAAAGGCTGGGGCCGAGGCTGTGGTTGAGGCTCGGGCTTATAGGGTTCTGCTTCCGGCTCTGGCTCATGTTCGGTCGGGACTTGTGGTGGCTTTGCAGCAAGCTCAGCAACCGGAGGCATGACGGGTTCGGCGGTCAGACCGGGCAGCTTGGGCCGGGGGAGATCTAAGCAAGACGGGGTGTCAGCCAGCTATGTACCCTCAGAAGCAGTAATTCAGGGAAGCTTCGAAAAAGCATCACATGGAGTGGCGATAAGCTGATTGGCCTCGCTTCGCATGTATTGCGTATGCTCCCATTTCACAGCTGCAAAGACAGTCGGGCATCGAGAGAGCTGAGGGACGGCAAAGCGGTCCAATCGGCGAATCGTACGCCATCACCTCACAAGATGCAACGTCCCAAGGACAACAGAAAACATGTGCCTATATGACTTTCCACTCACTTCTTCGCCGCTCATCGACTCCGTCAAGGCTGATAATGTCGCCCTCCTGCGCCAACCCAATGAGCGCCAGCACCACGTTGAACTCGTTGCGCGATAATGAAACGTCGGACCCTCCCGGAGCCACGAGCGACATGATGCGCGCCTGGGCGTCGGCCTCGAGCCTCGCCACGGCAAAGAGCTTGGCGATGCCGGCGGCCGTGACGCGGCCCTCGTGGCCGTCCTCGCGCACCACGGCGTCAAAGGCCTCGATGTAGCTGTCGGGCACGTCCGAGGCTGGCAGCAGGTTGCGGATCAGCTCGGCCCGGCTCTGCTGCTTGCGCGGCGTGGGCATGTCCCAGGGCGACGAGGCGCCGCTGCCGTCGTCGAAGAGGCTGGACGAGTTGCGGCCGGACGCGGGCTCGTCGTCGAAGAGGCCGCCTGACGCCCTGGCTGCTGCTCCGGAGCGGCGAGGCGGCGATGAGCCCGGGGCTGGGCCGTTGTCGGTGGGCGAGTCGCCAAAGAGCGACATGCTGTGATGGAGTCGCAGGAGCTGTCTCGAAGTCGACGCGGGCGGTGTATGGCCTCAGAAGGGGAGAGAAGAAGAGAGAGGGGAGAAAGAGGTGAGAAACGAGAGCGGAAGTATCGAGTGCGTGTCGCGGGGTTTGACTGAGGAGGAGGAGGAGGAGTCTGGAGGAGGCGAGGTTGGTCGATGTCGCAGCACTTACGAGGTCCAGGATCCAGATCGGCTTAGTGTTGAAGTGCTGTCGAACCCGCAGTTGGAGCTCCGGCGGTCACTGTGCGCTCAGCGGCGATTGCAGCACCCGACGTCTGGTGCTGTTGGTTAGGCGCTAAACCGCCTGTAAGGCGCTGTGCGTGGGGGGACTGTCAAGGGCCACGGGTGCTGTGACGCTGAGAGTTGCTGGTTGGGGATGAATCAAGTGAAAAGCATGAATGACGGTGGACTAATGGAGAAAAGGAAGAGAAGACAAAGAGAAGGAAAAGAAGAAGAAACACGCCTGCACGACGGGTGATACGGTGAGAAAAGTGAGCCAAGTTTAGACATCCATCTGTCGTGGCACCGTCATTTGATGGCTTATATGGGGTCGATGACACCATGATTTTTATCAGGGAGAGGGAGAAGGCACAAATCATGCATGCTCATGGGCTGCCTTTGGAGAGGAAACATGCAAAAGCTTCGAGTTGAGCCTTGCACATGCCATGAGACCCCAAACAAGATCATGTCAAAACTCCTACAATGTGGTTTCAGGCTCGAGATTTACCTCAAATCACCTTCGAGTACCTAGAACCAGCCAACCAGGATAATCGGTACTGACTGGGCCAAAAGATCATGTCAGGAACTCATATATTGTACAATTCATGCCCATCATCCTCTATTCAACATTTTACATAGCGCAATCTTCTTTATGCGCCACAAGCCAAACACCACCATCACCCACATCACCTCATCCCCCCCTACCACAGCGTCTCCTCCGCCTTCTTCTTGTCCGTCTTCACCGCGCTCTTCACCTTGTGCACACCAGGCACCCTAAAGTACAAACTGGGCGACTGGCCAGGAGCAAGCTGGTGGCTCAGGTATCCGCGATGCGCTGGGTCTCGGTAGTACTCGATGTCGGCACGGCTCGTGGGGTCGGGCAGTCTGTATCGGAAGGGGCCCTTTCTCGCCTCTGCCAGAATTCCTTCGACATGCTCCTTGCCGACGGGTAGAGGTTTATCGGTATTGACTGATTCGCCGGACAATAGTCGCTCAATGGCCAGTCGGGTGTAGTATCTAGTGGTAACCTTGCCTCCGGAAGCCTCGATAGCGGCGATGGCGCCCGCAGAGACCCTTGAGACCATGACATTGATGGGCTGCTTGAGGTTCTCGCCGCCGCGGGAGAGAATCTTGACACCATCCTTCACGCTCCCAATGAGTTTGCTCTCGATGAGCTCCTTTGGTGTGATTTGCTTCGTGGGGTCGAGTCGGCCCTGGTCGATCCAGTTCTGGATCTGGTCCAGGTTCACCTCGGAAATCTTGGGCGCTCGGCTGGGGATAGTCAGTAGACATTCCTTTCAAGATGCGGCGGCTGCAAGCAACTGCCCCGCTCGTCTCTCAAGTCTCACAAGTTGTCAAAGCCCTTCCTGCCGTGCTTCACAATCAACGGCGTCTGGCCACCCTGGAACCAGGGCTTCACCTTTCCGTGCTGTCCCTGACCCTTGTGACCTCTTCCGGACGTCTTTCCATGGCCCGACGAGGGACCGCGGCCGACTCGCTTCTTCTTGTGTATAGCGCCGGGGTTGTTGGCCAGGCTGCCCAGGATCGAGGCATTGCGGGTTTGCTGGAGGGAGAGCCGGGCGAAGAAGGTGGTCAATGAGGCGGCGGGAGGGCTGACGGCGGCTCTGCAGCACGCCGAGACGCTGGCAAGCGGTATTCGGGGAGGCATCGTGGGTTGGCTGGAGATTGTGTCGGTTTATCGCATGGCGGGCAGTTCGTGATAAGAGGATCTTGAAGTTTTTGGACCGGCGCAATTGAGTCGTGTTGCCTCAGGCCGAAACCGAGCTAGTTGGGCGGTACGTACTCGGACCTGGACTTCCGCCCAGTTGAAATTGAAGGCTTGAATATGAGCAAGAAAAGGCTGAGAAAAGGGTCGAACTATTGTTGCATGCAGTTCTCTTCTATATGGAGAAGTAAAAGTGTTCAATATGAGTATTTTACAGAAGGAGAGCAAGTGGAAAAAGGAAACTACATTGCCAGAGTTTGTAGCGATCAATCCACTTGGCAGGGATGGCTCAACACAAGATGCCTTTAGCAGCTTCTTGCAAAATGCAGTGCTTAAGTTCTTGTTTTCACATGCAGTAACTTCTCTCCTCTTGGAAGAATATTTTCCTTTATTTGAATATTTTGTCTATTTCAGTTTTAAATTCTTGTTTTATTCAAGTGAAGCTTGTTGGGCAGCTGAGTTCATGGTAGATACCTGGAGAAAGAGGATTAACAACGTTAAAGGGACAGAAGCGTTGAGAAGCCCGTATACCAGCCGAATAGCAACATGTTACTCCTGCTCACTCAATTAAGTCACTCAATATGTTTAATGCAAAAGGCTCTCAAATTGTGCCACAGCCGCAAGCTGTTGCGAGCCCTGGTTCTTGCGACTCAACTTACACGGGATCAACAGTTCTCAAACTCGATACAACCTTGTCAACCTTCCGTGTTGGGTCACTTCCCAGCAAAAGCTAGGCCGATCTGCGCCATTATCAGTCCTATATCTGACCGAGGGCACGACAATATTGAAGAAATCTCGTGGGCTCAAACCCCATTGACTTTGACCAGCTGCCTCTGTGGTTTCACAACTTTTGAAGGCATTTTTTCTCTCTCTTGTTATTGATCAATTGCCCTATCTTGAGGGCGGCTTTACAATGGCCAACATGCGCGAATTGATACAGACTCTAAAAGAGAACAAGATACCAGTCTTTGCGCCTGGAGAGCCGCAATACGAGCGATCAGTGGCCACGGTCAACCTCTTCTACCGGTTCGCAAGACCCGACTGCGTTGTCCAGCCACGAAACGCGTCTGACGTCCAAGCCGTTGTCCGAGAGGCGAGAACAAGACGCATCCACATCACGATCAAGAATGGGGGCCATTCATACTCGGGCGCCTCCACCGCGGAGAAGGGAATCTCACTAGATCTGATGCAGATGAACGGCGTCACGCTCAACATGAAGACTAAGCTTGCCACTGTCAAAGGCGGCGCACAATGGGGCCACGTTTACAAGCAGTTTGTGATCCGCAAGATTGACGGCTACGTTGTCAACGGTGGACGGTGTCCCACGGTGGGAGTCAGCGGCTTCACCCTCGGAGGCGGCCTCAGCCCGTTTACCAGGAGCTTCGGAATGGGCTGTGACTCGCTGGAGGAGGCTACCATAGTCACTGCTAGCGGAGACAAGGTCAAGGTCAAGAGGAGCGATGACCCTCGATCCGATAAAGGCAGGCTCTTCTGGGCGCTCTGTGGCGCGGGGGGAGGCAACTTTGGAGTTGTCGTCGAGATGAAGCTGCGGATCGAAAAGCTTCAAGGCAACAAAGTCGTGGCAGGCAGATACACCTGGCACCCGGACTTTGGCCCGAGCCATCATCCAAGAAGGTCCGCGGACTACGCCGCTACCATGACGCAGTTTTATACGGCAGATTTCCCTACAGAGCTCACCATTGACAGCACGTGGCTGTGCGATCTTCAGGAGAGCAGAGATGCCATCAGGTTCCTCGTCTACCACAACGGCGGCAAAGCAGAGTTCGACAAGGTCATTGACGACACCATCTCCTCCGTTCCACTGGCGACGCAGCTCAAAAGGCGCTCTCTCGAAGAGTCATCTTGCCGCTTCTTGCATGAGACGCTTGTTACTCAATGGTCAGAGGAGATTGAAAAGTCACTTCCATTGAACCTATCTTTCAACAACTACGCCTCCTTTGTTTTCGAAAACGATCGACGAGATGTAGTTGAGAATATCTCGCGCATCATCCGACACAACATGGTCAGGTTTCGAGAAAAGTTCACCGGGGATCGCGGTTCGCTGCAAGTCACCTGGATACACGCAGGCGGGCAAGCTGCTTCCAGAAAACCGTCGGACACGGCATTCTTTTGGCGCAGCGGCGTTTTCCACACATACATTACAGTGCAGTGCTTTGAGAAGTTTCTGGTGGAGGAGATGGGAGAGTTCCTCCACGACTTCAAGAAGCAGCTGCGGCCGTATTCTCTAGAGGGAAAAGCTGCCTTTATCAACTTTGCGGACAGGGCACTGCCATGCGATCAGCACGAGGAGGCATACTTTGGTGATAACAGGGCAGAGTTGCAGGCGGTGAAGCAGATTTGGGATCGATCCAAGTATTTCAGATGGGGGCAAGGGGTTCGTCTACCAGAGGAGGCGCTAAAGGCAGCGAATTCTGAGACGAAAGGCGTTCAGTCAACTATCAGATCAATGTCAAGTGGGAAGAAGAACACTCGAGGTGCAGCGGTTCGTTCATCCAAAGGAACACCAATGGTAATGGCGACGTTCGAGACGAAGCAAGAAAACCTGGACGATGTCAGTGTCTGGGAACAGAGGCCGTACGCGGACGAACTGGCGTCGAGGCAGTGGGAGACGGTTAGGCTCCCAACGAAGAGACTGTTTCGCAGGCCACGGGTGATTCACGATGTATTGGAATTCCACGATTGGAAGAATATCCATGATCTGACGGATTTGGGTTTCTAGAGCAGTATACAGGTTGTTGTCTTTCATTGAGCGGTCATCACAACCGTGATGCCTTCTGCTGCGAGATCGGAAAGAATCCGCCTTGAGATAGAGAAGGCTCTTTGTCCGATCTTATTTCTGTTGAGCGATTTGACTTTACGACGATAACGTCGACCGAGCAAAGACTGAGCGTTTCTATTTGTGTCACAACAGTTGTAGAGCTTAGAACGCATGTAGAGCTTAGAAAGCATGTATGAAAGACAAGTGAAGTGCCCCTTCGAGGAATCTTTGAACTGGGCTACTAATATCTCTATTATATACCATCCTAAACGCAGGTCGCCACTGAATCTAAGCATGCACGTATGCTTCACTAGTAAACATACATGTAAGGCATGCTTCACCGTTAACCATAATGCTTCAACATATGCCTAATCCTGAGCGCCACGGCAAACTAGGTAGATAAGCACGGCGCCTATCCCGGGCACATGGATCTGCTACTACTGGAACAGCACACACAAGTGGCGAAACATGGACATGACTCTAGCAACAGCACGAGCATCATAGAAGTACAATGATTTACTATGTAGTAGTATATCCAAGTCTCTGCAATCGTTTGAAATATGCCATGTGGTTTTGCCTCCCCCAAACCCCCCTTGCCCCTGTCTCCGCGGACATAACATACCTACTGTAGGTACTAAGCATCTAGAAATCGAGGCTGGCTGAGCCCGATCGAGACCCGGCGACCTTCTAGATTCGAGCTGGCTCGCCCACTTGATCAACCAGTGCTAACAACGACCACCGCCAGTAGCACGGGGCGAACCACCACTCAGCTGCCTTGCCCAAAGACAGGCCCCACGGAAATCTCTTCCTCCTGGTGTGCTGGCACCCGCCCACTCCGTAGCTGAGTCTCTTTTACCACACCTCGGTCTGGCCCGCAGGGGAGCTCTGCGCCACGATTGGGGCGAGATCCGGAGGCGCTCGTGGTTCTAGATTGATCCAGGAACGCTCGGGACGGCCCCCGAAAGAGGCTTGGGGAGCTTTGCCTGAACCCTCCATGGGACCACCCGTCTGGAATATGCCCAGATCCAGCTACTCTGTGGAGAAGGGCAGCTGCTTCAGCTCAGCCAGTGCTCATGCAGATCTGGGTGAGATTGGTCATAGGCCCATGGGACCTCTCAATAGTCTTGGCGCTACGCTCACGATAGCCTCACAAAACACACACTGAGTCGATTCGATAGCGCGGTGCTGCTCCCACATTTCCGTTCTGGCCTCACGCAGAATGGGCTCATCTCGAAGCACGTTGCCGGACGGTGAACTCCGTAGTCTCTTGCCCTCATGAGAAATTCTACTACTACTACTGATCGCCATAGGCGAGGTGGTGGTGTCGAGATGTAGATATCAAGGGGTCCGGCACCTGGATCTCTCCAGGCTGTTTCGTTTGTTCAACCCATCTTTCAACGAACGGCTCTTCGTCCTGAGAAGCGATGCGTCCCTTCCTCACGCTTCTCCTTCTGGTGACAGAGGCCGCCGGCCACGCTATCCCGGCTGTCGACAGCAACGAGATCGCCGCCCGATCGACCTCGACCTACCGGGCCCCCAATGGCGTCCAGTTCGCCGTAGAGACGGGCTTCGACCACCACGGCGGCGACTACAAGTCCGTCACCGCCAAGAGCCTCAACGACTGCATCAACGTGTGCTCGACCCAGGCCTCGTGCCGTGCAGTCTCCTACTCGGGCAAGACGTGCTGGCTCAAGTCTTCCATCCAGCCCGCCGTCGCCAACAGCAAGACCACCAACGCTGTTCGCTCTCAATATGTGCCCAAGCCCATCTCCTGCCCTGCAGACGGCAGCAGCCGGGTCAAGGGCCCTGATGGACGGTCCTTCACCGTCCAGTGCGGCGTTGACCACCCCAAGGGCGATCTCAAGCACGTCCAGACGCCCGACTTTGCCAACTGCATCAACCTCTGCGACGTGACCTCTGGCTGCGTGGCTGCGAGCTTCCGCTCTGGCACCTGTTACCTGAAGAAGTCGCTGCAGCCCGCAGTCGCCGTCTCAGGGGCCAACACTGCCGTTCTGAGCTCCATGCTGCCCACCGGCCCGGTCTTCTGCCCCGGCCCCAACGGACAGGTGATCAAGGAGACGAGCGGCCGGACGTTTACCGTCTTCTGCAACGCGGACCGTCCCGGCGGAGACCTGGCGAACAAGGCGCTGGCCAACTTTGGAGACTGCGTTGCTTGGTGCGACGAGACCAAGGGGTGTGCTGCCTCTGTCTTCCACGACGGCCACTGCTGGCTGAAGAGCAAGGTTACTGCTCCCACCCCACGGACGAACAGCCAGGTGGCTGTGCTCGACTCGGCGCTGAGCCCTCCGCCTTCCCTCTGCCCTAGCCAGAACGGCAAGCAGATCAAGGAGTCGACGGGCAGAAGCTTTACGGTTGCCTGCAACGTCGACCGGCCTGGTGGCGATCTGGCGTCGAAGAGCCTCCACAGCTTCAGCAGCTGCGTTGCCTGGTGTGACCAGACCAGTGGATGTCTTGCTGCTTCCTACCACGACGGCATGTGCTGGTTGAAGAAGACGCTGAACAAGTCTACGACACGAGCCAACGGCCAAGTTGCTGTGCTGAGCAGCAAGCTTCCGCAGACCTCGACTAAGGTTACGTCTACGTCTACCAAGAAGACGACGACCTCTACCTCGACTAAGAAGACTACTACTACTACATCTTCAAGCACCAAGACCACCACTACGTCTACTTCTACCTCGAAGAGCACCTCAACCACCACCGCGGCGTCGTCTACGTCGACTAGCTCTCAGTCTTCCCAGACTTCTACCAGTGCTTCCGCCTCAAGCAGCACTTCTACTGCCTCCTCCTCCAACACCAGCCCTGCTGCTACCACCGGCCCAGCCGATGCCACGTCCTCCTCATCTTCCTCTAGCAGCAGCTCCGCGGCTTCCACCCCTTCGACTGATGTTCCGGCTACGACATCCTCGGCTTCTTCAGCTTCTACGACCGAGTCCAGCGCTGACAGCACCTCGACAAGCACCAAGGATGCTTCAACGAGCGTCCCAGATGCCACGTCGTCGAGTGCAGCCACCACCACCGCTGATGACGTTACCGTCACAACCGATATCCCAGGCAGCCTGGACATTCCCGCTGGCCCCCTGAAGCTCCCCGCCCAGCCAACCGTGACTCTTCGTCCGCTGGCTCCCCCCAACGTCGATGTTTCAAGCACCGATGTGATCAAGCCCAAGGAGGTCTCCCAGCTCTGGTTCGGAAACACAAACCCGCCGTCTGACGCCTCGGATGCCGTCAACGCCCCGACCGTCCGAGTCAACATGACCTTCCAGTATCCCTCCGTCATCCTGGACAACTCTGCCAACATCCTCAACATCCAGTGCGGCTCGGGCAGCACCCTGTCAGCCAGCTTCAACGGCGCAGATGCCTACAACGCCGCCAAGCAGTCTTGGGCGGCTGCCGAGGGCAGCAGCGACAGGCTCATCATCGTCACCGCCGACCCCGGCTGCAGCTCAGACGGCCACTACGTCTACTTTGTTGCCAGCAGCATCTCCTTCAACGACGGCTCCAAGTCTGTCAGCTGCTCTGGTTCTACTGAGTCGGTTGCTGATATTACCCAGGAGGTTGGTGTTGACTTCGGTGTCATTGAGACTTCTGTGCCCACGCTTGAGGCGAACCCGGAGCTTGCAACTGCATATGGCTGTACTGTGCCTGACACCACAGAGGTCCGTGGCTTGCCGGCCATCTACTGTGGTCCTGACTTTGATCAGCGGTTGAACAACAAGCTGGGCTACTATTCCATTGAAGATGCTGACATCGACGTGAGTGCCCCCTCCCCCCTTATCTCCCCGTACGAATGGACTAGCTGACTTGTTACACAGACCACCTTGGCGGCTGTCATCCCTGGTGTCCAGCCAAGTGACGTGGAGGCCCGCGCCCTTCTCGAGGGCAGATGCTGGCCCTCAATCGCCTGTAAGGCCGTTGCCTGGGTTGACAAGACCGCGACCAAGGCCTACAACGCCGTCGCCGACGGTGCCAAGTCCATCGGTAACAGTCTCGGCAGCATCGCCTCGGACCTTGGAAAGGATGCGCTCAAGAACCTGGGCAATCTCGGCAACACCGTGCTCGGAATGGCCAAGAACTTCGCATCGGGTATCCTGGCGGCGGCCATCTTCATCGTCACCGGTGACTATAACAGGTCCTTTGACTTCCCCATCAGCATTGCGCCGCCCAAGAGCGCGCTGGACGATTCCCCCTGGGGCGATGGCTTCAAGTTCTACACCTGGACCCCCGACAAGGGCGAGTACTGGAATGCCCAGGATGCGGCCCTCGACAAGATCAAGGGCGTCGTCATCGGCGAGGCTGACCCTGAGCCCGGCGTTGAGTTCTGGTGTGTCGACTGCCACGTTGACGGCAAGCTCAAGCTCCTCGGCAGCGCGTCCTTCTCCCTGACCAGCGGCCTGACCAAGGCTCAGCTGTCTCTGGACGGAAGCCTGGATGCTGGGCTCTACCTTGGTATGAACGCCTTTGCGCAGTGGAACCCCAAGAAGGAGTATGACTTCTTGTCCCTGGGCCTGCCGGGGCTGTCCATTCCCGACATCTTCGCCATCGGACCTGTGCTGTCTCTGGGCATCTCCGTCGATCTGGACATCAGCGCTGTTGGACAGTATCTTGTTGGTGCTGACATGCAGTGGACTTCTCTTTCAGCCAAGCTGGATGTCCTCAACCCTCGCAGCTCCTCCAAGTCGGGCTGGACTCCCAACATCCGGGACACGGTCCAGGCTGATGGCAGTCTGACGGTCAACTCCACTCTCGGCCTCCCTGTGACCCTCGGATTTGGCATCAACATCCTCAAGGGCAAGTATGACAAGGAAATCAAGCTTGTCGATACCCCTGGCGTCCGAGCCAGCCTGGAGTACGACTTCACCAACGAGGTCAACAACGGCGAGGTCAACACCGACCCCGAGGATGGCTGCTACGGCATCCACTGGAGCGTCGGCATGGTCAACACCCTCGTCCTCGACCTCTCCGACATCAAGCAGGGCACCTACACCCTGGACGAGTACGACGCCCCCGTCTTTGCCTCGGGCTGCGTCGGCGAGAACCTCTCCATTGCGCCCCCTGCTACCACCGTTGCTCCCCCCTCAGGTGGCACCACCTCCGTTCCCCCCTCCGGCGCCGACTGCGGCTCCCTCAGCTGCCCCGGCAGCGACGGACAGACTTGCTCTTCCAGCGGTGCCGCGTTCCAGATCAGCTGCGGCCTCATTTACGCGGACGTCCTCTACAGGGTCGCCAGGACTAACAACGCTGCGGCCTGCGTGAACATCTGCGCGACCGATGACCTCTGTGTCGGCGCCAACTTCTTCGGCCAGATGTTCGGTGCCATGCCCGACTGTATGATGTACAGGGGGGGCGCTCCCAGCTCGGCGGCGCCGGCCAACATCATCTGGAGCTACAGGAAGGTGTCCTCGCCGCACAAGAAGCGTATCCAGCTGCTTGACCGTGCCCCGACGACGCTCACCACGATTGCGTCCATCAGCCAGACTTCTTCTGCTGGGACTGTTGCTGGCACCGCCACCGGAACGGCCAGTGGCAACGTCCAAGCCAAGATCCTCGCGGATACTCTCACTCGCACGGCTTCCCCTGCTGCCACGGACCCTGCCACGGATACTTCTGTTGCTTCTGTCACGGCTTCCGCCACGACTACCAAGACAGATGCTTCTACCACTGCCACCGCAACGGATGCCACTTCCACCGCCACGAGCACCAGCTCCCCTGATGACGGCCCCCACGAGTCCAGCCCCGTCGTCCTCAAGGACGCAACCGGCCAGTTGCTCATCAACCCGCACGTCAACGGCAGCCTCTTCGTCTCCGCCGCCGACAGCACCGTGTCCATGGATTCCCTCACCAACGGCGCCTCCTTCATGGCAGACGTCACCCGGCCCCTCGTCACCGGCGACTCGGTCAGCCGCATCCTGTACTACTTCCCCAGCACCATCACCGCCGTGGGCGCCTCGCGTCTCCGCCTCGCCACCTGGGACGCCATCCCCCTCGGCGCCGAGATGATCACGCTGTTCCCGGTGGTGACGAGCACGGGCTCGACGGTCCTTGTGCCCATGGACAGCATGCAGAACGTGTTTTACCCCTTTGTCTGCGACATCAAGGGCCAGCTGAACAAGATCTTCCTCGTCAGCGACAAGGATAGCGGTGCGGCGACGCTGATGGATTCTGATTTGGAGTATACCGTTGTCGGCGGTGTTGCGCAGACGTGTGTTCCCCTGGCCATGGTGGCTGAGCATCTGCCTGGCTGGAGTGCCCCTGGGGCTACTACTTCTAACAAGGCCACTCCTACAACGGCCACTTCTACCAAGGCCACTACTACCAAGGCTACGGCGGTTACCATCACCCCTTAGATATAGAGAGCGTTGTCTTTGGAAGGGTTGTAAGACTATTTAGTAGAATACTTTAATTCAGTTTATATATTTGTTCAATTGATACCATTCTCTAGTTCCCGCTCTTCTCTGTACTTATGTTTGACTGCTTCTACTTCTATAAGATCGTATCTTAGTCTTTATGTGTCTCTATCCTTTTCCGTCTCATAGGCTGCTATATCTGTTGCATGCCGTCAGTAGCCCCTGGTTACCGCGTTTTGCTCTTCCACTATTCGTTCCATGATTGATATAGAAGTCTAGATTAGAAGAGGCTTGTCTCGCAGTCTGTTGGTAGGTGAGTGACAACAATATACAGTCATGTGCTGTATTGCGGCCCAATGTACATGTACGTGTGCACAGGGTAAGGCTCATCTTCCAATCATCGTTTACCGCGTGGAAAGCTGAAATCAGGCTTCGGGCGTGATCTTTTCCCCGCCCAAACTCAGCCTTGTCCATCTCAATTGTCCTTCCAAGTCGCCCCATCACCCGTTGAATGAGAACCATTTTTGTCAAAATGTCTGGACTCGAAGCGTTGTCGCTGGTTTGCAGCATCATGCAGGTCATCTCCTTCACCAAGGAAGTGTTGACCGTCTGCAAAGACGTCTACGAGGGCCGTCCAACTGCTGATCGTCAGATGGAACAAGATGCGGCATCTATCAAGGTCTTGCTGGACGAGATGAATCGCTCTGCTGGCTCTGTCCAGCAGCAGACCAAGGAAGAGAGGGAGCTCCATGCGATTGCCCAAAAGTGCAGCAAAGCCGCAGAAGAATTGCAGGTTGAGATACAACGAGTCATCAAGAATCAAAAACCTGGCAGCTCCATGAGAGCGATCGCCGCTGGTTTCAAATCTTTGTTGGGCAATAGAAAGATTACAAGTCTCTACGACCAGTTCTGCAAACACCAGAGAACTCTGGAGACGCACTTACTGGTCCGTTTGTGGTAGGCCTCCTACATTGGTCCCATGTCTTTATATTAAGATCTTAGTTAAACCAACATTGCTCTTTGATCAGTACCAGATCGGATGCGATTCAACTTCAGAGACGTCAAGACTTTGTTCAGCTTTCGGATTCTATGAAACACTTGGTTTCCCAAATGGCAGCAGGGCACACAGACATGGCAAATCTCATCACTCGCGATGGCACCCAGACAAGGCAGCAAGTACAACAGTCTGAGGATCGCGTGAAGCAAAAGATCAACAATGTTCAAACGGAAGTGGTCAACGAAGCGAAAAGGGAACGTCTCCTTCGTAGCCTGAAATATGAGTCTATGAATGCTCGGCGAACCGGGCTCAGTCCTGCTCACAAAGCCACCTATATGTCAATATTTGACTCACTTGATAAAGAGGCGTCCAACAAAGAATTTGGCTTTGACAAAGTAGCGATGGCATGGAAAGGCTTCGTAAAATGGCTACAGTCTGATGATCAAGTCTTCTGGATCCAAGGAAAACCTGGCTCTGGAAAAAGCACGCTCTTGAAATTTATTGTTCAGCATGAGAAGACGCAATTAGGGATCGACAGATGGAGTCCAAACACCCTGATTGTGTCACACTTCTTCTGGAAGCCGGGGAAAATCTTACAAAGGAACCTACGAGGGATGCTTTGCTCTCTGAATCATCAACTGCTGTCCAGCGACCATATGCTGGTTGGCTATGTATTGTCGGAATTCATATTTGCTGGAGAACAAGACACGGTGGGCGACTGGGAAATCACGCAGTTGAAATCTGTTCTTCATTGCATACTGGAACAGTGCAATCGATCGGTCTGCTTTATTATCGACGGCCTGGACGAAGCAACAGAAACAGAGCATATTCTCCAACTGATTGACTCTCTGCTTGGCCTCCCCAATGTCAAGTTGTGCGTTTCCAGCCGTGGCGAGGACGTCTTCAGCCGGAAATTTTCTGAATGTGACGGATTCAAGCTCGAGGCTTTGACCAAGGAAGATATGCTGAAATTTGTACTGGCAGAAATCCCCGAAACATATGGCAGCTACCCGTGGGAGTTCTTGTATGAAGTGAGACGACTTCTTGTCGAGAAGGCCGAGGGCGTATTCCTTTGGCTCGTCCTGGCACTTGAAAGCGTGAAGAGAGGACTCCGAAACAACGATGGCCAAGGTACAATCCACTCACGCCTGGAAAAACTGCCTTCCGATCTCGAGAATCTTTATGAGGAGATGTGGGACAGACTTGGCGAAGACAAGGCTATCTACCAACACGAAGCGGCTCGATACTTTGCTTTGCTCATCACGAACCAAACCCTGCTTGAAGATTTCAACCAAGGATTTCTTGGTAGAGGGTGCGACTTCAATCTGACTGCATTCCATCTCATGCTTGACGCAAATGAAGCCTTGAAAAGAAAGATGCTCAATGTATCATGTCAGTGCTCGATTTCCGAGATGGACAAGGCATGTGAGGACGTGGCGTTAGGCATTCCTGTCAAAACGGCTGGGCTTCTCGTCAAGCGTTACGTTGGCATCGTCGATTTAAAGGTGTTGAGACCAGAATACCGACAACTCGAGGGGCATTTTTCGTGGGGGTGGGAATTTTTACACAGAACCCTGCTTGACTTCTTTCTGCAGTCCGAGGTTGGGAGAAACATATCAGCACAAGGCCAAACAAATTGCATCAAGCTGGACCTTGCAACCATCATTGTGTGCCAACTTCGAATTCTGCGAGATAAAAAGTTGGGAGCTGGTCGGAGATGGATGTACGGTGATCTACTGTACTATTGTCTCCAAATACTGGGCCGATCAGTGGCTCAAGACTCGACATCGGAGGGCAATAGGGTGGCTGATCTGCTTAATGACCTGGAGAGCCTTTTCGCAGCTGGCTTGATGCCATGGGATTATAGACCAGACTGGTATCCTCCTCCACTCTTTGATCTTTTGCTTCTCCTCGAACCAGCTTTTGAGGGGCTTCTGCGGTTGCGTATAGAGAGTAGAGATGCGTCTCACGCCACCCTCCTGCTCCGAGAAGCCATGCGAGGATACATGATTTACGGCATGCACGATTTTATCGGGACCTGGAGTCATTTCGATATTGAAGCATCCATCTCCACCCTAGGTCCTGATATCAACCTTGCCGACATCTGCCTGTACGATTCACACATGAGTCCCGGGCGCTCTTGGCATGAACCTGGAAGTTTTGAATTTGCGCCGTATGAATCGATATCGAGTGCGGCGATCAAAACATCTTTTTCCGCGCTGTTCTACCCACCGATATCCGAACAGCTTATGGGAATTCTGTTGGCTGTTTTAGAAAGGGAGCCAGACTTGGACAGACGGACATCCTTCGTCTTCAAGACCGGATACATGATTGAAGACAACAAAGACATCGCCTTTTCCAATTGTCCCCCTTGTCATGAGCTCCTGCTCGGGGAGTATCATCCAAACGAAGATGAAGGGGTTCAGCTCCTAGCGACATATGAAGCAACAGTCATTTCGGAAGTGAATCTGAGGTATCTCATGGACTATATCCTTCAAGCGACTCCCTCTGGTTTGAAGCACAAAACGCCCCTAATCATTCGCGCTCAGCATCTATTAGAAGCAGAGAGCAGCAAGCCCCATATTAGGCCTCGCTTCTTCACCGAAGTGCGCTGGACGACCAAAAGTGAACTGTCAAGGCGCTGTTACCGTTTCACTGACCATGATAGTGATATTCTGGCTGATAACACTATCGCAGAGGCTACGGTTGACGGTTACGCTGAATTTGGTATTACCTACGAAAGACTCCAAGGTTACCGTAAAAGATGCGAGAGGGTTCATCATTCTGCTTTATCCGTTCTCGCAGATGAGAGGCTTGGAGTATGTCGGCTTGCGGATATGGGTATCAAGCCTCCCAGCTGATTCAACATGATCATTAGAGGAGGAATTATTCTCGAGAGCGGTACACCAGCGCCTGGATTTGAAAGTTTTCAACGGTCATATGGCTGCTAACTCGATGACAACACCGGTTGTTCCCTTCTAACTTGAGATATATCTGGAATGCAAGACATCCCAAACTGTTATGAGCTGCCATTTACGGGATAGCAGCAGCAGACTTACTTCCTGTCCTGGAAATAATGCGGCTGTTTACGAAGTGGACGCGGAGACCATCGAATGTCAGCCTCGGCCTTATAAGTCCCAAAACTCCGAAGTGAATCCATCAACCGCCTCCCTCTCAGAACCAAAACTTGATGCTGGACAAGCCAAGCCAGACTGCACGCAAAAGGACCATGAAAAGGCAGAGTGTACCTGTGGCAAAGCCCCAAACATGCGCCGCCCCTGTAGTAGAGAGACGCCGCTTGCAGAATCGCCGAGCGCAACACAACTACCGTAAGCTTCTCCAGCCTGGATGTATGATCCTTGGTATGTAGAGATTCACAGTTTTGCTACAGGTCTCCGGGAAGCAGCTAAAGCAAAGCAAAGGGGACAAACTTTTCAACCAGTACCTACCCGGCATGACAGATTCATCTTATGCCATGAGCCTGGTTCCGCATCAGAACCGCGTCTCCCGTGTGGCGCCTACTTCTCATCTGCAAGCAACTCGATCCTCTCAGCTGACTATCGGCTTCTCACACTTGTTCACAACAACATTATCCGTGGACTAGTTGCAAATGCTACCCTCCTTAGCTATCCGTGGAACACCGTCTGCCAAGATGATTCGCTCTCAAGCTTCTCCACAGACAAGGCACCATCACAGTCATCCCTACCGTTTAATCTGCAACCTACAGAACTACAACAGAAAGAGAGCCATCACCCATGGCTGGATCTGATCCCTTTCCCACGCTTTCGTGACAATGTCCTCCACAAGTTGGCATGTTCAAAGGAATGGGACGAAACCGAGCTCTGTGAAGATCTCACTGGAGTAGGAAAGTTTCAACTGAGCTGCAGTCGCCCGGGCTTGATGATCTGGGGCGAAAACTCGTGGGACGCGCACAACTGGGAGGTGACCGATGAGTTTGCCCACAAATGGCACGACGTGCTGGACGGATGCTGGGACCTTATTGCGTCTTCAAATGTCTGGCGCAAGAGACGAGGAGAAGCACTCCTCCACTTCAAAGCTTCTACAACCATTCCTTCTTTCAGTTTATCTGAGTAATAACCCAAGTTCGCTACAACGCCTCGGAAACCCCCAGCAACTTGCACGTATCCTTCCAAAGCCTCTCCTCCACCTCCTCATCAAACGCAAACGCCGCATATCCCCCATCCATCGGCCCCAGATCCTCAGCAGCCTCCTTTCCATACGTGCAATTCTCCAGATAAACCCCGCCCTTATCCTCCAAACACGCCGCAATCGCCGCAAAGACAGTCGTCGCAGCGCCTTGCTCGGCAGACTTGAGCTCCTCCGCATACGCTGGCGGCAAATCAACCTTCTCACTACGCAAGGCGTCATACTTGTCCAGCATCGGTGTCCGTATAGTCCCCGGATGAACCGACACAGCTCTAATCCCACGATCAGAAAAGTGCCGGTCGAGATAGTTGGCGTGGTATATGAGGGCCAGCTTCGACGTTGCATACGCAGACATTGGCTCGTACGGCGTCTTTTCAAAGTTTGGGTCTTCGAGGTGGGTTGGGAAGAGTCTATGTCCGGTGGTGCTCAGGTTGACGATGCGGGAGCGGCGGACTGGGGAGCTGCTTGCTTCGAGGCGCGGGAGGAGGAGGTGGGTGAGGAGGAAGTGTGCTATGTAGTTTACGCCCCAGTTGCGCTCTAGGCCGTCTTTTGTATGCTCAAGTGAGATTTCCGCGATGCCTGATTTGAAGAGATTGTTAGTTGATAGACAATTCGAGGGCATGATAGTCTGTACGCACCAGCGTTGTTGATCAAGACGTTGATCGTTTTCGCCCTGGTGAGAATCTCCCCCGCCGCGTGTCTCATAGACGCAAGGGAATCCATATCCATGCACACAACCTCAATCTCTTGGTACCGTCTTCCATTGACTGGAGAAATACTCGACACAATTCTGTCAATGGCTTGTCTAGCCTTGGCGGTATCTCGCGCCGTGATGAAAAGCTTTGCCCCTGTGGCATAGAGCGCCTGGGCAGTCTCATAGCCAATGCCAGACGTTGCACCAGTGATGACAATTGTGAGCTCTGATAGAGAAGATGAAGATTTGTCGCCGTACTGCAACTCATCTTGGACTATCTGGAGGGCCGTTGGACGAGCGTCTCCGGGGCCGTTGCGAGAGGCATGAGCGACAGCGTAACGATCCATTGTGGAAGCTGTGTGAGCGGAGATGAGAGAAACAATTCTTTGCGGTAGATTGAAAAAGTGATTGACATTAGATTCACGACGAAAAGGTGCAAAATAAATACTTTATCTCATGGCTGTGAGTGTACGTCTCGCGCAGTCTGCTTATTGCCTAAATAGGAAGTAATCCAAACATCACCAGATCGCCACCGGACTGCAGCAACTCCATATCTCCATCAGATCCACATGGTTAAAGGTATGACATGCAAATAAGCTCTTAAAGATCATCAGCATAAACAGTTGACATGATCCACTGCCGTCAAGGTCGAGCAAAAAGAGTCGCTCTGTTACTGCTCCCAATGGCCCTCACATGCCTAAACGAGCCAAGTCCTCTTTCACCACGTCAGAACTCTATGGCTCCAGGCGCGTCGATCCATCGATCCGTGACCGATGTAGATGGAGTCAAGTATCATATATGAGCTATACGTTATCTCACATCACAATCTATGTCTCAATTGACAAAACATCACGCAACAGGAGAGCGGACTAGGTAGGCACTTGGTCTCCAGCATGGACTTGCGTTGACAAGCCATAGGGTATTATTTGTATTATCTTTCATCGTCGTATGAATAATCGCTTGAATCAATAAACCTCATCTCCATCAATCCATTACATCAACCAATCCAGCCTCTCAGACGCGTCCCCGGCATCCTCTTGTCTCCTCAAAGACCTATCGCAAACCTAATCAGCAACCCAAATCTCCTCTCAACCACCACCACCACCACCATCAACAACAGCATGAGGAACTCACCACTCTTTTACAGAGCCTGGCAGACTCCCAAAGCAGACTTCTTGTCAGCCCCCGGCGCAAGCAGGCAGATCTGACCGAACGGGCATCCAATCACAGTTCCCTTTGTCTCGCCGCAGATGAGCTTTCCGTCGACGGAGGGAGCCGGAGCCGGAGCGGCGGCAGCGAGGCCGGCCAGGGCGGCGACGATGAAGGTGAGGCTGTTGAACTGCATCTTGGCTGGTGATGAGATGTTTCGACTCGAGATTTGGTGTATTATGGGGCTTGTTTGAGGAGACCTCGGTAATGACTGTGTATGTGTGTATGTCTGTAACTAAATGAGCGACTGGAGATGGTGGAAAAGCAAAAAGAGATCTCCTTTCCTCCTTTCCGCGCGCATCCGGGGCGATCACTGTATTTATTATCCCTTGTTTCCCCAGCTAAAAAATTCACGACTACTAGTACCCCGTAATGCTCTCCGGTTCTCGTATAGAGAAAAAAGGAGCCCGCTTGGCCCGGGCACCACAGCTCACTCGCCTCGTATTCCTTTGATGAGCCCATTCAACCTCAGAGCTCGTATGAGAGCCATCGCTCACCTGCGAACAGGGTCCTACAGGGGGACAGGTCACCTTCGTGTGGGCTGAGGGACCCCTGGGCCGGTAATTTCGGGTGCTAATTTCGAGGCTTGTCCTGCGGCCCCGCCCCTTTATGGACGGGGGGGGACCCCTGGATCTGTCGGTGGACGTTGAACATTGGATGGCGGTTTCACCCATTCTACTGCTAATACATCACAATATAGTAGAGATATTATGAAAGGCTCATAGTCAGTAAGAGGCTGACGGAAGAGCAATTGGACTCCCTAGAGGGTATCCGAATCATCCTCATCTGCAAACACCACACATTCCCGCCCAATCCCCAGCTCCCAACTCCGTCGGCCCTGTCCCTGAAACAATCCTAGCAGTTAGTTATATTGACCAGAAGCCTCACCGGGGACGGCTGTGGAGTCTCTCCCGTATACCGCAATGATCATCCCTGAGCCTCATGCACCGCTCCGTGACGGTTGTTGCAACACCGCAAAGATGCCCGCATGTCACCTTCAGACAGCAACACTGACAACACATGATGCTACTCTTCATTGGCAGTTGACGCTTCCGGGGTCTCTTCATCACCCCGACCCGTGTAGCATCGTGGTATTTTACCCCAGACGGGGTCCGTCTCTCCTTGACTCGACCTCCACGTCTACCTTGACTCTGTGATCGAGAGAGAATTTCTCGAGTGCCATGACCAGCCAAGCATATAGTATACACTCTTTTTCCCATCAAATGCCATGCCACGTAGTAAACACAAATGATACGATGCCTTCAATGCTTCCAAAGCAAACTTATGCGCCATAGAACTGAGACCGCCACATGCAATAGCCACCGCGATACTCCATCACCACGTCCTCTCTAAGACCCGCGTCCTGCGGCTGTGTCGTCTAGCTGAGGAGTTCTTTAATGTCCTCGATCCGCTGCAGCTTCTTCTCCTCATCGCTCATCATACCCAGTGATGTTGCGCTGCAGATCTAGTTAGCCTGGGCAAATGTCAAACGAATGACCTCCGGCAGCACTCACATAAACTTCTTCCTGTCTTGGATCTTGAGCATCCTCTCCTCCACAGTTCCCCTCACAATGAACCTCTTCACCACCACCTCATCCTGCTGCCCGAGTCTGTGCACCCGATCAATCGCCTGCAGCTCCACGGCGAAGCTCCACCAAGGATCCATCATGAACACGCGCCCCGCGCTTGTGAGGTTCAGGCCCACGCCTCCAGCTCGCAGGCTCATCAGCATCACCACGAAGCCGTTGCTCTCTGTAAACTGCTGCAGCACCGCTGCTCTGGCCCGCTGCGACATGCTTCCGTCGAGGCGCAGAAACTTGATGTTGAAGCGCGTAAGGGCAGTTTCGATCAAGGACAGAAAGGATGTAAATTGCGAAAAGACAATCGACTTCATGTTGGGCCGCTCTCGGCGTAGTGCCCGGAGCTCCGATATCAGCGCAGCAATCTTGGCGGACGACGAGTTGAGGCCGAGTCGTTGAAGGCTGTATCGAGGCTTTGATGAAGCAAACGCATCGTCGCTGTCGTCGTGACGCACAACCTCAAACAGGTCTCGCTGGTTGAGCGGTGCACGGCAGTTGAAGCACCTTGGCACCCTGGCATGATCCGTCTCGTGCTTGATAAAATCCATCAGGCACTTTTTGCACGCAGAGTGCCAGCACCCAGTCACAATCTGCTCATTCATCGGCTCGTCAAAGCATAGCGGGCATTCCTTTTCGGCTTCGTTCCGGATCTCGTCCAGCGCGTGCGCCCCGTACGTCTGCTTGTCCTTGGTGGCTTCGTCCGTAATGGCGGTGAACTGGGTAATGAGCGATTCAAGGTCCATGTCGTCGCCCAGGCCCGTGACCGCGTCGGCCGCAGCGCCAGCCTCTTCCTCATCGGCAACAATGTCTTTGTTACGGACCAGAACAGGATGGCAGCACGACTGACGGAGCCGCAAAATCTGAGCAAAAATAGTCGTAAACGCCTTGAGCAACGTTCCGGCCTCGACATTCCTGGTAAGAGTGTTCTTTGCCTTGTTGAAGATGTGGTCGTAGATGTCTCGCTCTGGCTTTGAGAGTTCCACCTCAACAATTTCAATCTGCTTCGGCGGGAGCTGCACCAGTGGCTGGCCGTCCGGCGTCTTCATGTCCTTGGTTCTTCGGGTGACCAGTGGCTCCAAGACCGTCTGCACCACGTCCAAGGCGCGCACAAAGTCGCCAGATTCGAATGGCACGGTGATGAAGGTCTTCCAGAACGAAAAGTTGTTCCATGGCTCGACGCCCAGGAAACGCACCAAGCTGAATAGGTCTTCCAGTCTGTTGACAATGGGGGTGCCCGTCAGCGCCCATCGATGGTCGGCTGAGATCTCGTAGCACGCTCGTGCCGTCTTGGACGCTCTATTCTTGATGTAATGTGCCTCGTCAAGGATCACGCGAAAGAACTTGAGAGAGAAGATGCCATTGTGCAAAGACCTGTCGCCGTTCTTCGCGGCAATGCTGGTGAACTCTGACAGAACAACGCCATAGCTGGTGATGACGAGGTCTGGGGCGCTGGAGCCACAGCAGAGGGCCTGCAGATTCAGTGCCTTTTCAGCGCCGTAGTATAGCTGAATCTTCATGCTGCCGGCCACGGAAGCCTTCTCGGCCTCGCTATACCACTGTGACAGTAGTGACATCGGGGCCACCACCAACGTTGTGCGAGGCGCATCCAAGACGTTTGGCGAATTCTTGCCCAAGCGTTGGAGCTGGCTCAACCCGTCCAGGGAGGAGTGTCCGGTATTCCGAGAATTCTCGGATCGGTGCGTATGAATCAGGCTGAGCATCTGAATCGTCTTTCCCAACCCCATCTCATCAGCAAGGATCCCGCCGAGACAGTGCTGCTCCTGAACCGGAAAGTCCAAGGACAGATCGCCAGAGTACGGGTTGACGTAAAACTTGGACTGTCCCTCTACTACAGGCAGGTCCTTGTCGTCGACATCTTTGACAGGCCACACATATTCCTCCCATAGCGGATGCATCGATGGCTCCCTGTGACTCTTTTCGTCCTTCTCCTTGGCCATCATCCAATGTAGGGATTGCTTTTGATAGGGGCGAAGCGTCATGGCAAATGTGCTCGCCGGCTCTGCTTCGGGCATGTTAAAGTCGAATGTCTGGGCCTTTTTATACAGCGCATCGAGTTGGTCTTGTTCCAGCTCCTCTCCTTCTTCTGCCTCATCAGACGGTGATGAGTTTCCAGACTCCTTGTTACCATTCGCAACCGCCTTCTTGGATTCTTTTTGCTTCTGCTCGTCCATTTCGGCGGCTTGAAGAAGCCCCGACCTCCCATCTTTCGCGGCAGCGTTGGCGATGACGGGCTGGAGATTGATCTCTTGAAACAGCCTGACCAGCGCAACCTGCCTCAGTCGAAGTTCTTTCTCTTGCGCTGTTTCAGTCTGTTGTTCGAACCAGGTAGCTGACGCATCGCTCGCGGGGGTGAAGCCGCGGTCGACAAAGGCAGAGTCGAGCAGGAAGCATCGCAGCTGGAGGAAGACGGTGTCGTTTGTTCGTGCACGCTCAGGGCAGTACACGCATGTACCCTCGAACTTGCAAATCTTCTGGTCCATCAATGTCGACACCCAATTAGCCGTATCCTTGGCCAGACGCCCAATCTCCTGGCCCCTTTGGTTCGTAAATCGCACAATGACGTCGACTCGTCTCGAGGCAGCCGTGTTCGTTTTGACCGGGGTAGGGGGGACTCCGAGCCGGGGCTTCGTCTTTGGCGGCGGAGGAGGCTGTATCTTTTGTCGCTCGATCCTGACGGCTTCACCATGCTTCAAGAGATTCGTGCCGCTTCTGGTAGCCCACCCCTCGACGCCGAAAGCGCCCACGTATCGTGCGGATGGCATGTTGCGTCGAATTGGAAGCGGCGACGGCTGGATCAGCCCATCCGTAGACTGTGTCCGGCTCGCAGATGGGGGCTTCGACTTCATCATGAGCTTCTTGTAGGTGCCGTCAAAGTACATGTTGACGGCTCGTTCAAGGTTGTTTCCGCAGTGTTGCTGAATCGTACGCAGGACGTTGGCGGCAACTTTGCCTCCAACAAAGCTCTCGAATGTGTCCCGATCGAAAGTGACCGCCGACGAGTCTTGTTGCCCTGAGGAATCCTTGGATGTAGCCTGCTCCTGGCCCGGTGCCGCCGATTCCTCTGCTGCAACGTCATTCTCGCCATGACCCGAGGCGCTCCAAATGATGCTCCGTCTCGCCTCCGGATCCCAGTCATCGACAGCCTCTTCCTTCTTTGGTGCCCCGTCGTCCTCCTTCTTCGGTATTACCTCGTCGTCGTCATCCTCGTCCTCCGTCTTGAAGAACCGCCTCGGCTCGAGCGACGAGCTGTACTCGCGCTTCGGACTAAACGCCGCCGGATCGGACGAAGGCTCATCCGCATCCTTGAAGAATCTGCGCCTCTTCACCGGCGGCTCCTGCGAGGATTCCAGCTCCATCTGCAAAAGTCCAGCACGTCAAACAAGCCGTGACGCGCATCTGGGCAGCCAAACCTGCCGGGAGACGCGCCTCGTCTGTCCCAAATCGCGAACCGTGTAAAGAGGTCACATGACCGCGTCATCGATTTAGAGTGGCCCCGCATTTGTCCGTCGGAGTAATTGGCGGACCAATCACGAGCCGCCCATATCTGAGCATTGAAAACGCAGCTTCTTTTGTCACTGGAAAAACGATCCAAAATAAATAGCGGCCAATGCAATGCGACTCTCGCCGAGGCATCACCACGATGGTGGCAATCGACTGACGAGCCTCGGGCTGGAATTCGTGGCTGCATGCATATGCATCGTCCCAGCGCTCTAGGCAATGGCCTGAAAAGGCTCGTCTCAGCTCCTCGGGGCTGTCGCGGCTTCGCAACCGTGACCGAGGCCGACGTCGAATCAGCTCGGCGATACTGCTTGAAGCAGCTTCAGTACGGCTTCTCCTCCCTAATCCCGATCAGACGGCCCTTATCACTGCTGGCATAGCACCCTAAACCACGCAATTGGCTGACCTCCCATCTGCAGGACAAGCGACTACGATGCTCACCTCATCCGCCGCTTCATGCCGCCCCCCGTCCAGGACACCTACGCGGCCCTCCGCGCGCTCAACCTCGAGCTGGTCCGGCTGCCCGAGATGGTGTCGAATCCCACCATCGGCGCCATGCGCGTCAAGTTCTGGCACGACGCCATCGACAGGACCTTTTCCGGGCAGCCCCCGCGCGAGCCAATCTGCATCCTGCTGCACAAGGCCCTGCGCGAGCTGGAGCAGCGGACCGGGGGCGGCGGCGGCGGCTCGACGTCGTCAACAAAAAGCATCAAGTTCTGGGTCTCGCGCCTGATCCGCACGCGCGAGAGGCACATGGACAATCGGCCCTTCGCGACCCTGGCCAGCCTGGAGGACTATGCCGAGAACACGTACTCGACCATCATGTATGCGACTCTGGCATCCATGCCGCTGCGGTCCATGCACGTGGACCACCTGGCCAGCCATATCGGCAAGGCGTGTGGCATCGTCGCGGTGCTGCGGGGCGTGCCCGTCCTGGCCGCGCCCCCGCAGCCCGTCAGGTCGCCCTCCGGCCTCGAGACCCCGAGCCGCAGCCAGGCCCTGCTGCTGCCCCTCGACGTCATGGCCGAGGAGGGTGTCAAGGAGGAGCAAGTTTTTCGCCAGGGGCCCAGCGCTCCCGGCCTGCAGGACGCCATCTTCAAGGTGGCCACGCGCGCCAATGACCATCTCATCACGGCGCGGGAGATGCTCAAGCGGTTGAAGGCGGGGCAGGATCCGGGTCACGAGTTTGAGCACCAGGGCGAGGGCGAGCACCACTACGTCGACGAGGAGAGCGACGCCGCGCGGGATGTCCGGAGAGGCTTTGGCGTCTTGCTGGAAGCCGTGCCAGCGGCCCAATGGCTGCTGAGCCTGGAAAAGGCCAACTTTGATCCGTTTGCCGTCAGGACGGGCGGATGGAGGCTGCCGTGGGGGGTTTGGCAGGCTCTGTCCAAGGAGAGGATATAGCCGGATTATACTCAACGCATGGGCTAGAACTGTAACAATAGAACTGTAACCATATCATCTACCCTTTATCGTATTCTGCAGAGTCAATCGCATCTCGGTGTATCCTTTTCCGTTGCACGCATGAACTCCGTCTCCGTACAAGGTAATTCCGTCACCACCCTTGCACACTCACCACGGCAAAACCTCGGCATATTATCCCGCTCAGAATTTCAACACCATCCCACACAGAGTCGCATGTCTCTCTCATTGCATCCTCCACAACCGCTTGTAGGTGCCGTCGCAACGATGCTCTACGAATTAATAGCCATTGTGAGTCAATTCCATCCCCATCTTCTATTCAGATTATCGATCCCCGTTTTGCCAAACATCTCCGCTAACTACCACTCTAGGTCCGGCCGGGCAACCTCACCGAGGTAAAAGAGTACGTCAGCTTTCAATCCCAAGCCCCAACTCTCCCCAGTCTCAGCCATCAATCTCGAAAAATCCCGCCCCTGACTCCGACTGCAGAATCGCCCAGACAGTAGGATCCCTCGTCCTCCGCAACGGCGGCGTCATCCGCGGCCTCTCCAACTGGGGTGTCTTCTCCCTCCCCAAACCCGTCTCCATCCACCAGATGAAGCACACCCACGGCCACTACTTCGTCATGCGCTACGACTCCTCCGCCGCCGTCCACCACGACGTCCGGTCTACCTTGCGCCTCGAGCCGCGCATGATCCGCGCTGCGCACGTCAAGCTTGGCGATGGCAAGCTCGAGACTGTCTCGAGATTTGGGCCGCCCAGATGGAGGACGCAGGGGAGTGAGGCGTGAGGGACGAAATGAAGACGAAAGAAAATTACGAAGATATTGATTGGGTTAATTTGCACTCCAAGCTTGCGATCGAGCGCGGGAAAACAAATTCCCGGCTATTAGAGGTGTGCATACAAGTGCAACCTGTGTAAGATTATGATCCTGTCCGAGAATGAGGAAGCGCCCAACATGGAAGGGAACGTCTCATGCTCGGCAACGAAACTGGTGGAACGAAAGGGGCATCTGGACATCCGATATACTCTGTACATATCCCTGGATGTCTGCATGGGAAACGCCAAATGTCACATGTTGAAGACGACGATAGACGGCTCTTCAAAAGGATAGCTATGCTTTAGTAGCTAGGGTATGGATAAAAATAACAACAAAGCCTGCCAATTCCAACTCAAGTCGATCCACGGTTCTTTTGACTTTCGCTCCAAAATATCTATGCCATTGTAGAATCGCGAGGCCCGGAGGCTGGAGTGCCACAATCAGTCTTGCAAGCAAGCCCTCTAGCATCAAGGCCAGCCAGCCCCCCTTTTCAACCTCTAATCGTAAGCGCACCTAGCATCGGCCTGCATACCAAATATGAGGCCCTTGTCCATTCTCTTCAGTGGAGTATCGAGACGTAGCGGCCCCAGGCAGTTGTTGTATGTGGTCATCGGGACCCATAGTCTCATTGGCCATCGACATCCATTGTCTCGGCCTTTCCGATGCCTCTCTGCCTGCACCACTGGACAAAGTCGTCAATGACGCTCGGCCATGCGCCGTCCTCGCTCCAAAACGACAGTGACTCGTCGTTGATGCTCTTGAGGGCAAACTCCAGGATCATGTTCCACATATCACGGTTGACGGATCGAGTCCACTTTTCTCCCAGGAACGTCTTCCACAGCTCCAGCCAGTCGTGTTTGCCCTTCCATACCAGGCCGGGGGCTGAGAATAGCATGCTCCAGTAGATGAGAGCATTGTCCAAGGCCAGAGCCTTTTGGTCCTTTTCACGGCCAGCGACGAATGCATATCTGTACACTCTCTTGAACAGCGCTGCATCACGCGACAGGTTAGAGATGAGATTCCGTACGTGTTTGGCGTGCTCTTGATGAGACGCGTCGACCCTACCAATCGTCAGTACAATCGTTTCGACACTGATGACTCTTTTGTTTCCCAAACTTACCCGCTTGATCTCCAGCCATTGATGTAGCCTTCTCTGGTAATTTCGCCCACGCTCGGAGCCTGCAGCAGCTCCAGTACGACAAACAGCTCCGCATTTTCTAGGCTGATGTTGAGCTTCTCACTCAGATAGTTCATGGTGGACTCCAGCTCTAGCTGGTCCTTTTCATCGTTTTCGTCATCTAAACAGGGGTTGGTCGGTAAGCATCAGTCAAAACACATCAGGCAGAAGCATCAGAACTTACCCCTTAATGAGTCAAACAGGGCATCCAACTTCACCTCCAACGGAGACGGTCCTTTGCCTTCGTTGGCCGAGTTCATGAAATACCTAGCGAAGGAACGTTAGCAGCTGCCGCTGAGCAGGCCGAGCATCGAGTTGCAGTGGTCCGGCAGAGAAAAGGAAAACGAAGTATGCAACGCTACCACTCAGCAGCAGATTGCCATGGTCATATCAACCAGCGTAGAGCCCTTCATCCCTTTGTGCAGATTGTGATGCCCCGTCCTGATAGCCCGACCAGGCCAGAGATGTTATACCGTCCAGAATGATCCGTGGCAGAGCCCTCTGCGTCATGATTCTCCCGTTTCTTCTTAGACAGCCATTGGGGCACGCCCTTTGCGACTTTGGACGGCAGATGCTGTTTGACGCCCTTCCAACTGAGCATCATTCTGGGCCCGACGCACGGGATGCATGCGTCCCGGAGCACTGGATCGTGGTCGTCGCCCTCGTTAGTCGGTCCGGTGTAAAGCCCTTAGTGGTAGCCAGGCCGGATGTTGCCGCTGCGTGCAGATCGTCAGATTCTGGATTCGGAGTAACCGGAAAAATTCAAGGTGCTCTCTCAATCGACGACGAAGTGGCTGCAGCAGACCGAGCAGCAGACCGAGGGACTCAACAACGAGGATGGCGAGGGTGGAGGTTGACGCAGTCTCAACAAGGGCACGGCTTTGTGGTCGATCAGAGAAGGGCTCCCTAGGCTCTGGGCACGCCGGCGGGCCACTGAAATGTGCTTAGGACAGGCGCTCTGAGGCATCCGGAAGCCAGCAGTTGGAATACACTCTTGCAAGGTAGCATCTTGGCATGCTGTCGCTATCTGACGTCTCTGTTTCAGTAGCATCGGCGGCGCTCGGCCATACTCTGGTGAGTGTCCGACAAGACGGGCGGGCTTCGCCTTAGTGGGACCCCCACAAGCAATCCACACCGATAACAACATTGGGAGCCTGGCGATGCATCATCTCACAGCGAAATTGTCCGAGAAGCGCCGTGGAGAGTCTGATTCGAGGAATATCCGGCGGCCAGGAAGGGGACGGGAATGGGGGCCTAGCATATTCGGGGGAAACAAAGGCGGAGATTTGAGGCTCGCAAGGGGACAGAGAAAGCAAAAGGACTGGGGGGGGGAGCTCCGTGATCATGACTGAGAGTACTTACGCATCCACGGCTTCCTCGAGCTTGTAGCCAGTCGACTTGAGATACTGCCCACACCCTCACGTCAGTGACCGAACTCACGGGTTGCAGAACATGGAAGCACCACCACATCGGGATGCACGATTGCTTTGCCGCGGGTCCGGCCTCCCATCCAGCAGGCGCCAAAAGCCGAGAGGGTCGGCAAACAGGGTCAGCCTCATGCCAGCCTCAAGCCCCGATTTAATCCCGGCCCATTGATCCGGGATGAGCCCAAGCGAGACGCAGCCGCGGGACGTGTCAGGTCTGTTTGGGGCATGGAGGGGAAGGGAGATCCCCGTTGGGCTCGGCCGGGCCATCAGCAAGGACGGCGAGCATGGCGAGCAGCCCAAGCACCCAGGGCAAAAGCAACGTTTTCTTTGGTGTTGGTTATCTGACGTACCCGAGTTGCCTGCCGCTCCGTAACCCCAGTGAGGCTGACAAACTGCGCAAGCAGCACCTTTTGTTGCGCCGTCGACGGAGCAGGCATTGTGACGAGAAGAGGAAGGTCGGCGAGCGTTGGGTGCGTTTGCCGGGTCACACGAGGACTTTTGGGCGTCGGTCGATATGCGGTAATGAGCTGGAGCTGTCGAGTAAAGCCTTCGAAGCACCGAGTCACGGCGTGCTGGGCGGTCGTGAGCGGTCGTGGGCGGTAACGTCGTAGCTCTAGCGTGTCGTGTGAAAGGCCGTTGCCCGCAGGGGACGAGGTTCGCTATTGGAGAGGGGGTCGATTGTGCGTTGTCGTCGTGGAAAGGTCGCAGGTGTCGACGAGTCGCAACGTTCGTTCGAATCGGTGGCGGAAAGCTGCTGTGCACGGGGGCAGCTGCAGAGAGTGAGAGTGAGACAGCAGCGAAGTGAGGGCTTCTGTCCGCTATGGATGAAGTAGAGGGCAGCAGATCGGAAGAGAGAGAGCCGTTGCGGGGGGCGAAGACAAAAGGTCGCAGCTTGGTGGTTCAGCTTGAGTTGGCAGAGCAGAGGAGCGGGTTTGGAGCGACTCACGCAAGGCTGCGATGGTGGGGTTCCGGTGTTTGGGCAGCTAAGAGGTACCGCTGGGGCGCTGGGGCCGCAGGCCGAGATGCAGGTAGGTGCCTAACAATGAAGCTGCCCAGGTGCGGCTATGTTGACTTGAGGTGCTGTGGGTAGGGGCTGGTTCATGCCGAGTTGTGACCTGCAGGTGGGAATCTTGACTGGAAAAAAGAGCATCTATGTATCCGAATATCTCGCTGCTGTTGTCCTCAGAGTGCATTACAACTACCGGCGTTATGTTGCTACGAATTAATCTACAGAATCAAGCCGTGGCTATAGGTACATTTGGCACCCCACTACTCGATACCTTACCTCAAGGTATTGAAGGTAGCTGATGCCAGAGAATGAGGTTTGACATGTACGACACGGACTCTTGGCCTGCATGTGGGTAGGTACCTAGATAGAAGGTGAGCTGACATGTACTTGGCTTCCTTGCTGTTGTCACATTGTGATTCATTCTTCGGGCTCAGATATCAAGCGTTTAGCATTCTACATCATCTTGAGATCCCCATCCCATCAGTGAGGTTCTTTGTTGTTTCGAGGGTGTCGTGCTTCTGCCCTTTGATGTCGGGTTCCTTGCCTTGCTTGCTTGATATGATGGGTACCTTACCTGGTACTGACCTTGGAAGCTTCCATGGGCCATCAAAGTAGCGCCGCACTGTGATTGAGCCACTGAATCGACCTAAAAATCCAGCACCCCACTCCAGCAGCAGCTCCTTTTCAGTGAGCAAACACAGTGCGGACCACTCTAATCAACGCGCTTCGATTGTGTACATGCTCCCAGACGCGTCCGTCTCTTATCGTCCATCTGCTATCAGGCATTGGATTTCCGCAGCAATTCCAACCATCACCAGCCGAAGCAGCAGACAGTGGCTGCATGCGCCGCAACCTGTTTCTGTGCGTGATCAAGCCGGTCATGCCCTGAACCATGGCATCTCACCACTCCTCAGACGACGAAGGCTACGGCATCGACCCCTCGGTGCCCTTCCAGGGCGTCATTGTGTGCTGCACCAGCATCCCACCAGACCAGCGGGTTCGTTGAAGCTCACGGCCATCACTTACAGCACAGAAGCTGACCTGGACGCCTCAAACAGACAGACATTGCCCAAAAGGTGGCCGAGCTCGGCGGCGTGCACAAATACGATCTGACGCCCGACGTCACGCATCTCGTCGTCGGCGACTATGACACTCCCAAATATCGCCATGTCGCCCGCGAGAGGGCCGACATCAAGGCCATGGACGCCGCCTGGATCAACGCCGTCAACGAGCTGTGGAAGAATGACGACGAAATAGACCTAGTCGCCCTGGAGAAGAGATATCAGCTCAAGGCACTGGAGACGAGCGGCACCGAGCCATCATTACAGGAGGACACATTGCCAGCGGCCCGTGGATCGCTATTGATATGCTTGACCGGGTTCGGCGACGAAAGAGACAAGATTGCAGAGATGATTACGCAGAACGGCGGCCAATACTCTGGAGATCTAACCAGGAGGTGTTCGCATCTGATTGTCAACAAGCCCGAGGGCAAAAAGTTCACAGCAGCCAAGGCGTGGGGACTGCACACGGTCACTCTGGACTGGCTCGTACAGAGTGTAGAGCGCGGCATGATTTTGGAGGAATCCAAGTTCGATCCGCTATTACCCCCGGAGGAGCAGGGCGTTGGCGCTTGGGTAAAGAAAGATCTTAAGCGATCCTCTCTAGGCAAGAGAGCAAGGTCAGCCGTCGTCGGCGGTGGGCGAGACGAAGGGGTCAGGAAGCTTCGCAAGACTGCCAGCATGAAGCTGAGCTCACAAAGAAACGATCTTTGGGGAGACATACTGGGTAGATCTGCATCGAGAGAGTACTCTTTTGCTCACGAAAATCCGCCTGGAGCGCCTGGAGCACCAGCTGCGGCTCCAACTCCAGCGTCACAGGTCCCTACGCAGCCCGGCTACTCTCTCGCCCAGGAGGAACAGGGTGTTTTCGCCAACTGCGTCTTTGTCGTCCATGGATTCCCCCAACAAAGAGCAGCGATTTTGGAGCAGACTGTCGCGACTCTCGGCGGCAGCATCGCCTCTTCCCTGCAGTCTCCCGCCATGTTGTCTCAGCCAACAGACCCTGAGCACTACCGATTCCTCATAGTTCCCCAAACTTCACAGCCCGACACCCACCCCGAGGTACCCAACGAACACATCCACGTCATAACCGAGTTCTACATCGAAAACTGCCTACACAACAAGCGATTTTTTAACCCCAACGAGCAGGTTCTCGGGCGGCCGTTCCCCCTGTTTCCCATTCCTGCGTTTTCGAGCTTGACCGTGTGCAGCGCCGCCTTTACCGGGATCGAGCTCAACCAGGTTGCCAGAGCCGTCGCTCAGCTAGGAGGCAAGTATGAAGAGTCGTTCCGTCGATCAACAAACGTGCTCGTGTGCAAATCCCTCATGGCTATGCGCAAGGAAAAACTCAAGTGCGCTTTGGACTGGGGCGTGCCTGTTGTCTCGGCGGACTGGTTGTGGGAATGCATATCAAGCGGCAGCCTCGTACCTATCCAAGACTTTGTATACCCGGAACTCAGGAAACGCCGCGTCAAGCGACGAGATCCGCGAGACCCCTTTGTCAACGATGAAGACGATGCGGAAACTGAGCAGCAGCCTCGAAAGGCTCCGGAGACGAAACCCGTGGCGAAGCCTGCCGTGGATACAAGCGCCTTTGACAAGGACGTCCCTGGAAGAAATCGCGCCAAGCAGACGCTCGAGTCCATTACGTCGGCAGACTTTATCACGGCACGAACACATCCGGCTGAAACTGCAATGGCTCTGTCCGAACTATCGTCGGCAGCGCTCAACGTATCGCCAAAGCAGCCAGCAGCCAAGGGCCCTGTAGCCCGCACCATATCCGCGCCAGCCAAGCTACCACCAATCGAGGAACAGCAAAAAACAGCACCTCCTCGCCTTCCCGCCGCCTCAGAGCCAAGGGAGCTGCCAGATACACTACAGCCAAAACAACAATCAGTCCCACCCCCTGAACCAACAAAACAACCCCCTCAACCTTCCGAAACAGCAAAAGCAGCGAAAGAAGCTTCCGCCGACGAAATCGAAAAGCAACGCCAGCTTGCCGCCGCCGCCGAACTCCGCCAGGGCCTCACCTCTGCCCTGTCCGATCTCACCGGCTCCGAAGCCGCGACGCGTGATCAACCCGATGCGCGTGTTCTGCGCCGTCGCCGACAAAAGATTCTCGGTCGCGCCATTAGCAACGCTTCCAATGCGAGCAGTGCTGCCAGTATTGACGGTGCGGCTTATCCTCCTCGCGCTCTACAAGAGGACGAAGATGAGGAGGAGAGGGGGAGGCGGTCTCCGCCGGCAACACAGCTCGAGTATCGCGATCCCGAAGCCATGGAGACCAAGGCCATGTTGATGAGCAGGATGACTGGTGCTTCCGCTGAAGGGGTGTCGTCAGAAGGGCTTGGACGGACCAGGTCTTCGAGGAGGAGGTGAAGGATTTTTTTTTACCGCTTGATTATACCTACAAGAGGCGCTGCGCTTTCTTTTTGCAGTTTCGTTCTTCTTTAAAGATGTTGGGATATATAGGAGTAAAAGAGCAGTAAGGAGCATTCGTGATCTGGGAAGAACCAAGGAGGAAAGGGGTTCAGTTTGCTTTCAGGGTGGGATTTGGTTCAAAGCGCGTTGGGAAATAGTCCCCATGTCTGATGAATTTTGATGAATTGATTCATGGCCTGTGTTATGGATGGCAAGGTTTATTGCTGGCATCAGGCAAGCCATATGCGTGAAAGGGAGCAAGGAACTGTTTGAATTACCAGTGATGTATGTCCTTGAGCATAATTACAGGGGTTGGTGCAACTCTCCTTCAGCTATTAGTATGAACTCTCGGTCTGGTAGAGGGGGTTGGTAGGTGAGGCGTGTCATGATCCTGTACATTGTTGTCTGTCATTTATGGAGTTGATGATGTGGGCTTGGAGACGAAACACTGCTAGACTTGAAGGGCTCCTGCAGACACAACTACATACGGAACTAAATCTCTACAACAACAGATCTGGGGAAACCCCCTGAAAATATGGCTCGACTCAACCGAAGGAACAGATTGCGCAAAAAGGGAAGAAACCTTGACAGAAAGAGGTACGCTAGGGAGGAGAACGTGGAGTGTAGTCCGCAGATATATATCGAGCCATAAGCGTATGAGGGGACACTACATAACATGGCTCGATAGTGGTATAGTGATATGTTGTGGTCATCTATCATGGCTTTGGGTTGTTGATTCTGGGAATAATGAAACTTGGACTTGCCTTAATAGAGCGGAATGTTTGCTTGCGTTGTGACTCGAGTAGTTGCAGAAAGGAGTAAGGGGGGGGAATCAACGTCGTTTGCTGCGGTGGTCTGTTAGCGATTCTCTGGCAAGAGACGTCAAGACGCGGGGGGGGGGGGGGGGGGTCATCCTCAGGTGTGGCTCCAATGATCCTACATTGGGAGAGTATCAGCTGTGGAAGCATATCTAATTGTCGGAGCGTAAGAAGGAACGTATAAAGGGTCGAAGAGGTTCCGCCGCTGTCGTTGCATGTTGAGTTTTTTCTTTAGGAGTGTGAATGCCACTCGCTTTGCATCTAGAAGGGGGACGTCTGCTTGTTGTTACGGCTTGGTTGTTGAAAAGGGATCATCGGGAGGAATCATTCGTTCTTCGGGGTAGAATGGCTTGTTCAAAAAGCTCGGAGTCAAGAGCATTGGATAATGGATGTCAAGAGACCCTGTCTAGTCAAGAGCGGGTCAATTATTGCGTACAGTTAAATAGGTAGAAGAAAGAGGGGAAACCTGTATAGTCATACCAATTTGTGACTGTTTTTTCTCTTTTTGTCCATCGGGTCCAGTTGGTTGATTGTATAGCATCGACGTATGTAGTAGACTTATGGTTGTAGACTGCGTAAGGTCGATCGCAACTCGGGAACGGAGTGGGGAGACCACTCAGCAGGAGATGGAAACAAGGTGATTACTTCCGACAGTGTCAGGCTCTGTTCATCTAGTCCATCGTCGGCCTGGTGCTGACGATGTTCGTCTCGAAAGCTGCTGTGTCTCTCCCTTTCCAGAAGAGAAGATATTTGACAATCCTTATCAATTCGACGTGGAGACGGTAGAAAGCCACGTTGCCGAAGAGCAAATGGCAACGGTGAGGTTACTCTTGCCTCTCCACTACGAGAAAGCAAAGAGCTCTCACATATATCCATGGCCTTCCCTCAGTTTGGAATTTACCCAGCCTCATTGTCTTACGGGGTGTGTTCCAATGGATCAAATTCTGTCTCAGCAGTGCTTATACAACGGGGCACTTGGAGATACCACATATTCCGTCGGGACCTGTCCGATGTGCCAATCCATAGGTAGGTAGTCACATGTGGTTACATATACGCATCGCCACCATGTAAGATGACGAATGGTGAGAATGACTCGCCCGGCCGGACGAACGGTGTTCCAAGAACGGCTCAGAGAAAGCGGCTCGCATTACAAGACGGAAAAGGTTGGAGATGCCCACTACGGAATATAGACACTCTTTCATGGCCTTTGTTTCTTCTTGCAACTGGACAGTACACTGACATAGACACAGGCATCAGAAGCCGTTTGGGTTCAGTTACAATCTCCCTGAGAGGCCTCACCCGAAATCAGTAATCTTTACGGTATCTCATTCTTCCTCTTCAGTCTCAGTAGTCATTGTACAGAAGTATAACATCGGAGGTTGGCTCTCTTCGTCATGCCTAATATTGGCGATTCAGGAGAGGCTCCGGATGCCTATCGTCCGTTGCAGCAGATCCTCTCCCCTCTCCTCGTGTTCAATAGTAGGCAAGGCTCAACACTAGTGCGACATAATATCAAAGGATCTGTAACCTTCTAATAGAACTGGCTGCTTTCTGTTGGATTAGGCATGTCGCCGTAGTATCCGCCTTAGCTTAGTTAGTGTATTTATCGCCACAAGTACGCGGAGAAAGTTGCTCAATTTTACGGATATCTTGCTCGCTTGGTTGGGGATGTTGGCCAAGGGCCAGGGATACAGCTTCTGGGAATGTTAGGTCTTGTGCCAGATCTGTACTGCCCAGTGATGCTTGGGAATGTTCTGCTGGGTTCGGACAAGGGGGCGTTCATTACCATCTCTCTGCCATTTCATTCATTCATTGTCACGTTGGAGTCCAATGTTACAGCCGCGGTATCCGTGTTGAGGGCTCGGGACCATGAAAGCGAGGAGTCCACTACGGATAACGAGGCTAGATCAGCGAGCAACAACGAGCCATCCTTGATTGTCTACAGGAAGTCTGCCATACTATTTTCGTGCTCAGCTGTAGCAGTCTTTGTAGTTCTCCGAGCCTTGAGTTCAACTATGGTTATGCATGGGACAAGAGACAGGACTCGGGGAAATTGTAGGAGTCTTGTGCATTCGGCTCGCCACACGGATGACCACAAGCAACCAAGGAGTCCCTTTTAGCTTTGTCCTTTTACCTCCGAGGTAAATAGAGTCTGACAAGCGCAGCGCCTCACATCAGCCACGGCCGAGCCTGTCAGAAAGTACGCAATACACGCTGCAACACGCAAGAGCAAAGGCCGCACGGGATCGCCGTCACTCTCATGCAAGCGACAGAAAAGGTTCCAGTGGGTCAAGTAGTAAGTTCTTACTCTGATGCGGAACCTCGCGGAGACTGGAGAAGTTCCAGCAACTTTACTCCGAGATGCCAAACTCCCCCAGTCAACAAAAGGGCGTTTTCTATGTCAACGTTCACGAATGGCTTCCGCCCGTAAAACGGGGTAGGCGCTTATTCTGTGGAGAAGCAACGCCGAAGGAAAGATAAAACCCAAATGTGGATGAGATGCTTTGCTTCCCAAGGAAGATAGCATTTCGAGTCAGTGAAGAGAAGACAAGTTCCCTGCATACTACTCCCTTCCTTGCTTGGTAACTTCCTTGTTGAGTATCACTGCATTACCGGCAGTATCAAAACCGATGCAGGCCTGAGATCAGCATTCAATCTGGGCTTGCCGAAGGCCGCCCGAATTGCGGGTGCATGGAGCGAGTGCCGGCAGTGTTGCTCGGTTCTGGTGACCAGTGTGTGGCGCCGCCTTGTTGTTTGCGGCCGATGGGAACTTGTCACAGGTAGGGTAGGGGTTGATCGTTGATAGAAGAATTGTACAGTCTATACTCTGTCTGGGTAATGAAGGTAGTTGGGCTCGTGGTAGCAAGTCAGGAGTTGGCTAGCCGAGCTGTTACACCTCCCGGACTGGGTAGGTCGTTATGGTGCCGTACTGAAACAGTAATAACGCTCTTAGGTAGTTTCAATACGGAAATGCACTCATATGAACTAAACGGAAAATATGAGTGGCAGACAGGAATACAAGGCCCAGCCTTACGTGGGGGTTCAGGCTAGGCAGTTCCGACGAGGCGGAAGAGGAACCTTTGATTGATAATGCTGCCCTTCTGGGTATCGAGTCATGGCAGGTCTGTGTCAGGATTCACTAATCATCTCTGAGGTCTTTCCTCGAGACTTGATACTTTTACAATATGCAAGCGAAGGAGGCGAAGGAAGAGCTGGATTCGCTTGGGCTCCCTTCAGGTCTGACTTTTCCGCCATCAAGGGGATTTTCCCGCCATCTGGCGGGCTTCAAACTTTGTGCTTAGCCTCAGTGAGAAAAGTGTGCTTCGTGTATACGAACAGTAGTAATGAGATTTCATCTGCCGGAAGAATTTAGGCACATACAGAGCTAAGAGATGCTAACCAGATTGGAGCCGGTGCTGCCCTACGATGATCGTGATGATGGTCCGGGGTTCAAGTGACTGATGATGCCATCCACATGGCCGAATTGGGTCTTGCTGACAAGGGCGGGCGAGCCTCTGAATGGGTCGGCAATAGGATGGACGATCGCCCTTTTACGTTAGGTCGCTGTACAAGTACGAAACTTGGTTGTGGATGGAACGTGAGAATAGAAGTGGCAGTTGGGGGAACTCCTAACACGGTGTTGATGCTTGCTTCTGGTACTCGCTTCAAGGCTGTTATTAGTATCTTGTGTTTCGCCAGGCTTGTCTTTGTATCACGGCTGGCTAACGTCGGGCTCTGATTTTGTTTCTTGCAAATCACTCAACTATCGCCGCTTTGATTGATATTTTCCACGACTAACAAGCGAACAATGTCACCACTGCCAGATGCAGTATGTTATCACTACCATATGTAGACTTGAACGCTGTCGGACTGCCCTGCCGGCGACATGGATCGGACGACACTAAGAGGAGGCCAATTTGGGAGGAAACAAGAGCGTTACATTAATATCTCCCCAAAGCACACACGAGTCGAAGACGTGTTCAGGAGAAGTATGGCATGAAGCTCATAGCACGGGTGGACATTTGATAGCTCTCTTCATGCCTGCCGGTGCCGTAGTATTGCCCATGGGGAAAAAAGAAGAGAAGGGGGTCGGAAAAGACGAGAGCGTGCAGTGAATAGGACGGGAGACAGCCAGAGGTCTTTCGCAAAGATTGCTCGATACGGATGGGACGGGGCTGGCACGTGGAGATGGAGGTAGTATGATAGATTGCGGGACGGGTACAGTGTAGTCCTCACGGAATAGTACAAAAGACAGACGGTGTCGCTTCATGAAGAATCGGGTAGGCAGAGAATATGAAGCTTGGGAGCGAGTAAGAAGCCGGAATCTTGACTTGAGTGGTTGTACGAGAACCCTTGTGATGCATTCATTGTGTTGGTGCCAAATGTTACATAGAAGCAACAAGTTCAAATATGAAGAGCATCGAGGGACAGCATGATTTACTTGCCCTACGCTGTGTGAACCTCCGGAATCAGCAAGTAGCTGCGGAAGAATAGAAGCATCCATCGGATAGACGACGGACAGAGTCGTAAGCCATGGCTCCAATGCATTAGCCGCTTCGAGAGAAATGAGAGACAAAGGAGCGGATGATGAGAAAGCTAGCAGTGCGCTCAGCATGACCACTATATGTTGCTGCTTGGATGCCCGTTGGGCATCCCGTTGAGACCAAGCGTGGGTACACAGCATCCGCTCTTGGTGGCTAAACTGCATGAAGAACAGCGATGATATCCTGGTCATTTGCCGATGAGAAGAATAGTAATCAGACCGCGTATACCACTTGAGCTCTCTTGATACTCTGGCGCGTACAGTGGCATCTCTAGAGCTCTGTGGTCTAGTATTTGCAACGAGCGGTTGAGGCTACCGACCCATAATTGGACCCAAACGACCATGCGGAGCTGCAAGCAAGGGGGCGGCCTTTTCGGTTCCTTTCTTCTGTGTCTAGCTTTGGAACAGAGATCCGCTCACCAAAGGTCTTGGCCGCTTCTGAATATGATATAGTTTTGTGGGCTATAACAGCAAGGATTGATAAATTCGGGGACCTGCAAAGTAATGTAATCATCAGGGAGGCTTGCGAGTTCGTCCGGGATCAGGGTGGGTGGTCCGGGGGGAGGGGAGTGCGTGGGTCCAGAGATGGGCATCACTAGCTGGTTTGTCTGCTTTTTGTCCGACTCATACAAAGACAAGCCAACGAAACGGCACACGGATAGGAAGATGCCAGTGGTAGAGGGGCGGACAACGAGCGGACAGCGAGCGGACAATGTGAACGGCGGCGAATAGCGGCATTCGTGCAAGCCCGAGCAACGGGAGACAAGACTCGTGTCCTATCAGTCCTCTTCCCAGAGGAAGCAGCAGTGAAAGTCGAATGACTCAAGGGATTCGTCCTATACATACATACGTGTGCCGTGACGATCCTCATGCGCTGGATATATGGGCTCAATGCCGTATCAAAGCCTGCGATTTTGGCGATGGTTGTGTGAAGGATGCTAGACGGATCTAGTAGTAAAGTCCCAACTGGGCCTCGTTTCCGGTACGAGCATGACAAACAGACAACGAGATAGTGCGGTAGGATTTGACTCCTAGCCTAGACCAGGAGGACGGGCGGCCAAGATAGCGGACGAATAGAAACGAGGCGAAGCCGCTCTCGCAGTAGCAGTAGGAGGACGACTGACTAGTATAAGTCGTATATGATGGGGATATAATCCCGAGCTGCAGCATGACGGTCGTTTTCAGCTCCTTGGCTTGCTTCTTCCTACGTAGCTCTCCCAACCCCGGTCGTATCGCATCTAGTCAGCAACCTGACGAGACATCCGTCCGTCCCCGGTAATTGTTCGCGACTTGCCAACAGACGAAGAGGAAAAGTGACGACAGACAGGTGGGCTGTGGCCATTCCTTTCTGATGTTGTCGAGGCGTTCGCTTAATTTCTGACTCATTATTACCCTTTTTACGCCTCTGTTTCGCCTTGGCCTTTTGTGATAATCTTCAATTCGTGAGCGGATCTGATGGAAGCAGCCAAAGAAGCTTTTAACTATGCTCTTTTCCCTTCTTGGTGGCTGCCAGCGCCTCATTATTGCCTAGTATGGATGTAGGTAAGATGGACTTGAAGACGAACAAGTCAACGCTTTGTCAGGTGGATGACACTCGGATATGCAGGCCCTGAATCTCCTCCGTAACTCCGTGTATTTCCAGAATCCAAACGAAACCACCCGCACGAAACAAGTACGGGGAAAGGAGAGGGCAGGCCCAGGACTATTTCGAGATGTCTATCTTTCCTGGCTGGGCAATGCTAGTGAACCCCGACTGGCCCTGGATTGGGCTTTTGACTCGTGATGCAGGACTAGTTCGGGAAGAGCAAAGACAAAGAAACTAGCCGAATAAGAAAATAGGGATCCAAAGACAAAAAAAAAAATGAAAGAAACAAAGGGCGGGGGATCCGAGCCGCGGCAGTTTAGATTGGCACAATCAATGGCCTTGGCTCTACCTCTGTCCGGACAAGACGAGACAGAAAGTTGCCGTGCTTGTACATTCGCCCAATCCGATGCCCTCCTCGCTGCTCCCCAACCGAACCCGGTCTGCTCATACATTATTATTGCTCCAATCGGTGCCCAAGTACTGGATATGTAACACCTGGTTTGAACAAAGGGCCATCATGTCGGATAGGCTGTCGAGCTTGTTAGTATGGCCGGAAAGAAGAGACCCTACCCAGGTAGGTATGTACCTACGCGAGATGCGATGGTTGGGTCATTAGGTAGGTAGGTATTAGGTAGGCTATCGCTTGGCTTCGGCCTTTTGCTTTCCAGCCCAGGTTGTTTGTCTTGCGGTTTATTGCTTCTTTGTCAATGGTTAGGGGGGCCCAACTCATCTTCGGGCCTTGCCTGTTGTACCAGCACTGATAGCAAGTGCTAGTTGCATCGCCTAGGTACTGCTATGGCTGACCAGTATTGACTCATTCAAGAGGTATTAATACTTGTCCACGCGCTCGAAGCTTGCGAGAGGTGTCTTTCCCACGTGGATTTGTTGCTAGTACATCCGACCAACGCGACCTCAAATCGTAAACGAGGTACTCGCGACATGCGCCTCGCACTATCGGCTACCTTAGTAGGCAAGGCAGCCTTATTATTAGGGGACCTCGATTAGGTATTTGATGGGTTCATTTAATACCCGGTATGCCTGCCTTTTCTGTTGCTGTTGACCACCTCGGCTCACTAATTTATTCAGCGACCGACCAACTTGTGTCCTCGCACTCCTTTCACTCTCCCATCTCGCTCAAATTCTTCCTACATCTTCGTAGAGGTTTCTGAGAAACAAAGATCTATTCCCGTCGTCCCTGCCGGGGCGCTACTGGGAAGTTGGGAAGGTGCTGCAAGGCTGTTGGACAGGTGCTTGCAGCCGGCAGTGCAGTTGGCAGTTGGCAGGTGCAGTCCATAGGTAATTTCCCCCAGGCCGTGAATCGCCTCGCCTCGCCTCGCTATCGATTGCTTCCTTCTTCTTCACTCTTCTTCCTCCTGCTCATAGTCTTCCTCTTCAATCTCTTCTCTTTCTGTTTCTCTTTCTCTTTCTTTTTCTCTTGTATCGCACTGCACTGCCATGTGTGCAATCTTCTGGTCATTCTTGTGTCTTCTATGCCAATAGTCAGCCATATCTCTTTCTCGTCATTCTCCTCCTCCTTCTTCTCCTCCTCCCTTTGTTCTTCTTCTTTTTGGCTTGCGCATCATTTTATGGCTGTTTTGCCACCAATACATCTCTAGATACACCATTTTTCTGTCATCTTTGCCTGTATTCGGTCCTCTCAGCCTCCCCCTTGGGCTGAACCGTTGCGACGCTACAGACTTCAGACGCTGGAGTCGGCAATCGCTCATTATTACCAGCTTCTATCGAGACGGTACGATCTACCTGTACGAGGTACGAATACCGAGCGTACAGCACCGTTATCCAAGCCCGAGAGCCCTCAGCGGAGCCGGATCTCTCGCCAGCCGCTCGTCTTGGACGTGATCAGTGATACCACCTCCTCCAACTACCGATATCGAAACGACCAACCAGGTTAGTCGACGCTCAGCTTGTTGGATTTGCGTCTCTTGATGCGGTTGGCGTCGCCTCTGCTTGTGCCTCTGCTGGTCTCTGTTCCTGGGCTTGAGCCCGCTGTTGCCGAGCATCTACAGCCCGCTGTGGGCCACCGTTACTGTTTCACTCTCTTCACATTCTTGTCTAGCTTCATCTATCCCTTGCCTCTGCCTCTCCCCATCCCCTGTCGTTCCTCTTCTCATTCTGCCTCCTGTCCGTGGCCAACACCACCTCTTGGCTCCCGCGTGATGCCGCTACAGAAGCTTGCCAGTCCCTTGCTCGTGGCGGCATTTCGTGGAATGCCTGCGATACTTGTACCTATCACTCTTCCATACCCAGCTTTCCAATCAATGTTTGTGCTCTTACATCTTCTCACAAACAACAAAACAGGGTTACAAACCAGTACTTGCCCCCTGACAAACATCTCACTCCACATGCTGCGTACTGGATACCTCAGACTTCGAAGCACTCCCCTTGATATTCCCATGGCCGTCTTCACCCCTCCCCTACCGATGATGCCTGATTCTCCTATTGTTCTTCCTCTTCTGTCTTGTCGGGTGACTAACTGCGATGACCAGTCGTAGCTCTTTGTTGCTATCCTACACACCCCTCCCCGCCTTACATCTATTATCTGCCTGGCCTGGTGTCACCCCAAGACCGGTTTATAGCCAGTCCTCGCCGCATGCATTCATCAGCTCGCCCAAGTCTTATGATATCTGTCAGTTCCATCCGTGGCTGTTACTTCGTCACTTAGCGCCTGGCGGTCAAGAGAACGCCAAGAATCGTGGTTTGCTGACACTCATATGCAGTATCAAGCTTCCGGTCGACTATGTTGAGCCTCCCTTATATCCTCAAGGGGTTCGAAGCATTAGATTTTTGGAGGTTATCAGCGGGAAAGAGATCAATTACCATACACTCAAGAGTGTTTTAGTTTCCTCCACTGGATCTTGCGCCAGAGACGAGGCTGCCAGGTCCTGAGTCCAACAACCGAGACCGGCAAGCAAAACAGGGGGCGAGACGACCATTGGTCATTAACCAAATATTCTACTTCAAAAGCATCACAACGACCTGCCTCACACTCCATTCTTGAAAGCGTCTACCTGGGGCCTCCCGTCGACGAACAGCTCGAGGAGATTCTTCAGCATCGAACATATCGAGTCGAGTCGCACAGATCAATCATATTCAGAAGGAGGATGGACGACGCAACCATATTGGGGCAGCTCCCTGCTGACCAGCGCGACGCTGCCGTCACTCAAGCGGAGAGCAAATTCTGGCCAGCTTTTCTAGCTCAAAAAGACGCCCAGCATGCCGATTTTATCAGAGCATTCGAAGTACCCCTGACCAAGGCCAAAGTCGAACTCGGCACTCTGGATGGGCAGCGCGAGCAGCTGACCAAGCTCCGCGAGAACCTTGCTCTGCAACTCAACCAGGTCGAGAGAGAGCTGGCCCAAGTTGTTCTCGACTACGACAGAAAGGCAAACGAGACACTCATGCTAGAGAAGAGATATGAACAGGCTGAGCAAAATTGGCTGCAACATAGGGAGGGTCATGTCGAGGCCATGGTTTCCTGGTTTCAGGACAGGCGAGCGGGCAGGATGATTGCTCAAGATCAAACTGCTCAAGATCAAACTGCTCAAGATCAAACTGCCCAAGATCAAACTGCTCAAGATCAAACTGCCCAAGATCAAACTGCTCAAGATCAAACTGCCCAAGATCAAATTACCCAAGACCAGACGGGCAAGGTGACTGCTCAGGATCAGGCTGGCACACGCGTTGATGCCGGTGCTGAAACAATTGCTTCTGGAGACTCTGCAGCCGTAATGAAAGCAACCAGAAGCATATCGACCGAGACGACCAGAGGCGAATCCTTGAATGATCTGTCATTGCGGGTCAGCCCGTCCGAGTCGGCCATCTTCACCAGGCAGGTCGCCGCGAAGACGCCCATCGCGCCACTGCCGTCAGCTGCCCTCAGGAGCGTTCCCAAGGACCCTGTCTTTCTCGTCAATCTCGTGGACGCGGACGACCAGGTCATCGGACCCATTTACAAGACAGAGCCATGGAACCAGTGGGTCAAGGCCATCCTCAACATGCCCATCAAGAGGGATGTCAAGGTTCGCCGCGGCCGCAAGTTCACCACCGACCATCTCACGGCCATCTACGACCACACAGAGGCAAAGGGGGTCAAGTGGTTGTCGTGTATGATTCAAGCTATTGGTGAGATCCAGGGGAAGCGATGCCTATCTTGCAATAAGAACCAGGGCGCTTTTGATGATTGCATTATCATAGGCACTCCCCTTTTCCAAAAGTGTGGCAACTGTGAATGGAATCGCCAGGGCTGCCATGGAGCCGCTCTGGTTGCGGAGGAAGAGGGTTCATCGGCAGGTCCTGCTCAGGAAAAACAAGTGTCGAAGGAAGTGTCGAGTGATGGTGGAGCAGATAGAATCTTTAAGGGCAGAGCTGCGCCATCACAAGAAGACGGCGTGTCAAATGGAGCAGTAGGGGCAGACACGTCTCGAGAGCCTCCTCAGCAGACCGACCCTGCCAGGCCCGCCGCCCAGGAGAGACGAGGTCTACCCACCAGTCGACCACCGGTACACCGAACAGAGCAGCTGTCGACTTCCTGGGAACGCTCAGAGCAGAAAGCGTATCCCACGATTATAGGTTTCACGCCAGCTAACGTCCCGCCAAGTCGGCCACCGTCGCAGGATTTCGAGACTCCTACTCCTCGCTCCCTCAAGTCGTCTCCTGAAGCGACGAAGAGTATACTACCCCTCCCAAAAATCACCAAGGATGTGCTCGTACTCAAGCACAAGGATGGGGTGTACACTGAGCCTGAAATAGTAGCCGGCGTGCCGCTGGAGAAGATCGACCCTTCTCATCCGTACTGGGATCCCGACTGGCCCAACCTCGAGCAGTCAATCGAGCCGCTGTTGGCCCATTGCGAAGACGAGTACAAAGTGGCCATGGCAAAGAGGGGCAGCAAAGATGATAAGGCCACTAAGCGATTCCAGCTCGGGCGACAGGTGAACCGTGGCAAGGAGATCATCAAGTTCCTGGAGGAGGGCGAGATTAGCCCGTTTCAACTTCTCAGCAAGAAGTACACGGCATATGGCAAGGGTAGCATTACCTCCTACGACACCCTTTTCCGCATGTGCCATGCTCTGCGCGAGCTGAAGCATTTCAAGGCGAAAGGAAAGATTGACGTTGAACCCCTCGAGTGGATGCGCCACCGTCTGCATGAGCTGTGGGAGGAGCTGGGCAGCGAGTTTAAGCCGGCGGAAGCCATTCGCGGCTTCTACCACGATCCCAAGATGGCCCAGCTGCGAGAAGAATGCGGGATGAAGAACATTGGCCGGCCGCGAGGGTCCAAGGCACACCGTCGGAGCGATACCACACCAGCTGATGCGCACTCGGCCGCGAAGCGGAAGCGGTCGAGCTTCCACTCGCCGTCTCGTAATGGGGAGGAGTGCGACCGGTCGTCGATGGAGTTCATGTCGGAAAGCGGCAACAATACCACGGTGCTGGAGCTCCGGTCCCCGGTTCCAGGAGGCCCCATCACCAAGCGTGCTAGGTCGCTGTCTCCGTCTATTCGGCCGTATCGAGTCACCGTCGACGACACGACCGAGTTCACTGACAAGGATGCCTCGAGCGGCACGCCTCTTACGCAAAACGACTTTCGGATTGATCAGATCAAGTCGCGCCTGTACACGACCCCGGCCGGGCTGACGCAGTACCTGCACTGGATCAAGGAGGATAGGTGCTTGGAGCACCAGACCTTGCAAGGGGACAGTCCCGTCACTTGGCGCGCTCTGAGCGAGCCCGTCAACTTTGACGTGCGGCTGGTCGACCTGGTTGAGGTGCTCTGGAACCGGCGGGAGCTCAAGGCGCATTTCGCTATGACTCAACGTAGCATGCAAATCTCGCCGCATATTGGGCCCAGAGGGGATATAATGGTGTCTTTCAACCGGGAGAGGACGCTTAAGAGGTTGATCAAGGTCCTTGAGGCGAGGGGAGTCAGGACCATTGAGGGATCTCGGTGAGTTTGCCCCTTTCTTTTCCTCACGAACACTGTTTCCTTGGTTTCGAGAGGCTTTCATACTGACAATGATGGTAACAGAGAGGAGCTGCAGCGTCGCTGGACAGCCATGCAGTCGGAGACTCTGTCCCAAGAAAACTACGAGCTGTCGAGCAGAGAGAGCAGGAGGCCGGCCGCATTGACCGCGCCACCTGTCGTACGGTAATGCTGAAGGTAGGCGCATTGTGGGTTCGGTCAGGCAGTTGACCTTGGCATCGATGAAGGACTGGGCGTTTCGGTAATGTCGTCATTTGCATTTGCATTTGGGGTTTGATGGCCGGCTTAATAGAGTGGCGTTTATGGTCTCCCCCTTGTTGTCGATTCTTTGCTTCCTGATGGATGGCTGCGTTCTTTCAGGCTGTCTGGGGGCTATTGCATTCCATGGCAAAGGAGCATGTTCCTGTTAATTTTTTTTCCTTTTGGCGTCAGGGATATGAAGCATCAGGAGTGACAATAGATACCCGGTAGGAAACAAAATCGGCCTGGATTTTTGGGTTTTTTCCTTTTTCTTTTGTTTTCTTCTCTTCTCTTTCTTCTCCATCTTGTCGGTTTCCCATTTTCATATCTTTGATCTAGTCATCTGTCTCGAGACATAACTGTTTGGCTTAATAGAGATCCAGCGATAATAATAATGACGACAAGATGGTTCACTTATACAGATATATTCTTCATGTGAACGTCAAGTTGCCGCCAGTAACCATATACACTCAACAACAACAAGTCATTCTCTACCTAAGCTAGGTCATTGAGACTAAAGGCTGACTACAGCATCGCACATGTATTTTTGTAAATATGTAACACCGTTATATATAGATCCTTGACAAAAGGCATATATATATATACTGACCGCATCCTTTTCCCCCTCTTATTACAGTTCTTAACACAACTCATCTCGGACAGCCCGTCCAATACCACTCTCGTCAAACGCCATGCCAAATGTCCCGAAAAAGAAAAAGTCAAAGCAAGAGGAGAGGGAATAAAGAGGAAGAAGATGAAGAAGAAGAAAGAAAGAAAGAAGAAAAGAAAACATGAGTCGCGTACACATCCCAAGCCGGTGGCGTGGCAAGTCAAGTTGAAAAAAAAAAAAAAAGAAAGTCAAAGCTTTTCTCTCTTCCGACTCCCCAACAACCCTATCCAGCTTCCCATTAATTTGTAAAAAATGTTAGAAGAAGAAAATAATAAACGTTTTCCGCCGGAACGAAACAACTCGCCAAAAAACAAAAGAGAGAAAAGAGGCAAAAGCTTAATGCCGAGAAGAGTAGCGGTTCGTCGTGGGCGAATAAGGCATGTCGTAGCCGCTTGACTGGGCATAGGGATCATCCGCGTACATTGTGCCGCGGCGCTCGTCCTCGCCCAGAAGCTCCTTGACTTCCCAGTTGTTCATGCGCGTGCCGACGGAGAATTCGAGATCCTCCTTGGTGATGGAGTCCCAGTACTGGAAAAGAGAGAGAAAACGAGATGTTAGTGATGCAAAACAACGAGAGGTCATTCAACATGGGAGGATAAAAAATAGTTCGCATACCTTGTAAACCATCATGACGGCAAGCAAATTGCACACCGTCGCAAAGAACAGGCCATCCAGGTAGTGGCTCACGGCGACGCAAATCTGCGCGCTAAAGGCATAGAGAATGACCTGGCCGACGACGAAGAAGAAGATGCCAAAGGCAATGTCGCCGAGCGGCCAGCGGTCCTGCAGGGTGCGGACGACGAGCAGGATCTGCATGCCGACGTAGACGGCCAGCTCAATGGCGTTGAGCAGGTAGAGGACGACAAAGAGGCCGACCTGGTTCGTCGGGCCGAGTCCGGCCCATCCCTTGAACGTCGCCAGCGACACGAGGAAGGAAATGGCAAAGGCGACGAGCGAGCAGAGCCACAGCATCCAGACGGACAGCGGCGTGCCGTCCTCGTAGAGCTGGAAGCCGACGAAGCCGTTGACGAGCAGGCACGTCACGACGGCGCTCGTCAGGCCGTTTTGCACGGCCGAGAAGTAAGGGAAGGGTCCGCTGCCGGGCGGGACGACGCCGGCGTCGACGACGAGCGAGATGAAGGTGAGCAGCATGTACAGATAAAAAAAAGTGAGTATCTCCTTGCGGCCGACGGCGGTGAACTTGCTGCGGACGTGCAGGATCATGATGACGGTCATGACGAGGGCGCCAATGTGCGCGAAGGAGGCGGCGCCCTCAAAGATGATTGTGTTGGCGACCTCGATGTTGCGCGCGTAGCAGCTGGGCTCGATGCCGACGCGGCCCGACGAGGAGAGGACGGGGCCGATGGAGGCGCAGAGCGGGAGCGGCGTGTGCTCGCAGATGGAGGTGAAGTCGCCAAAGCCCGACATGGTGGTGATTCGATCGAGGGTATCGTGTCGTTGTTGTCGTCGTTGTCGCGGAGTCGCAAAGAAACGAGCGTCGTCGTCGTCGTCGTCGTCGTCGTCAGTGTGTTCGCAGCAGTGAATGAATCAACAGTCGCCTCGTATCATCCGTCCCTTTCTCCTCAGTCTCGATGCGCGGCCGAATTTGAAATGTTGCGACAGCGATTGGCGTGGATTCCTGGGGCAGACAAACAAAGATGCCACGGTTCTTCTTCCTGGTCCTCCTCCCTCTTGACTCAAAACGAGTGTCGTAGAAGCGATCAGACTGCGCCAAACAAAAATCAACAATGAGAAAAAAAAGGAAAGAAATCGCCGAGCTTGAGAATCGACGTCCCACAGAGTCGCAAGTCGCTGTCGCTTTTTCAATCGTCTTTTCGAGGGAAGAAGCCCGGTGGATACGAGGCCTGTCGGGGGAAGTTTTGCGGCGAGAGAGAGAGAGAGTGAGGACAGGCGCAATGAGGAGGGAGAGAGAGAGGGAAAATTGGCTGGCAAGTTTACGAAGTGGTTGGTTGGGGTTGGGGTTGTACATACTGTGCTGTAGCGGGAGACCCACTGCGGAGGGAAAAGGTGACCTGGAGGAATACGAGAAGATGGTCATGGAAGCATGTATCTCGTCGTGATTGCTGTGTCACCTGGTAACACAGAGTGTCAGGGCACAGACTGATGGTGAACTAGATAGTACTACCTGAATCAAGTCCAGAGGGCCATCGGAACTGTATGATGATACTGTAAGAGTATACATACTACAGTCAATCAGATGCAGGTCCAGACATGCAGGCTATCGATGTTTTGCATCCCTCTCCCCAGTCCGTCCCGTGATGCCATCCGCACAGTGCAGACGGTCTTATGCTGACCAACTCACATCATCACCAAGGTGACGACGAGCCAACTGTTTACTTGGATCTGACATTGACCTCATATTCCATCAATACTACTCACCACAAGCATAGCTTGCAAAACTTCAATACAGGCAACTGCATGAGAATCACCAGCAGCATACCCGTATATAGCTTCATTTGAAGTGAGTACATAATCCAGCAGATAGCTCGTTGCGACAAATTGAGATTCCATGAGCTTCACCTCCCCTCACAAGAGACAGCTTCATACCCTACAACATCACAATACATAATGAAACAAAATCAGACGGTCATCTTCCCCTCGTAGTGCCATGCCTATCCCAAATGTAGTGCGCAGCGCAACGAACATGAACTTAACTCATCTCGTACCCTGTCCAAGAATTGTAGCCTCACCCAAGACTACCAACCATAAGGTATACACCACCAATACAACAAACACAATCCGAGGCTCCTATAACAACAAGCCACAATCCGTATGCCCTTACTCCTTCACCCAGTAGTTCACATCATTTCATGCAACATAATATGAATACCATGGACACTCGGCGGCCATCCGCCGCCTCATTCTCATTAATCATTCGCTCATCTAATGCAGCGCCCTCAACTCCTCGCCCATGCGATCGAAAAGAGACAAAAAGGCAAAAGCGCCCCGTGCGCATCTATGAGTCAATCCTTCACCGCCATGCTGCTCTGCTCGAGAAAGAAGCGAAAATGGAAAGATCATCAAAAACCAGGCAAACATCGAAATGCCCCGTCCCTCGTTTCCCCAAAGCCTTAGTGGTAGTAGTAGGTATCTTGAACAAGAAAATAGAAAAGATGGAACAGAAAAAAGTCATGCGAAGAGAAGGGGGGAGGCGGCCTTAAGACTGCCTGTGTGCAGCAACCGCCGCCAAATCAGACGGCGTCCCAATCCATTCCAACCGTTCTCAGGCCAACCGCCATTTCGTGTGGTCTCCCCCCTTCCCTCCCGCCATGCCTGTAGCCATCCCGTGCTGCTTCGGGCGTATTAAACGAATAGCTCGATTTGAAAAAAACCATCAGGGGACAAGAAATTGAAAACGGGTGGCGTAAAGGCATAACCACAAAATGAAACCAGCCCTGGAGGCATGCTTCTGGTGGAGTATATCAGACGTTTCCCCCAACCCCAACCCCTTTCAACCGGAAAGCCGTGGCTTCGTTTGCCAGACGGCTTCGTCAATGTGCAGAGCCGTCCAAATCCCAAATCCCTGGGCCGGCTCCCTTAACCAAACGCCCCAGACGATGCAAATCCATATGCTGCGTCCTGGTGACGAGCAGTAGTTGAGAAAAGCAGAGCGGGAAAAAAAAATCAAGAAGCAATGCGGTCCCGCGTCGAGAGGGAAACAGAAGGGCAAAAGGAAAAAGAGACTAGTGTTACAGATGTAGGACAACCCCAACGGGGTGAAGAAGAAAAGAGAAAGAGAGAGTAATAGTACAAGGGTGCTGAGACATGCTGCAGAGTAACATGTCTGGTGGTTCGCCCTGCTCATCGGCCAAGAGTCGTCGCGCAAATGTGCCGACCATCCACCGGCCAGCGGCCGCAAAGGGAGCATTGCCACCACATCTAGGGTGCATACGATCCTTGCGCTGCATGGTGCGGGAGGGGTTGCTGGCCCTGGTTGTACACTATAAACTCGGGCACCACTCCCGTGCGAAGGTCGTTTCGCCGGCCCAGAGGCTGGTAATGCATGTGCGTTGGCGGCACCGGCACGGCCAGGTGATACTGATCCAGCGAGGCCGACGGCGGCGGGTAGAGCAGCCTGTTGACGTGGCGGACGGGCTTGTAGGGGCTCGCCCGCTGCTGCAGGTAGACGCTGGGCGAGTGCGAGATGGGCGTCAGGGCCATGGGCGTGTGCACCCCCGACACGGCTCCAAACGGCGTCTCTGCCATGGGCGACGACGTGTAGCCCGAGGCCAGGCCGGCCAAGCCGTGCTGCCGCTTGCTGGGCGTGGTGTACGCCATGGGCGGCGGGCCCTGGGGAGCCGGCGCTCTGGCGAATCCGTTTGCGACGACGAGAGGAGGTCGTTGTACCGTGGCGGCCGGAGCGTAATATTCGTCCTGGACTCTGGGAAGCTCCGGAGGGGCCGTCGCCGCCGCCGTCATCGTTGGATAGTAGTCCGTGGAGACGCTGGTCCGCTGGGGCATCGTCGTCGTTGTCGTCGTTGTCGTCGTCTTGAAGGGTTGGTACACCGTCGACATGGCACGCATGCCCGCCTGCAGCGGGGGCAGAGAGGCGACGTTCTGGTTGGCGTAGGGGTTGGGCTGCGGGATATCGGTCGAGGTTGCCGCATTGGCGTATGTGGCAGTCGAAAGCGAGAGATCGCTCGCCGGGGCCGCTTGGTTGGTGTACGCAGACGGCATGTAGCCGTTTGCCGTAGACTTGAGGTTGAGAGTCGGCGATGAAGGCGCGTATCCCGCCGTGAGAGGCGAAGGCGCCCTAGATGCCGTTGCCGTCGGGAAGACGGTGGGCTGCGAGGTGACAATGGATAGATGCGGAACGCCGTACCTGGGCGCGGAAGCGCAGCTAGTGGACCAAGGGTTCTCGTGGACCTGAGCTGGATGCAGACGCATAACTCGCTTAGATGGGTTATTGACGCCCTCCATGGGCTCTCCATCGGGGCTGCGCTTCCGAGAGTTGCGCAGAGCCGTCGACGGCTTGACGGCCAGGGGTGAGACGGGGTTGGCGTGGTACGTGGCCCAGTCTTGCGCGTGCTTCGACAGAGGCGGCGAGTACGTGGGTGCGGTGGCGGGACTGAATGCCGCGTCGCCGGTCGGGAGCATCGTGGTCGGCGAGACGACGGGCGAGTGGAAGCCCCTGGAGGAGGGAGAGGTGGCCGCCAGCGGAGATGCCGGGGCTCGGGAGGCCTGCGTGTAGTACTCGCGGAAGCAGGCCAGCTTGGTCAACCAGTCCTCCCACTCTTCCTTGGAGGCCAGGAGGTTGTAGCGCATGTTACTAAGAAACTCTACTTCCATGACGTGAATCTCGCCAACTGCGAAGCACGACACCTCGGCCCACGTCTTGTTGGTGTAGGTATTGTCGTCGAGGACTGTGCCAGCACCATGTTAGCATTGTTTGCCCGTCGTCTTGTTTGCGCCTGCTCTAGTCCAGGCCCTTGGGGAGGGGGGAGGATGAGGCAGAGGCTCACATTTATTGCCAAGCATGAGGGCCACCGTGAGCAATCGATACTCACTGCCCTCGCGTCCCTTGATCTGCGGCGTTGACAGCTTCAGTCTGTAGATGAAGAGCAGCGCGAGCAGGATCACGTTCTGTGTAACCTGGGTGGTCGACAGCACATTGTATACCCATTTGCGGAACTGCTCGCTCGGCTTGGAGAGGTTCGCCAGCTGCGTCGTGACCGTGTCCGGCCGCGACCGAAAAGTCTCTGCCTTCTTGAGTCGATCGATGGGTTCAAACCAAAAAAGGCACGTCATCTGGCTCAGAGAACAAAGAGTTAGCTACCTTGAAACAAGGGGCCACAGTCGGCCGTGGATAGACAAGCAGGGTAAGGAGCTCGAATAAGGCGTGGAAGGGGTTGGGGAGCTGCTGGCTTCGACGAACCTGGGCTGCAAAGTCTGCCAGGCTGCCGCCGTCGGAACTGATGCATCGCGGAATCTGGAGACTGTGGTAGATCAACGTCTCAGGGCTCTTTCGCGACGATGCAGCGTCCTGGGCGGATACAGCCGAGGCAGGCGTCTCCGACTTGGTAGACCTGTCTGAGGGTGCGCTGTGAAGCTGCGTGAGAGCGTCGTTGCGCGCCTGCGAGGCGGGCACCTGGGCAGGCTGGCTCTGCTGGAAGGGATATCGAGCGTACAGCGCAGCGGCGTTCCTGGCGTCGCTGGCACCGACGGCAGCCGAAGCTGCGCCTCTGGGGAGGGCAATTGACGGAGCATAGGGTCGCAGGGCGTGATTGTCGTAAGCGGCCAGCGACTGCTGGTATGCGGTGCTCATCGCGTCGGCCGGGAGGCGCTCTCAGGCCGCGCAGGGAGAGGTGCTGGCAAGCCTGGAGAGTGCAATGGCGATGGTTGTGATGGTGGTGTTGGTGATGCTGGCGAGGGCGAAGGTCGGCGTCGTGGGCGGCTGTCGAGCGTCGAAGCAGGATGTTGAAGGAACCTTGGGAAGCTGGAGAAGATGCAACGTCGCCGGCACAGCCTTAACAGACATGAGGAGCTCCTGTGACGAGGTGAAGTCGGGCGGGACGAGGTCGAAGGGCGTTGCCGCAGTGAACAAGCGCGGCTGGGACCAGATTCGATGCGAGGTCACGCACAAGTGAAGAAGAAGGAAAGGTGAGAAAAAAGAGAGAAGAGGCGAACAAAAGAGCGTGAAGGGGAATTAGAAAAAAAGGGAAAAAGTCCCTCACTGCTTGCGTGCAGACGAAGGAGTGAGGGATCGAGGGTCGAGGTGAGGCCAAGCTGAGGAAAAAGCACATTCAAGAGTTAAAGTTGCAACTCGATCGAGCGTTGAGGCGTCTGAGGTGGGCGTGCGAGTGGGTACGCGATATTGGCTGCAGGCGTGGCCGGCGGGGAGGTACAGGTACAAGCGCGGCGGGCCAGAGGCTAACTGAAGTCAACTCGACTGAACAAGCGCCAGAGCCAAAGTTGCACCAGCACTCGGGGCACTGTACGAGGTACCTCATACGAGTACCTGCCCACCTAAGGTACCCCTACCAGACGCCGGCCTGGTCCATCAACAAGAGCAAAGGCAACTTGGACGCCAACAGACCCCGGATTTATCACTCCTGGGTGGCCCAATGCATCTCTGGGGGGGTGGAGGGGGGCCGCTAGCGGTGGCTTCTGCCATCTTGTCTCGTCTTGCAGCGTCCGTTTATTAGCATGGGCAGAGGGCACCGAGTCACTGGCACTAGACGAGGCCGGACCAGGCAAGGAACGCTTGCTGACATGCATCCCTAGCATCCCTAGCAGCCATGGCCGGGACGAGGGAAGAGGAGCAATGAAGAGGGAGGGCGTGGCACATTGTTCGCGAGGAGGGCGGCACAGCTTGTTGGGAAGCCCGGCCAGCCCAGATGCTGAAATGACGAGAGAGAGAGAGAGAGAGAGAGAGAGAGAGAGAGATGTGGGGGGAAGGGTTGTGCTGCTTTTGCCTGTTTGCTTGCTTGCTTGCGTCCTGGTGGTTCCGAAAGAGGGGCTTGGATCAATCGTAATAACCTGGTACCTGCCTCTACTGTACAAGGAGACGAGAGAGGAGAACCGAACAAAGAGGAGACGCTGTCATGGGTAAGGTTTGGCGGGCTGGGCGGTAGACACGGCATCGTCCTCCATCGTCGCGTTCGGCGTCGTGTCTCGACTCGGACGGGGCACGGCGTCAAGTCGTCGGGGAGCCTTGACGGCTAGCCGGGATGATTATGATGGCAGTAGGCTGCACGTACATGTAGCAATGAACAACTTGAAGGTACAAAGGGCACAGCAAAGCGCACAAGCGGGAACGGGGGGGGGGGGTCGCTTCGGTCGGTAGGAGGATCAAATGGTATCAGAGCCGGGCCTCAGTTGGGCGCTGTGGTGGCTGGCGGCAGAATCAGATCAGACGGACCGGACAGACAAGAGAGACGGACAGACAGACAATCAATCCATGGGAGGTGTGTGGATGATGATGGAGCGACGAGGCATGGAGGCAATGGAGGTATGGAGCACCTGTTGGGGGTGGTCGGGTTCAACTCGAGAGTGGTACAGTAGTACCTCTACTAGCAGTAGGTAGCACTTCAAGGCGAGGTAATGAGTAGCGCTACAGTGCAGATCACAGTGCGGACATTGGCCGCAGCTGGCACGCACGCAGGTACGGCTGGGATCACTGGCCCCCTGGCTCTTCGTGAGGTACCTACCTAGGTACCTAGGTACACTTTATGCTGGTGGAAGACGGAAGACGGAAGACGTGCAACGACCAAAAGCACTCAACGCGTCACCCTGAGCATTCAATGTCACGTCTCTCACGCGCATGACCCGGAAGTGTTGGAAATCGAACCAGACGTAGTAATACAACTACCTGATCGTATGAACCTCTTGACGATGCTCGTACCTATCTACACTACACTACACTACACGAGGCACTGCCCACCAGCATCAGCGCTTGTCCGTTCGTCTGCTGTTGGGACCTATGTACCCATCACCTCCTGTCTTGCCTGTATCCGACCGAGTCTTGAGTTCGCTCATCACACAAGGCTCGAGGGCTTGGTTTTGGTCTCGGTCTCGCACGAAGTGGCGCTGCGGGCACGACGCATGAGACACGCACGAAGACGAGGGGATGATACGAAGCGGACACAGTACATACGAGCGAAGGAGTCATTGTCTGGCCTGGTGTCTCTGAACCAAAGCCCCTGTGCTGGGCATTGACTACTACTACCACTGTACATACATGAAGGCATGTAGAGTACTCGTGGGTAGCTGGACGGCTGCTGCATCCCTGTCGGTGCGTCGAGAGAACTGGCATCCGTCTCGTGCGGATGCCTCCTTTGTGAAGCTTCTGTGCCTACCTCTTCCCAGCAATCATAAAAGTATTACAGGTAAGGTAGGTAGGCGAATACCTAGGTAGTACTATGATCAGAATGTACATAAACCGGCCAAACTGATGATTGTCTCGATAATGTCTCCTCATACATACCTACCTAAAGTTAAGGTACACATAGTATCCCTTTTAGCAGGTCTCAGCGGCGTGTGCCTCCTGTGCCTCCTCTGCGGGGTTCCCAATCTAGCGGCAGCCCAGCAAACTCCAACTTGCCGCCGGCACCGATTGGCACTCAAAGTAATTCTACCAGAGGCGGTTGATGATGGACTCGTTGCGCTTTCGTACCTGTACATCTTCTGAAAGCCTCCCTGGAGGCAAGGTAGTGTAGTGCTACGCATTCGGTGATGGATGGACTGCCAACATTTCAATGCCTTCGTTTCTGGGCCTTGTGCTCCATCAGGTCCGTTCTGGGTACATGTATGTAGCGCTGGGGGGCAGCAGAACAGGCACGAGGCCACGCCAACGGTGGGCAGCATCTGAACTGAACTGAACTGAACTGAACTGCCCCCCTGCAGCAGAGAGACGGAGAGACCAGACCAGACCAGGTACAAACACACCTTCACGAAGAATGGATTCCAGGGAATCGAGCAGCCAGCCAGCCAGCCAGTCACGTCGCTTCGAATGAGAACCAAAGTCGCACCCCTTCTCCTCCTCTTCTCCTCTCTTCCTCTCCTCATCACGCTCGGCGCTGGAACTGGAGCCACATCCCTGCCGAGCCCAGCTGACTGACACGGCGCCTGGACCCGGAACACCCGCTCCAACAAGTTTGTATCTGTACGAGTTCCTTGTCTTGTCAATCGTCTTTTGTTTGCCGTTTGATGCCCATACGGCTCTCCCTATTTTCGTTCCCTCAAAGGGTCAAGCTTGATCAAGGAGGCGTTCGGCTGGATCTCGATATTCCTCATTACTGCCGCATTTCCTTTCTTTCATTCGCGTCCCCTTTGCCGGTGCTTGGATGATTCCGTACTCGTACTGTACCGTCTCCCAACGGATGCACGTCTCTTCAGAAGATCAAATGCCCTCACCTTTTTTTTTTTTTTAGCGGCACCCGTTTGGACCCCTGCAACAGCCCACTGGCGACGCTCAGTATCCAGAACCTGCGCTAGCCGCCAGGGAATTGGAACAGAAGAATGAAGGGGACGCTGCGCTGGATGCTGCGAGAAGTATCCAGCGGTATGACGAGCAGTTCATAGTACGAGTAGAGTAGCAGCTGATATGTATGGAGCATCATGTTGAAAGCGAGGCAAGCTAGTACCGGTAATGGTGCAGACGGCGAAAGAGGCAAAGAGGCGCCTCTGACACACACTGACTCTCTCTCATATTACCTGTTGATCGACCTATGAGGTAGGTATTACAAGCCTCTCTTCTTGGTGACGATTGATTCATAGGTATTCCACGGGCAGCCACACTGCTGAACAGGCCATGACGGCATTTGCGGAAGATGAAAGAAAGTGAGATGCGCAGGTACATACATACCTAGTACGTAGGTAGGTAGGTAGAAAACATCAAGTCCACCAAATGTCCGACAGGTATCGGGTTTGCAGAGGCGGCGTCGCCGGGCCCATTTGCCTCCAAAGCCAGCCATCCATTCAATCATTCCATAGGTACAACTATATCCCAATTGAGGTAGTTGGCGGTTCGTACTCGTACAGTATGACTTTTTTTCCGCTCTTTTTTTATTTTCTTGTAGACCATGCCCCGAATGTCCGTCTCGATCCTCTAGTAGTTCCATGCAAGCACACATGGCCCTTCAAGTTTCATCGTACTGCGTGATACAGCAAAGACGACGACTCTTCTAGAGATCCATGGCTTGTGCTTGATTCACGACCCTCTTGACGGTCCATATCTATGGAGCACAGGTACCAACTACCACTACCTGCTACCAAAGATATTGCTTGTACATACAGCATGAAGACGGAGCAGCCAAAGCACCTCCACTCGACATGCCCTGCCATGTCCATGCTCAGACCCATGCCATGCCTTGCCATGCCATGCCTTGCCATGCCATGCCCCATGGTCTGGATGGAGTGCTAGTAGTACTAAGAGGAGAAGCTTTGGTGAAAACGATTCCCCCGATCCGCGTCAGCCAGCCCCTGCGTTTCTGGGAGCGGATACTACAAAAGCATAGCGCCAGGGCTTGTCGATGATGACTATGCCTGCCTACCTTACCCTGATACTCAAAAAACGGGCACCACATGAATGCTTCTTGCATGCAAATGCAGCAGGATGGCGGAAACGGAGTGTTCCCGCACGATTATCCTCTCTGGAATGAGTGGATTGCTTCGTCAAGAATCATCATGCCTTTGCCACAAGTCGCTCTCAATTTGGATGACTGCCCGAGGCAACATGTACCAGCAACTGTCCACTGCTTGCACTGTTTTCTCTGTCTCTCTCTCTTCTCTCTAGAGTACCTAATAAAGTGCTCGCATTGCAAA